ACTCATCTTTTGCCCCACCGCCGACACACTTACCAAAGTGTTACCATCCCCGAAGGTCAAGGACTTTGTGTCTCAACTCGGACTCCATACGGCTTGAGGGGGAGTGTTGGAATTCAGAGGCTGTGCAAGCCCGCACTGAGTCTTTTCGATTGAACAAAGTACATGTTTCATTTCTATTGTATTCCACTTGTCATACTCGCACTATTGTGTGCTCTTGTTACACCTTTTACTTTTGTTCCTGACTCACACATTGATTCGTTCGTACAAGAGCACTTAGTCTATATAATTAGCTACAGTTGCAGACTACCACCTCAGATGTTTGCCTTCACGCACACAACTGAGGTGAGATACTTATCTTTTCACACATATTTACCTTTACTTACTTCAAGTAGAGTGTCCGTTATTCACAGGTGAATACAAACAGACATTTGCCTTTGTGCGCACGACTGAGAGTGTCCGTTATTCACAGACCCGCACAAGTGTATTAATCTAATAGTATATTGTTTCTTGCACCATACTGCAGGGATATGTCGGAAATTTCCCAAGGCGGTTGCCACTACGTGCCTTTGAGACTTGGTTCTAACCATATTGATACCGAGTCGAGACATTCATACCTAAGGTCTACGAGTCCACACTGTTAAGACCGTGTTCAACGGGTCGGACCGGAGGGGCTTAGCTTCAGCTCGTGCGCTGCGCTCTTTACCCGAGTACGTGCCCCTAATTTACAGGGGGTTGGATATTGTCGGCCAAAGGGTATAGACGGGCCGGACGAGAGAGAGAAGACTACCCAAGACTTCGTCCGGGTAGAAACTAACAAGGTACAGACTACCCGAAGGTAGAGGCGGAGGTATTTAGCCTTAGGGATATAATCCCAAGGCTCGGAGGATCGGACTAGGATAATAATCCCAAGAGCCGAGAGGACACGAGGATTGAACAGAGTCTAAGTTAATATTTGAACTGAGGAAATACTACGGGTTACAAAGGGTTTATATACTGTAGTGTATCCGACGGGTTTCCGGCCGAAGCGCAGTCTTCGGATCAGAGGGCTATGTAGAAAATGTACTAACGGATATGAACTGCTGTGGACGATCGAGAATGGAGCCGGAGATTAAATGAAACAGGGGGGACAAGTTAAATGAAAGGGAAATGAATAGACTAATGGACGGATCAGAATGAACCCGGATATTAACTGTCAGAAGGATCCGGGCATATAGGGGCATCAAGAAGCATATACAAATGGGGACACGGGGAAATGAATTCTAGAATGGAACCGAGAGAACGGACGGACCGGACCGGACGAGAAGCTTCAGGTACGGAATATGACACACACCCATTGTGCCACAGGAAGGCAGCGGAGCACTTCGTGCTCCTTTGGGAGGTGCCTGCAGCACCTCGACTCCTTATTAATAATCATAGCAGGTTTTGAAATATATTATTTTTTTAAGATCATAATTTGAATTTAAATTTTTGTATACTTTTATAATTAATAAAAACTATCATACATTGCACAAATCCTGCTGGCAGAGGAATCAGTCTCACATTTTGTGCTATCGTATAATTTATTGATTCTCCCCGTCTCCCGTCTCCCGTCTCCCGCATTCTCCTGTTCTCCTTTCTCCCATTCTTCCAATCTCTTGCTCTCCCACTCTCTTGTTCTCCCAATCTCCTGTTCTCTTGTCTCCTATCTCCCATACTCTTGTTCTCCTGTCCTCAGATCCCAGAAAATTTGATTCTCCATTACTACCTTCAAATTTGAATTTTCAATAATTATCATATATATACACACAGGCTACATAAACAACAGTCGCGCAAAACACAGGGGTGCTGCCCATTTATGAATGAAGAAGTGGAACTGAGTTGGTGCTTGAAAAATCCACGCAAGAAAACCACTTGAGTTTCCACATCAAGGATTAAGCAAGCTAAGTATTCCCATGTGGCCTTTGGCGAAATACACAAAAACCATGCGAGCTGGTGAGGACCGTTCCCACCAGCATTGGGCCATACTTTATAGATATTCACACCCAAGTTGTGTCATTGAAGGCAAGTCACAATATTGATACTGAGTTGCGACATCATTTATGTATTTTATTATACATCTGATTCAGATCATACTATCACACTTCTGTGGCATTGCTTAGATGGTCAATGCTTCTTCCTGCAATGCCATCCATGACTCCCACAATAAGTGGGAGAAGGGTTTTGTCAGTCACAAATGTCTGCTCTGTCTGTAAAGTCTCTGCATCATGGGAAACTTGCTTACATTGCCTTGTTCACAACAGGCGTCCACTCCAGCAAATGACTCGGCATCTGATTCTCTTACTTACCACTTAGGCGACACAGGCATGAGGCAAGCGGAAGGCCACCAACTATCTGGAGAGTTCCAATGTCCCCAAGAAGAGCTGGGATGAAGTTGGGTCCGATGAAGAAGGCACTGACAACAAGAGTGAAAACAGGCAGGTAGATGAGTACAGATTACAAGCTATGGAGGTGACAGGCAACTAGGCCCATAAATTTTCACAATTTTGTCAAAATCACACACCATGTGATGTATGTTTCCTACTGTATACTATGCCTTTGTCTCTACTTTGTAATTTTGCGTGCATAAACTTGAGGGCAGATTAGCATAACAGAGTGTGCAACACCATATAGGGCTCTGTGAATGATGCTCATGCACATGGCAAATTGCCTGTTTAATAAGTGAGTCGGGGACCAACGCTTGCGCCGCTTTGATTTCATATTTCAGCTTTCATTCATCTATCACCCACTGCCCTCAATCAGTGTTTTGCTTGACATGGCAACCTGCAAGATCCAGCAACAATAATAATTATGACCCACAGATCTGTCGTTATCTTGACTGCACTGAAAAATGCAATCAGTTCGACCTTGCCACTAACCTTTTGGATCATTCACAGCATGAGTATCTGGGAATTTTTGGAGATATATTTGTTGAGGAGGATGATGAGATTGATGATAATGCAAATGACTTTCCTGCAGAGCTACTGTCCCCAACTCAAAGACCTGGACAACCACGTCCTATCATAAATTACTTTTTGATCACCAAAATACTCCAACACAAGAAAATTAGATTGGTACCCATCCTACTACATTCTTTTATCATCAGGTGCACAGCTCTTCATCTGTCTTACTGTCCATCCATCAGGAATGCCACTATTGATGAAATCACCATCATGTTTGGCCCACTGGACTTGCGGCCAGCTATCACTAATTTTCTTCACCATGAGGTGACTCATGGTAATCACAATCACTTGGTAGGTGATGCCCAAGACACTGCACCCAAGATGGCCATTGACATACCCGAGTCTAACTTGGAGTTGGACTCGGAGAGGCCTCCCTAAGGACCCCCTCAGCTAGACATACCCCAAGACCCTCTTCACTATCCCTTGTCAAAACTGATCGACAGGATCACAATTAATGATTATGCATACAACATTCTCAGAGTTCTGTTTTCTAGTCAGGAGCTCGTTGGTTGCGGCACTGTCTGTTATTTAGCCAGGAGGGATGAGATAGAATACATTATCAAGGACCATTAGGTTCTTGGGGGTAAATATGTCGTGCTAAATGAAGTCAACATGCTGCAGGAGATGCAAGGGGTCCGTGGTGTGCCAGAACTGGTATTCTGTGCAGGTAACCCGTGGGTATTTTCAGCTGTACCCCTACCCCTACCCACAAAAACCCGTACCCCTGGCCAGGGGTATGGTTTTTTCACGGGTAGAAAGTTTTTGTTAGGGGTACACCCCTACCCGTACCTGTGGCAGGTAACCTGCGGGTATTTGTAGTACACATTGTAGAGCTTGATCGGGCGATTTCGACGGTGGTCTGATCATGTCAAACAGTTAAGATTTGAGCAAGATATGAGCATTACAAGATAGGATCACATAGTTAAGGAAAATGTGAATGTTGTTAAATGACTTAGGTGTCTAATCTGAAGCTAGTGTTATCTTGATTATCTTGTCAAACACTTGAGGTCTGGTTAATGTATGAGCTGTCCTTTCATTTTGCGTCCTTTTCTTATAATGATCATATCTTGCTCAAATCTCAACTGTTTTGCATGATCAGACCACTGTTGAAATCACCTGATCAAGCTCTACAATGTGTACTACAAATTTCCGCGGGTTACCCACCACGGGTATGGTTTTTTTGCAGGTTAAATATTTTGTACCCCTACCCATACCCTCCAAAAAACCGTCCAAAAACCCACGGGTTACCCATACCCCTGCATATCACTAGCCAGAACTAGTCTAATATTGGCTTGTCAAGATTGTGCCTGGGAAGTCGATGAAACCATGAACTATCAATACAAGGTTGTTGGAAGTATCAAAGGCACCTCTCATACACACATTCATTTGGTCTTGAAGCTCCGTGCACGACCTTTGCATGTGTTCCGAACCAAAGTAGAGTTGATAGGTGCTCCTCAGGACATTGTCAAAAGTGCACACTGTATCTGATCTGTCTTTTACATTCCACTGACTTATTTCTCAGTTCAACAGACAGCAGGTGAGGAACACAGAATTCTTCACCATGACTATAGGCCATGTCAGGAATCAAGAGCAAAGGTGGCAAAATGCCATGCACACATGTTCAGTATGAAGATATACAGTTCCTTCAGCAATTGCCATAACAGACAATGTTTTCAGTGCATTTTCGGCACTAGTACACAAACATAGAAATGTTGCAGTTAATATTTTACAGGGCGCTGGGGTCGACCACCACTTGTAGATGGATAGAACATGAGATCATTGCTGATGAGGTTATGCAAATACCAGAAAGTCCTGTGGTCCATACTACTGTAGTATTTCATTCAATTTGACCCTTCAACATTTTGACAGATTTATGTGTGACCTGTGACACACCTTACATTTTGTCAATCTTAATGGCATGCTTAGAAATTTAGTAACCCTAATTTCAGTCTAATGGTGAGGAACAGAGAGGATTTGCGAGTTTCAAAGCCTTTGCATGAATCATGTCAGAGGAACCAGCAGTCAGCCCAACTTTTCATTTCTTACACCCTCTTTTGGAGCCTCCACATGATGTTCTGCAGCAGCTGCTCCCAGACCATGGTCTTTTCATTAAATTCCCATTTCTAACCATCTCATATGCAAAAACCAGTTCCCTGCCAGATCAATTTTTTTCTATGGATCAGCCAACAATCATGGACATCGTAAAGCTTCGTATTATCCCAATCCCCTTCCCATCCACCATAAAAACACTTATGGAACAGTGCTCAAGCTTCTTGCAAATGGGAGCAAAGTCATTGACTTGTCCTCATGCACCTGACTGCCCTGGAGCATACTTACCAATCTGGACACTCTCATACTGGTGTGAGGTGGTGGAGCTGCAACACAAGTACCTAGTACCATGGATTCATGCTGAGGAAACCCTTCAGAAGCATGGAGACAGACCGAGAAGCAGACTCACAAGTTGATTGAGAGTGTTTACAATGCTCTTGGCTCAATTTTATGGTTTGGCAATGTCAAAGGGTTCAAAAATTCAGAGCCAATTTGAAACATTGCAAGATATGCAACTGATTAATGGCAGTCCAATGTCCATGAAAATCAGATGATTAACTTACTTTGTCATGACCTTCAGATTCATCAAAATAGTTAGCTCACAAAGGACTGCAGAGACATAGCAAATTACCGACCAATTACCTTGCTGAACAGGGACTACAAAGCCTTTACAAAGGCACTAGCGCTCAAGCTCGCACATACCGTCCCATCTATAATACACAAAAATCAGGCAGGTTTCATTCCAGGAAGAAGCATCACAGACCAAATTAGACTTACTCAAATGATTATGGAATATACTGAGACAAGTGAAGAAAATAGTGTGATCATAGTGCTAGACCAGGAGAAAGCATATGATAAGATCACACATGAATATCTGTGGAAAACATTGGCTAAATTTGACCTACCAGAAAACCTAATAAGCACCATGCAGTCCCTATACTGCAGCGCTGAAACATCAGTAATGATCAATGGAGAAATAAGCACAAAATTCAGAGTAACAACAGGGGTAAGACGGGGAGACCCCCTGTCGTGCTTACTGTTTGATATCGCCATAGAACCCCTAGCCGAAATGTTAAGACAATCAAACCTCACTGGATTTAAAGCAAAATAAATGGCTCACGGCATTGTTGTAACGATGTTTGCCGGTGATACTACAGTCTATATGACTAAACAAGACGACTTCAATGTACTCAACAACCTCCTAGAATGCTGGTGCGAGGTGTCAGGGGCAAAATTCAACACATCTAAGACAGAAATCATACCGATAGGCACGAAAGAATACCAACAAAAAGTTTCACAACAAGATAGCTAAATAACACACAAGAAACCTTGCTGGAGGGAATTGAAATAGCCAAAGACGGCAAAGCAACAAGAATCCTAGGGGCATGAATAGGCAACAATACTGAAGAGCAAGCCATCTGGTCCCCAATACTGGATAAAATTGAAGCCGCTCTCAATTGATGGGAGAAATGGCATTCTACAATAAAAGGAAGGAAGATTATTATACAGCGAACAGTTGGAAGTATGACACAGTACCTTACTACCACCCAAGGAATGCTGAAAGATATTGAAGATGCCCTGGTATCCAGAGCTTGGAAATTCACCTGGGATAGCGGAGACAACAATTCAGTAAGCATGAACATATTATACTCCCCAGTCACAGAAGGCGGGAAAAATATACTGAACCACGAACTCGAAACGAGGCCATTGAGCTCAAATGGCTCAAGAGACTACTTGCCCTATGTGCCAAGCACCTGCAGTGGACCTTTTTCACAAATGAGCTCATAGCTGTGGTGGCCAAAAACACCCCAGTTGTCAAACCAAGTGCCAAGGTCAATTCATTCCTACAAACATGGTCACCCTCAATGAAAATCATCTCAACTCACCTGAGACGTATACTCAAAACAGCTAAGAAACACAATGTGAGATGGGAAGCAATCTCAATAGCTCCAGAAGTCGCAAGACAGCTGCCAGTATGGTTCCACATAGGAGCCTCAGAGACCTCAAAGAAACTAAACAATAATCTATACGTGAACTGCCTGAGAGAAAACTACACAATCACCTTGGTAGGCCAACTAGAGACAATTGCAAACCGACAGTCTCCTTGTGTGATGCTGTGCGCTGTGCTCTTCCAAGGCGGTTGTGGCATGATCAAAGGACGTGGTGAGACCCTTGGAGAGTCCCTGTATCTCAGAGCCCACTTGCTGGACGGCCTCAGGCATGCTGATGTGGGCAGATTTGATGGACCAGCCTGATGCTGATGGACTGATGATGGACTTGGAGAAATTGGGGGGGGGGGGGGGGGTGAATGAGTGTTTGCGAGTTGTTGTTGTTGTTGTGGTCATCTTTGCACTTCCCCTTGCACTTCCCCTTAGGCGATATACCGGAGACCAAAATTAGCATGGTGGAAGATGCTCCTGGTGTTGAGGGAACAAAGGTAGGTTGGCTGGCAGGATTGAAGAAGGAGGGGTCCGAGATCATCAAGGTGTCGCTGTCCTTGTCAGAGGTTTCACCGGCACCACTCTTGAGACTCTCTAGTGCTTGGGACTGCTCCAGTGCATCACCTTCTTGGAAGCTGAAGGCGTGGCTAGTCACACTTGCACGCACCTTTGAGTTGGGGCCATGTTGAAGCAGGGGGTGATATGTGTGACTGCCATGCGCCTTTGACGGCAGGATGGCGTTCATCTACTCATATGGTAACCACCCCTTGCTTTTGAAGCTCTTCGCAAGGGGGATTTCCTGGATTGAAAAGTTAGTGGTACTAGTAAAAACAGTAGATAGAACTTACCCTAACAAGATCCGCCCAAACAGACTCTGACTCAGGTGTGATGTTGGCACCAAGCTCATTGCTCCATGAAATCCCAGAAAAGTTTGCAACCCAGTTGACAACTGAATAGGTGGCACACTTCTTGAGTCATTTTAGTACTATAGGAGGACAGAGGGAGCACAAAAAAATACCCTAGCCCATTTCTGTTAACACACTTTAGCTGTTTTCACCACACCGCTTGTGGTGGTGTGTACTACATTGCCGGCAGCCTGCGTCTAAAACATCTTGTCAAAATTGAGTCCGTCACCCCCTTTTTTCTTTATGGGTGGTGACATAGTTGAGAAGACGTAACTCGTCAGTGCTTGACAAGTGACATCTTTCAGCTTCCTGGCCCACTGATTCACCCCGCTTCTTCTCATCTGTTGCTTTTTTTTGCCATAGATATGTATGAAGGCAGAGAGAGGACACCACTGAATTTTGAGCAGGTATTAACCCTAGACCTTGAAGATCTAGTCTGAGTTTGAGTTGCTGGCATGTTGACTGTTCATTATCTCTTGATTATTGATCAATTGTCACACAGAGCTTAGATGACAAAGCATTTCTAGAATCAAATTTCTTAAGTTAAGTTGACCTAAAATCCATGGCCAAACAGACTCTAAGTTAGATTTACTATTTTACTTTCTTCTCCATAAAATGAATTGATATTCCAGGCATTTATTGAACAATTGTTGCCAAACTTCAGTGAGGAATATTTGCAAATCACACACTTTAGGTGGTGTTTCAAGAAAAAATAACAGCATTTGATTACAAGATGCATATATATATGCAAAGATTAAAAAATCTACACTATTTACAGGTATACTAATCAGGACCATAAAACCTATCCCTCGGTATATATGAGGTGTGAAGAGGATATACATAGAGAGAGTAGTATCAAAAAAAATGAAACTATTGGTAAAGCATGTCAGTGAGATACATAAGATGCAAAGAGGGGTAGAAGACCTGTCAAGCTATATCAAAGGTAACAGAGGGAGTGATATGCTATTGATGTCATGGATTAGCCAGATGCAAAGCTTACTGGGCATTAACCAGACACTAAACTTACCAGCCACGACTGCTAGTAAATAGATAGGCCAGATGCCAAACTTACCCAGGGCTATGTCAACCAAGAAGGCAGCTATAAAAGCCAGGAAGGAGGCACTGTGAAATGTTGTAGATGGCACTGCTGGTGACTTGGGGAGGGACTTGGTGGGGTCTAACATATGTCAGGATGGCCAGCTAGCAAGGCCAGCTGGAGATGTATTTTGGACACAAATCACTGAGGCACACTGAGGCTATTTGTAGCACTGCAAAAATGAGAATGTGAAATTGCTGTATCACCATCAACATCAGGCAAGAAGAAGGGTAAGTTTAGTTTGTTTTTTTGCCTCTCACAGGGCCAATTACATCAATGCAGATCTTCCCTCTAGCCCTTGTGTACTACATTGTCTACGGACTGCTTGCGAGCATGCCAGGCATACCAAGTCATCTTTGAGGGCATAAACTACTCACATTGTGGATAGTGGGAGGTGTTGGTTGTATTGATTTCTACATTGATATTCTTGATAAAAACCAGTGACCTATAGGTTGTGTAATGTGAGAATATTTAATTGTCAGTTCAAAAATATGTATGCCGCAGCAGCTGTGCAGAATATACTCCTGAACTCTGTGACATATTTGATGTAGCCCAACTCCAAAAGTGTGTTAAGAACAACATCTAAGATCACATCATTTTCGAATACGTGCAACGTGCCGAGTTTTGCATCCTTCCCGAAAATAAATTTCGGGGTGAATGACTCGGAAGTATTGACGAGGAGGTCGCCCACTGCCTGGATTTGGTGTTTGGGCTCGGAGTCACCTGACCAAACAGAAAGGCATAGGTTGTATCCACGTTCCACCTTGGCACGCACAATCTTCTTTGAAGTCGCCAAGATGTCTGCGGATGGCACCGAGGTCAATCTGTAGAATGCCCCCACGTTTTGGGCAGCCCACTGACCCCCAAAATCTGCTGAAAATGTAAGATTTTTCTGTAGAGGAAGAAATGCCGCTGACCTTTACTCCGGCAAGATGCTGTCTTCACTAGTGCGTCATGAGCCTTGGTCTTCCTTTCCTTCTCAAACAAGAAAGGGGTTTCATTGACCGCTGATCGAATAAGTATCTCTCTTGCATCCTTGAAAATGCTTTCGTGAGTTCGATTGTTTTCATCATATACCGAGGGTCCTAGGCAGGATGGCTCTGAGGGTGTAGTGGACGGAGTAGCATCCGCCGACACATCCTGGGAGTCAGTGAATTAGTGATTGACAGTATGCGAACAATGAGCGCCCACCTTAGTGACAGTTAAAACACCTCAGTTTTGACCTCAATGAGTCACGGGGGTGCATATATGGGCAGAATTTTATCACACCGTGACTGCGTTTTCCAGATGGTTGGCCCCTTTGTGGCTCCAATTGACGAGTTGAAAGAGGTAAAGGCTCTCCTAGTAGTGGTGTCTCATCAAGAGGTAACAGCTCGTCGAGAGGAGGGAATGCCTCTCCAAGAGGCGGGACATCCTCTGAGCCTGGAGGTATTGTACAGGTGCTATCAACAGAAAAGATGGGTGCAGTGTATTGAAAGTATGGAGAAAATGATAGACTGTGCAATACTGTGGAAGCTGCGTAAGGTAAAGTATGTACATCATAGAGATTGAACTGCGGCTGGGATAGGTTGCTGTAAGGATCATTGAAGGAGGTGGAGTGAAGATTGATCATTGACGCTGGCAGCTGCTCTTTGCCAGCATCAGTCCGAGTCATGGTGGGGTAATTACTGCAGTAGTTGAGGAAGTTGAGTTCTACCATGACTAGAAATGGGTCATTCAAGCTGGACGCTGGCTGCCGCTGGTCGCCAGAGCCAGAGGGGTAACCATGATGATTATTAGAGCTAGTGGCCCGGGGGTAAAAATTTTGGTCGGCACTATGGCGTGTATTGAGGAAACACTGTTGGTCCTGAATGCAAAGCATTGTCGTGCAGGTAAGCCTGTTCGACTCGGACAGATCTGTCTATTTTCAGAGGTTTGATGAAAGTGAGCTGGATGGTCGCATAGGCAAGGAGACTGAAAGATGGTTGAGTAATACCAAATGCATCATGGGCAAAAAAAACATACTGATTCATCGCCTTCGACAGACAGAATGAAGGCAGTGCAGTCTTGTAGACACTGCTGGCAGGAACCTGAGGCCATTGTACAACAAATTATCGGCTAGTATCAGAGTAATAATAAAAATAATGACATGAAGGAGAGAAAGAAAAGAGAGGGGAAAAAAATGGAGACGAGCGATACAGTGGGGGAGATACTTAAGAGACGAACTGTCGACTTACATAATTTTGATGCAATCACTGATCTAGTGTAAGATAGGTTTCCCTAGATGAGGGACTCTCGAGGAGTGACCAGCCCAGAGCTATCGCCTGGCAGCTGAAGACATCTGATCCCGGGCCATTCGAGAGAGAAGTAAGGAAGAAAAAACAATAGTGTGGATGTTCCTGGACAGGTGTTCAACCACTTCATTTAGATATGATTGGAAAATACAGACTTCACCAACTTCTATACTTCCTTCACCCATTGTCATGGACCAAAAGTGTTTGGTAGTGAGAACATGGCATTTAATTTCTTCACAATAGAAGGTTGCTGATACTGTCAATAACCATGATTTCTTCCAGAATGCCATGAGCAGGAATATTTTTTTAATAGTGGTGTCTATACTCCAGCTCCTATTGATGCTGTTAATTATGCTCTCAGTTTAATGGCTTCATTCACCCCAGACTCTATGTCTATCTTTGGCAACTCAGACATTTTCTCAATGGTTGAGAGCAACTGGATGAATTCAGCTCATATCTTGCCCACAGTATCCTCTATAGCCCTAACACTGCCACCATATGATCCACCAATCATGTATATGCACACATCATTACTTTCACATGGTTCTATCATTGGCCCTCAGACTCCACCTGTCTTTGTAGGCTATAGCTCAGAAGTCTTTCAGGAAGAAATAAGCTATACACCTGCTTACCTCAATGCCCACTTTCTTGCTGCATAAACGATCATTTCAGACACCAGACTCATGGCCAAAAATCATCTGCATGTCAGCCAAGGTGGCAAGGCTGCATTCAAGTTATACTGTTTTCAAGTAATCTCTAAAATGCAGACCTTTGTTAGTACTTCTCCTCAACCAGTGAAACTTGGCAAGTATGAACATTGATGACATCTACTTTGCACTTACAATATAGCAGGACTCTGATGCTGTGAAACCAGACACATCAAATCCTTAAACATCCAGCATGCAAGTATTGTTGAAATGATACATTATATTGTTGGTCTAGCTCTTCTTACTCACATGTATACCTACAGTTATACCTCAAGTGGGCTGTGTTTGTAAAAGCAATGAGGATCTGCATGCAAAGTTTTGTTGAAGAGCTAAAAAAAAATCTATTTGGGCAGCTTTGATTTAAAGAGCAAAACACCTCAGGATGCTAAAGTGTATATTAAGTGACTCATGAACATGACACATTGAGACAATAATGTTACATCCGTTTGACGATGTCAATATATTGTTTTCATCTATCACAATCATCTGACTATGAGGTTGACCTTTCATATTCCAGAATGCATACCACAGTGCGGCACTATTAGCCATGTTTGATGTCGTTGGGAGACAGAATCATTGATTGTCATGTCGAAGGGTTATGGTCAACCACCGGAGAAAGGTAGGCACATTGAACATTCACTAGTATCTCAAGTTGCTCACATTATATCAGGACTCCAGTGTAGTCAAACCCAATGAAAAGATTTGAAACTTATTAACAATGCTATCGGATTGGTATGTACTAATTATTTTCTCGTAGTTTGGGTGGCTCTGAGAATGCCTACAGGTGACAAGCGAGCAATTGGCATTCATCAAGAGTTTGAAAGCCAGCGCAGCTGCCTACATCGACAATCCAGACAGGGCTTCCATCAGAAGTTACGATCTTCAAAGCCAGCCCTCTCATATGATTTCAACTTACATCAACACATGGAGCTGTTGAACCTGTCATACATCAAAATAGTATGCAGGTGTGGTGGAGCGATTGGATTCACTGTGACTGGTGTAATGATGGATATTGAGAGACAGATCACTGAGACCATCCTAAGCTTTAACTAGTGCTTTCTGGCCTTGAGCAGTAATTACACTGGAAAATTAAGCAGAGAGGAAAGGAGGGTGGTGAGGGTGCTTGGCCTGGGGAGCATCCTTGGGAGGAAGGATTCAAAAAGACCCTGGGTGGTCATAGAGAGGCAGCTCAATGGGAGAAAAGCCTCCAGGGCACTAGGCTTTCAAGGCTGCAAGGACCACTGATCTATCCTTTCTGAAGCACACAAAGTACTGGGATAGACCCGTATTTTTTCAATGACTAGTTCATATGCTCATTGATTAGATCTAGATCTGGCTAGCTATGAAAAGCCCAGAACATGAGACTCACCACAGTGTGCATAGATCCAGGCCAAATGCTTCACCCTATCATTCTCAAGGTAATATTGTTTTTTTAGCCTTTGCTTTCTTACTGGGGTATCCTTTGTGAGAGTGTGGTGCCTTGCCATATGGAAGTGACTTTGGCTTCCAAGTCCAGACCATGACAAGCAGTGGTGTGCAAGTTATATTCAACTTGAATGACATGACATTTTGAACACTGTACCTTTTGTCAACTTAGGAATATAAGCAAGATAGTGCGCAGTGAAGCATGATGGCTTGCTGTGAACATATTTTGACTGGTTCCCAAAATACATAAATATAGGCCATAACAATGTGGTGCTAAAACTAGTGAGGTGTGTTGAATCTGACCATAGCATGATTGAGGTAACAACCATCTTGAGGGTACAGCCATCAACTCTAGGCATTGATGCAATTTTCTGATGGTCATTGATCATGGCTGGGAACATATACAATTCTGAGTATACATGCTCTGCAGGTTCATTGGGTGATGCTTGGAAAAAGGTTTCAAACAGAATGAGATAAAACTGTTCTGCTGAACCTTTGCGACAGGCAGTTTCGAGGACCTCTAATGAATGGCAGTAGCATGGTCCTGGTACATCAAATTTGTGGGTATATTCCTCCGAGGAATCCACCGTACTATCGGCAGGCAAACAGATCTTGACCGAGGCCTCTATTTATCCATTGGCTGTTAAAGGAATTCAATTTGATTGCTTCATCACTAGTGCCTTGGTGGGCCATGATGAGGATGTCTAATTGGTGGATGGCCTCTTCATGCACGTGCACAGAACATAAACTGCCATGGTTGGTACCAAGGCGACACTTGAACATCATTACATACTATGGAAAGGGGTAAGTGTTAAATATAAAGTCGTCGACAACAGCACATACTATGGCACATATCTCTGACAAGAGTTGTGTCAGAATTTTACGGTAGTCGTTAGGGAACAGATTCAGCAAGGAGCTTTCACAGCTGTTGTAGATTGAAAGCAAATCAAGATTATCAAAAGCAATCAGTAGCCTATCTATCTATGTTACAATGTGATTTGTAGATCATCGTTATCAGCTTCGGCAACAGTGCGCATCTGCAATGGTCCAACCTCGAGAATATCAAGGATGTAAGCCTCAAAGGTAATTTTCTCTTCTCCCTCGAGGCCATCGAGAGTGTTGATGATTTTGATAAACTTATTGTGGTGGCCGAGGCCCGAGAAAGGGTCAACAGTTGGGTTTATGAGCCCCTGCTCCTGCAGTACGCAGTGGACCGCTGCGCCAGCAGTCGCAACAACATACCAAAGCTTCTGCAGCAGCGACTCGTCAAGGAAGTGCTCGTATCTTAAAAAACCAAAAAAAAACTGAATCACGACATGTTTGATGAATGGGTGAATGAATCATTTGTCAATGTGTATATGACCATCCTAGAATATAATTAGACATTTATTGTACCGAAAACACATACACATGCCGCATCGAAACGGTAAGAGTGCATGAACGATAATGAGTTGACAAGTGCAGTGACGATGTGTATCTGATATTGTATCGGTGTGCGCCCCGATGTATCATTTCCCGAGCGGTATAGCTCGTACGCATAAGGGACTCCACTGCGCGCGATTTCTACGATTTTCCCGCGGGCAATGCTGAGTGATTGAGACACACTGTGATATTGTTCCTTCATAATGATTCGGTCAATTGAAACCACAAAATTTATTAGTGCTAGGAGTCGTGTATGAGTGTTGTAGACATGCTCACCAGTTAGCGAACTAAAGTGTGGGACCAATTTCAAGATTGCATCATTGATGATGTGTTTGCGATCTCCCAGTGTTTGTGACATGGTGTCTTGCGAGAAGATTGATCCGACAACGTGCTTTTACGTGTCGCGCACAATCTGCGCACGAACATCGGCTCCTATTTGAATTTCATTGGTACAGTGTCCATCGCAGGCGCTGGTGCTGTGTCGGCAGCAACGGTACTTGGTCCATCGGGAGTTGTGAGAGGTCGTGGGACCACATATGGTGTTGAGGGCATTGATATTTGCCTCGATGTGCGTCTCACACTTCTTGCGGGGCCTAGAGTCTATTAAAAATGTCGGTAGAGTTAAATTGTAACAAGTAAGTAAACACCTACATGCACCATGCCAGTGTGAGGTATTTCACCCCTTCGCATCGAAGTCAGATCCGGTGTCCGGTGTATCTTGAATAAATCACGGTAAGGTGGGTGGGTGATTGTGTGAGCTTGAAGATGATGTCGGTGCTTGGTTATTTATTAATAATCAGGCGCCAGTATAAGTACAGCGACTCACCAGCTCCACCATCATCCCAATCATCCCGACCATACAGAAAGTCGAGATCGAAATTCCCGTTCTGATCGACACGGAAGGTCGGTGGTAAGTTGTTAGACTCATTACCTTTGAGGGCCGTTGGGGGGGTGGCGATGGTGGCGATGGTAGCGATAATGATTTGTTAGTTAGTGTCGGGGGTGGCAGCACATATTTCACTCACTGGCTCCTTTGTATGGGTCAAAGCCATCATCAGGCATCCGTAGTCATTTGGAAAGGATGTTGAGCTGGTTGCTATCTGGCTGTCCCGATGGATTCAGCCCAGAACCCCTAGGTGGTTTGGGAACGGGAGCCTTGCTTTTCTGTTTTGTACCGCACCTACCTTGCATCCAGCTGACGGTGGTGGGCAGAAGAGAGTAAGGAACTGGCCGCAATCGATGTAGTACCGCAAAGAACAACACGTGCAAACTCGTAGTACAACACTGTACAAACTTCAAAAAGGGCATAAGTAACGAGAAATTTGATACAAGAAACGGGCATCTATCTACTATCATAATGAATCAGCATGAGAAAAAATGAATTCAGCAGTTGTGTACACATACCACTGGATAATTCTTAGTGGTCTTTGTCCGAGTACCCATCCAAGCTATCTTCATCCACAACCGAACGTACATTTTGCCTTACTGGGCTGATGTCCTATGAAAGTGTGGCCTCGTTGATTAACTTCACCCGCGACGCACAAGGGGTATTATCATCTTCTTTTGAACATCATCTTCTGATGGAACTAACATTCAGTGTTTTCACAAGTGTATTGTAGGTTGACGATGTAGAGAGTGATATCTCTACAGGCTCGTATCCCCTCATTTATACATCAACCTCATCCCTATCCGCACTGTAGGCGCGACTTTCCCGCGCCTTCCGCAGACCTCGCGCAGACTCCTGCGCTTGCGCTTAGCGTGCACTTTCCCGCGCTTCCATCGGCTTTCCTCAGGTCCATCCATCCATTGTCTATTTGGTCCATAGGTGCGTATTACATACATATATTGGTTTTCTGACAGCTGCTGTCTCCTTACATACATCTGTGACATTCCTCGGCCGCGTTCCCACGCTTCCACACTCTTTGGCCGCCTTAGGACACTTTTCGCTCCCTCTTCGCTAGCTATCCTCTATATCTACTGGGCTTTCTGACAGAAGGTTCCTACTTATGCAATTACCCTTAGAAGAGTTCTGCAGTTTGTGCTATGTCTTAGAGAGCACTTATCTATAGCCAGGAGTCATACTCTCCTTCCCTTATCAGTCTATATTCATAATACATACGCTTGATACCCATTCCTTGCGTCCTACACAATCCTAGACATCCTTCCGCACTTGCGCTCTACAAGTGCCGTGTTCCCGTGCGTTCCGTGCTTTCTGCACATTTCCCGCACCCTCCGCATACCTCGTGTGTTCCTGCGCTTCAAGCGCACTTAGTCGCCCGACTTCCGCCTGACTCAGCTTCCCCTAGAGGTCGAACATATCGCCCTCACATCAGAGCAGATTCCTCCAAGTCTGTTCGTTGTACCCACAACAATATTGATAATAATGGTGCAGCGGCTATTGCGACTGGTAACCCGCGAAACTAAAAACCAAGGTCCCGCTAAATTGAAAGTGATCAACAACTTACTATTTATGGTGAAGCACCATGTCACCCCAAAAATTATTGCTCTACTTATACATTACACATCAAAACAACTTGAGCATCAGCAAAGGTACATCATTCTATAATCAAAATATAATACAATACTAACAATTAAATTTAAGACACATTAATTCATTAAGACTCAAAATAAGGTTGTAAGGGATGCAATCTTGAAGAGGCATGCTCTGGACTTTGACAGCACATTTTTCACTCTCACAATTAAAGAAGGTACAAGTGAAATTGTACACATCAACTGGAACAACAATCTCAATTCTATCATGTGGCTTATTTTCTCTTGGGGACTGAGAGAGTGGGTATATTGTTTTGACACAGGATGGCATGAGCGCTGCAGAACATTTTTGATTTTATGGTGTGCACTTTGGCTTATTGTACTACTCCAGTCACCAAGGGGCAAAGAATTATTCTTACCTACTTCTCGGATAGCAAGTGAGTTTATAGTGAGATGCTGTGTATTGCCTGCTGATAACCTTTTAATAGCTTATGGATACAATTCAGGATTTTTATCAGCAAGCATTTGACAAACCTGCAATGGCTGAGGTACTGATGCACTACCAACATGAACTCATGTGAGCCAGCTGGCTACTCCTCATGGATGACAACTTTATGTGTGCATATGAGTTTAGAATCATCATTGAATTTCTTGATGGTATTTGTTGGCAAGTCTTTCCCCAATTTTGTTTATGTATTCTGCAGACTATCTGGAAAAGTGAGTCACAGAATCTTCACCAGCTCAAATCTCATCTTGATTACACACTTTGCAGAACACTTCTGGCCTGTATTAAGTTTCTGGTGAAATGTCCTTGCCCTCGCTGTTTAATTTTAGAGGACAAGATCAGAGCACTTGGTACTTGTGCTGATAGGCACCATCATGATCGAGATGCGCATCAAGATAGTTATGGGCTATGATCAACAATCAAGAGGGTTCATAACTGGCTGTACATGAAGGGTACCAACATTACTAGTATCTTTGTTAAACATCTACTTAGCCCAGATTCTCTCATTGCAACTATAGTTGGTCATTCTCACATAATTGCATTATGATCATTGGTAACAGATTAATAGAGCGCAATTTCAACTCAACTTGCTCAATTTGGATTCAATTTTTATTTGATTTTCATACCTGACATACTCTATGAGTTCAAGCTGGGAGTTTGGAAGGACCTTTTTACTCATCTTCTTCAGATTTTGCACACATACAGGAACAATACAATTCAGGCTTTAAATAAATGATTTGTTTATTTGCTATCTCGCACTGCCCTAATATTAAGACTGAATTTATAGGTATCAACAAGTACCAATGCTTGGACGGGGTACAATATGTCGATTGAGTACCAATGCCTCAGGCATGAAGTGTCTTGCAGTGAGGGACTTTGAAGACTTGCTGCAGGAAACCATTGTGTAATGTGCTGAGTTACTGTGAGTTAAACTGACAAAACAGTTGTGCTATACCCATGTTTGAGTTACTGCTTCCATTGCAGTGGAATGAACTTTTGCTAAATCTACTATTTGAACTTGCAACATGGCAAGGCCTTGCTAAACTGTGAATGCATACTAATACTTTGCTTGGCTTTCTCAACACATCCACAACACATCTTGGAAGGTTTCTCAGGCACTTGGTCAAAGAGACTGAGGAAGAATTTAGATCTACTGAGCGAGGAGGCTGCTTGTGGATGCTGAAAGGCTTAACAGGTAGCAAAACAAGGGCCTTTACAATCTGCAGGACTAACTTCAAGGTGAGGTACAGATGGGCCAAAGATCTGACAATTCAACTGTGAGACATATAAATTCTATGCCCTCAGTAACTAGTCTTAACAATGCTATGATTTAGGATGATGGTGATGAGGATCAGGGAACCTTGATTAATTGGAAGTTTGCCATGCATATTGTTCCAGGTCTACAATATGCTATTGGTGGGATGGTCAGTACTTCTCTCATATGCAAGAATTATTTTACTAACAGCAATCATCAGGGTACATTGCCTTTCATGTCTTATTCTCTTCTGTGGCAGCTTTCAGAAGTAGTTGGTGACTCAGTGACATCTGTTCACAGCTGGAAGATGAAGGTTGCAACACATTCCCTTGCAATGCCCCCACTGCTTGTGCTACATCACTAGCATGATGATCTTGAATCCTTTTTCTACCTCTTTGTGTGCATCTGCATCAAATTCAGTGGTCCCCTTAGCATTGAACATGATTTCTCAGCTTATAATAGTCGTGAGTGGCTACCACACCAATGGTCTGCAAACACGCTCCGAGCAGCCAGCGATGTGAAGACATGCACACAAGCTCCAACAACAATTCCACCCCTACTTTGTGAGTCTACTCCCACTTCCAAATCAATGGCACAAGTTGATAAGGAACAAAGGGCCATCAAGTGTAGTAAATTTCCAGGAGGTCCTTGATCTGTTGGAAACACACCTCAACATGCTTCCAAAGGATGAGCCTTCCCCTGAACTCCTGTTTGCAAGGAAAGTGATTGCAGCACTCTCGCAAAAGAGAAAAACCACTGAATTAGAGGGTGATGATTGTGGTAACTCAGATCTAAAAGCACTGCCAATCAACAAATGTAATATGATACAAGGTTGTATGAGCTGAATGATGGAAGCTGTGTCCCAGCCCAAGCAGAGTAGAACTACATAATCATTCTTTCCAATCTTAGTCAATACCTTTTTTACATGTACAATTTAAACTTTGTTCTGATCGTAATGGAGGTATTTCCACCTTCAAATTATGCTTCAGCTGTATATGTGAGTTCAACGAAAGGAATATCATGTTTCTTCTCAGCCTACAGTGTTCTGACTCACCTTCAAAGCAGAACTTATGTACTCAACTATGTCTCACCAGCCCCATCCATGATCTGTGCTGTGCTGTATTACATTTAATGTGCTTGTGCATTGACATTTTGACTAAGTTATATTCAAGCATTTTGCAAGGTGCAATGGGGGTATTATTTAAAAGATGAGTATCTGTAAATTGTTGGTGTCATGGTTCATCTCTCCCCCTTCTCTAGTGATTCCAGGTAGCTCCAAGAAAAAGAGTACAAAGTGGAAAGCTATGGACTCTGACCTAAAGACACCTAAAGGGCAAGAAAGTGAAGAAATCACATGCTCAGGCTGAGGTACCATCTACCACCAATCAAGCAGATGAGTCACACAATCCTCAATATTCTGGCTATTCTGGAGTGGGGCAAGGAGGTAGGGGCACTCAACTGATGGTACAATACTAACCAGACATTCAAAAGAAGCAGTCTCCTCTGTCATATAGCCCCTCAAAGACCCTGAATATAACAACTTCCACATCACACTACTAATTCTTATGCAGACTCCTGCTGCTCCTACCCCAGGCTTTGAGTTGAATGAACTTTCTCACAATGTGAAGCTGGTGGATGATACAGATCAGATTTTCACTCCCAATCATTCCTGTTGTTCCCCCTTTCAACATGCAAGATCAATATACATGCACCGACGTGTTGGACTTTTTCAAAGGGTCTGTTTGAATTTCGACAGATCCTCTGAAGGTAAGGTGTGTGTCTTCATGAATTCGGTTTGTGCATGGGGATGGCCAGGGCGTCCAGAGTTGCTCTGAACCCTGGTCACTGATGCGAAGAAAGAGGCCTGTGAAAATAAGCAATGCAGGTGTCATTAATAACGACTCGGATAGTCATTTCAAACCTACCTGTGGACAAATCATAGTGCAATCACAATCAACCAGATGAACTTGGCAGCAATCTGTTAGTGTCCCAACGCCCACAACACTTCTCAGACATGACTGTTCCTGAGGTTGATTCCCCGCTTTTAGCTGAGCAGTTAAACCATCTCTCAGAGTATTTATGCTCTTCTCCATCTTTTCAATCATGCAGCATGGACTCTCGAAGGCTACTTTGGAATAGTGCTCTTCAGTTCTCTGGAAATATGCTCGGTGGTTGATGTTGCTCTTGTGTGCCTTCCGCCGGAAGAACTGATCACTGTTTTCTTGGCAAACACTACTTAACTAAATATGTGTAACTATTTTGCAAAACAGCTCCCCTGCTCTGTCTCATGGAACCAGATCTTCAGGCATTAAATAATCCCTTTGTGGCTGCCACTAGGAGTTTGCATGCACTATCTGCTTCAGATGCCTCCTAAAGTCAAATTAATATTCATACCTCTCACTCTTCCCAATCGCAGGCTCCTGCTTCCAAAGCTCATTGTTCAATCACTACTCCTTGTGTCAACGATCCAGTACCTTCCAAAACAACTTCAACTATCATAGCGCAATTAGACACTAACTATTATCATAATTTGGATCCTGCCCTCTGGTTGAGTGCACCACTGAATACAGATTCCAAAAAGTCAGACACATTGAGCGATGAAGGTGGTGGAGATGAGGAGATTGGTTGGGAGAAGTCGGTGGACATCATGATACACACCCCAGTAAGTCCTTCTCTATTTTCAATCATGTTGGGCTGATGAACAACACATTTTTCAAGAGAAGAACTTCCATCCCAACCTTAGGTGCCACCTGTGCTGCCAACAGATTTTAATTTTCAGCATTCATGCAATGAAGATGACCAAGTGGCTGGGAGAACCTTGGTGGTTGGTGGTGATTTGAGCAAGGGTAGTACAACAATGAATCAAGAGAGCACTCCCCAGGTATGAACTCAGTATTTTGCTGGAGTATATTAGAAACCAATCTGCCAACATATTAGTATAGATATTTCTTTTGTTTTGACCTGTGCTCGCTACCTTCAATGTACTTACTATATATGGTAATTCCACTCAAGATTCATTCATTTGTCATGTTTTTCCCCTTCTTCCCCCAGTCTCTTTATACTCGACTGGGGTAAGTCTCACTATACAATACTCATATTCCTTACTGACGTAGTACAGGACTTATGAAGTCCTTGTCTGAGTTATGAGCCCTGTCTGATGCAGGCACTGATATCACTATTGAGACTCATCGGACACTCTCGCACACCGTGAACTTCTGAAATATACTATACCCACTGCGTATCTCCAAGATCAATACAATATGTGTTCTGAACCATGACTGAAGACCCTTGCGGACATGTTGGAATGCTTGGACCTGCCACATTTGACCAACCAACCCATTCACCCGCAAATCTCAGAATCCCAACTATGAACAACTCTTGTTCAACCTTGTATTCACAATCTGCCACACCACACCATCTGAATATCATTGATGAAAACACAGCTGATGAAAGACGAGACTCACTTCACACTGAAGAAATCCATCGACCCATCAAAACTCACTCATTTCCTTCATTTACATCCCAAGCTCACATCTACTAACTATTCAACCTAGATGAGCACTGTATACTGTGCACTCAAGACCGTTGGATTACATGTTTATGTAGACCCAAACTTCGCACAGCCACTACACAATTTGCTCAACAAAAGATACCACCCTGCCTGTTGGAGTAAAGCAAACATGTTCATCTGCTCAGTCCTCACCTCATGCATGACAGAGGATGTTATGGCCCAATTAGCACACCTTCAATATGCCTCTGAAATCTGGACGGGCACGAAACGGCTATACTCGGGTACCACAGCAACAGATTAGACACTTGTTATGGCCTCTCTCATCACCACCAAATATAATGACGGGAAAGACATAAATGCCCACATAGCGAAGATGAAGGGCTACTGCCATGACCTCATCCTAATGCAACAGGACATTGATGACAAGCTATTCATATGTTTCCTGCACATATCCATGCCGGCAACTTGGAACTACATGTTTTCAGCTCTCCCCAACCATTATATGCAAAAACAGATGAGCAACTCACCATGCGAGAGATCCACACCAGGCTTGGGCACATTGCCCCAGAGAACATCAAGCGCATGATAAAGGAAGGCGTTATCACAGGAATCACGCTGGATCCCTCCAACGTCATGATGGACAAGTGCAACTCGTGTGAGTACGCAAAGGCCACGCACAAACCCATTGGCAAGGTGCAAGACCCCCCCAGATGCAAGAAGTTTGGTGATGAGGTCCATAGTGATCTGTGGGGTCCATCTCTAGTTAGAACTCCTGGACACAAAGAATACTTTGTGTCATTCATGGATGACCACACGAGATTCTCTCACCTATACCTGCTACACACGAAGGATGAAGCCTTCAATGCGTACAAGTCCTATGAGGCCTGGGCGAACATGCAGTTCGATGCAAAGATCAAACAGTTTTGATCTGATCGCGGCAGAAAGTTTACTGGTGACAAATTCACTCATCATCTCAACAGCAAAGGGACAGAACATAAACTCACTGTGCATGACACACCAGAACATAACAGAGTTGCTGAACGACTCAATCAAACAGTTGTCGAACGAACACGTGCCCTACTGCACATGAGCGAATTGCCCAAGTTCCTGTGGGGGGAAGCCCTCATGCATGTGACCTGGCTGAAGAACCACACAGCGACTCGCGCCCTGGAAAATAAATCCCCATATGAGATGCTATACCAGAAGGCACCCAACCTGAGAAACTTACCGGTCTGGGGTTGCCACGTCAAGGTCCACTCAATGAACGGCTTGAAGCTCGATATGCGAGCGATCAATGGCAGATGGGTTGTTGAGTGACGTCGATAAAGAGATAGTGAGGAACGAACGCTAATGCTCGGTTCGGCAATTCCCGCGGACAGCGCCACCGTCAAGTGTCAGATCGCACTTCGAATATATCAAACCAGCGCAGCGTATGTTTTCTCTCGTACGATATATTCTATTTTATTCCAGACAAATATTTACCGTATATAGCGCATCTTCGTATATCGAGCATCTCAGTCTTGTCCCTACTGACAAGTAACTGAGATGTGAGTATTAGAACCTTATCCCACTCAATGTTTTTACTGACTCGTATTAGATTAAATCTATAGGTACATACACAGAGTCTTGTCCCTACTGACAAGTAACTGAGATATTAAATCTATAGTTCTGCTCCCCTCGCGCCCATAACCTTAACATGGGTGGCATTCGATCGTGACAGCAATGGTCATCGAGTCTACCTCCCAGACACCAGACGAGTAGCTGTGGAGAGGAGTGTCAGATTTAATCTGGCAGAGGTAAGCATACCTTTAGACCAGGACAACCGCACAGTACAAGGTGATGATGTCGGTCCAGCACCTCCCATTACTCCTCCCAATGACCACCTAGGGCTGCAATTTGAGGCAGCTGCCCCACCCAGACGATCTGGACAAGTAAGAGTCGAGTCAGCATACATCAAGAGCCTAAGGGACGGCACTGGTACAACTGATGGCAGAAGTACCAACTTACCTTGTCGTATGCAGCCCGCTGAAGAGTCCAGCAACCTGGCTGTTGAGCTAGGAATGGTGGGGAGTATGGTGAGATGGACGAGGACGACGAAGAAATCTTTTCGATGGCTGCTGGGGTAGTGGCAGTAGAGGGAACAGATCCCACAACAGTCAAAGAAGCCAGCATGAGAAACGACTGGCCGAAATGGGAAGGTGCGATCAACAAGGAGTTAAACTTGCTGAAAGAAGCACGCACCTGGTCGATTGTCAAACGACCAGACAACGTCAACGTTGTCGGATGCAAGTGGGTATTCAAGCTGAAAAGGAATGCTGATGGAGAAATTGAGAAGTACAAGGCAAGATTAGTTGCAAAAGGGTACTCACAAGTATATGGCCTCGACTACTACGACACCTATGCTCCAGTAGCATGTCTTGCCTCCATCCGCACGATCCTTGCTATTGCAGCACAAAACGACTGGGACATAGATGTTTTCAACTTTCACAGTGCATTCCTAAATGGGAAGTTAGATGATGATGAGGTAATCTACATGGAATTACCTGCTGGACTCAATGTTGACACCAAGTTCAAAATCCTGTCGCTCGTCTCCACGTCGCACTCTACGGATCCAAGCAAGGCACCCTCAAGTGGTATCAAGAGTTTTGCTGCCTTCTCAAGAGTATGGGGATGAAGAGAGCAGAATCTGATTGGGGAGTGTTTTATAAACACTCAGGTGCAGATATTCTGATCCTTGCAGCTCATGTTGATGACTGCACAGTCGCCAGCAGCAACAGCAAACAGGTCGCAATTTTCAAGCGCGACATAGCTGCTCACTACAAACTCATGAATCTCGGCCCAATCGCATCTCTGCTGGGCATGAAGGTCACTCGCAACCATCTAGCATACACCATCTCATTCTTCCATGAAACCTACATCAACTCTATTCTAGCTAAGTTCAACTTCACCAATCTCAAACCCTGCTCCATTCCCATGGACCCAAACTCGCCACTCTCGCAATCCCCAAACCCAAAGACTCCCGCCAAATCCGCGCTGATGAAGAACATCCCTTATCGCGAAGCCATTGGCTCGCTCATGCATCTCACAGTCGGCACATGCCCCAATATTGCCTTTGCAGTCTCCACTGTCGCACAGTACTGCGTGAACCCCAGTATGAAGCACTGGGAGGCAGTCAAGAAGATTTTCTGGTACCTGACTGGCACCACTTCCTTCGCACGCAGTCAGAACCTTCCTCAGTGACCTCCACTAAGCTCACTGAGGTCAGTACCTATTATCCATAGTACCTACATATAACTAATAGTCCCTGTAGCCTCGTGTACTCGCTACAGGTATATATGACCAATACAGTGACTTCTACTAAGCTCACTGAGCCTCGTGTACTCGCTACAGTTTCCCGATGTTTTTGATGCTGGGGGATGGAGACCTGTTACATTCATCATTGTCAGCATCAAGTGAGTCATTACCTTGGTCTCCATCCATGTCAAAATCAACCAAGCCTTCAATAGCTTCGTCAAACAGGGCCTCGTCACTTGGGCTGGGAGAGCGAGTCGTGGAATTTTTGAGGCCCGAACTACTAGGGTATCCACCTGCAAGTGAGTAACATAGTACACTGCTATTAAATTATGTGTGATTCAATATATAGATGTTGGCACTCACCTCGAGACCTTGCAGCGACTGGACTCATTGTGTGATTCACAAGCACAGCCTCGCGCAGGCACAGCAGCTCAGCAGCCTTTTCTGGTGTCAATGTGTTGAGACGCGGAGTCCTGTTCTAGTAATATTTTAGTCAGTGCAAAGCAGTACTATGACATCAATAGACATACCAATATAACCCTGTGTGGAGCGCACAGCACTGTACTTTTATGTGGAACCAAGTTTGGGTCCCTGGCAGGCATTGACACAATTTGACTGGCAAACTAATAGTGCGAGAGTCATTAAATTGAATATTGATGAGAATAATCAAAAAACTTACACCAGGATCATTACCTGATGCCAGAGACTTGCTGTATGGTATCAGAGAGTGCTAGCATTGAGAGAAACTTACAGTGAGACAACACAAAGAATATGAGGATACTAATGTACTTACCAGTGCGTCCATTCTGGTAAGCTTCACATTCAGCAGCCTTTCTTGCCTTCTGACAAGCCTTTTCTTGATGTTCTTGGGCTTTACTGAGCTGCTGTCAGTGGTGATTTTCCTTGTCCTGGTGAGTCTCAGCTGAAAATGAAGATTGAGTCAGCAATAACAAACGACAATCAGAAAGTTGTGACTTACAGATATATTGAGCCCTCTCACTAGGACAGCGATAACAATGGCTAGCTGCACGATCCAAGGCAGCAGAATTTGTAAATGACATGCTGTTAGATCAGATAATGACAGGGGGTGAAAAAGAATATGTTGCACCACATTCTTATATGGCCACTGGCAGCACGATGAACAAAGTCAATGCGACCCGAGGGACCGAAAATACCCGACCATTGTGACAGCGCTACTCAGAATATCAGTCCAAGATGAGAGCAGAACAACACTAGCATGCCAAACCAGCCAAGTCTGTCACATATATCCCACATCGACTTAAACCATGCTGCATGTGAAGCACAAACTGCACTGTGAATTTTGTCTTAACGAGCTGGCCAGATGGAAAGATGTCACCTTACATATTCAAAACACTCCCGGATGTCGCCAACAATGGGACCTTGTGGTCTCTCAGAAAAAGTCCATGTCTTTGGAACAGCTGGGTGAAGAATCTATCATGGCAGACTTCAACACACACCCAGGCCCAGAATATGAATACGAAATACCTGAAGACATCAACTACAAATTTCCACAAAGGCCAAGACAACATGGATACGAGCCTGATGAGGTTCCAATGGATTTGAGCTGCCAATCCAAATGTGTGAGAGTGGAGGAGGTAACAGATGTAGAAGAACCCAAATGATTCATGAAAGGGTTCCTGCGGCCTGCTGCAGACATTTGGGGGTTTGGAAAGACAGGGTTTGAAGAAATTTGGCAGGAGCAGATTGATATGGGACTGGAAGGAAATCCATTGACGCCATTTTGCAATGAGGAGGGGTGGAAACTCGCTGAGTGGCTCGCAAAGAGAGTCAACAATAGACGAATTTCTGAAACCTCCAATTGTAAGTTTCCGCTATGTCTTGGCATCAACGAGAGCTAACATACCTACCTAGACCAAAAATTGCACTCAGCCCAGCTTCGCCCATAATTATACATTCCAAAAGAAGCTCAACAAACTACCTAAAGGTCCTGGCTGAACCTGTGAGATTGTCACGTCAACAGGAGATCAAGTGGATGATGATGGGAACCCACTCACCGAACAGCACGAACTTTGGTGTTGTAATCCTGTGGAGTGTGTGCACGAGTTGATTGGTAATCCCGTGTTCAAGGAATACCTATCATATGTTCCGGAAAAAGTTTATGAGGATGCTGAAGGAAATAGAAGGGTGTATGACGAGATGTGGACAGGTGACTAATGGTGGGACATGCAGGTTAGTCAAGTGAAAATCCAATGTAAACAACATCTCACCATTCTAACCATGAAAATTGGGAATGTCTGCCTGCTGGCACTGTTGTCACTCCAGTGATTCTCACATCTGACAAGACCAATCTTACCTGTTTTTGTGGCGATAAAGCTGCCTGGCCAATATATCTGACCATCGGAAATATCAAAAAGGACATTCACTGTCAGCCTTCTAAGCATACAACAGTGCTGATAGGATACTTACAAATTTTGAAGATGCCACATTTCAAGGATGACAAATATTGGCAGATTGGGCGATATCGCCTCTTTCACAACTGCATGCGCTTGGTGATGGAGCCACTTGTTGATGCCGGCACTTGTGGAGTGGATATGATCTGTGCCGATAGGAATATCCAACGTGCTTTTCCCATTCTCGCAGCATATATTGCAGATCACCCCGAACAATGTCTAATTGCCTGTTGTAAAGAAAACCACTGCCCTTGTTGTATCGTCAGATCAAATCAACAAGGAGATCACTTCGACTCACCACTGTGTAATGTCACTGAGACCAGAGCCACTCTGGAACAACACAAAAAACGGTGAAGACCCTCACCTTTTCGAAGACCAAGGACTTCACGCAATCCATTATCTGTTTTGCACATATCTTCCTCACACTGACATTTTCGCATGTATCACTCCAGACATACTACACCAACTACACAAAGGAGTGTTCAAAGACCATATTGTGAGCTGGTGCACTACCATCATCTCAGATGCCAAGTTTGATGCTCAATTTCAAGCTATGCCCGAATTTCACAGTCTCAGTCATTTCAAATGTGGAATCTCGACCGTCTCTCAGTGGACTTGCACCGAGCACAAAGAGATGCAGTGCGTGGTTTTAGGTGTCATTGCAGGTGCTGTTGAACCTCATGTGTTCCAGGCTGCAGGTGCACCTCTCAATTTCATTTACTGTGCTCAATACCAATCACACATGGACACAACACTTGCACGAATGCAGGACACACTCAATGAATTTCACACAAACAAGCCCATCTTTTTTGAGCTCAGTCTTCGCCAACATTTCAACTTACCCAAAGTCCACTCAATGTGCCATTATGTGCAGCCGATACGATCTTTGGGCAGCACAGATGGTTTCAACTCGGAGAGCCCCAAACGGTTGCATATTGACTATGCGAAGGATGCTTACCAGGCAAGCAGCAAGGTTGATTACATCAACCAAATGACACACTGGCTCAAACTTCAAGAAGCTGTGTTTCGGCACAGTGTCTACCTGGATTGGGTCACATCACAAAGCCAAGATGTTCTTGACTTGGATGCCCTTGATGACGAAGACGACAATGATAACAAACAAGACTTAGCAGATTTGGACACCACAGATTTGTCATTTTCTCATTTATTCAATCCCATCCACTGACATCCCACGGCTACTGTGTTGCCAAGAGTGCCCTTTCCTGAACATTTTGGTATCTTGTCTGCAATTGGCTTTCGGTGCCATTGACTTCGTGCCCGCCCTTCAAACCTTCCTCACCCGCCACTTTCCTTATTCATCTATTGCTGCCAGCGAGTATGAGTTGTTTATAAATCAGTTCTTCTCCTCCTCCCTCCTCAACATCATATCAGCGATCTCAAGTGGCTTAACAGGCTTCGAGCCTATCCCACTATTCCTAATCACAATCGTCAGAAACCACCTTCACCCGCACACTTTGATGTTGCCTTTGTCATCAAGGACTGTCAGTTATGGCAGAGTGGCACAGGTTTCGATGGTAAGTCTTTTACTCATGCATTCGAACAATGACACTGAGCCTATTGCAGGGTTGCAGATTGCACAGATACGTGCAATATTCAGATTACCCTCCCACTATGGGATATTCCCTCATCTGCTGGTGTACGTCAAATGGTTACAAGTGCTGCATGATCTGGAACCTGCGACCAACCTTTATCAACTTGCATGTTCGACTTGTAACCAACAGTGTTTCGCATCTGTCATCAGTGTTCAAGACCTTCTGCAAGCAGCACTGATCTGTTGCCCAGGTTTGGACAGCATAAGGTATGGTGCGCGTCACTTAGACACCACCAATTGTGTGCTAAAGTCCTACCGTCTTGAAAAAATGTCAGAATTTTAATTCCTCTTACAAAAATGTTCCTTTCGATGAGACGAACAAAACTGTAAGAGCAATTTTCAATCTGATCAAATTTGACGGAGATAAAAATTTCATCGGCAGTCAGATTGGCCACTCATTATCTACCCTACTGACAGTCAATCAAAAAGTTGTGCTACAGTCTCTGGAACTCGTCAGTGGGACTTGTACTTGGTTGAACTGAACTGCTGGACCTTCAGCTGTGCATCTTTGGTCCCAAGCCCCGAACGATAGGCATCCAACCACCTGTGAGTCCGATGCTCCCATTTCTGGATAGTCTGCAATGAAACGGATGCTAATGCTTGTGGCATGTTGGCCTTCAACCCATCGAACGTGCAGTCACAGTGTTCACGAAGGTATCTCTTGACCTTTCCCCAGAAGAACTCGATAAAGTTCAGCTCGCAATGCAACTTTGGTAAGAATATGCAAAGATGACCGGCATTCTCGATGATCTCCCGAACGAGTAAATGTTGTTCCTGAAAGTCGGGCTGCAATTCCAGTATGTGCTTGTTGCAGCAATGAGTAGCATCTGCCTCGCACTTTGATTTGCATTTTCCGCGCTGGCGCTCGTACAAGCCACGTTCAGTCAGAACGGCCTTGACCCCCTTTGGTTCGCCAGGATGTTCCAGATGGTCAGGTGGGAATGACATTTCCTGCTCGACTCGGATGCCATCTCTGATAAACCACCCATTACGCATGCTGGCCTGTTTCCCCCCTGGATGAATATTCATGCGGCTGACAAGAAGTGCATCCTCGGCATATGTGGAATGTCCTTGAGAGTTGTCAATGAGAAATAGTGCTTGATATCCGGGACCGTGAGCACGCTCAAATGTGGGGATGATTTTCTCAGTAAGCTGGGAGTGAACAAATGAGAAATTTTCATACAGACGCAGCGATTACGACAAACCTGAGTGCAGAAATTCTCACCACACCAATAGCCTTCGTGGTTCTTGCCATATTCCATTGTTTCTCCCGCTTCGACCAAATGACCAACCGTGGAGCAGATGACATCACTTCGGTGAAGTCCATGACCTGTTCCCTTTTTCCGCAGATGGAATTCATCCTCGAAAACCCAATACTGGCCAACTGCATCATTGGCTTGTGCTGTCATTTCGTTGTGTGCACAGAGAACCAAACAATGTTCAACATAATTTGATGGATTGGCTGGCACTTCCGTATCAACATCGCCAACAGCAAATTTAACCAATCTGGATTCACAGGCCTTCATAAATGGCAAGAACTGTTGCTGGCGATAGTGGATAACATCTGGATGGTCATGCATGTCCATCAAAATAAAGACCCTTCCGGTGTTTGAGGAAATGAAAACCTTCGCATCGAAGCCATCGATGAGCGGTGCTCAGTGAAATGCCTCGGCCAACCTTCAGATGGTTACGGGGAAATATTTAAAGCTCCATATACTTCTTCAGACCATGCGGCATCTCCTCCTCAACAAGGTTTTGTGTGTATTTTGTGGCTTCAGCAGGGATAAGCTTATCTTGCGAGAGTTGAATGAGCTTTTCTGGATTTACGACCCATTTGTTTGAGCGGACATATGCCCGCAGCTCGGTGGCAATCGTGGGATCACCGAGAAGGGAGTAAACCTTCGCATGTCGACCTTGTAAAGATTCAGGGAGTTTGCGATCTGCCACCCACAGCCTGGTCCAGCTGTGCACTTTGTGGCCACCCCAGTTTGCAGCAAATCCATGACTTTCCGCTGCCCTCCGTGATGCATCAATGGAGAGCTGTTTCATCTTGATGACCATTGTGAGGTAACTCTGGATCGAGCGTGCACATTTTGCCTGCAACCCATTTGGACCTCCAACAAACAATGTTTTTTTCACCTTCAAAAGCTTTTCTATTGAAGTCAATGCCTTCTTCATCTCATCAAGTCGAGTTTCCTTCGCCAGCCGTCTCTGCTCACGGTAAGGTACATCGAGCTTGCGCCGTTTCAATGACAGAACAGCTGGCTGATCATTTTGGTGTGCAGCACCATCACTGTCGCTATCATCACCATCAGATTCTGTCCCATTGTCCGAGTTTGACTCATCGGAGAGGTAATGCAATCCATGACTGGCTAACTTGAGGTCGGGTGGATTCAAATTCTGGGGCTGACAAGATGGGGAGGGTGCATGAAATCTGGGGCGTGCAAACATTGTGCACATAAGCGTAACTTGTGGATCATCGCTGACGAATGGTGAGTAACTCAGATGTTGTTCAATGTTCAAACTTCAAAACTCACGATGTTTTCCTCTTTTCACGGTACTCCGCAAGCTCTCTTGCAGCCTTGTCATGCCTCCTCTTTGTTCGGCCCGAGTGGCCATTATATCCAAGTGCCCTGTTCCATTCCGCCTTCTCCCATTCTGCCACTGTCTTCTTCTCAAACATGGGAACAGTTGGCATTGGGTGACCATGAAGACTTTCAGCCTCGGCTCTGAGAGCAGCCAAGTTTTCCTCCAAATCATCACCCCCAAATTCACAAGGCTTTCGTCATCAGACCATTCACTCTCTGATGTGTCCGGTTCGTATTCTGAATCGCTGCCCGAGTAATCTGCATTGACACCACCCAGGTATCCACAGTCAGACTCCGAGTTGTTGTCTGAGTCAATTTCTATTGGGACATGCACTGCGCTGGGTGACCCCCCATCATGTGCACTTGAGCCTTCGTGTTCAGCGTCAACGACGGGGCTATGCTCTGCTTGTGAACTAGACGGAGAAGTGGGCTTTTTGGGCCAACGAGCTGCACAAGCCTGAGTAGCTTTGATATTGTTTTTTTTTGGTCATTGTACCAGTGAAATATGGATTTGAAAGGGCCAGTCACTCCACGACATACGCAAATCACATTTTGTGCTTAGGTTGAATCCTACGACAACAATATTGAAGCAGATTCTCTATCCTCCACATCAACTTTGGCAGCGGCTTGTAGGGGTTACCATAATAGGCTAGGGGTTAGGGTTAGGTTTACAAACTTCGAGCCAATTTGGCCTCTGCACACAATTGGTGGTGCCTAAGTGACGTGCACCATAGATGTATTGTGGATCAACAGTGATGTTCTTGAGCTCACTGATGATTTTTATATCAATCCTTATATCAATTTTCACTTGTTTGATACTATAGAGCACTTGTACTAGCACCCCCACAGCTTTGTTGTTCAAGTAGTCGCATTGCTATACATAACCCTTTGCATTGACAGAATAGACTACTTACAATTATGGAACACAAGGGTATGTCTACTGTTGCTCATGTGTTACATGACTGTCTACCTCGGGCTACTGAGTCTCCCAGTTGCAACATAGTGTTGGTGTGGCGCTACAAGCCAAATTGCTTTTTCCAGATGTAGTGTAGCGCACGGGCCTTGTTGATCATCCAATCACATTGTGCATATGATTGATTGGTCTGCGAATATGCAAGACATTGACAAATTGGTGCAAAATTGGTGTGTTTGTTTTGTGTTTGCTCAACACAACGGGCGTCAACTTGCTCAACATATGTTAAATTCATGATTTGCGTAGATTTGACAATATTTGTAAATATATCTGTGGTTCTGTGTCGATATGGTGAGGTCCGGTTTTCACTGGGAGTAAGGACCAAGCTGTGTGCCTGGTGTGCTGTACAGAACCTGGTAATTTACTGACGAGATTAGACTTGCAAGTTGTGCACCATTTGCGGCATTGATTGATCATTTAGGGCTCCGTGAGCTTCGGAGCTTGAAATTCCATTTCGAAAAAATTTCTGCCTTGAACTCAGTGTATCACCGTGTATGTTCGAGCAGCCTTTCGAATGTTCCATGGCGTACGGTGAGTTTTTCTGCCATTTGCGACTGTTCGTGATGACTATCAGTACTTTACCACATTCCGAACATACATGTGGACGACATTATTGATTTCAGCCTTGTCTGACCTTGCTTCATGATTTCTCTGCAAGTTTGAACGATCGACTGATTGCTATTTTGCGTTTCAGGTGTGCGTCGTGGATTTACCTAGCTTGTGCGTCTATTTTTATATTTTCAATGCCTTTTTTTTTGTTCTTGGATGAAATCTATTCGATGGGCGGACCGAACGTGGTGCTCCCTTCAAGTCTCCCGGTGTACAATGTGGAGATGGGAGCATTCTCTTGTTGAAATGCATCGAAAGCTGATCTGTTTCTATTTTGATTTTATCTACCTTTCTGATCCCGCGGTAATCACAATGCTGATACATCTTCATCGCAAGGTCGTGTCATTGATGACTATCGTGTTCCATATGGGTTCCGTGTGTTGGACAGTGCGACGACCGTACTGTGAATTGGTGCTGTCAAACACCTGTATTTCATCTCACTTGAGTCACTGCCGACGTCTTGGGATGTTGCGCCCCCAGATGTCGGATGGGTTTGCAGACGTGGCAACTCTCCATTGCCAATGTAAGACCATACGGTAAGTGGCTACGGAAGCCGTGGTAAATTTAGGATTTTGCTGATGAAGAAAGAGCATTTCCCACCGCTTCTTGTTGAGTCGGTTAGAGGGTGCCATCATACTGTTGCTCACCTTTCCAAAGTGCATCCTGGCGGTGCTGTGCGCCGAATGCTCTGAGCTCGTCAGAAGACGCCGGGAGTCAATCTCATAACTTTTTCGTTCAGTCCGCGACTTCTAAACGCGCCTGCAGCAATCATGCGCATAGTCATTGTACGTGTGCATGGAGGTTTAGGGCACTGGGTTACAACCTGGGCGACAATGGTACACCGTTTTCACGACGTTTGCCCATTCGTCACACCTACGCTTTCCTGCAGTTTCCTTTCTGCTTCTAACCATTCGCCAACGGCATCATCCTTGTCTTCCCATTGCAACTGGGCTAGGATCTTCTCTTTTAAAATCTCCAACTCTGCTTGTGCATTTTCTCGATCGGTACTAGGCGGGTCAACGATCATACGTCCTGTACGTCGTGATTCACGTGCTACGAATTGACTGAATGGTAGGCGAACGTCCTGGTATGCTTTCAGCGCCGCGGGCACGTTATCCAATGTTGCGAGTGGGTGGGCAAGAAGGCGGCCAAGCACAAAAGCATCCTGTGTACGCGATAAGATCGCATAGTTTGGTCAAAGATGAACCCTACCTCCATTGCTTGACCAGCTCCTGCGGCAAAGTTGGGTGTCATGGCATGGCACTACACGATTTCATCAACAGGTCTCAACACGAAGAAGCCTGAACGTACCGCATCACCTATCAGGGCAACTCTGTCGCAAGTGGATAATGGCAATTCATTTACTACATGAAGCGCCCATCTTGAAGGATTTTCGACACACTGAAGAAATGTCGTCAGTCAAGAACATGAGGGACCCAGCCAAAGCCTTACTTTCAACAGGTTTCTAACATCAGGTTCGAAATCCTGATATGGCTCCTGGACCTCTTCAGGGGACACATCTGAAACCCAATGGCCCTCGAAGGGTGTGCCAGCTTTCTGTTCATCAGCAACAAGGGCTACCACATTGATCATTGTTCCTTGTGAAACCGGATACGAGACGACGCTCTATGGAGTTATAATGACAGATCCATCAGCAAGCTGAGGCCAGTGATCGCAACAACCTACCTTTCCCTTCCCGCAGAACTGCAAAATGGGAGTCAATCGCGACGATTATCACCGCTTTTCTACAGGCTTACCACAATGAAATCCTTCAAGGCCAAGTTGTTGGGATCTATCTCCGAAAGCTTCTTCGCTGGTATGACAGTGCGATAGACGAGCGTTCCGGTCCAGGATGGATCAACGTAGTGTCTTATCTTACTTGGGTCTACGACGTCTCGGTTTAATGTTTCGAAAAGCGTCTTCCGCACTGATGAGCGGATGCCATCTGCCCCTATCAACAAATCCGTAGTTGCGGTGCTGTCGTCAGCGAAGTGAAGGATGAGTGATCCTGATAACTGCTTGTCATATCGAGTGAGGCGTTTCTTAAGGTGGAGCCTGCATGACGAGGGGAGGTGTTGCCTGAGAATGTCTACGAGATGCTGGCGGTGCATATAGGGTGATGCGTGTTTCATCATATGGAACCATTCGACACCACCCTGTAGGGCATTAGACCTCCTGTATGTTGTCCCTGTCGGTACGAATTGAGTTACACACTGTTGAAGAACAAATTCTTTAACGAACCTTGGCTGGAGGAAGGGGGTTTGGTCGAAGCACGGGAGATATCCTCGTACATGTCAAGTTCTTTTATGACCTCCAACGTTCGCTGCGAGACTACAATCCCAGCCCCAGCAGTTGTGATGGCGTCATGAGTTTCGTACAAGTCTATGTGGATATCGTGACCTGCAAACTTCCCAATTGTGACAGCGAGGGCAAGCCCTCCTATCCCTGCACCGCTGCACAAGAGATTCAGTCTGCGCCACGTTCATGAGAGGTTATCTGACTCACCAGATTGCTACTCGAAACTTGGGAGTGCATGATGGGAGCGACATTGATTATAGACAAGAGTTGCAGCATGACCTGGATGGGTCCAGTAGCCTACATTTATAGGCCAGCTCGATATATTGGGGCAATCAGCCAAAAATTGTGGTCCGTGAAAGCGGTAAGTGTATCGCCGCGGAGTTACCCCGCCCAATGGCACTTTACTTCGCATCCGCTGGTACCTGGTGGACTACCGATATTCGAGTCCACATCACGTGTAGTCACTCGATCAAAATAAATTAGAATCTGAAGTTCAAATGACCAGTAAATTACAGCAGTCAACTTGCTCAAGCAATATTATAACATACCGTGATACGATCATCGGGTCACAAAATGACCGTAGAGGGTAAGTGTATCTCCTTGGTAGAGAGCTTACTACAAGAAAAAGCAGCTGTCTTCGCCGATCAGCGGGCTCAATAGCGGCACACTGCAACGCTACACTTGCCGTGATGGCAAGAATAGCTGTGCCATCCGATGAGCGGAGGAACGCCACAGACCGTATAGCAGACGTATTTGCCTGATGATACCGTCATCCGATCAGCGGGCTGGATAGCAGTCTGTAACGCGCAGGATAATGCTGACCTCCCCCGAGAATGATTTATCAGAACAATAAGTCCGATTGTGGGATGATTCAGTAAGTAGTTATACAGGTAACAACTCTGACCTTTCATGACGTGCTGCTGTATTTTTGTCCATGTCATGCTAGAGCTGGACGTTAGACGCATCTATCCGGAAAATACTTACAGCACTGCACAGTGCCCAGTCTGGCTGCTGGCATGATCAGGAGACATGTCAGGCCCCTTTCATACTTTGGTGGTTGTGACAAACCTCAACATGAGGGTTGATTTTGTCCTAGGAGAAATCAGCAGACTTCCCAAATCGTGAGCAAAGTCTAGATTCTCGGCGGCTGGGTTTTCGAGCGGAGTTGCAATATTAATGTGATCGTCACCATCCGCCTTCTCGCCGCCTGCTTCTTAGACTATCTACCCACCCTCCTTGATAAGATGCTCTGCTGTTGGTGTTTACCTTTTCCCTCCCAACACTGCTCTTCCCTGCATCTTTGCTCACGCGGGTGCCTCCAAGTTTCTACCTCTTCTTTCCAACGCCATGTTTCCTCACTTCAATGTGTCGCTTTGCGGCTCCTACAATTTGAGGATAGTTCACTTCGCTGCGTCGCTCTCACTCCTACTATTGTGGGAATCGCAGCCCGCCTCAGCTCTCTTCTGCCCAGGTTGGGCCGCTATCGGGGCCTCCACTCAAAATACTATCTGCTTCCAATAAAGTGACTACTATTAAGACTGCTGCATGACAGCAAACGCCATGGGAAACCTTGCAAGTATGGTAACTAGTGTTTGGACTTATAACTAGCTGATCCAGCTGGTCTACATTAATTCCTGAGTACTAGTACATCCTATACTCTTCCTGTCGCTGCGTGGTTTAAAATTATGCGACGCTTCAAGCATATTTAACCAATTCAACTTGTACTGCAAAGTCACATATCTTTGCAAGAATTAGAATTGAAATTGTTTCGAGCGACATTGCATGATAATTAAGGGTCACCCAATTTGTGGTAAGTTGCGCGTCAACATGTGCCGCGTCGCGTGAACTGTGACTTGTGTTCCTCCCACCATCATGTATCACCTCTTAAAAGGCTTACACGAGTACTTGACGAGGTAAGGTTTCGTATTCGTTCCTTCACCTGCATCTGAAGATGGCAGGAAAGAAGAATTTTCAGTCATCATCATTGGCCTTGATGGAGCTGGCAAAACTGTACGTCTCGCACCTCGACATCGAGTTCGCGTCCATCCGCGCTGAGAAACGACTCTGAGACTAGACGCTTCTGGAGAAGATAAAGACCCTATATAACGAGACTCCTGGGCTTGACCCGTCCAAGATAGGCCCGACTGTGGGGCAAAACAGTACGCGTTTCTCACAACTCCAGTTTCGATTTCGACGGCTCATTATTGTGAATCTGATACGCAGCGGGCAAAATATCCCTCCCATCAAGTATCCTGAATTTCTTCGATCTCGGAGGACAACGCGGCATCCGGTCCATCTGGCACAGATACTACGACGACTGTCACGCCGTAGCGTATGTTATTGATGCGCAAGACCGAGAGAGGCTTAGTGAGGGCTGGGAAGTCTTTGGTACGTACGCTCCCTTCACCATTCCCTCGACCACGCCTCAATGATATAACGACCAACGCAAAAAAAAAATGTCTCACTTCCCACAGACACAGTCCTCTCCTCCCCCCAAACGCTCAACATCCCCCTCCTCCTCCTCGCAAACAAACAAGATTCCCCCTCAAGCCTCAGCGTGTCAGAGATAAGGCAGGATTATGAAGGTTGGGATCAGAGGAGGAGGGAGAGCGCGAGGAGGAGGTTTGGGGAGGATGAGGATGCGGAAATGGAGAGGAAACGGGAGAGGATCGCTAGTTTAGATGTTTTGGGTGTTTCGGGACTCGATGGGTGAGTGCGGTTTTGTTTTTGCGTGTGATTTCGTTTTTTGGAATGCGTTTTGCGTGTGTTCGGGCTGGCTGACGGGGCTGGGCTTTTAGGGCTGGCGTTCGTGAGGCTGTGGATTGGTTGTTCTTGCGTGTACAGAATAGTAGACGGTATGTGAACTAGTCTTAGAGTGGGTGGTTTGGGGTTGGATTGCTGATTTGGTGTTTTCGGGCAGTGATTTGGTGGACCGGTAGCGAGGCCTTGAGTGTTGATTTGTGTCGGCATTGTCATCCGCCTGTCTACTTATATGCACGGGCTGCGTGCCAACCGCTTGATTGAGCGCGAGCTTTTTCACGATGATTGATCTGGTGGCACTGGCAAGTTATTGTTTGGTGATTCCCAGAAGCTTAGCGTTCGCTCGCGTTTATGGAGCTCGTTCTTTTGCATCATGTTCCGAGTCAGTATTGATTCAATTCACAGGTACGTCCTCCCCTTTCCATTTCCCAGTTACGAACCGAATGCACTGTGGGGGATATCACGTGCTTGTGGCACACCCCTAATTTCTGCTTTGCTTGCACAAACCGCAGCAAAGCACTCTGTGATCTGGTACCTGGTTCCTGCAGCTGGGTGCTTGCATCGTGCGAGGCATTCTCGTGATGAGTCCATCTACAGCCGACTTCAAACCCAATGGTCTAGAACTGAGTGCGTGCTTCGAATCCCAGACCCCCTTAGCGGCGTAGCCCAGTCCTTGTATAAGCCATCTAGTCCAGCACTGCCTTATCCTCGTTATAGTCCTGTCAAAAGGCCATGTATCTTTTGCCGATTTGATGTGCACTGTTTTGTTTGAATCGTTGCTAATTGTCTGTTGGGGCGTGACCCTATGTTAGACAAAACTCATGGTCTCTATGCACAACATGTAAGTACCAGCATCACGCGCATAGGTATTGTCTCACCATTGTCCGATGTTCTGGTAGCGTTATTTTGTTCTCACAAGGCCAATGTCGATTTCTGCAAAATCCTTCCAAGACGGAAACAAGCGCAGTCAATCAAAACTTATATATAAACTGTTTTACGTTCTGATGTCACCCGTTATCGGGACCGTGCGAATTTGACTGCGCACCTCGCAGTGAGGTGCTCGCGAGCCAAAGCCAGTGTTCCGATGGTGAGCATATATGTATCTTTAATCTTTGCTACATGAGCACTGACGCTTGTGCCTACAAAGTGAAGCATCAGACACGAATCTGCCCACAGGGCACACATTTCTAATGCCAAAGTAACTCCATCAGGCTACACTGTATTCCTTATTTCTTCCGGTTTCGTATTTGATGCTGAAAGAAAGCTAGGGATAACAGATGATAAGAATTGACAATGATCGTTGCGCTCAACGCACTCTATATGGGAGTTTGTTACGTCCCCGGATTGCCCCCGGATTGATACGTCGGTATCGCGTATAGTACCCCTGCCTGGAAATATTGACGCCCAGTTATTTAAGGCGACTCATCGCAGGTTCCACAGACAGTTCAGTGGCTCACCATGAGTCTATTAAAGATCCCCTTCATCGTAGCTTCGGTCATTGGCATCCATGTTTCGTTCAGTTCTTCTGCTCCGCCACCGTCACCTGAAGAGAAGATGGCGCCCACCAGGTTCGAATCTTGGATGTCATTGTTTATAGGACTTCGGGAAGTAGATATAAAGAAGGTCCGTTGCTCCTGTACATTGGTCGTTGTCTGACCTGACAATATAATAGTTCTCCATATGGGCAGTATCGACTGCTGAAGTGGCTAGCATCTTGGCCATGCATATAGATCCTTCCCAGATTCCAGTGGGCATCTATGGCGCCAAAGCTTTGCAGTTTTTGCGCTCTCTCCACCCCACGCCAATCACCCCTGCTTTCCTTTCCGGCAGTCTTGCTGTCACGATTGGCGGCTTGATCAGGCTTTATTGCGTGTCGACTTTAGGGAAGTGCTGGAGCTGGCCGCTCAGCATCAGAAAAGATCATAGACTTGTGACAAACGGGCCGTACTCGCTCGTTCGCCACCCAAGTTACACCGGGTTCCTTCTCCAATATATTGGGCTCATCGCCATGTATGGAGAACAAGGATCGTGGTTGAGGCAATCTGGGATTCTACAAGTCCCTTTCATGAAATTGCCAGTAGCGATAAACTTCTTCTTCTATGCAATAGGTGCTTGTCTTGCTATCAGCCGGCCTCCAGTGGAGGACAAGATGCTCCAGAGTGCGCTGGGAAAAGAGTGGGATGATTGGGCAAAGAGGGTGAAGTACCGATTGATTCCAGGGGTTTATTGATCACACATACATCATGATCAAGAGTATGTATTATTTACAAGTACTTTTACGATATGCCGCAGGGATTAGCGTTCTATGGTGTTGATCAGTATACGCTATGTATCACGTAGTAACACTACACATATATGTTGAAACCCAACATGACGAGACGGGTACTCTCGTCGTGCGAGGACTTTTTGGACGGTGAGGAGCCCATCCATAGCCGACTTTGAGACTAATGTTCTTAAACTGAGTGCGCGCTTGAAATCCCGGGCCCCCTTCACGGCAGCTAGACTATCCTTAGATCTGTGGGCCATCCCCAAATTTGTCCAGCATTACAATCAATCGATCTGGCGTGCCACGACAAAACACGTCGATCTGCAGACTTGTAGCTTCAAATGGAGTGAGCCGGACGCAAGTACTTAAGTTCCGGGCCGTTTCATCTGCTTCATACAGCGCTATAGTAACGTGCACGAATTGATGACTGAAAAAGTACCTTTACAGATCTAGATAAGTTCCACCGTAATTTTTATGGTTATACATACTACGTTGCATAGTAGTGAACATTCAACGCCATAGAACACCAATCCCTGCAGTATGGCACAGGAAAGAAACAAGCACACAGAGAGCTCAGTACGAAGGTGATCAATAAACTCCAGGAAGCAATCGGTACTTCACCCTCTCCGCCCACTTCTCCCAATCTTTTCCCAGAGCACGATGGAGCATCTTGTCCTCTACCTGAGGTCGGCTGAAGGCCATCCAAACACATACCGTAAACGCGAAGAAGCCAATTGCTAGTAGCACATTTACTAAAGGCACTTGTAAAATCCCAGACTGCCTCAACCATGATCCTTGTTCTCCATACATGACGATGAGCCCGATATATTGGAGAAGGAACCCGGTGTAACTTGGGTGGCGAACGAGCGAGTACGGCCCGTTTGTCACAAGTCTATGCTCTTTTCTGATGCTGAGCGTCCAGCTCCAGCACTTCCCTAAAGTTGACATGCAATAAAGCCTGAACAAGCCGCCAATCGTGACAGCAAGACTGCCAGCAAGGAAAGCAGGGGTGATTGGCGTGGGGTGGAGAGAGCGCAAAAACTGCAAAGCTCTGGCGACATAGATGCCCTCTGGAATCTGCGAGGGAGCTATATGCATGGCAAGGATGTTGGCCACTTCGACAGATGATACTGCCCACGTGCAGATCTGGTATATTGTCCACCGGTCCATATAGGCAACGACCAATGTATCGTATCGACATACCTTCTTTATATCATTACCCCAAAGACTCTGAAACTGCAAGATGATGATCTCGACCATGGGGGGCTTCACCTTCTCCTCAGGTGAAGGTGGTGGAGCAGACGAACTGAACGAAATATGAATGCCAATGGCTGGAGCTATGATGAAGGGGATTTTCAATAGACTCATGATGAACCGCTGGACTGGTTTTGGAGCCTGCGATGAGTCACTTTAAATACCTCTGAACACTAATACCTCCAGGCGTACTGCATGTTATAAACCTCCCCGACGACGAATTTGAATTATCGATCAGGCGGAGGTATTGTTTTGTTCTCCATTAACCAGCCTGGATCCAACTCCCTTGGGCGTGTTACGATCTTTAGGCTGCTTGAGGATAATCATTCAAAGACGTGTCCTCTGAAGGTGGATCGATGACTCATGTTTCTCTTCGCCAGCGCGAGCGTCCGTGCGTAGTTTCGCACATATGTTCCACATGGTTTATATGGCCAGCACTGCGCAGTTCGAGAACGATGACCATGATGGGCGATTTAATTCAGAAAATGACAGCGAGACCTGCGAACATTTCAGCGTCGCGCGTCAGACAAGAGTATAAACATGGGCATCTATTGGAGACATACATATCCATCATCATAGCGGCGCAAAGCACCAATATCCGACTCTCATGGGTGGCACGTACACACCCGCGAGGCCTGAAGGTGACTAGCCCTTGTCATGGACAGGCAGTCAATTATCACAGATGCGAAAATCCAGCAGGTTTAGGACCAGCGTCCTCCAAGAGAAATAGATTTCGAATCTATTGTGACAATTCGGTCATGACTGGTTGAGGTGGACCTCTCGGGAACTATCCTTTATACATGTGTATACATGATTGGATGTCCAGTTGTGATCACACAAAAAATTTGTTGGCAGGTTTCGAACGTGCACCGTCGAAAAGGGACAGATTTCGAATCTGTTGCGGTAACCACTTGGATAAGCTTGGCTAAGATAAACCTCCAAAGACTGACCATGACTGAACGTGCAAGGCCCGTGTGATAACAGAAAAATGACTATGTTGGAAGGTTTCGAACCTGCTCCAAGGGGAATGGAGTAACCACCTGACCATCTTGCTTAACGGACCTTCCATGAGTGAATGTGCACGGTGTGACAAAAAAAAGTGCTGTCGGGACTCAGCAGCTTTCAAACCGGCTGCCACCCAGTGCCCACTGGTGCCCACCCTCCAAGAGGAACAGCCTGAGATGCCTAAGTAAAATAACCACTTGGCTATGACTGGTCGAGATATACCTTCCAGGAATAGAATACTAGTCTGGGATGTATTGGTTGCTGGTGGGTGTAGAAGAACAGGATTTCTTATGGAACTCATTGACCGTGTCGAACGTTGAATAAAAAATTAACATCGGCTACTTGAATCTACATAATTACATAAGTAAGCTTCACCGTGATAGATAAGTAGAACGTTGAAACGTTGAAGCTTGAAGCTTGAAGCTTGAAGTTCCACCACAATATATCATGATGTACTGTTTTACTACGTGATGCATAGCGTACAATCGACACCGTAGAACATTAATCCTTGCAGTATGGTGCAAGGAGCGAACAATATACACAGAACGCTCAGTACATGCGTAATCAATGAACCCCAGGAATCAATCGATATTTCACCCTCTTCGCCCAATCATCCCAGTCTTTAAGAAAGTTATCGGAGCCTTAGGACAATGGCTGTAATAGGTTGGGGGTCTTCGGATGTGGCGAATCCTGCGTAGATGTCTAACATAGCGTTATCTCGCTCAGTGACAATGGATGACTTTCCATAGGCTCGAAAAATGTTTATTAGATTATCATATCATAAATTTGACTACATTAGGAAGGTGTGCCGCGATGCCGCTGTTCATTTGAGCTCAATTTGCAAAAGTATTTTCTTTGCCCCCCATTTTCAAACCTTAATTTATTTTGATCTGTAGGGGGGGGGGGGTACCCCCCCCCTGCAGACTTGAATATCCGACTTTCGTCCGTTTTAGGCCACTACGCCAGTGATATTCGCTGACGTAATGAGCCTTGCTCAACGTGCGTGGCACCTCTCGCAGTCACACAAAGGTGCGCCGTCAACGTTTTGCCAAGTACGTTGACACCTCTTTCTCCCTCCTTTTTAGACTTTAATTCTAGGTGCTCTGTGCCAAACTACGACCTGGCAACGCCAGGCTATACTGTCAGATTGAAGCATAAAAGTGTACAATTAGACACAGGCCTTGATGCAAAAAGTGTCTAGTTCTCTGACATGTGTAGGTTGATGCTTCAAGGTTTCTCACGATGCATAATATGTTTGAGCTGGGATCCACCAAGGATTCACTGGCTACTACCTTTTCTAGTATGTGCTTCCATACTTCTTCTACAGCTTCTAAATTCCTGGCTTCTCCAGGACCTATTTATTATTCCCACACCCCGCATTTTTGCACCTACTGTGGGAATTACCCCACAACACCAAAAACATCGCCCATTTTGGGAATCTCCACAATATCAATTATTCCCACACCCTTCCCACCTCATTACAGCTTCACCACTACACTACAATAGATCCCCTCTTGTATCTAAGTAGTAGTTTGGTATATATGTGTATAATATTATATAATAAACCACTTTTTTATTTATTTGTGTGATAGGTTCCCCTCTAGAGTCCTTTCAAAATGATGTAGGATATAAAACATTTTCGCACTTTTGCTCCTTTGATAGGGAAGTGTTCTAGGGCATTCAGAACATGTCTAGGGGTGTATATGAAGAGATTCCCCTACCTTTTTGAGCCCCTGAAGCGCCCTACATCAATAGATATTGCATATGTGCAGGAAAACACACAATATGGTCCCATTTGTTTATTTCTAGGTGGGTGGACTTGGAAACATGATCCCCAGCATCTATTTAACAATAGGAAAAATGTATCAGGAGATCAGGACCATAGGACAAGACCTTATTGCATAGTGTACTCCCCCTCTCCTAGTGGTTTACCCTTTGTGAAAAATTTTCTTGCAGGACCAGATCTCAAGGAGGGTAGGGGGACTATTTCTATGTATATCCTCAGTAGATATATCATATAACTAGCCCATGACACCTACAGGATCCTTCTACAGGAACAAAAACTTGATAATTCACATTTTTCACAAGTTTCATGTTTCTGACTATTCTATTCTTGCATAAATTCTCCAATCTGTTCATATATCATTAGTATAGGATATATAATTGCTTTTGATACCAGGATCAGCTCAAAATATGCCATGGTTCTGAGATAGTGTATATACTTGCTATGTATACTGATAAGGAGCCCAGACCTTCATATCATCATCATTTAATGATCAGACCCCTGGACTACATTTTACATATATTCAGTATTATAGACCCAAAGCCACAGCAAGATCCACTCAGAATTGAGAGCTAGGCAAGTGAAGTAGATAAGAAATTGAGTGTGGGAAACTTCAAATGCCCAAAACATCGAAAATGGTCAGTAAGTGTATACATGGCTATAAGCTACCAATTCAAACATTTCTATACCACATCCCTCCACCAACAGTCTACCATCAGGGAAGTATGTACTATAGGTTCCTTAGGTAGTCTACTATATATCCTACACATTTTTAATAAAATCTTCGACCTATGTGATATATAAATGTGACTTTGTGTGAAAAGATGTCAATTGTGACATTTCACACATATGTTATTTTGCTTGTCAATCAGTCAATCCTGGATGGATCATTCTAAAACTTCAGGGCTGTCATAAGGGGTATATAGGTGAGGTATCCCAGGTGTCTGATCACTGATGACACTCTGTATTACTATATGAGCTTCTTATCAGTAGAAATACCCCCTTTACCTCAGATCCCAAGTTTCTGCCATAGATCTTACTGATCCTTAGCATAACAAACATATATACATTGGCAAATGATTGTCTCTGAGCAGCTTAGATGATTTGTGTAAGAGTAGGATGGTAAACCACATCAGAAATGTCATAATTGTAATGTGTCAAGTTTTTGTTCCTGTAGAAGGATCCTGTAGGTGTCATGGGCTAGTTATATGATATATCTACTGAGGATATACATAGAAATAGTCCCCCTACCCTCCTTGAGATCTGGTCCTGCAAGAAAATTTTTCACAAAGGGTAAACCACTAGGAGAGGGGGAGTACACTATGCAATAAGGTCTTGTCCTATGGTCCTGATCTCCTGATACATTTTTCCTATTGTTAAATAGATGCTGGGGATCATGTTTCCAAGTCCACCCACCTAGAAATAAACAAATGGGACCATATTGTGTGTTTTCCTGCACATATGCAATATCTATTGATGTAGGGCGCTTCAGGGGCTCAAAAAGGTAGGGGAATCTCTTCATATACACCCCTAGACATGTTCTGAATGCCCTAGAACACTTCCCTATCAAAGGAGCAAAAGTGCGAAAATGTTTTATATCCTACATCATTTTGAAAGGACTCTAGAGGGGAACCTATCACACAAATAAATAAAAAAGTGGTTTATTATATAATATTATACACATATATACCAAACTACTACTTAGATACAAGAGGGGATCTATTGTAGTGTAGTGGTGAAGCTGTAATGAGGTGGGAAGGGTGTGGGAATAATTGATATTGTGGAGATTCCCAAAATGGGCGATGTTTTTGGTGTTGTGGGGTAATTCCCACAGTAGGTGCAAAAATGCGGGGTGTGGGAATGATGTGGGAAGGCAGGAGCAATCTATTTTTAAGTGAGACATGAGGAAGGGCCAAAATGGATATGTTTTGTGAATTACCACATTTGGAAGTCAAAATTGCGGAATAAAACATACCAAAATACTCCAGCTTGATGCTTCATGGTGGAAGGGATTAGCAGGGTAGGCAGTGTCTCTGACTTGATGCTTCACTCTCTCTAGTTTAGAGTCATTTTTGCATCAAGGCTTGTGTCTAATCTGACACTTTTAAGCTTCAACACTACAGGTACAGGTGGCAACGCTGTCTCCGCTGGTCCCTCCAATTTCACTGCATCTGTCCTAGCGCCTACTACCACCAACCAATCCTCAGCCCTCCGTCGACGAAAATTTGCTTATCATCCCTGTATTTAGGGTCGGCTCCCTCTCGATCGCTGCATGGGCTGGCGCGCTCGTGTCGCACTGTTACTACTAGTGCAGGGTCCTTGTACTTTGCAATTTTCATATGAAAATACTCACCCCTTCCTTCGGACGGTTCAACAAAGTCACGGACTATATAGATTCCACTCATTTTCAGTCACAAGGTAAGTGTATTCGTACAACCAGTCCTTCAAATGTCTGACATTCCCCCTTCCCAATCTATGTTTGTCCCTGATAGGAGCCCATCAAATCCCGAGTTGCGTTACGACGGCGCAGGGAATGCGTTTGTGCGTGATTGTACGGGTAACTGGCTGTCCCATCCTGGGATCGCTCACGCTGTAGCTCGAGCAGAGTGGCCTGAAGCTCGCATGTCCCAGGCCTATGCGGTAAGTCAATTCATTGTTCTCAAAGCTTTGCAAAATGAGCTTACCACTGTGCAGCAACGTGCGACTACGCCCTTGATGTACGGACTCACCAGTCCTGCTGACTTCTCCCGACCTCGTGAGGCATCCGAACAACCACCCTTACCGTCTGGGTCCCGTCTTGTTCTGGGTTCGACACAGAACCCTGCTCATATTCGACTCCCCGACTCACCAGATAGAGACCTTCGTGACCCCGTGGCGATTGCTGAGGCTCGTGGGTATGCACCAGCTGTCAGAACTGCTGGCGCACGTCGCAAAACTGTGGCCAAAGCCAACAAAAGCAAGGGTAAAGAAAAAGAGAATACTGACTACGCTCTGAAGCGCACACGTGCTCCTGACGACGATGAAGATGATCCAAGGGCTGTGGCCAAACGCGGCCGGCCCTGTGGGTCCAACAATTACAGTGCAGCTGATGTTCAAGTCCTCCTGGACTTGGTCGAAGACGAGCGCCCTCTGGGCCAGAAAGGTTGGCAGGCCATCCATTTGAAGTACAGCGAGTGGGCAACGAGCCACGGCCGACCTCCTCGTAAAGCCATGTCACTCGAAACAAAATTTAAACAAGTAAGTCTTACATTCGAGTATTTCCACCCGCATCTCACATAACTACCTCAGTTGGTGAAAACCACGAAGCCCACAGGAAACGGTGTTTGTCCACCTGATGTAACCCGCGCCCACGAGATCGATGCACTCATCAATGAGCGTGCCGGTACTCGTGATCTCAACGACTCGGATTTCGATGCCGATGACAGTCATGATGACTCGCGAAACATTACTCCCCCCATCGAGCACACTGCCATCACTCGAGCCACTCGCACAGATGCTCCTGTGCCACGCCGCCGAGGTGCAGCTGCCTCAGAGTTGCTCACTCGCATCAGCGGGGCCTTTGACCCTGCTGTCCAGCAAGCTCGGGACGAGGAGCGTGCCAACCGATCCCTTGCAAACACGCAGCTGCTTACCCAAGCACAGCAGCTGCGAGATGCGAATGCAGTCACCGAGCAGCTACGTACTCAACTGTATGACTTACGCACCAGACTCTACAATGTCGAACGTGAACGTGACCTTGGAAAGCTTCGTGCGGAGATGATGCAGATGCATGCGTCGGCTCCGATCCAAGCTCCTCACAATGTCCATCCCAACCCAGTTTCTCGTAACGCTCGTAACGCTCGTCACCGGTACAAACCCAAACAGCCGAGTTATACCTATTACCCTGATGGAGGCCAAAGTGTCATCTGGCACAGTGATACAGAGACCCTCGCCAACATGTCTGATCATCCTCCAACTTCTCCTCAGTTCACTGCTGTTACCCCTACTGATTTCGGTACTACTCCATCTCCTCGTGCACGTTCGTCTCACAGACAAGAGCCGTTCCACTGGGGTCCCCGTGGTGGACCTCCACGCAAATTCAATTCTGTGGTTCGTCCGAGTCATTCTCGTAGGCAAGGCACCCAAGAGCCTACAGTCCCCAGAAGTGAGGAGGACCGTGAGCCACAGAGCACAGAGGTGTGACCTTTATATTGATCTGATACTTACCCGATAATGATAAAAGTGCGACGCACAAGTTCGATGCCTGTTATCTCTTCCTTTGTATCGTTCGGATAGTGACTTACTCAATAATGATAGATGTGCCACAATACACGAGTTTGGTGCTGTAGATTTTTGATAGCAGTCAGGACCTGAGTAGTCTGCTTGGTCTATGGAAGCTTGCATGACGAGTACATGATGACGGCTCCGTCGTACACGCAGCGTGGTGTGAAGAGCCTCGGGTTCGTGTGATTTTGAAGCCGCTCGAAGATTTCGATCCTCCTGCGAGGATTCTTCATGTCTTTCGAACCACCGGAGATCGCAAGAGCCTCGGGTTCGTGTGGTTTTGAAGCCGCTCGAAGATTTCGATCCTCCTGTGAGGATTCTTCATGTCTTTCGAACCACCGGAGATCGCTATATGTGATGACGGCCCCGTCGTAGATGTTCAAAGACCTCAATTGAAGAGAATGCATTACAATGAAGAAGCAAGTTAATCTACCCTAAGTACTCCAGTGTGACGTGGAAACGTGAAACCCGATCTTTCTGCCTTTGCTCGGAAAATAACATATTCTCGAAGTCGTGCCAGACGGAAGCATCATCAACTGTCTCCTGCCAATTAGTAAGGTACACTGTGCGGATTTGGTTGATGCCAACTCGGATTGCGCGCAGATTGTGCAATCGAACACAGATCTCAATGAGATCACCGCGCGAATCTTTGTTAGCAATTTCGAGTGGTACACGCAATCTTCCAAAAGCACCTTGAAGACTGCGCATCCCCCATTCAGCAGTCTGCCGGTAAGAAAGGAGCTCTCGATTGAATGCCATGCGTTCGTCAATCTCAGCAACTGACCCTTGAACACGTTGGCCTTGTTTGAGTGGTGCGCGGATCCGGCCTTGGATGTCGTTGGTCCCACGTGGGAAGGCTGTATCAGCCACGACGTAGTAACCTGGGGGAGTATGGTCTCGAAGGGAGGCATAAATTTGGTGAGCAAGACGTGAGTCATGCCAGCTACCAGGGGCATTCATCCTTGCAGCAATGATGACCCCTGCAACATATAGTTAACGAGCGAAGTGCGAATTCTGCATAAAACTCACCTTCAGCTGAAAATGTCAACACCGAGCTAATAAAGTGCTCGGAGAGCCAACCGTTATATGTCGCGTTCTCGATGTCAACATCATCTGATGTTTGCACGGGTAATTTAAGTCCGTCAATGCTGCCGAACGCCCCTCCAAGTCTCCCGTGACGTGCAACGACGAGTGCACTACAACGTTCGAATTCTGGGCCTTCGAGCCAGCGAATTGTGGCATCCCGTATGGTGCGGAGGGAGAGGAGAAGAAGCCGAAGAGCGAATTTAAGGTAACGCGTGACAGTACTGGGAATTATAGCAAAAATCTGCTGAAGACTGATAGCATGCATCGTGGAACTCAGGTAATGCAACACAAGTCCGAGTGCCCCCGCAGCATCGAGCGAGCGCCGCTCAATGCGTGGATTTCCCAACACGTTTGAGTCATCACGAGGGATTGGAGTCTCGTACCAGCGTTGGGCAAAACCCGTAGTAAGGAGCGAGGCAAAGGTAGTTACGTCGATACCCATGGTGGTGATAAAGGCTCGATCGTTCTGGCTATTATATAAAATCTGCCAAGGGGTGTTGATGCGAGGATTGGGAAGAAGTTGGGCTCGGCATAGGTACAAACGATGGGGGTTCCGGGTGTCAATGCGGTCTTGTCGTGATACCTCGATCCCACCAATGAGGGCTGCAGCTAGGACTTGAGCCCCTTCGTCATCATCAAAAAGGTCTGCCTCATCTTCGTTGAGAAGCAGGTACTGGATTGCAAGATTGTCCATCGAGGACTGGACTAAATTCTATTGACTGAGCCTATGGGGGATTGTTGTTGCGTAGATTAAATTTTCGTCGTGATTGCAAATGTATTTCAGGCTCCGAAATATTCTATTCTGGAATATTTTGCCTATGGAAAGTCATCCAATAAACTGTATTTTTTTCAAACAAAAAACACCGAGTGTAAGTCACCTGTAAGCTTAAGGAGGCTTTTCACCTCTCGAACGGGCACTGTCAAATGATCTGAGCTGCGAGCGAGGCGAGCACAGCCTCTGCTGGTTTGATCTGATCGCAAGTACGGTGGGTCTAGAAGTTGATACCATAGCTGACGTGAGAGTCCGTATTTCCAGGTGTATGAGCTAAGCACGGACGATAATCGATAGGCCATAGCCCCGAAGCGAGCCCCTCTAAGTAAGAAGCTTCTCAGACATCAGTGAATTCACGAGTCCATGATATGGTAGTCACGAGACCTATAGACCGATAGAATATTTTTTTTGCCAAATATATCTATGTATCCCGCAAGAAAGTTGCGTTGTTCCTAAATGACTATTGATTCCTGCAAATCTACACTTAGAAGAGGCATTAATGACAAGATTAAAGTAATGCAACATCATAGCAGACAAGCTACAGTAGTCCAGTGCCCTCATCCTTTAAGCCCATCCTCATTTTTTCTTATTTATTTTTTAATTCCATAACTATATAATGCTTTGCAATGGGAAACGGTGTTCGCAATGACCGGCACATATTCAGACCACGTGACTACGAAACAAAGTTGAGGTATGGCGAAATCACAACAGAGCGGGTGTAGCAGTCCAGCGGCCTCAATTTACAGGCATATTTTCATTTTATATGATTTTATTTTTTAATTCCATAGCTATATAATACTTTGCAATGGGAAACGGTGTTCGCAATGACCGGCACATATTCAGACCACGTGACTTAGAGGCAAAGTTGAGGTATGATGACATCACAGCGCATCAGTGAACCGGTGAGTCCTTGATATGGCAGGCATGGCTATTGTAATCAAGCATAATCTTATTACTGCACTGTAATAGAACAGCCCTCCGTCCTGGACCCGTTATCTATTTGTACCAAGACCCAGCGACTTTTGACTTTTACGCCTTAAGGCTACACCTTTCGAGCGGTGCACTATAGTAAGACCAAACGCACTGCGGGAAACGTGAAAGCAACATGAAATGTCATGAACATTATCAAAAAGCACAATAGCGAAGATTATACGATAGAAAACTAAAAGCAGACGGTCATGAAAGCAAAATAAAGCAAAACTCAAAGCGAACAGAAAACAAATCAATCAAGGGGAAAGCGTAAACAGCCATGTCTCCGTCCGGCTAAGTTTTAGCGGCTTCAGGTGCTTGTTCATAGAACCAGCACGGGGAGCAACATTCTCGTCGTGCTCTTTCACTGTCCTTGATTTCTTCTTTCCAAGAACAAGCGGTCGTGTACCTGCGAACCCGTTACCGGCGACATCACCAGCACTATTCGAATTACGATCTTTAAGGAGGGAAAGAGTGCGAAGGGAATTCGAGCTCGACTTCACTGCAGGCTCAGTGACGTCCTTGCGCTGCTTGCTAGACTTGGGAATAAGTGGTTTCACCACCCGGGAGGACCACTGCGTGAGCGTGCGTCGTGAGATGTCATCAGTGCTAGTTTGTTCGGTGGGCGGTCGGGCTTCTGGTTCTGTTGGTGCTTGTGAATGTTCTTCGGATGATCTGATATAGACAATGCTTGAACGTTTCAGAGTCGGTTGAGAGCGAGGCATAACAGTGGCTTGGTATTTTCGTGTGAATTGATATTCTTTTTCGTTCGGCGTACTTTGGCAAGTAGGATCAAATTCGGCCATAGGGTCGAAGAGGGTGACTGTGGACGCAGCGGATGGCGGAGGAAGTACAAGGGTAGCGACGGAAGTACGTGCACTGTCCATGCCGTGAGGAATGTCGACACGAAGACCAAGATTGCGAGTAGATATCGAGCGGCCGAGGGAGACGCCATTCTGAGCAGGCTCTTTGTCATCATTCACAGGGGGATGTGCAAGAAGGTTGGGAACTGATTCGTCCCCCCAGACCGTGTTGCGCCTTCCATCATTTACAGAGGCACACCCACCAGTCCTCGTGGCAAGTGCACGACTTATCTCGGATTTCAAAGAGTTGGTTGTATCCTTGCCAAGACCGAGACTGCGCAACCAATGTCAGAAGATATGAGCGTGGGGGTCAGGAGCAAGCTTACCTTGGAAGACTCAAGTGATGTCTCTTGTGCGTAGACGCCTTCTCAGGCCTGACCTTGCCATTGGTGGATGTCGAATCCTGCGCAGTCCTTTCCACTCTCCTCTGGCAAGCACACCAAAGTCGCCATTATCCTTCTGGATTCGAGAGGTTGGCAGGCAGTTCTTCTTCGTCACAGTGCTGCTGATTTGGGGGTCGAATTCAAACTCGAAATCCTTGATCTTCATATCACTTTTAACCTTCCAACCGGGTACAAGAAGCGGCAGAACACCAGCCGTGAGCACATCGATCTCGTTAATATCGACATTGACGAGGGCGCCGAAACTAAAACCAGATGAATATGACTTCCTGTGGATGAGAGTACGCGTCGATTGTTGCTTAGCAAGACGAACATTAGGAGGTGTGGGAGGAAGTGGTTGAGACGGAGGTGGGCTGGGACTGGAGTCTGTGCTGATCGCCTGACCGATGATCGAGGAAACGGAGCGGGAGCGGAGGTGCGAAGAACTAGCAAGGACCGAATTCCTCTTCTCAACAACAACGCCAGTGGTTACAGTGAGCAAGTCACCCTCTTGCTTCTCCGGTGATGCAGGGACAACCACCGTAGTTGCTAGAGCAGAATAATGCCTCTGAGCAATCATAATTCTCGAGGCGAATTCATCGCCTGAAATCCTCGATTGAACCGACATCTTTCTCATTCTCCCGAATTCAGCAGACTGGGGGGTGTTGGGGAAGACAGAACTATTGAATGAGTCGGGCTCAGTCTGCATGGGTAGAGGGGGCGTCATCTCTCCATCTTCCTTCTCCTCGTTAGGAGGAAGTACAGCTAGGCGCGGGACGGGGGTCATGAGACCAAGTGCCCGGCTAATCTTGCTTTTCCCTTCTACGGCGTCCCCTTGTGAGATCCAGACATCTCCAGAGCGTCTCCCTTCAACAACAGTGACTGACCCAGACCGCTTGTACTCGCGGTTGAAGTCGGCGAGAGTGACAACCGGAGAGGGTGCGCGCATGCAGACCGAGGGAGGTTCCCATGAACCTCGAAGAGACCAGTCGGGATGGGGATCGGTGAGCGCATAATGATGTTCATGGATGGCAAGGAGAGGCGAAGACAGCGTGACAGAGAGGGCAAGAAGAAATGGTGTGGCGGAAGATACGAAGCCATTTCCAATGAAAGACAGAATATATGGCAGGGAGAACACCTGGTGACCAGCTGTTAAAGCCAATTATAACATCGGACCAGGAAGACTTAACAAAGGTACCCAAATTGTCAACATCCAGCAGGCGTATCGGAAAGGGTCAGGATCAGAGCTTAGGGCGTCAGCGGGTGATGATGATTCACGGTAAGATGAAGGCAAGGGTGGGACTGGCGGAATCAATACATCGCCAGTCATAGGCGTGGGCGGATCAAACCAGTAGGACGATTTAGGCGCAAGGGAGGCTTTGGATGCCATGGCAGAGTTGACGCGCAAGGAACCAGAATGGGGATGACTAACAGTTTTACGGCGCAACACCGTATGATTATGTAAACGAAACATAAGCCAGACATACGCACGAAAAAGGAAATAATCAAGCTGTAGATTTCGTCTCTCATCGACCATCGCATACAAATCAGAAACTAGCCGTCGAAAAACACATACCTTTACCATGGCACCTCAGGATGAGGTAAGTGAAAGATCCTGATGGTCCGATCGTGCGAACTGAGAGTTTGATCAGCAATATTGCAGTCTACAGAAGGCGCGCAAGATAGTGGCGGAGGAGAGGCAGAGGGAAGAGAAGAGGGAGAGGGAAGAGAAGAGGGAAAGGGAAAGGGAGAGGGGGATGGGGAGGAGTGGCAACGGGAATAGGTTCTCGCTGTTGAGGTGGTGGCGTGGGTTGAAGGTAAGCGATAAATCTGCCAGTGAGTCTATTGATATTGACTTACTTTGACAATTATAAGCAAAAAATAATTACACGCCGATCTCAGTGACTGTCTCGTTTGCATGTACGCCCTCGCAATATTGTATCACCACGTATATCAGAATGGGATATCGAATAAATTGATTGGACATTTCGTAACAACTATTCATGATCTCACCTCGACGATGCTGTCACGCTGTGGTGAAGAGAAGTAGGACGTTACACCTTGCTTGCTTCCGCGAATGATGAACTCGTAAAAATCGAGGGCAGTGGATACGTTGTAGGCATCGCTGAAATCAGCAAGAGAAATTATCTCCGTCGACTTGCATTTCAAGTTTGGAGAGATTACAGCTGCGCGTATCTATAATGGGCAGCTTAGTTGCACCTCCTACAGTTGAAGTGATGATGACATACTGAAGTAACCCGGACATGAGTCACCGCAACCTCCATAGTAACTGGCATGCGCATTTCGTGGGCTTGCCGCATGGTGACGTTTGATTAGCCGGTGCTAGCTTCCTCCTCCAAAGAAGCTGGCCAGACGACGTGAGAAAGAAGCTTCTATACAATATACGTTTGTTGACTTGGATATCGAAGTGCTGAAAGACTTTCAGTTGGGACATACTGCAAGAGTTTGATAACTGATGAGCAGGCCCTTACCCCATTCGAGAGCATGGTTCCTAGATAAAAATGACCGTGAGCTCATCAACAGAAAGCAGAATTGTCCCCACCTGACGAAATATTATACATTCGTCTAAACCGCAGCGAACTTCACTCCATGAAGGTGTATCGGATGTATCAGACACGTAAGCGTCGAAGGAATGAGAAAAACGTACGGGTCCACCTGGACCAGTCGTTGACAATGTCAGCTCTACCACTTTGTTGGCCTCGAGAGTGATGACGCTCCCGTTTGGGAGCAGGTGAGCAGGGTCTGCACCAGTAAGAAATTAGAGTAGAACAGGAACGGTGAAAAAGAAACTGCGCCAAGGTTCTGGATGGCATCAAAACGCTTCACAATGACTTTTTTCGTGCCACACGAACAGCAGACAACGCAAGGTTAGATGTCTGCATCACAAGTGTCATTGAGAGCCGCAGCATCAGAAAACAATTGATACATACCACAATCATTGGCAACATTTCTGGCGTAATGCCGACTGCGACAGCGATCGCGAACATGACCGCGCCCTTCCAGTCTTTACTAACAGCACCCTGAACAATAAACACGATTGGAGCCATAACCTGTTGAGAGAAGTCAGATTCATAAATACACCAAAATCCGATAAAATATCGACTCACGCCCATGAACGCCATCAAGACATAACTGACTTTCTTGATGCCAATCTGAGTAGCATTCTCTGGTCGTCGTTTAGAGAGCTCGCTGGCGATAGAAGCCATGTAGGTGTCCTTGCCAGTTGAGACGACAAGCGCGTGTCCGTTCCCCGTGACAACAGATGTGCCCGCGAGGCAAACATTATCATTGTGCAGTAAATGAAGTGGTTCTCCAGGACGGGGGCCAACAAGGCGCACATTTTTCTCGATGGGCATCATTTCCCCTGTAAGCGAGGCCTGTGTGATTGTAACAGCCTCGGCCAAAATGAGAACGCAATCACCAGGGAAGACATCACCGCCTATTATGAAACGCAGAGTTAACAATGATGAGATAGAGAAATACGATAACCTACTGGTGACAGCTATGATGTCACCTGGAACCACGGCCCGTTGATCGATTTCGAGCTCTTCCGAACCGGAGCTTCGGTAACGAAGAACGCGGGTGTTCGTCGTGACTAACTTGAACAAATTGACTGCTTGAATCATGGACTTCAGTTCTTGCCAATACCTGGGGCAACATCAGGCTATTTCTAACAGAGACAGGGTCTACAAACCTTAAGCCGGTCGAAGCGATTACCATTGCAATCATGACGACGAACGTAGGAATCTGTTGGGTGGCAGCACTGACGACCGCGAGGATGGTCAAAAGGATGTTGAACGGATTGACAATGGCCCCCCAAAGCATCTGCAATGCAGCGAGAGGACGTTCCGCTACCGGTGTGTTAGGTCCATGGGTTTTGAGCATCAGTGAAGCCTGCTCGTCAGAAAGGCCGCTGGGGCTCCATCCGGGTTCCAATCTGAAGGGGGGAAAGTGAAGAGATAAAACAAATGACATGCTGCTGAAATGTTGGACATACACGAATATAGCCGATACCAGGACCTGCGCGAAACGACTGAGCGTAGCGCAGATGATCTGTTCCTGCTCCTCCCTTGCGACCGGTTGTGGCGGAATGGGCGACTTCTTACTGTCGATGTTTGGAGTAGCTATGTCAGGTCCATGCCTTTCCAGATTTCCAAGGGAGGAGCGAGGGGACAAGAGCTTTGCAATGGTGCTTATTGAGGGCATAACGGAGGCTTTATCGTAGACAGTATGATGAGCACACTGGACGAGTCAGATGGTGTAACGGGCACGGAGCTGGATCTACTGACGGGGGGTTGGTATGAGACACCTTTCACGAGAAATTGTACGCCGGGGATGGAAACCTCGAGGTTGAGGTTGATATCTACCTTCCCATACCCTGGAGTGCTGCGCAACTGGAAGTCAGATGGCTCCTTGAACGACGGCATCGACATATCAGAGGTTATAGACGACGCAATAGATGTCCGCGCTGGTAACGAGAGTCTACGTTCCGGCTTGTGCGAACATGACGAACTGGAAATCCTATGGGATTCTAGCAAGGGCTGTTCCTCAACTGGAGAATCCACTAGATCCCCGTGGAGGAACCGATGAAGCTCCGCAAGAGACGCCCTGTCATCCTATCGAATTGTGAGTGTCGTACATAATTCCCCGTCTGTCTACTCACTCGTTCAATGATGTCCGTCAGAGACGCGATAGAATGCTGATGGTTCATGTACACAGAAGATTGTACGAGCGTATCCAGATAGCCAGACGTCTGGGGCTCTGGAGAGCTGGGCTTGAACGGCAGGAGGAATGTAGTTGAATCCGAAGTTCCCGGGCGATGATGTGCTTTCTTCCCTTTCATGTACGCAGATTGGTTTGGATTACGCTGAGAGAAACCAGGACCATTGACGGGTATGTAAGCTGGGGTCATAGGGGACGCTACAGGGGATGTCGGTTGAGAGCGAGCCATCGTTGCAGGAGCTTGGCAAGTATGATACAAGGTTTGCGGAGGGGGGATACCGAAAAGCTGTACAATGATGAGCATTTTCTCATAACGGGCAGTAAGAATTTAAAAAACCTTTTCTATCTTCTGAGCACGCCTGACATTCAAAGCCTTCTCCTCGTCATAGAGCTCTGTCTTGACACGCTCGAACGATGGGGCAGATGAACCGCTCCTTCGTCTGTAAAGCCACATGTCGCTGCCGTCCACAGGCATCGATGACATCGATGATGGAGGTAAAGACGGACCCGCTATATGACCAATAACTAAGTCCGTGGGGACGCGAGAGCCAAGGAAACGGTGGAGTTTGGCCAGCTTGTCACGCTTTCTTCTTCCCTCGGCTTCGGCTTGTTCCTCGGGTGTCAAGGTCTCCACTACAGATGGCGCCGACGATGAATGATGGAAGATTCGGCGACTATATCCCGTGCTCGGCATTTCTATACTGATCACGTCCGAAGCATCATGTGATATATCTTCGTCTGAAAGATCAATGAAAGAAGTTGGAGAACCATTGTGCTGCGGATCCCGATGGCGGTGCGGGCCGCGATGATCGTGAGTGGCTGGTGGCTCCTGTGAATCATCAAGGTAGAATGTAAAGCTACTTGGGGTGTAGGGAGCAGAATATCTGCGACCATTGTGCATTGATGGATAGTCTACGACTTGCCATGACGATGACAGTTCCGATTTGAAACCGGGAGTCTTGACAGCGATAGATACAGACATTGCATGACGATGATGCTCTTCCTGCGCGGTAACACCACCGAATGCAGCTGCGACAGCGCTTGCAGCATATGTAAATGTATCTACGAGGTATTATTGAATGGCGAGGCTGCAAAGAGATTCAACAACTACGAAGGGTGCTGAAAAGAGGCACGCTCACGAAGCTGTCATTATGCCGAATCCAAAGATGGCGGCGCCGACAAATGGGCATCATAAAGTGGATCTCGGCCTGGGCAGACCAACCGTGCCAACTGGCGTAGGTCAGATTGGGAGCAACGAAGATGCAAGCGCTGGTCTCACAATAGTCCCACTGGGACGAACAACGAGCCAAATATGAGAGCAGGTATGCGCATCTTTGGTTTGCCCTTTCCTCCGTTTTGTGTAGCAAGCTAGTGCGTTTCAGTTGATGTGCTCGATGTATAAAGCAGTCTTGACGTACGTACATGTATGCCTTATCGCAAATTTTGGCACCGAATATGGTGGCAGATAGGAGTCCGACGCCGATTCCGATGTATGGCAAACCTCCAATTCCGATGCTGAAATGGTACACGGTCGAAAAGAGATCTGGGCACAAATGTTTGATATTCGTTGTGATCACAAGTGACTGGGCGAATGTGATCTTACCGGGGAAAATAGTAAACATCAAATAGTAGATACCTGATATAGAATTCGGTGCACGTTCAGTTAACTTGATTTCGTGTGCCACTACTGACCGTAAATCCTAAATAGAAGACATCAGTTACACGCACGATACTACATAGAATCAACTTACAGAGCCATGTATAAACTGAGGATGAAGCATATCAAGTAAGCCTATTTGTTCACGTGGTTTGCAGGATGTCCTACGGCTACCATATCGAGATCAGTAGCCATTTTGCCATAGCGAAGTCGGATGACTGGAGCATAAGATTCTCTCATGAGAAGAATGCCAAGTACTGCGGAAACGCCAGAGATCGCGACAACGACATAGATAACATATTGTAATTGTATGCCGACTGACTCTGCGAGCCGAGTGTGAGCCTCGTGGTTAGGGTGGCGGACCGAGGAACGTACCTATCAAGGGTCCGATAAAGTCTAGTGCCATAGCCGAAGCACGGTCGCGTTCAGAGAAGAGGTCGCTGACGACGCCTCCGCCAATTGCTACGGGTGTACTCCCCACGAAATCAGCCAGGAACAACATGAGGTTTCTCCATTGTATGAATTTAACTTGTGCGAATGTCAGCTCTATGAACGTAAATAGCTTGGAGGACGACAATACCTCAATAGCCATGAGCTGCTCATGCTTGCTTAAATGAGAGTCGTCAAAGGCTGCTGCTGCGGCAAAAGGATTCTGCACGATGAATTTTGAGAGGGCACTCCATCTATACAAGCACGCCTCCCAAACAGCGATGTTTATGGGCGAGGAGTTCACAACCAAACGCAAGAGCTTGCATAATACGGCGACAAGTGCATCAGCATAGGTGGCGACATCAATTTCATCAAATGAGTCCCAGAATGGCTTCTGCCCAGGTGACTTCTGCAAGGTCGACTGCAGAGAGTTATTATGGGGGAAATGGATACCAAAATGTCACCATTACCTTGATTTCTTAGGAGATGTCCGCCGTGATATGTCTGAGGGACATTTCGATATCCGAAATCCAGCCACTTCACGGTCGCAAGGTGATGAGGCAACTTGGGAGATCCTGCTTTGGAGGGATAATGCGAGTCCTGTCTGACTGGCAAGGACAGACTGTCGTCGCAAAGTGCCCACCAGGACCAGGAATGACCAAATCCCTGTAGTGTCAAATGGAAACTGCTTGGGCTAGATGGATCAGCGCAGGTATGCGAATGCAAAGACGACGTTAAAGACACAGAGAGGTGAATGAAGCCAGAGCGAAAGCCCTATAGGAGTCGTGAAGTCTCTGAAAAAATAATCAGCGGGGGACAGGTAATCATACGGACAACCTAGCCTGTGAACTTGGTTAATGCAACTAGTGCAGGAGAGCGGATATCTTCCCATGTCCCTTGAAGTCATTGACGAAAGTGGTGTCACGTGCACCAGACCAGCCATTTCTAAGTCAAGGAAGGGATACCAAAAGCTATACATACCTCGGGAAAATTAACGTCGAACCCGAAGCACTTGAAGGAAGTGCTCATCGTGCAACAACTTGAGCAAGCTACTCAAGCTAAGTTTGTGAGACTGTGCCGATCCGGTTTCAGGCAATGTAAAACTTCCATGAGGTGAAAGAACAAACTGCGGCAGGGGAAAGCGCCGGAGACAGGAGTATAGGAAACGTCCGTAGATCTGACTAGCTGTAGTCAGGACTTTGCCGGCCACAAGAAATATACAAGCTCCTGCCAGGCAGTTTGTCTTGCCCACTCGGAGTCCCAGATCCGATGACGCGTTATTCAGATTATGAAATAGATAAACCTGTGTGATACAATGTTCAGGTGAAAATCGACTAGCGTGTAATACACAGGAATCACCTGTAGTAGGACAGATAGTGTCAAAGATATGCTGAGTAAATTGTCTCGTATATCAAAGAGCGACATAGCCTTGCCACCGCCGCAAGTAGTTGCAGTATGTATTTCAATGTGGTGTGATGGGGCAAGGGCGAACCCCGTGAGGGCGTCATGAACTACACCCTCCCACAGATATCTTGGCCTTCGCACCATCGCTGAGTTCTGCACGTCGACTTGTTCCGAAGACTTTCCTAAGAAACGAAGATCAATCGAGGACAACTATTGAGTGTAAAAAATGAGACCTCGTCCACCAAGCCAGGAGTCGCTTAACGTTTCGCTTCGCCGTTCGACCAGGCGGCCTTTCGAAGAAGTCTACGATGTTTTGCCAAAATAGTATGTAGTCAAAGTCGCCGTCAACCGAGCGCCATGAGGTCACAGAAGACAGAGCAAACCGCAACTTGTTACACATTATCACTCCACAAGGAACTTAGAAATTATCGCTACTTACCTGACATGATACATAAGCGATCGAGCGTGGTGTGACTGTGTGCATCTTGATGATTTGCGCCACGTGTGTCTTGACTTTCTTTCCAGGGTGGTCCTGCTTAGCGCGTCGGTTGGCTTCAATCACATTGGCGGCGTCGCCATCACCGGCAACCTCCCTTGCGGAGGAGGGTGACGTGAATATAGCTTTGAAGGCCTGCTAAAAATGAGAACTTTGTCGAGCTGCTCGGGAATGACTGACTGACCTGAAGTAAAAGAGTGCTCTTGAAGAGACCCTTCTCCAGATCGTCCAGATCTGCCGCGTATTTTTCATACGTGAATGCTGGCCAGGACATTTCCGTCACGATATAACCGTCTGCGCGATCTCTAATTCCTGCTCTGACACTGGCGGATAGTTAGTGTCGCGCGAGATCTTAAGCACGATACTTACGTTGGGCTATTCCAATCTAGCTCAGTCGGGCAGAGTAGTTTACCGCACGCGTCATTGATGAATCCACGGTAATATTTATCCTCGGAATTGACCGGAGGGTCGGGCTTCAATTCACGATTGATCCAATCAGCGACGAGGCTCTTGAGCTTCGAGGTGTCATCCGCTCGAGCAGCATCGGCCCCCTGCCTGAGCTAAAGGACAACGATTCAGCAGAAGGGAGATGATTTGTACTAGTCAATAATACCTTTTTGATCATGAGCCTGCAGTCCTCATTCTCCATGTCTGAAGCCTTCGAGTGAAGCCACGGGAGGGCGCGGTTAAGTGCGATGTAACCGGTTTGCAAACGGTCCTGACTATTATGACGAACCATCAATCAGCGATCACGAGGCACAAGCGAAAAAGAGACGATCCTCCGGTGTGTCCGTCTACCCTCGCTCACTCTTTCCATGAAATCTTCAGATTCCAAGGAAAAAGATTGCCCTTGGTCGTTCGGGCTGTAGGCGCTCGAAGCCGACCAACTTGGCTGAGTTGGCGCTTGACTGGTACTCGGGTGAAAAGAAATCGGGTCGGGGGCAGTTGGGAAAAGAGCTCCCCGGGGCGCACTCTGGGCTGCGAAGTTGGAATTGCCGTCACTCAAATACTGGCTGCAAGCTTGTTGAAACGGGGTAACTGTAGAAGACGAATCTCGTGGGTTACTAGATACTTAGTCGTAATGGGGTATCTGGCTCATACCACTTGTTATTGATATGATCCTGTCGTGGATAGCTGGGCCACCTATATACTTCAATAGTATTCTTTCGAAGCTGCTTGCACTTACCTCAAGGCCGGTCCCTGAACAATCCGACTGGTAAACATCACCATCACCATCGGCGTCATCCCCACGATGCTGGATAATCTGGATTATATTTTCGCCCAGATTTGAAGCAACGTATTCGTGCAGCATTTGCAGATCTTCTCTTTGTTTTGAGCAATGGAATAAGTACATTCCTGAGCCATCTCTTGCCTTCGAACGGCTACTGTAACGAGGATCACAGATCAGAGCCCTGGATATGTAAGTCAAAAGTCCATCAGGCGCAACGAAGAACTTACTGTCCCCAACCATAGATGGGATGAGCTTTAGGATCGAATACGACGGTCAGTGCGCAAATGTGGTGATCAAGCACCGCACAAAATCTGTGACAATAAACACAGAAATTTTCACACGCCATCCACAGGATTGAGTCAAACGCTTAGATTTACTAATATCATGATGACGGCCAGAAAGATGTGTTTCATGGGTCATGTGCATATATGTAGTTCCTTTTAGCGGGAATCTGAACGAAGAGTGACCAGTCAACAGATGGTGTACTTGCCAAAACTTATAAAATTTTAGAAAGAAAGGAGGTCGTCAAACTCATCAGCGTCACCTCCTCCATCTTCATTTTCCAGCTCCTCGTCGCTAAACGCATCCTCCTGTTCATCATCAAATTCTGCTACACCCTCACCATCATTGACCCCCTCATGGTCTACAACATCCATGGGGTCAGCTGGTGCCCCCGGGCTGAGACAATCTCTAGTAATCCTCCGAATCATTACTGGATGCCCAACGCCGAACGGGGTATATCGCAAAAACATGTCGCGATCAACAAATCTGACCCAAATGTCAAGGGTAAATTCATCATAGTAGGAAGTAATATCCATACTCACATCCCCACGTAATGTTCCTCCCAATCATCAAGCTCCCCCCCGGGACGTGCTAATGTTTTCCCGTAGCGAAGCGAACTTGTTCCACGTTTCGAGGCAAAGGCGGGAATCAGGTGAGCTCCTCGAATCACCTGCGACGGATCGAGAAACCCGAATGCGTCCGCATCCGATTCCTCCACAAACGCAACTTTCGGAAGACGAGCTTTGTTCAAGCCGGATTGATGGTTCTGCAGCGGTGCTAACCACCTGACCCAGAGAACGTCGAGGTGCTGCTTGACAGGTTGACTTGCATCTGCGAGCCATGTTTCTAGATGGTATATACCCAGTACGCGGGCATACCAGTATGGGTGACTAGGCGTAGTCTCCCCCGACAGCACCATGACATCAGCATGCGTTCTAGGGTTGACGGTATCGTATTCGCGCCTGAGGTCATACGTGGTATAATATACCTGCATCGTTTGTAGTGAGTAGATTGTGTAGTTTGGGACGATAACCGTGTTGCGTTCTTCATCTGTGAACGTGTGATCACAATAGGTCATGTCTAGCTTCCGCAGCCGGAAAAGGACGTGATCCTTGAGCTTTGGTATGAAATTCTGACGCAAAATATGAGAAACGTGTAAGGAGTGTGCACGTTTCGATGTTAACTCTACCTTGACCGCTGGATCACCATTGTTTTCTCGAATGAATGCGAAGATATTGACAGGATTGCTCCGATTAGTTGCGATTTGGCGATGCTGTCCAGAGGATGTCGAGGGGGAGGCATCAACGGGCGATTGGCTATCAGCGGAGGATATACCTCCTGCTTCTGCCACACGTCGAAGGACACGGCGCCTGCGCTCGTGCTTAGCTAATTGTGCTGGGGTATCTAATTTGCTGGTTAGCGGATAAAATGCCTTAAGAGCTCTGTGTGCAAGCTCCCCCTGCCCGAATTCAACTTCACGCCGACAGTAAATGCATCAGGTACTTACCATCTGAGTTGTGAATGAATCAGTGGTCCCGAAGAACCTAATGGTACTCACATAATCACCCATTGCGTGAAACTTGTAGGTGCCGAGATTGAACTTCTTTACCCTGGGTTGGCTTGATTCTGGAGAGGTGGTATTGGATTCAGAGCGTTGAGCGATCCTGCGTTGTCGAGCCGTTTTCTCTTTCGGTAATTCTGTAGTGGTGAAGGCGGCACAGGTGTCACGCTGAAATTTCCGTAACATCTGGGAGAGCTTCTTGAATGTCTCTTCAAGAAAGGCCAAGGTAGATTCAGTCTGAATCCTGAGCTTGGCGAGTGCATGCCATTGTGCAAATCGATACAGTAGAGACTGCACGACTGCATCGTGCTCGGCGGGGAAGAGCCCTTCGAAAACCGCAATAGAACACTGATGATGGAGAGCATGTCAGCGAGCGGAATAAGAAATGAATGATAAAAAAACCTGTAAGATATCCTCGAAGTCGCGCGCGGCTAATCGTTTCATCTCAGAGGTATTATTCGCAAATTTTCGGATTACACCATTCCCAAATGTGGGGACCTGGCGAAATCTACGGCGATATCGACAGTCGATGTCTCGTTAGTAAATATCAGTACTCTGTACGAACTCCACATACCTGCCATCGAGGATTGCAACCAGCTCATGACCCCCCGGAAGCGCATAAAGTAGTCGGATAAGGTGCGTGAACAGCGCCTTCCAGGTACCCAATTCGCATTCATGCATGAAGTCGACGACAAGCATGCGGAATGGGTCGAGGCCGAACGATCCGAGCTTGTTGAAGAATTGATTCTGCGAGTAAGCGATCTCAGCTGATTGTAAATTATGCGGAACTGTTCATGCTTACCATAGTGGGTACCCAGGAACCCTCTCCGAGAGTATGTTCAACCTTTGAACCGTCTACAGTGTTTCCACTCTTGTAGATAAACTCACGCGCCTCGACAACTTTCTTCGTAGCATATACTCGGAGGTTTATGATTCGACTTTTCATGTCCTGTAGTAAACCGAGCGAACCGAACAAGCTTTTTGGTGTCAGACAGCGAGGACATGCACACAAGCCCATGTCTTTTATTGTCGCGATTAAAACCCTGGAAAATCATGAATGATCCGACAAATTTAATCAATTAAAAGGAATGCACTTCTCGGGATAATCAGCAGAATATGTGAAAATTCGGGGAAATACTCTCCGTAGCACCCCATCGGGACATTTCAGAACGATCCCGTGGCGATATGCGTGAATGAATTCTTCGTCAAGCAAGATTTCCCAGCACGCATGAAACAATTCCCGGCGGCAATGGGTATGAAGCGCGGCCATGCCAGTCTTTGATATACGAGACAATTTACTCAGCATATCTTTGACGCTGTCCGGAAGCTGACAAGTTGACGTCAATAGTTGTGCAAGTGTCCGGCAATCGAGACAACTCACGAAAGGTAAGAATCCCACTAGGTGGCATGCCCCCGATTGAGGTGATGACCGTACGTACTTCGTCAGATTTCCGAAATACAGATACAGAGGCCAAGCCTTCGCAGTTCCGAAGTTCGCCAGGTGAGTCGCGTCCGAAAAGAACATAAGACCTGCTATGACACGTTCTAACGAACATCCAGGCTCCTTTGGCAGTCTCTGGAGATTGTCCTGAGCTTCAAGCCAGGCGTCAGAGGCATAGAGCTCGTCATAGATTCGTTCTTGATGGTCGTCCAATGGATCCTTCCATAACCGTTTGAAAGGCATGAGATGGAATGCGCCTGCTTGGACATCTGAAAAAGTGGCACGGATTACTTCAACAAGAGGACGAAAATGAAATCCAGGAATGGTATATGTCTTAGGTCCCTCTTCCCTTAACTTCGTGGGGATGTCAATAGTGAGGTCGGCCTCAATCCAGTCATCTGGGAAGGCGATTTTCTCTCCGCCCTCATCCCTATCCAATTCTCGCAGACTCCTTTTCACCGAGAACCCCTCAAAATGTTCGACTTCGAAATCGTCGGCTTGTATAACCTCTTTGACGAGGCGCTGGACCTCGGTTTCCGATTTCTGGTGACTACCTGTATTCATCCAGGTCATCAGACGATAGACGGTCATGTTTAGAAACGGGTAGGGTGGTGGCAAGACCTGGGAATCAGCTCCTTGAATGATTGTTGGACACGACCGAGCAAGTAATGAGGACGGGATGAAATTATTGGGCTCGAAGGAAGGACGGCGAGGGTATACGCGGCATATTCCGAATGAGTTGAAGGCAGTTTGGAGGGTGTCTCTTAATGTTAAAAGGACGCGTTGAATTCTGGGTCGGATTGGGGGTGATGGCACACCAATGTCATCATTGGCGTCATTGAAGTCTTCGGCTAAGTGTTCGATATCATTGAAAGGCCTTGGAATCCGTCTCCTAGGGAGCGCAGGTTCCTCTGAAATATAGAAGTCGAGTGATCAGCAAATATTAGTAGATACAGATACTACAAAATACGAACCTAAGATATGATCATGTTCGGTTTCATTGAGGCCCTCCCAATCCATTGAAACATCCTGTTGCGAGGGCATGGGTCTTGGGGCGGGCTTTGCTATGGGTTTGCAAGGGGCGATCGGTCTTGGATGGGCCCTTACAAGCCCAAATCTCACCGGTAAGATTCTCTGTTGACATCATGATGAGTTAAGAATCGGTCGTTGAACTTCTGAAGGGGTTCGTTCGAAGAGAAAGACTCACTTGCGATGATGATTCGGACAGATTGAGAGCTATATTTGCTGCGGTCGCATTTCTCGCTCGCTGCAGCCTTCTCTCGGTTGCAAGAACGCTGGATTTCTTGTAAAAGTGGCAGCTTGTGCGATGTCTATTAAGCCCCCGGTTGTCTGTTGCCCTCTCCCAAGAGCAACCCTGAGCTCCACATGATACCATTGTAAGAAAGAGGAGCAGTATCCAGAGAACGTATGAGAGCAGCATGGATGATGCTGGCTAAGCTGAGCACAAATTGTCAAAGCAGCTAGCACAGCACTACTACTAGTAATAGTGCTGGCCGAAGAAGCCGGTGATCGTTGTCATTTGGCTTGCATTTATCTCACGTCTAGCCACCACTTCGATTGATTCAAAGTTAGGATTCTGGTTACACCGCACATGACGAGCACTACATCATATATATAAATATTCGTAGTTACAAGCCAAATTATGCAATGTGATAGGAACGGGGGAAGAATCTGCCCGGGTATCAGAGGCCGTACCCTATATGCCATAGGTCCAATGTCGACAAACAGAACGGATCCTGTCGGACGACAGATGACTCAACTGAGAAATTCGTGTCACAAAGGCATGTCGGCGATAAAAGAAAACGAGACGAAAGGCGCACTGCTCACCAAATTACGAGGTACCGTATCCGTCCTATGCAATATGCAAGAAAGCCATTGTCTAGCTCAGAACACTTGAAGGGTTTAGGGCGGTTGCGAGTATCTATACAGTCCAGCACCAGACGCGATCAGATGTGTTATCGGGCTTGGTGAGAGGTCAACCTCACCGTTCACGACAACTTTAGAAATATCATAACATAGCGAGTGACATCGCTATGGATATCCAGATGGAGGTTTCGGAGAGGTGGAGACCTGCAAGCAAAGCCAGAAACAATCGGCGCTTCTGAGAAAGTCAGCATTGCGCTCAAAACCAACTTCATGCTTACCTACAAAGCCGGAACAGATCGTGAGGAGTCAGCCCCACTTAAGAATTCGTTAGAGAGTCCTGGAGTCCCCAAAAAAAACCGAAGTCGTGTCACTCATCCACCCCCCTCTCTAACTCCCGTCTCCATTGAACTAGTTCGTCCACTGGCAGGTCTATTAGTGCTGACCGGGACGTTTAGCTTTCTATTTGTGATTCGTCTATTACCCTTACCGCAGGCACTGCCGCCACCTGCGGAGTCGCCGCACAAGCCCGGGGCTGGGAAAAAAAAAGCACACAACGGATGGGTGCAGCTGGTACAGGTCGCTGGTAGGTGCTGTGTTGTAACATAACCTATTTTTGATTTAGAAAGGCACGACGACGACTTGCCTTTTTCGAACCACGATTTTTTGGCACACGTTACGTCATGACACGTTTGAAGATAGGGAACCCTAGTCGTGGGATGAATCGATGCACGGAGCTTTCTGCTCAAATCAGTAGGTCGTTTGCTGCCGCCCGAAGCTGCATGCCCGAAACGATCATCATTGATGCTTTTGATATTTGAATGACCCAGGGGCTGGGGCATCGATGGCCGACGGCAGACCTCGGCAGACTCGGATTCGGAACTTCCCGTACTAACACTGAATCTTAGGAAACGCGCATCCGACTCGAAACTCGAGTCATAACAATATCTGAACTACATGTCAGTCAATGATGGTGGTTCGCTCGGAGTCCGTAACTTCGTGATAGCGGCAGCCACATGAAACTCCTCCCTTTTCGGTGTAAAATTGTTCAAACGTTCACTGAGTATATATATGTGATGAGAACATTGTCACAATAAGAAGTCAAGGCTAGTTTAAAACTCAGTCGCCTCCCCTCCTGCTGTATTACTGAATTACTCTGAATCTGTTACTAGGGCTAGCATTCGCGCATGGCCTGTCTTACTCGTCCCATCATTAGGGAGTCTAGTCCTGTCTATCAAGACAGGAAAGGGCGTAGTCCACGTACTACTGGTCCTGTTCTGAAGCAGGATTCAGAAAGTTTTCCGATTCTCTCTAGGATTTCGAGTCGTCATGTCTCACAAACTAGACTCGCGAGACCTCCAATTTCGCCACCTTCATCCGACACTCCCTATGAATTATCAGACGACGATATCATTGGACCTATTACACCTCCTCCCATACTTCGTCATCTGTCTAATTTCGCAAAGCGCGCAAGAGAAAGGCCCAAGCCCTATCAAAGAAGTGGTCCCAACATAGTAGGGCGCCTCTGTGGTGAGGAGGAGTGTTCGGGATGCACTGACACCGGTGATTTGTTGGATGCTCAAGGGGTATGTTAACCCATGCATGTAATATTCGTTATTAATATCATTCCAGGCAAGAATTCGATCGCAACGTATGTTGAAGCGCCTGACTCCCGAGGCCCGAGCACAAGCCATGATCGCGATCCAAGCTGACATTGAGTGGAGGCGCGTGCGTGCCATCGCAGCCGCTTTGCACGTCGACGTGGTCCAGCAACATTCTATGTTTCTTGATATAACTGCCAAGAGTGAGGCTGAAACGTATGTCAACGCCGCTGCGGAACCGTTCGTAACCGCCTCCGAAGCGCTCGCCGGCTACACCGCCGACGAGCTCAACTCCCGCGAAAATTGTAGTATCGCCGCATTTGACCTTGATGCGACGTCGTTCGCTACTGCTGACACGGAGTTCGATCACGTCGAAAACTTTGCATGTGCGCCGTTTCGTCCGCCCGCAGACCATACCATTGCTGACAGCAAGCAGTGACTCTCCTGGACCCCGGGTCGGATGGTAGTACCACCTCAGACGATGAGGTATTTGACTAAGGTAAATGATTTTTTATTTTATTTTAAATGTTGTACTAATTTTGTGTTTAGATCTTGCCGCAGGACACCGCAGGGTCCCTCGTCCGTAGTATCAATTATGTACATGCATCTTGCAATATGTAATGTTTGATTGAATATTATTTTCAAGTTTAACAGTCGCATTTGGAGTCCCCTCAATAAGTTACTAATATTAATATCATGATGACGGCCAGAAAGATGTGTTTCATGGGTCATGTGCATATACAATGTCCCAATGCGTTGAGCGTTGCAAACAACCTCTATGCGACTAACTTACACTCGAAGATTTAATTAACATGGTCTAAAAGCTCCAATGGCCCATCTGGCTAGCGAGCAGATTAAGTTAGAATCTTAGTACATGCATTCAATGTGACACATGTCCGAATGCGGCCTGTCGGAATATTAATGCGACGTCCGAATGCGACATGCGCTGATTAGGTCGTGGCTGTATTAATAATATTGTTTGAACTTTGTAACGCTCAAACTTTGAGTTTATTTGTCAGACATTCTATGTACGTCCTTAACTTAAGAACGTAATCTCGTCAACTCCACAGTACGGAACTTCATCAATCATCAACAACTTGAGTTTTGACTGACATTGTCAAGCAAATCCGCCGACAAGGAACCGTGAACTGCCGGCGCTGACGGTGTTGTAAGTGACTCAAGGCCTTGAGGTAAGAATCGAGATACGTATTTTCTTCTCGAAGTTTAGGAGTCAATTGGTGAACTAACAGCGGGAATTAATGCCAACTTCACTATCAAACTTTTGCGTTCAAGTTGGATTCTTTTGTAACACCAATGGGATTGTTCAGGGGGCGGCCTCGAGGTGAGTGCAAACAACTTCCAACGACTAAGTATCTAGTAACCCACGAGATTATAATGGATCATATCAGCTGCCCCAGTGGTATGAGTCAGATACCAGCACCCACCGAGACTTGCGAGTTTCGCTCAGCCGCAACTTGAACCTTGCAATCATTCCCTTCTTTCATCCCTGGGCACTCAGGCTCTGTAATTGAATCCCATCCGAGCCTGAGACTCGCGGCTGCCTTCGACTTTATTCGAGACCGTTTCATCCAGAAAGGTAAGTACAGCGACTTCGAGTCGTGCTATGACGATTATGGTGGACTGACCGTGTGGCACAGTTCGAATTCGCAACGACATGGCTGATTGGCAAAGCAGCCGCTCAGGCCAGTGGTATCCGCGAAGTCACCACAACGCACCCCATCATGATCAGCCGCCGCCACCGTCCGGGAGCATAGAACCCGCGAGCCGCAGCTTCAGTCACCCCATGGGCAACGACAGCTACCTGAATGTCGGGCCTCGGGCCTCTGACGTTTCAGTGCCCAACACGAGTGCCCATAACCATTATCCCCACTTGCAGGAGCCCGCAGGTGTTAGGCAGCACCTGACTCTGGTGTCTGGTACAACAAACCCCAATGCGGCTGCTTACTACGACCATCGTGATCGTAATCCTATCTCGCATGAGCCCGCACGCGGGAGCCAGCTACAGCCTAGCACTCTAGCGCCCAATAATTTTTACTTTCAAGATGTCGCGGGGGGGAGCTACGCAAACGTAGAGTCATCTACTGGTAGTGCGTTTCAGCAGCCTCCCGGTCCTTCCAACCCTGTTTATAACACCTCCCATGGACCAGCTCCCACAGCCGCCCTTTATCCAACCTCTTTTCACCCAAACATGAGTCAAGAGGCTCCTACTTACGGTTACCATAATTCAACGTCGGCAGCCGGCGGTCACCATCAACCGAGTCTAGTACAGAGGGAGCCACCGTCTTCTACAGTTACCCCGTTTCAACAAGCTTGCAGCCAGTATTTGAGTGACGGCAATTCTAACTTCGCAGCCCAGAGCGCGCCCCGGGGAGCTCTTTTCCCAACTGCCCCCGACCCGATTTCTTTTCACCCGAGTACCAGTCAAGCGCCAACTCAGCCAAGCCGGCCGGCTTCGAGCGCCTACAGCCCGAACGACCAAGGGCAATCTTTTTCCTTGGAATCTGAAGATTTCATGGAAAGAGTGAGCGAGGGTAGACGGGCACACCGGAGGATCGAACGCGCATCCAAACGGGCACTTTCTGTCAGCTTTCAGCCGTTCCTTTCCTCAGCATCGACGCAGCGGCCTCTTCGAACAACTGAGCCCTTGCAAATTGAAGATGCATCACTCAATCTTGTGAAGACGGAAGCATTAAGTCTCATGATTGCGTCTCTTTTTCGGGAAACCCTGCATCCGATCAAAACAAAAATTGATCAGCTGGCCAACGCTGCGCTTGATGGTGCGATCGCTATGCATGGGAACAACAACAACGGTATTCATTTTTCCTTATATTCATCCCATGACTTATGGGGGACACAGAAACGGCACTCTCGGCATGGAGGTCGAGGCCAGAAGCTCAAACCGCCCTTGCACGGCTTAAAGGGGTCGTCAAAAAAGTCCATAGGGAATGCCAGGGCCAGGGTTGTGTTAGGGGGATGGTGGCTGGAGCTTATAATCTATCCATTCAGATTTTGTTCAAGAATACGAACGACATTGCACTATCGCGCAAAGCGGACGCGTTAGCGTTGCTGTCGACCGGTGATCATCTTGATGTCATCATTGAGGTACGCATGTCTTTCAATGTTACTCAGCTCATATTTATTTTTTACTTCAGCGCGTCATGAACGATGGGCAAGCCCACCCAATCCGCGTCCCGTTCGCGAACTCTGCCGTCATCGGCATGATAGAATTCATCTTGATTGATCAAGGGTATCGTCGCTACATACCCCTCGATACACCCGGTGACTGGGAACTCGGCCTTAAAAATACCGTTATCCTTGCTGCAGCACTCTGTGAATTGCAAGTACGAGAATGCTCGAAGACTGGCTGGTTCAAACCTGTTGCTCTTCACAGTACTCGTGGAAGCGAGGCCTACACGGACATGAGCGATCGGATGGATTCATTGTCCGGAAGTGAGTTGGCGGAGTTGCACGGACTGTTAGGTTTCATTCGTGATTTACTGAAAACGCTCCCAATGGTGTTGTAGTACGTACGTAGTATTTAGATATTCGATTTCACTAGCAGGCTTTCAATTTATCATATTACACCCCTCCGCATGTCTGACTTAGTCTCCCGTAGTCAGACCTTGATAGAATGAAGACAGTCGTTCTCTGACTCACGACGGCTCTATCATAAGTACTTTCTGCCTTGACTCGTAACCACTCGAGTGTCCACCACAAATACATACTGTGAGAACATCGTGATGATCGTGAAAGTGCCAAGAATGTACTTCTGCTAATTTCAGCGTCCAGTGTTAACGTTAACGCGCTTCATCCACCCTGACATGTCCATTTCCGGCCTATGCGATTTGGTACTAACTTACAGACTGTACTGTTTGAAGCCTTCCCTTATAGCCATGTGTTTTTAGGCAGCTGCTGCCTTTGCCGACACCGGAAGACCATCATATAAAGCGTGAGCAGGATCAACTTGGTGAGTCCTATCCCTCATCTCCTACCCACTTCCACAGGCTCAGTTTCTTCACCTTCTTGCCGTTTTATGTCTCAGGCGACGGTGGAGGACGCATCCCAACCTCCGGAATCGTTACCGTCACTGGCGGTGGCGACGTCCGAGACTGCTCGTCAGAGGCGGAAAATCGCTGCTTTAGAAGAAAAGCTACTGGTGCTGGAGTCGGGGCACGCGGTCAAACAAAGGTATGTACGCTATTTAGTACATCTCGTTCAGTACGTTCACTATGATTATGGTTTTCAGGGAGACGAACTACTATATGTCGAAAGGAAGAGCCATCAGACGCATCGTCACGTTATTCGACAACATCGAAGACTTAATATGCGAGAACGATAGGCGGTGCGATTTGAACGGCGAGGACGCAGATGTAACTATCGAGTGAGTCTCTTTTTTGCTTGTGCCTCGTGATCGCTGATTGATGGTTCGTCATAATAGTCAGGACCGTTTGCAAACCGGTTACATCGCACTTAACCGCGCCCTCCCGTGGCTTCACTCGAAGGCTTCAGACATGGAGAATGAGGACTGCAGGCTCATGATCAAAAAGGTATTATTGACTAGTACAAATCATCTCCCTTCTGCTGAATCGTTGTCCTTTAGCTCAGGCAGGGGGCCGATGCTGCTCGAGCGGATGACACCTCGAAGCTCAAGAGCCTCGTCGCTGATTGGATCAATCGTGAATTGAAGCCCGACCCTCCGGTCAATTCCGAGGATAAATATTACCGTGGATTCATCAATGACGCGTGCGGTAAACTACTCTGCCCGACTGAGCTAGATTGGAATAGCCCAACGTAAGTATCGTGCTTAAGATCTCGCGCGACACTAACTATCCGCCAGTGTCAGAGCAGGAATTAGAGATCGCGCAGACGGTTATATCGTGACGGAAATGTCCTGGCCAGCATTCACGTATGAAAAATACGCGGCAGATCTGGACGATCTGGAGAAGGGTCTCTTCAAGAGCACTCTTTTACTTCAGGTCAGTCAGTCATTCCCGAGCAGCTCGACAAAGTTCTCATTTTTAGCAGGCCTTCAAAGCTATATTCACGTCACCCTCCTCCGCAAGGGAGGTTGCCGGTGATGGCGACGCCGCCAATGTGATTGAAGCCAACCGACGCGCTAAGCAGGACCACCCTGGAAAGAAAGTCAAGACACACGTGGCGCAAATCATCAAGATGCACACAGTCACACCACGCTCGATCGCTTATGTATCATGTCAGGTAAGTAGCGATAATTTCTAAGTTCCTTGTGGAGTGATAATGTGTAACAAGTTGCGGTTTGCTCTGTCTTCTGTGACCTCATGGCGCTCGGTTGACGGCGACTTTGACTACATACTATTTTGGCAAAACATCGTAGACTTCTTCGAAAGGCCGCCTGGTCGAACGGCGAAGCGAAACGTTAAGCGACTCCTGGCTTGGTGGACGAGGTCTCATTTTTTACACTCAATAGTTGTCCTCGATTGATCTTCGTTTCTTAGGAAAGTCTTCGGAACAAGTCGACGTGCAGAACTCAGCGATGGTGCGAAGGCCAAGATGTCAGTAAACGCTCTCGCAAGGCAGAGAGCAGAACTAGATGATGCCGATTTCGATTCAGAATAGTTTGTTTCTCGTGCCAGCGCAGTTTCTACCATGACGTTGTTTCCATTTCTGTTGTTCTCTTTGGTATATAACACTCAATACCATAGTTTTATGACATTACAGTAGTACCTTGCAATTATGATGCCATGATTGAATCATACCTTCTCGTTGTGAAACTTCGGCAGCCAAGGATGATACTATCTGCAAGTCATAGTCACGTGTGATGAATTATGGAAGCACAACAACAGGTTTGGATCTTCGTGCTTGTATTGTTAGAAGCTGAATCTGAGAAATGCAGTATGATAGTGGTAATAAATGTATTTCCTACTCATCATTCCGCTCGAAAAAAATTAATTGTTATATGTGAGGTAACATAATTTTCTACTCATCACTCCGCTTGCAGCACAGAAAGTATACATGTGCGAGGTGAGCAAATGCAGCGCGACAGCGGAGATATATGAATGTACGAGCTTACATTCCGATCAACAACAGAACGCGTAGCCGTGTGAGATCACGAGATGCAGCGCGACAGCGGTAAGTATCTTTATTTCTGCTTATTATCCCCATCGCGGAAGAAAAGTATAGAGGCGCGCAGTGACACAGATAGGCTGCATCTAGCTGATCTGTGTCACTGCGCGCCTCAGTACGCAAAGCAAAATACAATTGTCAGTCATTGAATACACAGAAGGTTGCGTGTAAACTCGAAGTACGATATAAATGATCTCTTGCTCACGTGGTAAACAAATCCTGGCTGTGGTATGTAGGTAAGGCTTTTTCGCACAGATTCCCAGTTGATGTATAGTTGACGAACATGTGTCCCCGCTGCCGAGCTCAAAGTCAAGGTACATTACTACATTAACACAATGTCCGCGCAAAGTCTAATTTTTTTGGATGCAGTCGCAAGTGGTATACTACTACTGGCCATTAGCTACCCAAAGAAGGTCGCCTTGAGACTCGAGCCGTGATACGAACTAATTGTCGCCCGCTTGCAGGACATACCCGGCTGCCACGGAAAGGTAAAGCTTATTCACACGCATTCCAAATTGATATATAGTTGACAAACATTGGAATGACACGTTTGATAGCGTTCAAAGTCAATGCATGAAGGAATATTCTCGTAGTCGGGGTACAGGGGCTTTCACGTTTACATGTAAATTTTATATATAGTTGACAAACACCGGAATGACACGTTTGATAGCGTTCAAAGTCAATGCACGAAGGAATTTTTGTGGTCGTGCGCTCGGGTGAATATATTCTCGTAGTCGGGGGTACAGGCTTTCACGTTTACATGTAAATTTGATATGAAAGCGCCAGAAAATTAGCTTTTCAAGGAGGTGTATCAAGATTTAATACCAGACGCTCATATATAGTCCCCTGCGGAGGCTAGCGCAGCTTCGTTCCCTGAAAGACACAGGCAAAAAGTCTGAGCCTGGATTTTGTGATCCTTACCACTGATGTGGCAATTTTGATTCATGTAGATCAACCAGTAGCTTTTGTTTCACCTTCCCTTCGACTTTGAATTTGAGCGATGATGAGACCTGTTCCTGACCGTAAAGTTTTATCGCGAAATCAGGAACACTCTTGCGCTATACAAGGGCAAAGATCACAATGTGATGCTCGATAACAGAATTATGCTAAATATCATGATTATGGGCTATATATTGTGATATATGGCCTTCTCCTTTCCTTACCAGTTCACTGATGGACAGTCAGACTTACTCATCAGCATGCCTTCATCAGCGTCCTTTGATGGCCGCTGCTTTAGATTTTTCATTGACCATTGTTTTATCAGCGGCGACCCTAGCAGGTCGGTAACGAGGCTTGGCCCATGGGGCGCTGCATTGTCTTGACAAATGCATTTTCACATCCGCCTCTATATCCGCACGAGCGGCTACGTGCCGAGTCGCATTAAGAGCAAGCTTTTCATAATGACTGATCAAGTGCACTGGAAAATTAGGTATCAAGGTGCGGAAAGACGGCGTGCTACGTACCCAGAACTTGGTAGTGATGCCAGCTACAAGAGCCATAATCAACTTGAAGAAGGAACGACTTGTCTTCCTTCTGCGACGCGTGACCGTTCGTCACACCTACGTGTGACAGACAACGCATGTCTCAGAGTTGTTCTCTTGACCCATTTCAACTTCAGTTTGGTGTTTATGGATCGTTCTCATGGTTGTCCGGTCGTTACTTAGTGTCTGCGCATGCTTGTCCATCTCCACTCTCTGGCTCTGTACTCTACAGCTTTTCCGAGGGACCTTTCCCAACTAGACCAGGCGAATTCCTGTATGGTGAGGAGTCCATATACACTCGGCTATAAAACCAATGCTCTTTACCTGAGTGCGCACTTGGGATGCACCTTCGCGGCGTGGGCCGGTCTTTGCGTGAACCATCCTCGAAATTGTCTGTGGCACCGCATAGGAGGAGTCTTCCCTCATTATGGACAAGTGAAACATCTATGTGGGCATCGTTTTAGGAACAAGCCCCACCCCCTGCCCTTCTGTTGCTGCTAACACTTATGTTGTTCTATTTGGGTTGTTCGTCTTTCCCCAGATCTCGTGGCTCTGTACACTGTATACGCAGTCTAATTATCAGCACTACGTCTAGAAGTATCCGCCAGCCATTCCGCACGATATTTGACAATCAGCACTATTTGGTTTCGGGTTTCGGTTCTACATCGTTATTCACGTACGACAAAACACCTTTCAGATGAGAACAAGAAAATTCTGTCAAGACTTGTAGTCTCATATGTAATGTATCATACACGAGTTCTGGATCGTTTCTGCTGCTTCAGTGATCTAGATTCACCAATGAGAGCTTTCACAGGTAAATAGAAAATTACAGATTTCACTGCACGATAAAGTACAATCGACACTTGATCGACACCCATCAAATAAATCATTACGCTCAGAGCGTTCAGCACGCATGCCATCAATAAACCCCAGGAAGCAATCGATATTTCACTTTCTTCGCCCAATTCTCCCATTTTTCTCCCAGAGCATGCTGCAGCATCCTGTCCTCCACTGGAGATCGGCTGATGGCAACCAAAGCGCCTGCTGTAAACATGAAAAAGACAATCGCTGCTAACGCTTTCATAAAAGGCACTTGTAGAATCCCAGACTGCCTCATCCATGACCCTTGGCTCCCGTACATGATGACGAACCCGATGTACTGGAGAAGGTAACCAGTGTAGCTTGGGTGGCGGACGACAGAGTACGGTCCGCTTGTCACAAGTCTCTGCTCTTTTCTGACACTGAGCTGGAAGCTCCAATGCTTTCCTAACATCGATATGCAATAAAGCCTCAGCACACCACCAATTGTGACAGCGAGACTGCTGGCAAGGAAAGTGGGCGTGATTGGTGTGGAGTGAAGAGCGCGCAATAGCTGCAGAGCTCTGGCGCCATTGATACCCTCTGGAATTTGAGAGGGATCTATGTGCATGGCCAGGATGCTGGCCACTTCAACAGACGATGCCGCCCATGTGCCGATCTGTTGTATTGACCACAGATCCACACAGACAACGACCAGTGAATAGGAGCAACACACCTTCATCAGCCGTAAACCGCGAAGTCCAACAAACCATCTAACAAAGGATTCTGAGAGAACCGAGGGTACCGACTTCTCTTCAGATGCCGGCAGTCGAGGGGGGGAATTCAAAGAAACATGGACCCCAATGGCCGAAGCTACAATGAAGGGGATCTTCAACAGACTCATCGTGCACTACTTCGGACGTCTGTCTCTAGAGCCTGCGATGAGTTATCTTAGATACCTAAACCCTTGACTCCTACATGCGTCTAACATGTGGCAAAACTCCCAGATGAAAAATTCCAATTATCAATCCGGCAGTGGCGGTCTTCTTGTTCTGTATGAATTCGCAGGGATCAATGAACTGCCATCAAACCTTCCTAGAGCGCGCCCCTGGCGCCAAAGACTCGACCGTCACTTCAGCATGGCTATCAATATGCAAAAGTGCAGTCAGTCTGCCTTGGGAGGGGGAGAAATGTGTGCTGGGTTCGGGTAAGGTTATTTGATTTTCTTGTGGACGTTGCTTGACCAGCACGAGCCACCCGTGGGGCAGCAAAAGCTGCAAAACTATCAAAACAATATTGGCTTCGGCTTGTATTGCACGGGTGCGAGAATGATAACCGTAGCATAGCGCGTGGTCACTCATCAAGTGACCGGGGATTTAAGTTCGGCGGCTTTCAGCTGACATAAGCGTCAAGCTGTCACGCGTTTTTGACGATGGTCTCCAGAATCCAGATCAATTAGAGTCAGGACTCAGCACCATGACCGCCGTTCCATCATTCTGCAAGACACTATGGACACGCCATTGATTGCCTTCGGCGCGTGAACTTGTGCGAAGTATCTTGTTGACAACGCCGTTGTCAACCAAGGACATCTACAATTTGGCCTTGAAGCAGAGTCCAGACAAGGCTCCAACCTGTCTAAGCCGAGTTGCCAGAGTACAGTTTGAACGTGACGAAGAAAGAGCTGCCAACTATCGCGCGTGGCATCACAAGACAGTGACCGCCCTATACAGAGCATCCTATTCGGCCTCTACAGTGAGTTGACACTGATGTAGGCCTTGGTTAACTCACTCAGTCTCAACGTTGAACGCAGGTATTTAAAGAGAGTGGTACTTCCGGATGTAGTGAATTCGAAGGATGCTGAGAAGTTCTGGGAAGCGAACGGTCCCGCAAGCGGAAATCGAACAGTACGGAAGGAGCAAGCTGTATTTCTTGCCGCACCACGACACACTTGGTTATGGAGAACGACGACCTCCCCTCCTCCGCTCAATCTCACGCCCTCTCCTTTCACTCTCGAAGTTAGAATTACTAGGACTACTTCAGCTCACGGCGGCCGACGTCAGTGTTGGGGAAGATTGGAACCACCTGAACCAGCGGAGGCAACACGCGAGGAAGGAAAATACTCGAGCGTGACTTGAAGTGGACGTGGACGCTGCAGGCCGCGAAGAGGGAAGCTGCACGGGAAGCATTGTAGCTCAGCTGCTCAGTGTGCCAGCTTCATGGTCTAAATCTTTCTATACCGTGCAGAGCAATTCACTCTAATTCACTATTGACATCGCACTGTACGTCGATGTCAGTACCATCGTTCTCTTTATTGGAATCAATACGTGGTGTTTAATTCGACTTTCCCGCAGTGCACCTTCGTACTGCGCATATTATCTGCGTGCTCTCTTAGTCAGCACTTGTGAACTGAAAACACTCGGACTTGAACCGGGACTTTGGTCCACGCGTGACGCGCGTCGCGTTAGCCAAACCGCTGCGCGCGTCAATTTTAAAATAGCTAACAGCTACGCCCTACAAAGTTTACAGTTGTTAAGTGTCGGTTGTTGGTCGGTTGATAAGAAACGATTATCTTCCCTTCTACCTGGTTTACCTACGGAAGACGACTCTGCAATCGAGGCGAATTAGTAGGTTAGTAGTAACTCATATTTCAGCTTGACTCTTGAGATCTACTCCTGACGACAAGGACAAGCTAAAATCGATAGATACCCGCCGATGGCTTCCCAATTTACCAAGCTCCTACAACCAATCACGATAGGACCCTTCACATTGCGCAATAGAGTCATAATGTCAGCGCTGACACGCTCTCGCTCTGTGCCTACCAATGTTCCAAATGACATTAACCTCGACTACTACGTCCAACGTGCGCGCGGCGGCGCTGGGCTTATTACAACTGAGGGAACATTGATCTGTCAACAAGGGCATGTCAATCAAAGTTTAATGAGTGCCCGAGCTGATTGCTCTAATTCTTCAGGACTGAATGGCAGAACGCACCTGGAATATGGAATAAAGACCAGGTTGCCGCTTGGAAAAAGATAACGGATGCCGTACACACAGAAGGAGGCTTGATATTCACACAGGTATGACTTCTTCCCTAGTATTCTTCCCGACCTAATAGAATATTACTACAGTTATGGCATCGTAAGTCCGCACAACCCACTCTCATAGAGTAACGCATCACACTTCTTCCATCGTATAGTGGGCCGTGTGAATCACCCAGATGCCCCTGAACAAAAGGCTTCAGGAATGGTGGGCTATCAAGTGCTTGTTGATACCTGCCACAAGTCTGACTGATTTGTAACCGAAGCCGGTTTACGGACCCTCTGGCATAGCAGCACGTGGGGGAAAGTTCAGGTTTTTGCCTGGTCAGCCTGGATATGTGACCGCAAGTAGCATGCTGCACTGTGACTTTTCTCTTCCTAAATCAGCTTTAGCCCGTTGCAGTAGATGATCCTCGCGTTATCATCGACTTGTACAGACAAGCTGCTATCAATGCCAAGGAGGCAGGCTTTGATGGCGTTGAACGTGAGCAGTCACTTTCTTCCAGAAATCCTGTTGATTGTGCTTTGCAGTTCATGCTGCAAATGGGTACCTCGTCCATCAGTTCTTAGACTCCACGTCGAACAAGCGGACTGATTCATATGGCGGTTCCATTGAGAATCGGGCCCGCTTTGGCCTCGAAATTTTGAAGGAGTTCGTGTCTGTTTGGGGCAGTAAGAGAGTCGCGGTTCGCTTGAGCCCATCAGGTGGATACAACGACATGGGGTATGATTAGCGGCAGCCTTTCCCACTGCATTAAGCGCTAATGTTGAGCAGGATGCCCTTGCAGGAGAACATCGACACTTTCCGATACTTCATCAGCCAAGCAGATCTTCTCGACCTTGGGTATATTTGCCTGGTACGCTATATTCCAGCATTCGACCCAAAAATCGATGGTATGGCATTCCAGATTGCACGTTTTTCTCCATTTAAATACTTCCACAGGAAAGTACCGTGCTACAAACCATGACGTGCTCAAAGAATATCGTCCATGCATCAAGAAATCCCCTCTCTTCCTCAACGGCGGTCTCACACCTGAAGAAGCCAATCAACTCATTGCTGCAAATGAGATAGATGCTGCTGCATTCGGAACCCTCTGGATCGGCCACCCCGATCTTGCAAAGAGAATCGAGCATGGTATTCCATTAGATGCAAAGTTGGATCCGAAAACTTTTTACGGAAGCGGCCCGCAAATCCCTTATGAACAGCAGAAGAAAGGATACACTGATTATCCTGCGGCTCGGCTTTAGATTCAAGTTAACTCTACGAAAAGTATTGGAAGCCTTTTGATATGCATCCACTATGCAATGTAATCACTACTAGAACACGATATCATAGGGCTCTACAAGGCTGTCGTCGGTAAGTTCATTCCCGCTCTTCTTGGCTAACTAGATGAGGCATCGTGAAGTGAATCGGAGACATCTTGTCCACCGATGTATGATATATGGAGGTAATGCGGCGACGGTCATCTTCATTTGCCTGAACTTGTTGAAGTTCCACCCTAGAGTTAAAATTGGAAGGAGAACAGCATGATAAGAATCCATATCGTACCTTGCACTGAAATTGATATGAGTCTGGTGTTGAGCGGGAGCAGCGCGAATTCGAAACCTCATGCTACGAGTGATCTTCAATGTTCCGGAGACCACCGAGGACTATCACAAAAAGTGAATGATGATGCATATGATTAGGCGTGGGGCCTCACTTCGTCTGGACTATCACCTGCAGCGGTGATCATGTTCTCCCAAGAGAGCGTGATTCCTATGCTGGCAGCCCTACACGCTGAAATGCTGTCCTTGAAAGCATCAAGAGTCGAAAGTGTGTGGTTCATGCGAACCTCACAAGAAGGCGAAAATACAGCATTGAAGGCACTCGTAAATGCCTCGTCCTCGCGCACTTCGTAGAGTGCACCTAGACGAGACTGTGTCCAGGAGATCAAGTCGGGCTTTGACATGGATAGTAATTTTTTTTTGGATCTCGACCGGTCACTGATACTATGTTGTGGAAGAGATTGATTGTGGTTGCTGCCTTGGGAGCGTGTGGAAGTGTGGAGAACTTGCCCGAAGGGATGATGCAACGTCCAAAATCGACCGAGTTGAATTAAGGCATCGCGCGCTTCGAAAGCGCGCCCAATTTTCAGGAGAAAAGGGGTAGTAATTAGATAGCACTGATCCCTACAATATTGCAATATGGTACAAGAAACAAATTGAAACGAGTACAATGTCAGATCCCTTCAATAAACCCCAGGAAGCAATCGATACTCCACCCTCTCCGCCCAATTCTCCCATTCTTTTCCCAGAGCACGCTGCAGCATCTTGTCCTCCTCTGCAGGACGGCTAATGGAAACCCACACGCCCGTTACTACAAGCAAGAAATTGATCGCCACTAGTACTTGAACGAAAGGCACTTGTAGAATCCCAGACTGCCTCATCCATGATCCTTGACTTCCGTACATGAAAATGATTCCGACACATTGAAGGAGGAAACCAGTATAGCTTGGGTGACGGACTACCGAGTACGGTCCGCTTGTCACAAGCCTGTGCTCGTTTCTGACGCTGAGTTGGAAGCTCCAAAATCTTCCTAACGTCGACATGCAATAAAGCCTCAATGCGCCGCCAATTGCGACAGCAAGACTGCCGGCAAGGAAAGCGGGGGAAACTGCGGTGGGGCGAAGAGCGCGCAAAATTTGCACAACTCTAGCGCCATAAATGCTTTCTGGAATCTGCGAGGGACCTATATATACAACCAGGATGTTGGCCACTTCAGCAGACGATGCTGCCCACGCGCTGATCTGTTACATTGTCCACAGATCCATAAAGACGACTATCAGTGTATAGGAGTAGCTCACCTTCATAAACTCCAGACAGTGAAATCCCAACATCCGTCTAATGAAGGATTCGAGCAACGAGGGCACCACCTTCTCTTCAGATGACGGTGGCCGAGAAGGAGAAGTCACCGAAACGTGGATGCCAATGGCCGAAACAAGGAGGAGGGGTATCTTCAATAGACTCATGATATGCTGCTGTATTGTTTTTGGGCCCAAAACGAGTCATGTTAAATACCTAGACATTGACAAAACACATGCTTCCAGGCGATAAATTTCAATCTCAACCCGGTGGCAACGGTACTTCTGTTAGCTTGCATAACTTTACAGGGAATGATGAGCTTGTCAAATTTTCCTTGAGCGCGCGCCCCCAGCACTTGAAACTCAGCTACCAATTGCTTCTATGCAAAGTACGGTCAGTCAGCCTGAGAGACAACAAGGAATGTGTTTTACATTGTTAAGTTGCTTAGGGATCTTCGGACGAGCCCTCTGGATCCGGACCCATGACTTGTGTTTCTCTTAGCCATCGTGAGCCTATACTTCCTGCGGCGTATGTCAGAAAATAATGTCATCAGAACATCAATGACATTGTTTGGTGAACACCTCGCCATGAGGTAGCCAGAAGGGGGGAAGGTCGTTCCTGTTCCAGTTTAAGGAGTATATGGTGACCTGTTACCATTCCGAAGTAGATCGGCTCCCAATGGCGTGAGAAATGCAAGTCCCTGAACCCATCAATTACATGAAGGGCAAAGACCTCGACCACCGCTCGGTAAGTACATTTCCTGGTCATTCTTAAGTCGAAGTTTGCCGCCTTCGCCCATGCTGAGCTCTTCTGCGCCATTCTGCCGTGTTCGTGCCACACCATGACACCAACGCCCATCACCAAACTCCTCGACATCAACATCCCCGACTTCAGTTCCCACGGTACTACTTCTGACGCCGCCAACAGAAACAGCCGCCGCTCGCAGGTTTGGGCCTCCCAACCTCTCTGCGCCATTTCACTACCTACCCCATCAGCGGACGGCGGCATTTTTCCACGCACACCTTTTTTTTTTGGCTTCATCATCCTCGTGTCCCAGTCCTACTTATCACACAGGTTTGTCACCCTCTCATGCAAAACCTTGATATGTCACGGTAGTGTAGTATCTCCTTCATGTATACATTTTGTTCTCTACATATCGTGAAATTTTAATAATGAACCAACTTAAATCATGTCTTTGGTTTGCTGGGTGAGATAAGACTAATCATGTATGTAGACAAGTACTAGTAATAGTATACAGTGGTAATATGACAAGGGTAGAACTACGAGGCGAGGAGAAAAAAAATCCAGGATGCGGTCACGGTGGAAATCGATGACGAAACTTGAAGAATACGAAGGCGCCGGCAATGCCGGCGCCAAGCAGTGGTGAGCGGAGACAACGAGGGTTGATGAGAGAAGACGGCGAGGGAGATGTTGACGTGCCGCCCGGTCTTGATGTGCTGACGGCTTTGAAAGGTTCAGAAAAAATTGCTAACCGGTGGCGACGGCATAGCTAGGCGTAGGGAGGGCGGGAGGGATTAATGGTCTCATGCAGGAAGTAGAGCGAAGGCGGCGTTCACGGGCACGAGCGTAAGAAGTCGGCAGAGGATGCTGCACGGTCGACGAGGTCAACGAGTAGGACGATGAAGACATGCAATTAGAATAATGAAGACAAGAAAAGATTCGTACCTTTCTCCGACACGGTTTGTGGGGTCCAACCTTTACTAAATAACGTCAGTCCAATGGTAACATGGTCACACATCACTCCTTCTTTTGGTTCGGAGTTTGTCGTCGGTCAGATAAGGCTAATGATGAGTATGCATGCTGCCCAATTCTGGTTAGGATAATTATGATTCGCCCGGAACTCCGGTATCTTGAAGTACCGACCTGAGCGATTTACTAAAGTTTGTCGTCATGAGCAGAGATATTTTTGTGGGCGGCACCGTATCTGAAACATTCCCGAAAGTGTCATGGCCACCCTGTAGGGCCAGAGGAGCGTGGAATCTTGGGTGCCTTCGGCATAGCGCTGCATAGTGTGTAGACGAAGATATCTCGTGATGACACGACGCGGTGACTGGCAGAATGTGGGTCACAAATAAGTTTTGTCATCCGCGTTTTGCCTGCGTTTCGTGCGTTAGAATAAACTGTTAGAGCAAATCACGATGAACGACGGAGTTGAGCTTGTTGAAAACAGCAAAAATCTAAAACAGGTCACATGACAGGAAGGTAAAATCGACAAAGTTACTAGTAGGCGCAGTCACTAGTACTACTATCATGGTTCCGACCTACATAAAATCAATTCCACAGAATACCTATCCCTGAAGTATCGTACAAGAAACAATCGAAACAAGTACATGTGTCAGAGCATTCAGTATATATATAATCAATAAACCCCTGGAAGCAATCGATAATTCACTTTCTTCGCCCAATTCGCCCATTCTTCTCCCAAAGCACGCTGCAGCATCTTGTCCTCCACTGCAGGTCGGGTGATGGCAACCCAAGCACATACCGTAAACAAGATGAAGCTAATCGCAGCTATTACTCTCGTGAAAGGCACTTGTAGAATCCCAGACTGCCACATCCACGACCCTGGGCTTCCGTACATGACGATAACCCCAACATATTGGAGAAGGCAACCAGTATAGCTTGGGTGGCGGACGATAGAGTATGGTCCGCTTGTCATAAGGCTGTGCTCTTTTCTGACGCTGAGCTGGAAGCTCCAAAGCTTTCCTAACGTCCAAATGCAATAAAGTCTGATCACGCCGCCAGCCGTGGCAGCAAGACTACCGGCAAGAAAAGCGGGGGTGATTGGCGTGGGTTGAAGAGAGCGTAAAAGGTGCACAGCTCTAGCGCCGTAGATGCCCTCTGGTATGTGTGAGGGATCAATATGCATGGCAAGGATGTTGGCAGCTTCAACACACGATGCTGCCCATGCGCTGATCTGATATATTAACCATATACCCATGTGTTGAACTGCATAAGAAAAACACACCTTCATTAACTCTAAACCACGAAGTGCAAGAACCCATCTGACAGAGTATTCGAGCGCGGTGGGCATCACCTTCTCTCCAGATGACGGTGGAGGGGAAGAAGTAGTGTACGAAACATGGATGCCAATAGCCGAAGCTATGAGGAAGGGGATCTTCATTACACTCATGATGTTCCACTGATTATTTTTTGAGCTAGCGATGATTCATGTTAAATACCTGAACTTTGATATCAGTCCGGTGGCCCCGGCGGCCCGGCCCCCTTATCTGCTCTCACTATCACCATTTAGTCGTGTTCCGGCCCGACTTTAAGCCCCGTGCGCCCAACTGTAGGACCATATCCACACACATCAAGCCAGGTCTAAATAAGCCAATCAAGCCGCGGCTTGCTACTCGGATGAACGAGCCTGACGAAATTGAGGCTGCTGACAACACGGACGTAGGCAGCGACGCGTACTCCGAGAGAAGACAAGACATGGGTAAATCCTAGAAGTAGATCCACAACGAGCCAACTCGCTGACGTCATGAAAAGTGGGGACCTAAAGCTGCAACAGATGGGAAATGATTTGCGAATGGAATGTGGTAAGTGGGATGAGGTCTGCCGAAGAGCTCATCTAGGACGTTGATAACAATTATTTTGAAGGAGAGCACGGTCCGTGTGACAATTCTGGTAAACTGAACGAAAAATAGATCACATGCAATGTAGGGAATCTATCAGATCATTTGAGTGAAGAATCGTATTGGGCAAGGTGAGACACTATACTGGGAATGGAAAAGAAGGCGCGCAGTGAGAAAACCACATATGGGCGCTTGACATACTGGGAACGAACACGAGGACACAGCATCAAAGACGCACCTGTCCAGGGATCAAACAGTGATCTTCCTCCTCGCTCGATCCTACATTGACCGAAACAATTCGTCGTCGCTCCCATTTCGAACGTGTTCCCGTGTAGCTACTCTGAGTAAGTGGCTCTGGCATTCGTACAGCATTTGGTGGGAAGACCTGAAATTGTAACGGGCGAAGTCTCAGAGCCAAAACATGTATTTCCCTTCCATTTGGAAACAAGAAGCATTAACGAGAGTGGCTTGAAAAAATTTGAAGGGCACACCAGTGCTATCCATAGAGTTTTGTATTCGCGCGGTGCACATCGTAGATTAATGATGACCATCGATATACTCGGGAGACGTGCAACATATGAAGAGCCAGAGGCGAGTCCAGTGTCCAGCCTGTCTGAGCATTACATCAGGGCGCGAGGGCGTCGAGGTTGTAGCTGTGGTGGTATCACCAATAGCAGGTGTGGTAGATGAATTGGAAACAGGTGGCTGTAGTTGCGAAGATGGCTGGGTCTGAGTCGCACCGCTGGATTGAGTGGCGTTGGGTTTGGAAGGCCGCGAGGTGCCAGAAGTAGTGTGAAATGGTATCTTTTTCCGTTTTTCCCTCGCACAAGCATTCCTCTGCATGATGTCAGGTCGAGTCGAACGTCTGAAATGGAGGAAAAACATACACGTTTTCCCTGTGCATACGGGACCTCAACAACTGCTGAGCTGCGCCCGTTGAATTCGGTGCCCTCGCCATTTCGTCCGCGCCATTTCAAAAGGTGTCGAGCCCAGTCGACAGAGGACGGTGAGGTATCACGTGCATCGGAGTGGCTGCGGTGGAATAAGCGGCCAAGGAATGTACTTCCTTGCGGTGCTGAGGAGTGGAGGCGGCTTCGTGGAGAGAACTGAGCACACCAAGTCAGGAAGAAACATCGAAGTCATAGAAATGACATACCTGAGAATGTTGCCGTGGGTCATCGAAAAAACCTTGGGGTACGCGACGGGCAGGCCGACGTCGCTGGGTCGGATGTCGTGTAGCATTTTCCTAGAGTATATATGTTTGAATGCAATGAAATCTGTTTATGAAGGTGTCACGTACACGGAGTACCGACTTGTTGGCCTGGCAAAGCGCGTTGAGTTGTGAGAATGAAATAAAATGAGGTATGTTGACTCACCTGTGGATCCAACAGAAGTTCGTCGGGACCAGCCTCTCTAACAATGGTAGCAATATCCCACGTGTACGCGTTGGTGTCCCGGGAGCCAGTTGCTAGTAGTTTTCCATCCGCGGAAAATGAGACGCAGACAACTACACGTGCATGCTGAAGTGGAGAACTGATGGGCTGGCCGTTGTCGAGGTTCCACAATCGCGCTGCATCGTCGCATGATGCGCTTGCGAGGATGCGGCCATTCGGGGATATTGCAATGCTCAAGACAAGGGAAGTGTGCTCATGCAGAACTGCGGTCTGCATCCATGTTTTTGTATTCCATGTCCGAATCGAGTTATCCATTGACCCAGAGATGAGCGTTTTCCCATCCACGGTCCAAGCCAGGCACCGCACCGAATATGTATGTCCTTTGAGAGTTTCGACAAGCTCGCCTGTCTTCGCATCCCAGATTTTAATTGAGAACTCGCGGTTATCTTCAGTCCTGGGTCCATTATATCCACTAGTCGCAATCATGGTTGTGTCTGGCGAATAGATGGCTGTGTACACTGCTGCATGCCCTGTCTTGATTGGCCCGGGTGCCAGGATTGTCTCTCCGCTCTCCGCTCTCCACATCCCACTGCCTTACAGTCCCATCCAAAGATCCACTCACTACTCGCCGACCATCTCGACTCCAACAGACAGACCACACTTCCTCTGTGTGTCCCGTCCATTTTGCGATGATCTTCCCTGTGTCGATGTCCCACAACCTCACTCCACCGTCCCTACTCCCGCTAATCACTTTCTTCCCATCTGGGGACAACGTTATACTGATCACTCCACTGTCTCCGTCCCGCCAGTCTTCTCCTATCTGTCTTCCGCTCTCCAAGTTCCATGCCCGCAGCGAGCCATCTTGTGAACAAGTAATGATCCGCTGGCCGTCGAGCAGGTGTACGACGCCCCGGACCCAATCGGTGTGTCCTTCAAATTTCTGGCGAGGCGTTATTGCTGATATGCGTTTCGTTTTAGTGGTAGTTGAAGACATGCTCCAAAATTCCTACTACCGAGTGCTGCAGCACCGTCTCAGCTATCATCCAACATATTCCAAATTCATCACTTACTGAGGACAACAGCGACGGGCAGATAGTAGGGGACAATGGGCGTTCAGGTCAAGTCAGAGTGAAATTAACTGCTTCCTGGTACCCTTGACATGCTGTATCCTCGTGTTCACAGCATATACAGCATAGGCTGTGCAGCTGAAGCGCCCAAACCTCATCTGCTTATATCCCATGAAGTCTCGGTCCATGACTTCAATCGGCTCGTGCCTGCAGCCTTGATAGACTATGATTTCCCCTAGCCTTCCTTGCATCTCTATATACTACGACACGCATGACGAGTACCGCATCTAAGTAGTCTGACATTTGGCAGAGAGTGGAAAGTCGAGAATAGAGAGACAGTCTTCGGATCAACCAGAACAAAGTCGGGGTACTTCGTGTCCGCAGTTTGCTACTCACTCAACGGCGGGGAGCGGCTGATAGTCTGGGATGCACACACCAAAGGCGAACGGCTCAAAACACTTCAAAAACTGCCTGGCGTGGACCTCGGATGTAAAGAGGCTTATGTAAGCCTATCGCCGGATATTTTTGCATCAACACCGCCACTTAACGGAGCGGACATCGAGTTCCGAGGGTCCTACTTCCAAGGCGGAAGCAAACATAGTCAGAGGCTGCTTCGCACATTGCTTCAGAATGACGCTGGTCAACTGACAACTACCCTTCACACATAAGTAAAACTTGCGCGTGATGTATAACATACAATCAACTCCTATAAAACACCAATTCTCGCAATATGGTACACGGTATGCATCCAATTAATAGACCCCAGGAATCAACCTATATTTCACCTCCTTTGCCCAATTCTCCCACTCTTTTCCCAGAGCGCGCTTTAGCATCTTGTCCTCTATCGCAGGTCGGGTGACTCCAATCCAAACACATAATCCAAATAAGACGAAAAAATTGGCCGCTAGTAACGACATGAAAGGAACTTGTAGAATTCCAGACTGCCGCATCCACGACTCTGGGCTTCCGTACATGATCATGATCCCAACAGATTGAAGAAGAAGACCAGTGTAGCTCGGGTGGCGGACGACCGAGTACGGTCCGCTTGTCACAAGTCTATGCTCTTTTCTGACGCTGAGCTGGAAGCTCCAAAACTTTCCCAACGTCGATATGCAATAAAGCCTGAATAGGCCCCCGATCGTGATGGCAAGACTACCCGCAAGAAACGTGGGGGTGATTGGTGTGGGGTGAAGAGAGCGTAGAAGTTGCACAGCTCTAGCGCCGTAGATGCCCCCCGAGGGATCTATGTGCATGGCAAGGATGTTGGCCACTTCAGCAGATGATACTGCCCATGCGCCGATCTAAAATGTTGTCAACAGATCCATACACCATTGTATAAGTGCAACGCACCTTCATCCACTCTAACCCGCGAAATGCCATGAACCATTTTATTGAGGATTCGAACGCGGTGGGCATCACCTTCTCTTCAGATGACGGTGGTGGGGAAGAAGTAGTGAGTGAAACATGGATGCTAATAGCTGAAGCTATGACGAAGGGGATCTTTGATAAACTCATGGTGCTATGACGGACTGTCGTTTGAGCCTGGAATCAGTCATGTTAAATACCTGAACGTTGAGAAATTAGAACACACGTGCTCCCATTTTTCCGACATATATTTGCACTCATGGATACGGTCTGGTCGGGCAGTCATTTAGTCTGCATAAGCGGTCCGCGTGAATTCGCGCGTCTCGGTCAATGGTCGAGCGTGTTGTTTGAGAATATTAATAGATGAGACGGCCTCTATATGTAAAGTGCACTCAGTCAGCCTCAGCGGCTAAGAACAAGAAAGTATATTACGCTTTTGCTTGAGGATGCCCAAAGCCTATAGACGTACGCTCTGGATCCACGTCGGTATCTCGTGGTTCTCTCGGCATCGTGAGCGCACGGTCCATGGTATAAGGATGCATACGCTTACCCTCGGAACACTGGCTTTGCCTCATAAACACCTGACCGTGACGTAGCCAAAATAGCAAGGTTTGAAACAAGTAGCCCCGACGTATCCATTACATTCGGACTTTGTGGAGGAATTGGGTGTCGCGCGTGAGTCAGTGAGACCAGGCGGGACCCGATTGAAAATAGTTCCTTTGAGTTCATCTGATAAAATTAAGTACAAGTATGACTACGACATAACGCCGGCTAATCAGCTCCTCGCCGTATGGTACCCCATGAACATCCAGAGTACTTGCAGTTGTCAACAACGTCGTTGAGTCGGTTACTGGAAGATATTTTGATTAATGAAATGAATGTACCGGGGTCGAGAAACGGAACATGACTGACCCTAAAAACTTGGAGATATTGGGAGATGGACCGGTGGCATCTGGGCTGAGTCCCAGAGCTGTCTGGACAAGCGTTCGAACGCTCACACGCTCGAAAGAATGGTCAGACAACACTGGGAGGTGTGCCCAGGCCGCCTCTGGTTGGTTTGGGGTAATTTACAATTTGCAAATTACCATTACCCCAATCCTGCCAAGTACCCCAAAGCTCTCTACGTCGCAAGGCCAACAGTTTTTAAAAACCCTGGACCAGGGCCGGAGAAAACCCCCGGGTCAGCGGCAGAGAAAAACCCAGATCAGCGGGGCCGTGGGCTCGAAGCCGACAAATATGCTTGCGAAGTGGATGAAACGTGCGACACCTGACAGTTTTTGTGCAAAAACCGTCAGGTGCCGCGCGTTTCGAAACTCCCGCAACGAGTGGATTGATTGATGAGGCGAAGAGTTTGACATGTCAAAGGCAGCAGTGGTCCGTTCTCATCTCCTTCGAAGCCTACATCAATAGGTGTTAGTTTACAAGAATTGGATGTATCATTGATTGCAATACCCTGAGTTCGAGTGACTGAAACTTGGTATCTCCAGCAATTCTGAACAACGGTATATAGATTGACGTTCTTCGACCTGAAAAGGAAACGATTAGTTTGGTCATGGTGGGAATACTTGAAGGCTCACATCAAGAAATCTACACCTGTAGAATACTTTCGACGGGACATTGAGAACGGATTGAGTCAAAGACCTCATACAATATTAATTGAACCTATTATAAATACAGCGGAGTCAACATATGGACAGATAAGTGAAGCAAAAGAAATAATCATCAAATTCTGTTTGCCAAGGACTAGACATGGTCAACAGACCATGTATTGGCTCAATGGCAAAGAGAAGACGAGATCCCAAGAGAAAGAAATCCCCCGACGACGCAAGCCGATAGTGCAGAGGCAAGGTCATCATGTCCTCCAAGTTGCAAGCAGAGCTCGGAGAAACAAGGGCGGCAAAAATTTGATAACCAAAGAATGAGGGCGGTGCCCTCATAATAGTGGTTAAACTATTAAGAACAGATACTACACTTGATCTAAGCCAAAAGGCCAGAGTGGTAAGGATTCATGTTGTCCAGAGCGTCCTTTTATATGTAAATATAAGGTGTGCACGGACCATGTCTACATTAGGCAGGCCGTGTGTACAAGTACAATTGTTCGAATATTACACATCAAAGTCATCTCCTTCAAACGAACTTCTCGCCCAGCGAGCCAGTGCGCATCCCGCAGCACCGATTAGGAATGACCAATCAAACAACCCACCAAATAACGAGTACTCTGGCAGCGTCGCAAACAAGTTCATGCTATCATCAGACGCACCCTGAGAGTCACCGGATGCTGCGGGTGGAAAGGTTGTTCGAAGCTGGACAAGAGTCGACAGGAGATATATACCCTAAGTGCTCGTTCAGTCACACGAGAAACCTCAAAAAATAATTCGCCAATACCATGAGCTGCGCGAGGGTCAATAGCATCAGTGATGCTGATGTTTTACGCGATGTAACATGAAATGCCTGTAGGACATCAATACTGTGGCTGAAATGAAGGTTCAACAGACGACTCACTCTTGTCACACCACGTAGCACCATGCGGAGGGAAAATAAAATGATGACGCCCACAAGGGAAAGACTTATTTGTTTTGATAGAGATGGAATGTCAAATTGCACCTTTCCTTCATCTCCTGTCGCAGACAAGGGGAGGAGAGAAAACAGCCATGCAAGTATATGCGCAACTATATCTCCTGCGGAAGAGGGACTCGAGCTCGATACCGACGGTGAGAGAATGTTGAAGGCTGACTGGCTTAGACGTGATTGAGAGTTTCCAGTCGAAGGAAAGACCACTTACACTACATACGCGGCAGACGCAATAAACTGCCCAAGACCACGTGATAGTCTTGCCCGTAAACGACTCTGCATACTCTGCTGCAATTCGGTTGCGTTTGAGAGCAACAACACGAAGGCTCATCTGCTCTTGAAGAGCTTGAAGACCAATAACTTCCTGCTGCATTGAGCTTTGTTCTTGCAAAGATTCGACGATGTGAATACAGGATCCGATGAAACAGACAAACCATACGTACGTGAATTTCGTTTGAACGACACGCGTGACAACCATGATCCATCTGGTTGTGGCTAAAATATTTGAGACCAAGTGCGACGACTTATGCTAGCCTACTGTACCTTTGAACTTGTATAGTCATCCAAGTCACGAGAACGATCTCGCAGATCACTCTTCACTCTTTCAAGCGCATTTTCAGCAGATGCAATCGATGACGCCGATGGTGTTGACCTTTGCAAGTTCAGTAATAGTAGTGCAACTGGTCGAAAGTCCACTCACCGAGACCAGTTGACGATGCCCCATGCACCACTAACTGCACCGAGCCCGGAAAGTAGCCCGAGGACCGTGGTTCCCAACGTGACTAGCCGCGCAGTGACTGCTGTTAGCGGGTTGTCCAAGAGTAGCTCAGCAGGGAGTGGAATATATGAAAGGGCAAAGATGAAAAGCGCTACAGGTGCTAATCCAAAAGCAACACGAATCGGTAATGCGCGAGATTGCACGAAACCTGGATTATCTGAAGATGATTAGAAGACGATTGGGTAGACAGGAGGGAGTATAGCATTCTTACCAGGACGGTAGGTTAGGATGAGGCTGAACGATATGGGAATAAGTAAAAGAATCGTGAGCAATAGAAGGAATAGTGATGTTCGCCAGCTCAGAAGGCGAATCCTGTTAGGCCCATATAGATTCAGTCACTGCAGAGAGCTTGCACAATCGAGCTACGACACACCTCGGTTCCAACCAATCTAAACCCTGGCACATGAGCATGCAGAATAGGATACTGCACTCAGAAAAGCACAGGGAGAAACACGTCTGCGCGAGTGCTGAATGCCATGGCTGGGTGCTACTGGATTGCGGAGTCACTGCGGACCCTGGCAACGTGTCCTGCGGGGCGAGTTGTTGAAGGTCCTTGTACAACTTCTTTTGCAAGAAGATGCGACAGCTAACGAACAGGAATCCTCTTCAAACACATGAGTGAGCTGCCCTGAACTATTTGGATAGGGGATATACCCTAGTGCAACTACCAGGAATACTTCTGTCGCGGACATGGAAGGGGAAATGAGAAGTAGTAGAACCCTAACCCTACTATAGGGTTTATTGATGGCAGTCACGTCACGTCGTCACGTCATACACTCACGTGGACGGCATATTGCAGCTCGTGAGCTGAACGACCACGACAGCCAACGACCGCACGAACGACATGAATGAACCCAAAAAATCCGACCCTACAACTCAAGTAGTCCATGAGCAAGCTACCGCAACAAACATATCTTACTCTCAACCCTCAGTTGAACCCGTGGTAATTGCTCGACTTTCACTCCCGCAGGCTCCAACTAACGGTCACACAGGCAGAAATAATCTCAGCAGCACAGCGCGGGGATCTCAATGCCATCCGTGAGCTCATAGAATCAGGAAAATGCAAGGTTACAGACAGAGATGACCAGAACGTGTAAGCTTAACGCACCTCTGCTTTTGCCACACTCATGGATGGCCGCAGCACACCTCTTCACTGGGCAGCGATAAATGCTCAGCTTGCGACCTGCCGCTATCTCATAGAACAGGGTGCGGAAATAGATGCAATAGGGGGCGACCTCCAAGCTACCCCTCTGCAATGGGCCGCACGCAATGGATACCTCTACATCGTGCAACTGCTCATATCCCACAATGCCGATCCAACCATCGCTGATACCCAAGGCTACAACTCCCTCCACCTCGTGACACACTCGTCATCAGTGATGCCTCTCCTTTACTTACTGCATCAACCTGTGAACGTCGATTCTCGTGACTTGCAAGGTCATACCTCGTTGATGTGGGCTGCGTACCAGGGCGATGCGTTGTCTGTGGATCTTCTGCTCAAGCACAACGCGAATCCTAACTTAAAAGATGATGCTGGGCTTACCCCCTTACACTGGGCTGTGGTCCGAGGCAATCGAGTTATCCTCCGCCGCCTCATTGAGATGGGCGCAGACATGCATGCAAAAGATCTCGAGGGGCGTACACCAAGAGACATGGCTGTTGAATTAAAGAGCCTAGGAGCATGGAAGAGAGCCATGGAAGAGGGTGGCTTGACAGAACATGGTGTGGTTAAAGCGAAGCCATTGAACGAGGTCCGTTCACCAATTTTGATCTCCTGCTGTAATTTCTGATCTGGCTCTAGCGCAACACCAAAATTGCAATCTTCATTTTACCTTCCTTGTTTCTATATTTCATCTTCACAACGCTTGCTATTCTTCCGTGGTATACGGGCATCATACTCGCCATGGCTGAGTTTTTCGCCATGCATCATGTAAGTGGCGACAAACTTGCCATAACTATGCGATAGCTCATGACAAGCAGATCGTGACCCGGGTACTATTGAACAAGAACACCTACGTTGGAACGGTAAACCAAAGTCCATATTTCGCAGGCATCATCGCAGGGTCGATGCTATGGGTTGGTTACTGCTGGATAACGCGACTGGTGCAGCGTACGCCATATGCTATACTCTTGCAGCCGCGAGCTGACATCATTCCAGAGACAGAATCGCACGCTTTTGTCCACCTGGCTTTCGCAATCATCTTTGGTCTATGTTTATATAACTTCTTCCGTGCCACTACTTTGGACCCAGGTGTTTGCCCTCGACCAGCACACGACGGAGAATTGAAGGCAGTGAGTCTATTCGTGTTCTAGAATGTATCGGCATGTGCTAACGGAGACTGGAGATCATCGAAGACCTTGCTTCAGAGGGCAGACTTAACGGGCAAACATTCTGCATACAATGCATGGTGCGTTGTTAATCTTGTAAGGTGCAAACCTATGTCAACATTTTACACAGGCAAAGAAGCCGCTACGGTCAAAACATTGTCGTGTTTGTGATCGATGTGTGTCGCGAAGTGACCAGTATGTCTTCTCCTTTCTTAAAGAGCCACTAAAGTGAACTCTGTACGTCATAGCCATTGTCCATGGGTCTGGAACTGTGGTAAGCCAAGCTCTTTGAATACCAGCACTACGACTCTGATGCACTTTGTAGTTGGGGCAAATAACCACAGGCAGTTTTTACTCTTTGTCTCGACACTAGTCATCGACATCGTGTTGTTTGACTACCTCGTTTATGAATGTATGTTCTCAATCGTCATCTCGGTGAAGAGTCTTTGTCTGAATGATGTCAGATTTCTCATCGTCATCATTCCCCGAATCTGTCGACTGCTCCGCATTACTCTGCGAGCCGGCCTTGAAGGACGCATTCCTTCTTTGCGTCTCGCTATGGTCAGCACTGCAACTAACGTGGACTACCGTGCTTCTCGTGACGCAGTACTGGCAAGTGACCAGACAGCTAACAACGTTCGAAGTCTCCAACCTCGGGCGTTTCGGATTCATGGGCGGTCGCGGCACCCTCGCCGCTGGCAGTGGAGGTGCCGGTGTGCAAATGGGACATAGGCACCACCATGGCGCTCACCAGCAGAACAGCGACACTGATAGCGAAGCAGAGGGTGGTGCCCACAAACAAGCACACAGCCATACTTTCTGCGGGTCCCTCACCGCACCCGGAACATGTACCGCCTTCCTGCTCAACCTCCTCGGCCTCGACCGGTTCACGCGTGGCCGTGCCGCACGCGGACTCACTTCGCATGCGCGCAATCCATTTGACTTTGGAGCTGTGCGGAACTGCAGGGATTTCTGGACTATGGGGAAGGAGCTTGGCGTGGAGTATGGCCAGGTGTATGATGTTCCCTTGGAAGGCTTTGAGGAGGCCAAGAGACGGAAGGAAGCGGAGCGGGGCGACCTTGAGCATGATCACGAAAGCACGAACAGCAGTAGGAGTAAGAGCCTGCTTGGCAAGCTCAGCATGCGGATGGGTATGGGCTCCAGTCGGAGGGGCTACGAACCCCTGAACCAGGCCTAGCGTGTGTGTAGTCCTTTTATGATGACGAACTATTTAATTTGTTTTATTGTACATGCGGATATTAGACTGCTATAGGTACGTACAATATCCAGAATATAAGCATAAGTATCTTCAGTCAAAAACATGCAGAAGAAAGACAGTGTGATGAGCATCCGAGTCGTACATAAGTGTGTCTTACCCGCCGGTAAGTGGAGGTTCTGGATGTCGTTGGGTATGGGAAGAACAAGTTTGGCTCGGTTCTTCTTGATAGACTGCAGATGCACAGCTGCTTTGCCAAGTTCTGACTCGTGGTACTTAGTCAACGTTGAACAAGTTAAACTCAATGACTTCGGAATCGGAAGACTTCCCGGGGTCAAACTTAGACACGGCCGAGGCTTGGCCGAGGCCCAACACAGATCCACAGAGAACGCGCCCAGTGACTCCCTCCACATATACAACTTTAATCAATTTCTCGTTCACAGTGCACAAGATAACCATGCATAACACGAAGTGCCAACAGTTGCTCGAGTGAGCTCTAACTTGTGGTAGGCAATCATGTCGCCCAGGTACCAACATGAGTCTCAAATCTGAGTCTTCTAGTCCTTTAAACTTCAATTCCAATTACTTAGCCAGTTGGTCGAGCACGGGAGCTTCCAGACGGAAGGCACGTTTACTGCGCTGCTCAAGCCTATCCATTCATAGAAGCTTCAAGAACTCAAAAGGCAATGGATACACGACAATAACCCTTAAACAACACCACGCACGCCTCCCTGTGTCGAAATCGTTGGCGCTGGGCCTGCTGTTGGTATTAAGGACACTGCTCATATGACGTAGAGTCGTAGACTCCTTCGATCCCGCAAGGTACAATGCATGTCTTGACGATGATATTGGCGACGCAGCGTAGTGCCATGCACCGAGTGGTGAGCTCAACATAGCTGAGTGACTCCAATCCACATACTCGTTTAACTTCAAAAGAAGATGCAACACGCGAAAGTCAGCGCCTACGCCGCTCTTTGGTTGGAATCTTCATCTAAGATGAGGTCTGCTTCCCGAATGTCCTTATCAGCATTAGTCCTAAAAGGATGTTGTGTCTTTGGGCCTTCAAGGGGAAAGTCACAGAGGCTTCCTTGCATAATGCGCTATCAGAAGCCTTCATATTTTCCCAAAGCGACTCAGAAGTTATTTGGTTGTTGTATCATTGGATCGCGCACTAGTGCTCGTATGTTCGTTTTACGTGAATACGGAGTCTAACGGGGCCAGCTGACTACTTATAGTCGATAGTTGCCCTCGATCCTCATGGGGGGCGTATCGTGGGTGCCACCGCGATGCACTAACGCGCACTAACACGCACTCGGCTCCTTCCTTGGCCTTAGTTCGATAATATAAATAAGTGGCAGTCTGCAGGAACTGATATCGTGTCTTCCACCCGATTCCTTCACGCACACAGCTGAAGTAGCGATGTCTCTCCCAGATATGTATCGTGAATATCGCAGCCAGGTACGTGTGACTATACCTGCTAAGTAACGGAGGTCAACATTAACTCGGAAACGGTGACATGGTAGGCTGATGGCTGGCAGAACTTGAAGCTTCAATCAACGACTCTCTCGAAGCCCAAGGCTACCGAGGTGACCATCAAAATCCATGCTGTATCCCTGCAGGTCCGTCCTCATTTGAGCCGTTAAATTGCCAAAGATTCAATGTACTCGCAGTTTCGTGACCTGATGGTCTCCAAAGGAATCTACCCACAGTTAGTATTGTTTTTATACATATTTGATTCACGCTCAACGCAGATCTCACAGGCAAAAGTTTGACATTGTTCCTTGCTCTGATGGTGCAGGGGAAATTGTTGCACTTGGGCAAGATGTCAAGGGATGGAAAGTTGGAGATCGTGTCTGCCCTAACTTTGCAGTGGATCACATTCATGGCGACGTCACTGAAGACATCAAATTAACTGGACTTGGTGGTCACATCGATGGCGTGCTTCGGGAGTACATCAATGTTCCAGTTCACGTATGTGTTCTTTCGATATCATCGTCGTATTGCTTGCGAATATCTATTTAAGTCATTGGTCCGCATCCCAGAGCATCTTTCATATGAAGAAGGGTCGAGTCTTCCGTAAGTTGACTATATCTTGACATGCTTGTGACTCAGACTCTCGTCAGATGCGCCGCCTTGACAGCTTACAACGCTTGTCTTGGACCCGTCCCGATCAAAGGCGGAGACTACGTCCTCGTTCTTGGTACTGGTGGTGTATCGATGTATGTTACAATTCGCCGACAGTTCTAACCAATGTTCGAACTGACCTGTTAGCTTTGGCGCCCAATTTGCCCTCGCTTCTGGTGCGACCGTCATCGTCACATCATCTTCGGATGAGAAATTGCAAATTGCAAAGAATTTGGGTGTGCAGCACACCATCAACTACAAGAAGAACGATAAATGGGACGAAGAAGTCTTAAATATTGTATGTTTATTCCTGTGACCTTCGCACCAGCGCGCTTGATATATTTAGACCGGCGGTCATGGGGTTGATCACATCATCGAAGTCAGTCTGGGGCCCCAAATATGCATAATTGTGACCAACCTAATCAAATGTGACACAGGTCGGAGGGCCCAATACTATGCTGAAATGCATCAATGCCGTACGCTATGCCGGGTGGATTCATGTCATCGGCTTCGTATCTGGGGTACGCTTCATAGTTGTATCTTTATTGATACCATTTACACAATCTACGCAGGGCGATAATGGCATTCCTGTGGCCCTTGCCATCCTGAAAGCAATCAACTTCCGCGGAATTTTGATTGGCTCTGTCAAACTGTATGATCCAATCTCGCTATTTTTACATATTCATATTGTACTGATAAGTGACTGGTAGGTTTGAGGACATGAACCGACTCATTACAGCGCGTACAATCCGCCCAATGATAGACAAAGTCTTTCCCTTCGAGGAGGCTACTGAGGCCTATGCATACCTCGAGAGCCAGAAGCATGTCGGAAAGGTAGTAATCAAATTGGTGTAATGTGAAATCATGCGAGGATCAAAGGTAGGGATCGAGAACTCCAATATGTATTATAGCATATGTACAATATATATGTAGGATATGTAACAGTTCAATATGCGACTGTCCCTAGACTCATCTGTGCATCATGTGCGAGGCACGGCAAAGATTCTGATAGATGTACGCTCTTCACTGCCCCATAACTTGCAAGAAAAAAACATGCCCTGGTATCTTGCTGGAGTTCACTATCCAGAAAGAGCAAGTAGCGTCATGGGGTCCCATTTGATACGTATAAATCAGGAGCGACACAATCAGTGCGGGATAAAGATGTTGAAAGTGGGTTATGCGTACCTAGGGACCTGAGTACTGTCCGAATTCGCTTTTGCCCCTAGAGTAAGCATGCAAACGGAGTGAGAAAAAAAAAGCCTTTTCATGGTAGTTTAGATGTGTTCTCTTTTGGAGTTGATATGCAATGGCACCCTCCATTGCAGAAACGTTGGATTTGTTGCGTTCTTGTGCGCGGATGGCTAGTAGTATGACAGGCGCAAAAGGGAGAGTCGTCTAAATCATGCTTGTGTTTCTTTGACGTTGTAACTGCAGTTATTAGTGACTGCTTGCTCGAAGATCAGGCTCACCACGACATTGCCGTGTCCCATAATTTTTTGCAAATCAATTCATCAAATCAATTCCAGCTTAAGAAATCCGTGAAGACCTGGTGTTTACTAGTAGCACTAGAAACGAAGAGGAGGACGCTGTGTAAAGCCCATGTCGAGATCCAACTCCCGAGGGCTTTGTGGGCCGTAGTGTCTTGGGCGAATTTGTCAACAGCCATACAGATAGACCGTCACAAGAGTTGATACACAGACTCTGCATGATGAGAGAGGTTTGTGTTTTTCGCTGGTATACCTTTGCCCATGCTCATGGAATTGGGGTTGGAGTTGACTGTCACAACATATGCGTCGCATCTGGACATTATAATTCCTGGCGCGAAGAATCGCAACCATGATGATGGGACTGCTCCTGGAAAAAACATCGACACATAGCGAGCTCAGATGAATATGTGGCCTGAGAGAAGCACCTAGTAATCCAAGGGACTTGCTTCGAACAGACAAATTTTGAACTTTTATGTTCGCCGGTTGCACAGAAACTTCCCTCGTGCGAATCTGTGGATCAGGCATGTTAATGCACTAGCTGGAAGGTCAGGGGCGTCCTTGAAAATCACTTGGGCTGAAAATAGACTGTCGTAGTCAAGTCGTAGTCGACTAAAACGACCCCGTGAGCTAGTCTCCCACAGTCAGACCTTGATAGAAGGAAGACAACTCTCCCACTTTCTCAAGCCCGCCAGTGAGCAGGACAGTTTCTTAGATACCGTGACAACAAACGGGAAATCGCGGTAAATCCTGAGGATGATTACTCGAGAAAAGTGAGTGAATTGAAGCCAGGTACTGTAGCCTCATGCGTTAATATTCAGGTTTTTCCAAGTGTGAAACGGATTTAGGTGCAGATGCACTTGCAAGTCGACGCTTGCTCGACTTCAGGTTCACGTGAATACTTGCTAGACTTCGGCAGCTGCCAGTGGGTCTAGCGGAGCTTAAACTGCGCGCTTTAGCATCACCACGTGCACGTGCAAGTACTTTGTCTCCCGCACTTTAAGTTTGAATGCTCGCTCGCCAACAAAATTAGACCCGATTACGTGTCTGTCACGGAAAATAAACGGGGATTGTCCTCTACTCTCCCGGCGGGGTGCGCTGGTACAAACGCTGCTGCTCCTGCTGGTACTTGATTTGCCTCAGGTCTGGTATCACTGTGAATGATTGAAGTGCTTCAAGGCACACCCGTTTTCCGTTAATACGGAGTCTAATGGGTCAGCTAATGCTCATTGTTTTCAACAGCTGCACCGATGCGTTTCCGTCCGTCCCCGATGATCGGCCTATGTATGTGCGAATTTTGGAAGCCGATCAGTGACCAATATGAAAAACCCCTGTACATTGATAATACTCAAGTTGCCTTGCCGCGGGTGCCACCGTGCCACCGGGTATGATGCACTTGGTTCCCACCACCAATCTTATTCTTGTACTATAAATGATGTGGCAGTCTCCAGAAACTGATGTCGAATTTTCCACCAGATTCCTCAACTATCACAGCTGAAGCTTAAGCAGTGATGTCTCTTCCAAACATTTCCCGTGAATATCGCAGCCAGGTACGCGTCGCGGCGTGACTTGTATCATTACTCGCATAGGTCGGCATTGAAACCATGACATGGTAGGGTGATGGCCACCAGAACTTGAAGCTTCAATCAGTGACTCTCTCGAAGCCGAAGGCTACCGAGGTGACCATCAAAATCCACGCTGTCTCTCTGCAGGTTTGTCTTTATTGTAGTATTGAACCGTCAGAGACTCAACGTACTCGCACTGTCTCGCAGTACCGTGACCTAATGGTCTCCAAAGGAATCTACCCACAGTTAGTATTGTTTTTATATATAATTGATTCACGCTCAACGCAGATCTCACAGGCAAAAGTTTGACATTGTTCCTTGCTCTGATGGTGCAGGGGAGATTGTTGCACTTGGGCAAGATGTCAAGGGATGGAAAGTTGGAGATCGTGTCTGCCCTAACTTTGCAGTGGATCACATTCATGGCGACGTCACTGAAGCCATCAAGTTAACTGGACTTGGTGGTCATATCGATGGCGTGCTTCGGGAGTACATCAATGTCCCAGTTCACGTGTGTTTTCTTTCGATATCATCGTCGTATTGCTTGCGAATATCTATTTAAGTCATTGGTCCGCATCCCAGACCATCTTTCATATGAACAAGGGTCGACTCTTCCGTAAGTTGGCTATATCTTGATATGCTTGTGACTCAGACTCTCGTCAGATGCGCCGCCTTGACAGCTTATAATGCTTTGCTTGGACCCGTCCCGATCAAAGGCGGAGACTACGTCCTCGTTCTTGGTACTGGCGGTGTATCGATGTACGTTACAGTTCGCCGACAAGATTAACCTATGTTCGAGCTGGATCTGTTAGATTCGGCGCCCAATTTGCCCTTGCTTCTGGCGCGACCGTCATCGTGACATCATCTTCGGATGAAAAATTGCAAAATGCGAAGAAACTAGGTGTGCAGCACACCATCAACTACAAGAAGAACGATAAATGGGACGAAGAAATCTTGAATATTGTACGTTCATTTATGCGAACTTTATAACAACACGCCTATGCCAGGCTTTTAGACTGGCGGCCGTGGGGTTGACCACATTATCGAAGTCAGTCCGCCAAACATTCACGATCGTCGCGAGCTTAATAAAGTGTTGTACAGGTCGGAGGGCCTAACACCATGCTGAAGTGTATTAACGCCGTACGCTATGCAGGCTGGATCCATATCATCGGCTTCGTATCCGGGGTACGCGTCGTTGTGGTTATATATTCATTCATATTGTTGACAGTAGTTTGCAGGGTGACAACGGCATTCCTGTAGGGCTTGCCATCATGAAAGCAATCACTTTCCGCGGAATTTTGATTGGCTCTGTCAAACAGTATGTTTTAATCTCGCTATCTCTATTGTACTGATAAGCGACTGGAAGGTTTGAGGACATGAACCGATTCGTTACAGCGCGTACAATCCGCCCAGTGATAGACAAAGTCTTTCCCTTCGAGGAGGCTACTGAGGCATATGCGTACCTCGAGAGCCAGAAGCATGTTGGAAAGGTGGTGATAAAATTGGCGTGAGGTGAAATTACGTGAAACAATCCATCTGTTGTAGTTAAGCATGTACCATACGTGTAGGACATGTAACATGACCGTCTCAAGACTCATATGTACATCGTGTACGAGGAACGACTACATAAGATTCCGGCAGCTGGATATTTATAATTTTCCGTCGCTGCTCCGTAACTTGCATGGAGTTTACATACTATTCAGGCTACAAAGATGTCACGGTTGCTCCATGGAACAATCGAGTCATTGACCCCCGAAATATGCCTCTGAGACGCAAGGCAACTCTGACCGAAAGTCTTCGTTACACAGACAATATCATTCCAACGCCTTCCAGGGCCTAGGAAATATCTCATCGACTCCATGGAAGAAAATGAAGGTCGGATACTGCATTGAGATGCTCCCGAATATAGGCAATTAGGTATTACGCCCGCCGTCTCATCCGGGGCTTCGGGAACTCTAGAGGTGTCTTTAGAATGGCCCTTTTGACTTCTCCCGCAGAATCGGGAAGACCCAAACGCTTCAAATCGGACTGTGTTAACTTGTTGATGTTGCAGCCTGTCAGGCGAACGTAATCAATGATAGATAAAGACGATCGAAATCAGGTTGCGCCTACCTAGGGACCTGAATAAAACATTGACCCTGCTAAGGCATGAGCTCAGTGCACGACTATTGCTGCTGAAAGACTTACTTCGCCGGTTCCATGCTCAAATCAGCAGCGAGAACGCTTGTGTCAGTCGCAAAATCGTCAACGTGAAGGCATAATGCAAACATATGCGTCAGAAGCATAGTCGCTTTTTCAGATGTCTTTCGTGTCCTAGGAATTACTGAGGACTGCTGCCCCAAGGAAGGTGTAGAAGACGTACTCCATGGATGCACGTGCAGTCTCTGTGAACCGTGATAGAAGTCCGTCAACAACGACGGTAGGAACGATAGAGAGCTTTTGTTGAATGGCGGCCTTGTCGATATCTTTAAAGGTGGCCTTGTGGAATGCGATCATTGCTGAGATGTATACGAGCATTTTTCTGGAAATATCACTGCGTCAGTGGGTTCTGGTGATGAATAATACATCTACGTACATGGTAGTCTTGTTCGGTGTAGGAGAGGCAAATACAAGCGCTAAATGGTCATTGATCCAGTTGGAACGCTTGTAGGGGAGAAGAGCGACCCGCTCGGCACTACCGCCCGCGCCCATGTAAGCAGAAATAGACAACGCCTTCCATTCAGGCTTTGGAATCATGTTGTGCAAGGGATAAATATCGCTCGGATTGAGAGCGTCAATGTCGTACTGCGGAACTAAACGAGCACTGTCCGCATTCGCTTTTGCTTCATCTAGAGAGATCATTGAGCATGAAAATGGAATGGGAAGAAAACAAACAGGCCTTTTGATGGTAGTGTAGATGTGTTCTTTAGAATACTCTCTTGGAGGTGATCTGCAACACCCTCCATTGCAGAAACGTCAACTTTGTTGCGCTCCTGCGCGCGGATGGCGAGTTTTGCCTTCTTGGTGCCGAACGTTTCACCCAGTGCAGCCCGGGCCTCAAGCCGCTGAAGAGTAGAAACAGCTGCAGGTTGGAGACCCTTGAGGGCTTTAACATCATGTGTGAGGATGTGCAACGGAGCAGCTCGAAGGGTTGTAATGCCAGTGCGTTTATTATGCACTCCGATAAGGTATCTGCAAAATAAATGATGAAAAAGACAGATATAAGGATCAATAATGAATGCAGAGTGTATGCACGCACCTGCTGCCAAGTGAGCCTCGTTGTGTCTCTTCAGAGGAGTAAAAGTCCACAGCTTCTGTCTCGCCCGCAATCAGCATCGGCATCTCAGCGAACGGCACTTCCTCATTGTCCGTCGTCGGGTTTTGTGCCTTTGTCTTGTAGCATTTGAAAGCAGTGGATTTTGTGGGCTTGACGGAGGGGAAATTAGCTAGTGGACGTGGCACCACCGGCTTTGCTTGAATTGAAAGCTTCTACTGTGACGACCATCTGCACTCACCAAGAACGGGACCCAGCTGCGTTGCAGGCTGGTCTGAGAGTACAAAGGACACCCTTTGAGTGTCGTCTAGATTGCGCTTGCGCTTTTTAGAAGTTACAGTCGCAGCCATTAGTGACTGCTTGCTGGAAGATCGGGCTCACTGCCGTAGCCCGTGACTTTTCACAACACCAGGTCAGTTTCACCTTCTCAAATTTATATGAACTCATTTACACTTTATTTTACAGCGTTTCATACTGGCACTCTCTACACGCCTGTATAGCATTTGGAGTTGAAGTTTTTATTATTAACGTTGACCTCTCTTTCGTCAGAGGTCTTGTTCCCATTTCTAACAGCGGACTCGCACTTACACCCCTACCACAATGTCTAAATCTTGTTCCAAGAGCAAGAGTCCCCCTCCAGACATTAAACCCAAGGTTGAGGAGGGTATCAAGCTAGAAGAATCTCTTTTCCCTTCAATAGACACTAAGCCCTCCAAGCCGGAGCCATCACCGCCCCTCAAGCGAGAATCTTCTGAATCCGCAGCCAGTGTAAAACCCAAACCAACAGGCCCACAACTCATTGGCGACCTTCCGCGCGCGGAACCCGCCGCTCATGCAACATTTGTAGAGATACCTGACAATCACTATCAGTATGGGACGCTTGGGCGCTCAAGAGAAGAGGGAGAGAGCATGACTTGTGACTGTCAATATGACCATGGTTGGTCTGATATCCTCTTGATTAGAGTAGTTGTAGACTCTAAGGTCTTACTGCGTAGGTGTCGACGACCCATCGGATGCCTGTGGGCATGAGTCGGACTGTATCAATCGGCTCACACAGGTGGAGTGCCTCCCAGAAGACTGTCGCTGTCGGATTTACTGCCAGAACCAACGGTAGGCTTAATGTCCTATTTCTTTCCACTACTAACATGCTGCATCCTCAACCATGTTTTCAGGTTTCAGCGCAAGGAGTACGCTAATATTCAGATTGTACAGACAGAAAAGAAGGGGTTCGGTCTTCGAGCGGGTACGGATCTTTCAAAGTGAGATATCTTGTCCTTTCTGAAGCGTTATAAACTCTTAACATTGCCTAGGGATGCATTCATCTATGAGTATGTCGGCGATGTCGTCAGCCATCCTTCCTTCATGAAGCGTATGCGTCAGTATGGGGAGGAAGGGGTCAAGCACTTCTACTTCATGATGTTACAGAGAGATGAAGTACGTGGCCTCACCTTCCGGTTCCTCTACAAACCACTGATGGTCTTTCGCCGGGTTTCCAGTACATCGATGCTACAAAGCGAGGCGGTATTGGCAGATTCGCAAATCATAGTTGCAATCCCAACTGCTATGTCGCGAAATGGACAGTGGGAAAGCACGTCCGCATGGGCATCTTCGCAAATAGGTACATACGAAAAGACGAGGAACTCACCTTCAATTACAATGTGGACCGTTACGGGTAAGCTCAGTTCCTTATTGATTTTCAGATGAGCTCATATGTCTAAGGCATGAGGCACAACCGTGTTACTGCGGAGAGGCGAATTGTGTGGGCTTCTTAGGTGGCAAGACCCAGACTGATATTGCTGGGATGGATGACCTTTACCTTGATGGTGCGTCTGCTAGCGAATACCTGGGATATAATTGACAATGCTCCTCCTTTATTAGCATTGGGTATTACCGACGAGGTGGAGAAGCTAGGCCTCAAGGGTAGTAAGAAAAAGAAGGGTAGAAAGCTTGATGAGGACTACATGGTATGTCTTGCGATCGTTCTCGTCTCTTCTGTTACTCACCGTCTTTCAGCCAGAGCTTAAACCTCTTCTTGAGAAGGACATTCCCAAGTTGGTTCAAGCAATCCGACAAACCCAAAGTAAGAAAGTCCTTTTCAAACTTCTTACTCGAATCAAGGTATGCCTTCATATTGATCTTTTTGGAAAGTCTAATGAATTGTCCTTAGATCACCGAGGACCAAGCGGCACTGCGCCAGGTTATGCGTTTGCGAGGCTTCAGTTTAATGCACAATATTCTCGAAGATCACGCTAAAGACATCGACATCACAATCGCCGTGAGTCATTATTCTCAAGTAGGGGTGGCCACATAGTAACGCAAACTCTTACAGGCCTTGGAGGCCATGAGCCGCTGGCCGCTTATCCAGAGGAATAAGGTTGATGATTCGAAGATTACCATACCTGTTCGAATATGTCTCGAGTCGGACAACGAGTCCATGAAAGGACTTGCTCAAAAGGTCGCTAGTACCATTCCTAAACGCATCACCATTTTAACGGGATAGTTATAGTTATTGGACCACTGGGACACCCTCGAAATTGCATATCGCATTCCCAAGCGAGTCAAAGCTGTAAGCTAGTATTTCGCTTCCAGTAAGAGCACAGTTTCATTAAAAATATGCAGGATGGCGAGGAAGAGCAGCCTCAGCACCACATTACCATGATCGACTCGCTAGAAGGGGAACTCCGCCCACTCAAGAAGCCAAAATGGCAAGACCAGTACGAGCAGCACGATTTCCGCCCCGCCCCTAAACGCCCGCCCTCTACTTCTGTTGTCACCGTTCAGCCTCAGTGGCCCGTTTGGACTCCGCCAGTGGTTAATAGGCGATCGAAAGACGAAATTGCTGCTGTGATCGCCGCTGCAAAAGCAGCTGCCGAGGCGGAGGCTGCCAAGGCCCCCCCTCCGTCGCCTCCTCCACAGGAGAAAAAGGCGAAGAAAGAAAGACCTCCGAAAAAGACTCAGACAACAGAGGAAAAGGAAACAAATAAGGAGAAGAGGCTGTTGAAGCTCGTGGGCGCAGTCGTCGTCAAATGCATGTCCAAGTATTCAAAGCAGCTTAACCACGACCAGTTCAAGAAATATGCTAAGGAGGTCTGTGCCGTCTTACTGCTCTCCAAGGGGATTGTCCACTGATAGCACTCCCCAGCTTACGCACGTCATTGCTGAGAAGGAGAAGAAATCTTCCAGCTACAAAGATGGCAAACTGGACGCACTATCTGACGAGAAGGCAGCAAAAATCAAGAAGTTTGCGAAGGAGTACATTTCCAAAGTGCTCCGAAGGCTTGAGAAATCTAAGCGAAAGGCCTCATCGTCTGCCGCTCCAGCGGCCTCAGTCGAGGGACATGATCACGAAGAGGGAGGCGACGTGCCTATGGTGATGTCTGTCGACGAAGCAATGGATCTTGGTGATGGGTCAGAGAGTGAAGCGGATGATGCGGACAGAGGAGGCGATGTAGAAATGCAGGACATGGAAGACATGCAACATTCTTCGGACGATGTTGATCCGTCCCCGAAGGAAGGAGTCACTGAACACCCTCCACAGTCCCTCACTCCAATAACACCACCAGACGCCACTATCGATCCTAGACTACGGCATCGGCTTGAAGAGCCAGGGAGTCCTTCAAAATATTGTTGGGACTCGAGTACATAGCACTTACTCAATCGTTATCTCCTATCTATCACGCTAAGTATTCGCCTTCTCACTTGCCATAGCCATTAGATCGCACCAAGTTTTTCATCGCTGGACAAATTGAACGAAACCTCTTGGAGTTGCACTGATTGTGCTTACCCTTGCACTCAGGCCTTTATAATGAACTGCAATATACTATACAATACACGTCAGTTGAGTACTACCCACACTATGCTAGCACGGGAGGACAATGATCAAGAATTAATGCAAACAGTAGTCCGTACGTATGTATAAGTCGCTCCCAGGTTTCGGTCCAAAAAGTTACAAGATATCACACCTGTCAAGTACAAGTTACAACTGGAATACAATCATCACCTCAACCCTCCATGTTCAATCTCTACCGTAGACAACCCAGTTCCAGACTTCAAATCCATATGAAACAATGCCCTGTCCCAACGCGCTCTTAACCACGGCTCGTCTCCCCTCATGAACCTTACCCTAGCAGCACTAAACACTAGTATTTCCAGGTAATCGAGTATCATCACTGTGCTCACAGCGAGAAAATCAGACAAACTGGTGAGAGACGAAGGAGCAGTAAGGGGATGAGGCTGAAGGATTTTGCCACGTGAGCCCAAAGGGAGAACAGTTGATCTTATGAGGTGAGTCAAACGGGACATGATTGTGTTTGATTGGCTTGAGTGGCTGTAGATTTTTAGGAACAGTTCTTTATCAGATACAGTGAACAGCCCTTCGGCAGTGCCCAATGCTAGCAAGAATTCTGCGGAGGGCGCAAGGAAGGCTTGGATGAAAAACTGTGGGGAAGTATAGGATATTGACAGGGTCCGGCGGCTGGAATCATCCAGATTGGACGAGAAAGTGATAAGCGGAACCGAAGGATTTCCAGAGATGAGGTTGACAACGATGCTAACTTCCTGGCATCGCCGCTGCAGAAAGGAATAGAAACGTTGCCGGAAGTACTTCTCCATGAAGCTTTCCTTTTGCCATATAATCCCCCCTGATTTGAGGTCCCCGCTTGATTGTCGTATGGACGGATACGGATCTGGTTTTGCGAAAATGTTAAGCCTTTTCCTATAGTGCAGGATGAGTGCCTGATAGAGGATCCGAGGGAGCGTGTTGAAGAGAATCAGGAAATTTGCCACGAGGGACAAGATAAGGTTATGCGTTGTGAGCGGCGAGGAGGTGGTAGTACGGAGGAGGGCAGTAAGCTTTAGCGGTCCAACTCCAGGAGTTGCTGCGTCGGTGCTGTCGGGGTCTGGCATATACAAGTAGATCGAGACAACCGGGCGTGGGGTATCAGATAAAGGCAATGAAGGTGCTTTGACAGCAACTGTGTAAAACCCGGTACGATCGTTGAAGGGAGAAACGAAGAAATTTCGGGGAAAAGTCCATTGATGATCGTAGCTGAATTGAGACAGGTTAGAGAAAGAAGGGCTATTAAAATGAGACCTTACCCTCGTGCTCGGTTGTTGTCTTCGCAATTACCCACCTCGAGCACGTATACGTGACCCTCCCCAAAAGTATTATGAACCTAGAACTTCATAAGCTAAGATGTACTTCTGGACCAGGGTTGTTAAATCGCACACCTCTAGGACAACAAACTTCAGAACATTAGAGTTGTTGTAGCTGAAATAAACGGTCAAAGGATTCAAGCCTTCGAAGCCAAAGATGCTGGGCATCGTCATCATCCAGACGTCACCGAGCACACTTGCATCGAACCCGCGTTCCGAGAGAGCATATTCCAACTTTGCTCTTATCGAAATAACCTTGTGCTTTTCGCCAAGATACTTTATGGCACGGATGCCGACAACATTGCGCCAGACACTCCCATATCGAAATAGCCATCCACCGAGTAAATTGAGGCCATAAGACTCGAGGTCGGTGAGCGAGACGAAGATGAAAATAGTGGAATATGTAAATGAGTGGGCAGATGGAGTTGGGAGGAAACGAGCATGCGTGACCTGATTTCGAAGGATGTGCCCTTGGCGGATTCTGATTCCTTGCGGAGAGATGTTCTGATTGTAAGCTGTACGTAAAACGTGATAAATGAAGCATAACAATAAGGACAGAGCGAGCGAGTCGACAACATGAATATAAGCCATTATGGCGGTTGAAAGTCGTGAGCCTTGGTGAGAAGATCGAGGAAGACCGAGAGTTTGTTACTTGAAAGTTGACAGGAGACGCGGACAATCGCGCATCACGTGATTGACTTTCACTTATCACATGACTTCAGTTTCTGACCAAAGTCACTTGTCATGCCAATTTCTTCATCTTCTACTACTTTGTGAGCTCTAGATGCTGCCTGTGACTGTGGAGGAGAGCAAGGCTCAGCGTCTTCAGAGACAACAGGCACGATTCAGGGATCGTGGAGGGTCAGTACTCAGTGCTCCCCCTACCTACATACGTGTATCGATTCAACTCAATTGGTCTCTGCAGTGCATTTATTCCCTCGGAGAATAATCCCCTTAAAGATATTCTGCTGGCTCGCACTGTTTCTGGAGAGTCCCCTTCAAAAGCAGCCACCAAATCACCCTACCGCCACCGAAGCCTTAGCGTATCTCCATCAAAGGCTAAACGCAACAAGGTAGCCAGCAAAGCCCAGGGGAGCCCTGCGAAGGTCAAGGTTTCACGTTCAAAAACCAACACCGAGGCTCCAGCGGGCTTTGTGAGTGGAAATGCTGCAGCAGGTGCGTCTCACTGTTTCGCGCTAAATGTCCTCAGTCGATCATCGTGCAGGTCCCTCTGCTGAGTTTGGAGGTAAAATCTCGAAGGCGCAGACAAAGAAGAAAGTAGACCCGACTGCTCGTAAGGGCAAAGGCAAGGCCAAACCTACTGATGGTTAGTTCTTCTCCCATTCTGCTCAGATTATTTCCCATACCGGTTATCAGGTAACGATGTCTTCGAAGCAGAAACCACCAAAGTCAAACCTGCTCCAAAGCGCAGAGGACGGCCCCCGAAAACCAAAGTTCAAACCAGTGATCTTGGCACGTTCATTGTCATCATCATATTTTTGCATTATGTAGACGATAATTCACCCAGATATCGATGCTGAACCATCAAACCGCAAGGCGCGGACGTCAAAGGCAAAGCCACCCGATAAATCCAAAGTCAAAGCCAAATTAGCGGAGGCGCCTCAATCAGACGACGAAGGCACCCTAGTGGAAGCTCCCCGACCAAAGGCCCACTCTAAACGCAAGCCTGTTATCGTCACAATCGAGTCCGATGATGAGGACGTGCCTATGCCTAACAATAAACCTGCAAATGTTGAGCCTTCCGCGATTCCGAAGCCTTCCGACAAGCGGCCCTCCACCAAAGATGCTCCACTCAATCGCGCGCAAGCCAAACAACGCACAGAGAATCGCAAGGAGCACTCAGATGAAGGTAACATTCTTATATATCTATGAAACGCTGCTAACATCATCTGAACACCTGCATTCAACAGCCCAGCCGACAGATGCTTCTCGGACGCGGAAGCGTTCAAAGTGGACGGAAGCCAATGAGGAACCTTCAAACCCAATGAAAACAAAAACCTATGGATCTCTGACCGTAGATATTCCCATGAAGAAGACTCCCACCAGCTCCAAGCGCAGTGTACCTGCTGACGATGCCGGCAGAGATGCGGAACAGCCCGTCAAGAAAGTTAAAGTTGCCAAACACCAAAGCGCTAAATCTATGCCTCTATATAACTCCAGTGCGATATCGAAACCTGTTGCTGAGGACCCTGCTGTCAAGAAACCTCTTTCAGCTATGAAGAAAGATACAAAAAGGAAGAAGGAGCGCCCACCGGAATCCGATGACGAAGATCACATGCCTAAGAAACCTGCTTCAAAGAAGGCAAGGTTTGATGAAGAACAGAAACCAGGGTACGTCCTATCGCAGAAACTGGTCGAGCGTTCCCATAATCTGCGCCTTCAGTGTGCAAATTTCCTCCGAGAAACAGAAAGAGAACGCCCTTCCATCGAGAAAGCCGAGGACTGGGAAGGTCAGTTCCATATAGTTCAGTGTTCTAATCTTTTCTCACAAGACGATTTATAGCTCAAATCCAAATCCAGAGGTCCCCCCAAGGATGTCCTAGACCGCATTAAGGCAAGCGCTACATTGCATCGAATTGACGATAGCGAGCCAGATCCGCTTGACTGCTTGTCATGACCGTTATTCGCTTGCGAATAAATTTGCATCGCATATCGATTATATATGTACACTTACTAACACGCTAACCAACCTATCTTTGTTGTCAATCATTTTCGCTTTGTTACATTTCCATTGGACCGCTGATATATACATTATTCCACCGGGAAAGTAGCTGCCTGGCACACCCTCTTGTAGAATGTTTAGGCGGACCGTGGCAAGTTAAACTTTAGAACCAGGAGGCCTAGATGTGCTGAAAAAGTTGAACTTGGTTCCAATTGCTATTTGATAACTAAAAACGTTGTAAAACGTCACGCCAACGTGAAACAAGACAGCAAAATTAAATGGCCACACAAGGAGTATATCATCCACCCGCCACTTACGCATATTCATCTACGCAATCAATGCCTTTCGACGCATTTAATGTGCCAGAGAAGGAAGCAAACTGATCATTATCTCCTATTATTTCTATATAACGACACCAGATGCAGCGGGAAGAACAGCGTCCTCGTCGCGACCTATCGCAAATGATATCATATGAGCGTGATCGAATAAAGGGAACAGGGTCACACCCACCCTCATAAAACTTCTGCAGGAATGACCGCTGCGGCCGCTGCGTATTTTGGAGCAAAATCCCATAAATATGGTCCGGTTGTTTCCAGCAGTTCAACGTCTCCTGCAATTCCTGCTGACCCTTGAGCAGTAGCACCTCGATGGCGCGCTGGTCTGTTACGTGACGGTTCTGCTCAAACTTCTGGCGAATGCAATGGCGCAGGTAGGCTGGGGTGACGTTCAACGCATAAATGGTACAAATCTCAGGAGCCTTGAAGATTGTTCGGTTAATGTCGGATATGAAGCTAGCTCAGTCGGCGGCGCACGTACAGTACGGACCCATGCCCTGTATAGGTCAATAACTCGAAGGCGCGCTTCTGCGCGGCTGCTCGAGATGCGCGTCATCTGCGCGAGTCGGGAGGGTATTGTGGTCATGGTCGATTTGAACCCGAACTTCTGTGTAGCGAGCGTTGCAAAACGGAATAGAGGTGCTGACATAAGCTTGGCCTAAGTCCATTTGGCTAGTGCACCTTTTTATCTTATCCGCCTGGAAGCGATTTGAATCTCTTCACTCCTCACAGCACCACACCCAGGAAAATAAGATGGTCAGAGGAACAGGTAACCGGTCAATTCTGACGGTATCTGAGGTGCATATTTTGATGCTTATTGAACAGGCAAGTTCAAGACCAAGCGTGGCGGCGGAAGGAATTTCAGGTACCGTTCACCCACAGTTGTCATCCCATCGTACACGCTGAATAGTGTTGTTTAACTTAGCAAACACCTTGAAATTGATGAGAACGGAACTGCTGTATCACTTGATAAACGATGGTGAGTTTTTCATTGGAGATAGTCATGGCACTTGGTACAATGATCGTCCTGATCAGGGCTCCTCGTGGTCAAGAGGGCGAGGCCGACTCAGATGAGGACAACGAATTGGAGGAGGAGGAAGAGGAGGAAGATGATGAAGAAGAAGAGGGAGAGGGAGAAGAGGCCAGCGGCAGTGCCGCACAGCCTGAGCTAAGTCGTGCTGAGCGAAAGGCGCTCAAGAAGAAACAATTGGAGCAGAAACAGCCGGAGGGAGAGGACGAAGCAGATGCAGATCTAATAAACCCTAATCATGTCGAGAAGAAGATGAACATATCTGATCTTGGTGCACCCCGAGAGCTAACCCGTAGAGAAAGGTGGGGTGTGTACGCCTCAGGAATACTATCGCTGACTATCTATCTCTCAGGGAGGCAAAGGAGAAACAAGAAGCCAAGGATCGCTACTGGAAGGTTAGTTTGACTGGCCGAAGCATCATATAATGTTTCGTCTTCATTCAGCTCACTCCTTTGACTCTAGCTACATCTTGCTGGCAAGACCGATGAAGCAAAGTCTGATCTCGCTCGTCTCCGAAAGATCAAAGAGGAGCGCGAGGCTGCTCAAGCCAAGAGGAAGGCTGAAGCTGAAGGTTCGCTACAATGTCCACACAAGTCATCCGCAATGATACTCACTATCCCGCAGCAAAGGCCGCAGAGATAGAGGCCAAACGCAAGGCAGCCGAGAAGAAACGTACTTGATTATCATGTTCCAATCGTTACCAAGACACTGTAATAAATAGTCTCTGCTGCTCGCATTGCACACTGTAACTCTTTAATTCTCCTATGAAGCGCTTAGCCTGGGATTGAGCGCGTTGGGCGACGTTTCTGTCTTATCGATTGCCAATCCAGCCAGCATAGCTGTAAGGCCGCAAGGAATATAGAAGACGCAAGATAGGATCGCGAGGGAAGTGACCAAGACACTGCGGCTAGGTATTGGGTGCACTTCTGGGAACCTTAAGGCACCCCGATGGCGAGTGTTTTCCTCCATGACCGCAAATAATTTGTCAAGTATCTTGTGGACATCCTCTAATGATAATAGTTAGATCCTCGCAACATTCGAGAAAAAGCATAGGCCACCTTCCCGTGGGTCTGAGCCATGATACTGTAGTTTCATGCTCTTTGAGAAATACTGGTTTCTAACGAATCTAAAATCTGCATGCTCTCGCACACGAGCCCGTACAGTTCCTTCAGAAATATGAGCATGTATAAGGCGCCTATCGTTCAATCAAACATACCATCTTCAGATAGTGCAAGGAGAGCCACTGCACCGCCAACAACACGGTAAGACCGATCATACACCAACAATTTCAGTATGTCCGGAATTCCTTCCAAGATAACCGATTGAAACTCTTCCACGACAAAGCTCAAGGCTTTTTCAGAAGAATCTCGAACCCCGAAAAGGTTGTGGAGTGCCATTGCAGCGTTCTTTTGTGAGTCCCAGTTCTGCTGGTCCAAGGCCGCTACTATGGCGCGGAACATGGGAACCTTGGAATCTTTAATCAACTCTTTTCCATCGGCTTTAATGCTCCTTAGCATAAGATATTGATATTGAGTATAGAAATGCGTGCTCACGATAGTTGGACATGATATCCAGGAAGTCAAATGCCGCATGATTCAGCTCCGTTTTACCCTTTCTGAACATGGCACAAAGGGCCGCTGTTGTGTGGGCTTTGAGAACAGCTGCCCTCAGGTCATCTATAATAATGTTGAGATCACGAGAGGGGAAACGCAGCAGCGCACAAGCTTACCGTTGTGCATAAGACGTCCGAGCACGACTTTGCCGGGTTCATTCTCGACCGTCCCGTTGAATGATCCTCGTTTGAAAGTGCCGACGATGTAGGTAGATGCGGATAGCTCAAACATAGCTTTTCTGATGTTCTCTGAATTGCATATAGGTAAAAATTCAATCACGACATCAGGTGAGACACTGACCGTGGTCCAGGATAAGAGAAAACGCGTAAGCCGCAAACAAACACTTCTTCTGGTGTTTTAGATGATTGACTAACGTCTCAACAACACCCTCCTCGATTGCCCTAAATCGTATGAATGCTAAAATAAGTTTAGCAGCGGTAGAGATATCATCGTTCAAGAAACTCACGATGCGGGAGAATCGATAACATTGCAAGAGTAGCTCCATTACTTGTTTCTTGTCTTCGACTTTTCATCAATGACGCGAGGTGTTTAATGTGTCCTTTGCCAATCAAGGCTTCCTGAACATCAACTAGAGGTCTGCTAGTCAGCACTTGTATACATAGATGTCAATGCAGCTGCCGTACTGTGGTGTGCAAGATGACGAAGAATATGAATGGCAGGATCCTCGATATCAGTCAAACGATGTTCTAACATGTCGACCAAAAGCTCAAGAAAGCTACTTTCTGGTTTGAGCAAACTCTGACGGAAGGTTTCTGCATCTGAGTGTGAGCTCAACAGTCAAGGGGTCTCATAAGAAAGTTACCATGTGTTGCGTATGCACATATGACATTGCCCACCGGCGGTGAGATGTAAAAGTCGTGCTGTTTCAAATGCTTGATGAGCACAGGAATGAGACCCAGGACCTTATTTTGTGCAGTTTCTGTAACGGGCTGTCGAGCATACGTCTGCGTTTAAAGAAAACCCGAACATACCATCATGGACAAGGGCGGCAAGTATGCGTAAGGCCGATACCAAGATTTCTTCATCTGCGATCAGTGAAGTCATTTCCGATATAAAGGCATGACTGGGATAATAACTTACGCTCGCTGCCGAGAAGATCAGTGATACCCTTCGCTGCTTTGTCTGTCAAAGCTGGTCTATACCCATCTGAAGACATCTCAGTCACATTGTGCGTAAGTTCCTGTGCTGGACTACGAACCGCGGCGAGCAAGCAACGACAAAGTCTGTGATGCATGAAGTTGCACCGTCAACGACTCGGTTTCAGAGACTCCTCCAAGGTCCAGTACACGCTGGAATGTTTTTTCGCTCAAGATCTCGCTCCCTACCGCAGCATGCTTGACTAGGGCGGGAAGGGCTTTGCAGGCTCGAATCTGATTAATATCGTCCTTGCTCTCCAGCATTCTTAACACGTCAGCGGCTGCCTTTTCCAAGTACTCCGCGCCAAGTTCGGGCACTGTGGAAAGTGAGAGGACGATGAGAGGACGATGATGCAACAGATTCGACGTGACTTACATAGTTCGCTCAGTGCAACGGTAGCACTGACACGTACTTTCGGATCGTCACTGTAACGGATCAACTCATTTAATTGGCTCTCCCAGCCACTAGATTTTCTGATCGCAGCTCTTCCTTGTTCTGTAAAGTGCTCAGAAGATAAACTGCGTTTAGAAAAAAAAAAGCTCACTAAATGAAGCCATGAATGATAGTCGGTCAACTGCCTCGAAACACTCCATCCCGTGTAATTGAATATCTCTTAAAAGTGAGCCCACGGTTGATGCATCAAATATATCCTTCTCCCACAGTGGTCCCAGTTTCGAAAGCCGTTCATGGCTGGCTGGATCATTCCAGTACATTAACTCTGGCCAGACGTCGAAATCCCTCCAGAATTTGGCCTTGGCTCGATAGTTGCCTTTGAAAAGCACAGAAGCGTGAATCTTCTGTCCGGGGAGGATCTCCCTAGGCTTGCCACGGTGGAGCCTTCAGTAGATTCATATGAATTCATCATGCTCAGCGAACAGCTCACACAGCACGTACCCGAATGTGTGACTGTCTTGAGTGCCATACACGACCCGCTTGATAGGAGCAAATTCCAGCAACCACCATGTTCTCTGCAGTGATTCGAATGTTCTTTTCTGCAAGTCGTCCATCTTCCAAACAACTTCTGTGGGCTTCACGATCAAGCCTGCCTCGACAGCCTCCTTTCGCATCCAGAGCAGTGGAATGTCACCTGATTGAAGCTTCTCGTTGAGTCGATTGCCTCCGCCACTACAAATGACGGTTATAGAATTGAAGGTGCGGAGATTCAAGGTATTGAACATACACGTCCGAGTGACTGCCCGCAAACCAGACCTCCTTGATGCGGTCGGAATGAGAACCTTCTGTAGTTGCACCATGGATGTACTCCGGAAGAAATTTGACTCGCCGCTCATCCAAAGCAAGGGCATGTCTGAAATAGCACATATGGTGGTCGCGGTTGGTGGTCGAAGGTAGCGTCTTTCCCCTCACAACGCCAACTGAAGAAACAGTATCCCTTGACATGAATGAATAACAGATATTAACCATGCTTCAAAGGTCACGGTCTTACCATACGCCAATGAAATGAATGTGGACGTGCGATCTGCAGAATGTGCTCTTGAACGTTTCAGCAAGCTCATTCGCCATGGCGTGTTTGCGCCGAGACTTTTTTCTCCCTGATAACTTTTCATCTATTTTCGAGTATAGCTCGAAGGCGCTAAATGTTACCAAGATGAGAAGGAAGCGATGGCACGAGATGAGACTATGCTTACAATGGTATTTGCTCGTTGTTGCCGGGGAGAATTAAGCCGACCTAGAGTAACAAGAGTCAATGATCGTTTCTGGTTAGCACGTCAATCCAGACGACCCACGCGGTGTATCATCCCAGCAATTGCTCGGGCTTGGTAAGCACCCCTAGAAAAACCTTCGACGAGATCATCCGAGGTTACCATTGCGTCTAGCATGAGAACCTACCGAAGAGGTAAATCCTATCACCATCTTGATAGTTTTCTGATATCCATCGATATGCTGCCAATATCACTCTTTCAAGATTCCTGAATTGTTGGTCAATGATGCCGTATAAGGTTCAACCGCGCCACGTACCAAGCTATAAGCAAATCCACCTTATTGCTCAGCCAATACTGGACATATTCAAGAGAGCGCCAGGTCGGCCGCGCGAGTGTGCCCACTCCGCTGTTATAATAAGTGAGTTGTGTGCCAGATTTTACAAGTTGGCTGTAGAGTTCGACGACATTAGTGTTCTGCACAGTCGTTAGCCAAAGAAACTCAATAAGGTACATACGCACCCTCAGTCCAAACCGGTTCGATGATCCATCAATACAGACCACTAAATTCCTGCCCTCCTTGTCTTTGGAGTACGGACATGTATATTTATGTGTAGGAGAGACTGCAGTCGTAGGACTCGGACAAGGTACATCAGTGGTGAGATGTGGCGAGGACATGGTTGAGGAAGTTCCGCATGAGATTCCAGAACTTATGCGCGCGTCGGGCGCTAGATATTATGAGCACTGAATCAAAACCAGGCAAGCGCGTGATTATTAGCTTACTTCTCGATCAAAAATCAACACCATGACCAATTCGAAGCCCAAATCTGACACGGGAGGCAGGTACTATTATTCTTTCCGGTTAGTTACACCATTTAAATCATTCATATGCGAATTGAACGCACGGATAACGAAACGTTTAATCAGACCATTCTACGGAACGTGACTAAATTTAGGGTTTCGCGGGACGGATCGCACAGCAGCACTAGAACTCGGCCCTTCGAGAAGGACACCTGAATAGCGGCCGACACTTTGGGATTGGTGGGCATTAACATCAGGGGAAAGATGCCAAGGGTTTGGTCGGACCAGCTCACCGGAAAATTACATACGCCCAATGGCCAATTGCGACATCACGGCAGAACCGCATACTAATTTCCGGAAAACTCGTTTTCATACAGGCTTTTGAACACTTCGGAGTTAATGCTATTTGCGGAGGCTAGCACAGAACATATGCACTGTGACTAGACACATCTCACTCACTTGAAATTAAGCCATCGAAGTCAGGCTCTAGACTGGTCACGTGCTTGCGCGCGCGAGCCTCCCAGATATAGACAAACAATCCCACGACCGAATAAGTCTAGACGAGTATGAATACTGGAAAAGCGATCAGCAGTCATTGTTACGGTTATGTGCACCAGCTGACAAGCTGGCGACTTGCAAAATACAAGTTTCCAAAACAATTAAACAGTCACCACCTCGGTCATAACCCACATGCCAACAGTCTCATGCAGGATCCAAGACCGCATAGCAGCATGCAGTTCAGACGAGAGAACAACCCAAGTCGGCGCATTTACCAATCAACGTGATCCGGATGCAGGAGACAGGAGAGATAAATGGTATTGCTCCTCAAGAACGATAGCGTGTATTGTAACTAGTGACAAATGTCTAAGATACTGAAAGAAACTGAAAGGAAAGACGCACTGTAGTATTAACTCTAGCGTCTACTTGAGCTTGGAGAACAATTTTGGTGCGGCACAAGCCTAATCAGAATGTTGAGTGAGAACTCCTAGGGGTGAGAAGATAATATACATACGTCGGCACAGTGCATCATGCTGTATATGACGCCGTTAATCAGAGTATCAAGGATAAGAAACGGACGACTCACTGGACTGCATGTAAAGGAGTCGAAATAGGAAAAATCAATATGAATGTCGTATAAATAACGATGTAACCCACATCTATAATCACAATATATGAGCGTTATGCCGAGGTAAGTATTCAAATATCAACTCACAGTTCCTCCACACAATCCTCGCCTTTAAAGCCTTGTCCAGCTTGCACCTTCTCCTGGCAGTGTTCGAAGTGTCTCGTTAGAGAAACGCATGCTGCTGAGTTTTTGCACTCCTCCAGAATAACAGGGTGATCCTGTAGACCGGACTGGCATCAACAGGAGAAGACAATGTATCCGGAACTGAGAGACATACATCCTCAGCTTCCACTTCCTCTTCTTCCTCGGACTCTTTCGATGTTTCCCCCGCCTCAGCAACTTCCTCCTCCTTTGTTTCACTTTCTGGCTGCTTCTCCTCCGGTGCGTCTCCGTGCACGGTGTTGAAGAAAGACGAGAAAAACGATGTCACAGACATGGACGCGACCGACGATACAGTTAGACTTTGCACGAAAGAACAACTTCGCGAATTTCCGGGTTGAACCTTAAGGCGCCGCTTCAATCAATCTGCGCGGCTGTGTCCGAGACTCCGAGTACGATTTGGAGAGCTGGGCCTTAGCACAGTACCTTGCCATCTCGAGGTTGTTTACGAGTGCAAAGCCAGTCCTCGACATGCATGCTGCGATGTTCTAGAATCTTCAATGTTTCAGAGACCATTACTGGCCATTGATTCTGACGATCACCTACAAGTCAACACCACAAGCTTCCACACTCGTCTTGCTCTGTATCAAAAGCCGGTCGAACTTTATGCTTATTGTGACCTAGTGGCACCAGAAGCTTGAAGCTTGAAGTATGAGAAATATAATCTTCAGGACCTGACACATGGTATAGTAATCCTCTCGGACGCCGCTCGGCAGTGACAGTGACAGTGAGCGCCTTTCCTGTCGTTATTTAAATCGTGCTGATAGGCTTTCATTTCGCTGCTAGTAAGGTGTTTCATGTGGAAGGTCTAACTAGGTCCGTGGATATATGAGTTTCTTTCAGGTGAAACAAAAATAAGCTTATCGACCATGTGGAATAGATGAGCGCCAATTACTGAGCTAGACTGCAGTCAAGCATGATGATTAGGACATCCTGCGCTGAATCCGCGGTATCGTACACCTTTCATTTGTTGAGATAGCAAGACAGGTCAATATTTTTTCGTGATCTGTCTCGGTCAGGTTATTAACCTTCAGAATGCATCCATTATTTTGACTTATCGTCTCACGCTTGCCACACACAGCTCGCCAAAGAGATTTCTTTGACTATGACATGCACAAGGATGAAGAAGCACCTGACTTCTAAAATGTCATCCCGGATAAGAATTTTCATAAAAGCTGAGATCAGCATGATCCAACATTGTCTCTGTGCAACATGACCTCTAACGTCATCCACGAGAGTGGTATCTCCAACCCCGACGACCTCGCTTCTCCCGTCATGAAGGAGAAGTATTCGGCATCAATTGGTGATGATATATCCACAGTTGAGCGCAATTCTCAGGATCCCAATAGTGATGGTGGAGAGTTCGTGTCTGGTGGTCGTTTCATTAACACCGACGATCCTTTCCCCCTCGATCCCAATGCCCCTGTAGAAGAGAGACAGTTGACCATCAGGGCTCTGCTTGTCGGCTGCCTACTAGGGGCAGTTATTTCTGCAAGCAACGTTTATTTAGGTTTGAAGGTCTGTGAATATATTTGGAGAGACTTCATATTCTGATGCCTGTGTGAAGACGGGGTGGACCTTCGGAGCGTCACTGTTTGGATCAATATTTGGTTTGGCTGTTCATATGTCATGGCGCAAGTGTCATTTACTGTTGATTTGCAGGCTTCGCTATCCTCAAGCCCTTTTCTACCACAGCACCACGCTGGCTTGGAGGTGGCTATTTCGGTCCCAAGGAAAATAATGTGTGCCAATCTGCAGCGTCTGCTGCTGGTAGTCTTGGATTGCTTTTCACCTCTGGCTTTCCTGCTGCGTACCAGCTCGGTCTTCTCAGCGCAAGTCCTCGGGATGATATTGGTCGACTATTCACGTTTACTATTTGCTGCGCTTTCTTTGGTCTTGCATTTTCCATCCCGCTCCGGAAATTCTATATTTTGAAGCTCAAGCTCGTGTTTCCTTCCGGTGTTGCCGCAGCGTACACCATTCGCTCGCTCCACGTGGGCAAAAACGCTGCGATGGACGCTAAAAAGAAGACCAAAGCATTGATAATCTCCTTCTGCTTTGCGATCACTCTGCGCGTCGTCAGCGAATATGCTCCTGGGCTTCTTTGGGACTGGCATATTTTTTATGCGCTCAATCGACTGGGGTGGAAATTCATCATTACCGCAGAGAGTTGGGTCAGTCTCTGCTGTTGAATGCGAAATATTTGTCTTCTAAAGCACAGCAGGGGTGGATTTGGGAGTGGACGCCGGCGTTCATTGGTGCAGGGATGCTCACAGGTATCAACTCATCGTATAGTTTCTTGGGTGGTGTGAGTTCGTTTATACTCTGCGTGCTCGTCCTATATAACGCCTGCAGAGCTTCCTTGCGTGGGCTATCATCGGACCTGTGATTGTTCATACGGGCAAAGTATGCACAGAACCCCTTGCCCACTCGCGTATCTGACAGGGTCACAGGCCTTTGGTATTCCGGCAGTTACATCTGTCCCTGGGCAGATGAATTACGCATCCATGTGCGTGATCTTCATCCTTGTTTAAGTACACCCCAGTTGAACCAATTGCCTGGAGGTCCTTGACCGATCCTATTAACCACCCGTCGCCGCGCTACTGGCTGGTAAGAGTCTATTTTATAAAGAACTGTAGTTCCAGTGCGCTCATCGTGTGCAGGTCTGGCCCGGCACACTCATGTTACTGTGCACGAGTTTCACCGAAGTTGCCTGCAACTGGAAGTCCATTTATTCGGCCGCGCGTTTTGCGATGGGTGCCCTCACGGAACGGTTCCACGGAAATTCGTATGAAACGACCGATACAGAAGAGATCGTGGATCCTGTACCACCCGAAGATCGGGTTCCATTCTGGCTCTGGGGTGGTGTGCTCGTTGCTAGCATCATAGTCACGTGTCTTGTCATGGGTGTTCAGTATGGCCAGAACGTTGGTATCACAATTCTCGGTGAGACATGACTCCTTCACGATGACCCGCGCTTGAATTTTCGAGTCTAGCCATTGTATTCGCATTCATATTTAGCTTCATTGGATGTGAGAGTGCTGGCCGCACAAACATTAATCCGGTGACATCTATTGGTGAGTGCATCTGAAAAACCTATTATTCCATGCTAACGGGGTTCTCAAAAGGTAATGCTTCTCAACTGATTTTTGGTGGTATTGGCAAAGGGCAAGGGTACTCAGTTAAGAGAGGAGAGCTCTTGAATTCGTTATCAGGAATGCTTGCTTTGGGTATGTATCATGCCTTTCTGAACCACTGCTCCTCACACGTCATTCCTAGGTGCTGCTGAGCAAGGTCTATAAACCATACTTTGAGCCGCTCACAAATACTCATTTGCCGCGTAGCCGCTGATATGATTAGCGATCTCAAAGCGACCCATCTTCTTAGGGCGTCCCCAAAAGCTGTCTTTTGCGGCCAGCTGACCGGCGCCATCGTGTCTATCTTTATGGCCGCTGGTGTCTATATTGTTTTCTCGACTGCGTATCCATGCATCAATGATCTCTCCTACACTACTTGCAGCTTCCCAACACCTGACGTGCAATCTTGGAGGGTGGGTTTCTTGGCTATTACACTTTACCTTTCATTGCATGCCATTTACCCATTTAACAGGCAGTCGGAGTTGCGGTCTCATCGTCAACCCTTCCTATCCCACCGTCATCAGGGTATACAGCGATAGGGCTGGGAATCGCGGCTGTGATTTCGGTTGTGGCGAAGCACACTGTTGTCCCGCCAAAATATCATATTTGGGTTCCGTAGGTTCCTCGGTATCTTACTTTGAAATGAAGCCTCACAAATTGGACATGCAGGAACTTTAATGCTATCGGCATCGGTTTCATCATGAGTGAGGAATACTTCGAAGTCATTGAATAATTCTAATTCTGTCACTCTCAAAGATGTATGCACCTATCCCTTGGCCATGTTCTTCGGCTCTACAATCGCTTTCTTCTGGCGCAGAATGTGAGTATTTATCCCACCTATGTTCTGATAATTTCATAGATCATTCAGGTTCTTCAACCACTATGAGATGTATTGTTTCGCTGTAGCTGCCGGTTTCATTGCTGGAGAGGGTCTGGGCGGCATTGTGAATGCAGTATTGACGATTGTAGGAGTTTCTGGTGCCGTACACGGAACTACAGTTGGCTGTCCGGGGGGGCTGTATTGCGGCTAAATGCCAGTTCTCCTATAGCTCGGTGGCAATGTACTGATATATGATTTTAACGATGGGTTATGAGTTGGATGATCATTCGTTCACTGCATGGTCGATTGGATGAATTTCAATTCATTTCAGTTGTCAGTTGTGTTACGCTAACGGAATTATCTGGGACCACCGCAGCAGGTGAGCATGCACACTTTTTAATTTCCTGCTGTCAAATGGTGATCACAGGGCTGCGGAGAAGAAACAATCAGATGGGCTTCCGTAGGCTTCTACAGGTGACTTTCGTTCCAATTATACTGCTTATCGGTGAGTTATCACCGAAGGATTTCTCACTGATAAGCCTGACCTCGTGCCTTGCGCCTCACGTTGGAGCACATTTGCATGGGCGAGTTGAGGATAGTATATATATCGCGCCTTTTTGAGCAGTGGCATCGTATCCTCAAGTGCAAGTCTGCCTAGTGGTCCGAAGATGGCGACTGCAGCTCCTCAGGACCAGGACCAGATAGCATATGTACAGTCCGTATCTTCTTACTCGGAGAAAGAGAAGAGTGCCATTACCGCGGACATTATCTCCGTGTCTGGTGGATCTGAAGGGAAGTCAGAACCGCACGTGCAATTCATCAATACAGATGACCCATTTCCGGAGTCTCCGGACGCCCCTGTTGAGGACCAACAGTTAACTGTTCGAGCCGTCCTAGTTGGCTGCATTTTGGGAGGCATCATCGCAGCCAGCAACATCTACCTTGGTCTTAAGGTCAGTTACTCTTCAAGTCCATTTACTATCAGTCATTCACGCTTTCACGCAGACGGGTTGGACGTTTGGCGCATCGCTGTTCGGCTCAATCCTAGGCTTCGCGATCTTGAAACCATTGTCAAGAAGTGCACCGACTTTTCTCGGCGGGGGCTATTTTGGACCCAAAGAAAACAATGTCTGTCAATCCGCTGCTACATCAGCAGGAAGCCTCGGATTGCTCTTTACCTCAGGTTTTCCTGCCGCATACCAACTTGGACTATTGAGCGTTCATCCCAAAGATGATATTGGCAGACTAATCACTTTCACCATTTGCTGCGCATTCTTTGGTTTGAGCTTTACGCAACCGCTGAGGAAATTCTACATTTTGAAGTTAAAGCTCGTATTTCCGTCCGGTGTGGCTGCTGCGTACACGATCCAATCTTTGCACGTCGGCAAGAACGCAGAAGTGACGGCTCGGAAGAAAACCAAGACGCTGATCTACGCCTTTATCTTTGCCATTCTTTTGCGGGTGGTCAGCGAGTATGCTCCGGGATTACTCTGGGATTGGCACGTTTTCTACGCTCTGAATAGAGTCGGGTGGAGTTCGGCTATCGCTGGTGAGAGCTGGGTGAGCACACCGTCCATTATAGGAATGTTGTCTGATTACCAGCCGAAAGGGATGGATTTGGGAGTGGACCCCCGCGTTCATTGGCGTAGGGATGCTCACAGGTATCAATGCTTCGTATAGCTTCCTCGGTGGAGTATGTTGTATGGCCATGACTGCATGCACCGCTAATGTGCTATGCTGCGCAGAGTTTCCTTGCCTGGGCTGTTTTGGGACCTATAATTGTCGCAAAAGGAATAGTTCGTGCTGCAATTCATCTGTTGTGATATACTGACCACTATTGAACCACCCATAACAGGCTTTTGGGGCCGTCGCGAACCCATCTATACCTGGATACATGAATTATATGGGAATGTGGGTCGTCTGTTGTTTCCATCATAAGACATTCTCACTGTTCGTAGGAGTCTTGAAGACCCGATCCATCTGCCATCTCCAAGATACTGGCTAATTTGGCCAGGCACGCTGATGCTTCTCTGTGCAAGTTTCACGGAAGTAGCGTGTAATTGGAGGTCCTTGTACGCCGCAATGCGCTCCGCTTGCGGAATGCTCTTGCAACGGTTTTCAAAAAACGGTGCAGTGGACGATGTCCTGGATCCTGTGCCTGAGCACGAACGCGTCCCCTTCTGGGCTTGGGGTTCTGTGCTTGTCCTCAGTACGATTGTTACATGTGTTGTGATGGGCGTTCAGTTCGGACAGAACGTCGGTGTTACTCTCCTCGGTGTGTCATTGACGTGTTACGTCGATTGCAAGGCAAAGCTGACGCTTCGCCTCCACTATGCAGCGATTCTATTATCTTTCCTATTTAGTTTCATTGGCTGCGAAAGCGCTGGACGGACAAACATCAATCCTGTCACATCAGTTGGTGATTTTGCCGAGCAGTCAATTCGTTCACAGGCGCTGACACATTTAATACTGACAGGTAATGCCTCACAGCTTATCTTCGGAGGTTTAGGAAGGGGTCAGAACTACGCCATCAAACGGGGCGAGCTCCTGAACTTGCTTTCTGGAATGTTGACACTAGGTAAGCATATCAATCGTTAGGCATCACGGGTGCTGGAATGTCGTGAATTCAACAGGTGCTGCGGAACAAGGTATTCCAGTTTTCTTATCAAACGTAATTTTTGTCGATGTGCCATTTAGCTGGGGACATGATTGGCGATCTCAAAACGACACACCTCCTCCGCGCGTCTCCCAAGGCTGTATTTGTTGCTCAGCTCTGCGGAGCTGTGGTATCAATTTTCATGGCAGCTGGTCTCTACGTCGTGTTTTCCACCGCTTACCCATGCATCAACGACTTGAGCTACACGACGTGCCCCTTCCCTACGCCCGATGTACAGTCATGGCGTGCAGTGGCCGTTGCTGTATCATCGACCACGTTACCCATTCCACCGTCTTCCGGATATGCCGCCATCGCACTTGGATTAGCAGCCATCATTTCTGTCGTAGCCAAGTATACTGTGGTTCCCCCGAAATATCACGATTTCATACCGTGAGCGATTTACGGTTGTGCCCCTGCTTCAACTGACATAAAAACAAAGCAACTTCAATGCTATTGGAATTGGGTTCATAATGAGTATGTGATCTATATTCCGGCGACTGGTCGTCTTGCTCACTTTGCAGACGTCTGCACGTACCCTCTGGCAATGTTTTCAGGCTCCACTCTTGCATTTTTCTGGAGAAGAATGTGAGTCTCATGAATCCTAGGTACTCTAATGGCTTCGTCTCACATCTCATACAGGTTCTTTAACAACTACCAGATGTATTGTTTTGCCGTTGCAGCTGGCTTTATTGCAGGAGAAGGTCTTGGTGGTATCGTGAACGCGATCTTCACAATTTCGGGAATCTCTGGCGCAACATACGGGACATCCGTCGGGTGCCCTGGCGGTGTTTATTGCGGATAGATGTTATGTAGTAGAGTGTAGACATGGGACACGCATCTGGAAAAGACGATATATATGACTCATGCTTGAATTGATGCTGGAGCCCGAATAGTGGCAACATCCCTCCCTTACGTGGAGGTGGTCAACAACCACGTTATGATGACTCCCTCGAAGACGCCATGCTGGACGAGGAGAGGATGTTCATATTCAGTCTGTGGAGTTAATGAAGTTAATCACGTCTCTGACTAGGATCGAATAGAGCGACGTGTAGGTCTATATCTCACCATCATTTACAATTTGTGCCTGCCCCGGACATAACGTACTCGCGACCAGCATCTTGTTCTACACCCGTGTACAGTTTGGAGGGATGGCACCACAAATGTCACCTCCTAGTAAGATGTTTATCGCCAATCACACGTGTTTTGTCCTTTGTTACTACAAGTTTTGGTGAGGACATGTATCCGATTCAGTGGGAGGAAATATCTCTTTGACGCAATATTGTACAGGTCGTACAATGTCGTACAGTGAGTGTACCGTGATTCGGGGTGGAGATCAGGTCCGAAGTTCTGCATCATACGCCAGCGTTGCCGTCCGGCTTAGTACGGCAGGTAAATTGTACTGGTCATAGATGTGTTATAAGGGCAATAACGATGACTGGTGTGTTCGCGCCTCTTATTAATGTCCTTTCGAATCGGTAGCTTGTGTTGGTTTCCGGCGCGCAGTGACATGTAGACATCTTGGAAATACAGGTGGGGAGAGGGAACTTCAGGGAAGAGAAGGCAAGACATTTTGAGCAGTAGCAACATCCACAACACGCGGCCGAGACCAGCGCGTGGCACCTTGTCTTGAACAATGTGAGAGATCTAATGATTGGGATGGGTGTGTCTAAAGAGAAAGAGGAGACGGTAGAGGTAGACGCCGAGACAAGATGTGGCGGGACAAGAGTGTGGCCCACACTGGAGAATGTCAGACAAGTGGATGAGGACGCGGAGGAGATGTCGTCTTTCCTGACGAAACTGAAAACACGTTTGACACGAATCGAATGCCAGAGTACCCAAAACGCGGATCATACGCCCGACATGATGACTCCGTGCGTTACCAAAAACCTCGGTCCTCGTTGCGCTAGACATCGAGCAACATCAACCTAAATATAGCCATATGATCAGCAGGAAGCAGCTTGTCACCGCGAGAATTCGAAGCAAGGATCGGCGCGGAAGTTTGCGCGGACTCCGGAGCACTAGCCGGCGGTATGGGGTCAAAATTGTATCCATTGCATCCCAGTCTTCGACGTTCGTCAACTCAGAATTCATTGATGCTATACATTTAGTTGTTTCTTATGGGTCCAGCACCAAAAGTTCTATCATGCACACATATGGCGCGCAAAAACAGGCAGGAACGACGTTATCACATTTCTTGGTGAGACTCCAGTTCTTCATGAGGAACAGCGCTTGAATTATCGGGCCTAGACATTACTACTACTGGTACCTTCGCATTCATATTTAGCTTAACTGCTTCACACAATCATCGATGATTCAATCCGGTGAAATTTACCAATGACATTCATGGGTGAGTGCATCTATTATATGCCGAGAGTTTATTGAACTCGGCAACTTGTTTTTGGTCGCGGTGGGTTGGCAAAGTTGCGGTGGAAGAACACTTCATGAAGGAGAACTCGTTATCAAGAATGCTCTCTTTGGATATTCATCATGTGTCCATAAAATGCTAATCCTCACATGTCACCCCTACTAGGTGCTGCTGAGCAAGATGAATCATCCTCAGGGCATACCTCAAGCTGTCGTGTGCGGCCAGCTGACTGGTGCCATCGTGTCCATCTAAAACTTACTCTGCTTATCGGAGGGGTACTTATCATCGCCAAGCCTGAACTTGTACCTTGCGCCTCATGGTTAGAGCCAAGGACCTGTCAATTAAGGATGTATATATATCGCACAACTCTGAGCGACGACACCTTACCTTCAAGTCGAAGTCTACCTCGCAGTTTGAAGATGGCGACCATGACTCACCAGGGCCACGACACAGTGACCTACGTACAGTCCGTATCTTCTCACTCAGACAAAGAGAAGAGCGCCATTACCACGGATATAATCTCAGTGTCTAGTGACTCTGAAGGGAAGTTAGAACCGCACGTGCAATTCATCAATACAGATGACCCATTTCCGGAATCTCCGGATGCCCCTGTCGAGGACCAACAGTTAACTGTTCGAGCCGTCCTAGTTGGCTGCATTTTAGGAGGTATCATCGCAGCTAGCAACATCTACCTCGGTCTCAAGGTCAGTGACTCTTCAAGTCCATTTATTAGCAATTATTCACCCTTTCACGCAGACGGGGTGGACGTTTGGCTCGTCGCTCTTCGGTGCAATCTTGGGCTTCGCAATTTTGAAACCACTCTCAAGAAGTGCACCCACTTTTCTTGGTGGGGGCTATTTTGGGCCTAAAGAAAACAACGTTTGTCAATCCGCTGCTACATCAGCAGGAAGCCTCGGATTGCTCTTTACCTCAGGTTTCCCCGCCGCTTACCAGCTTGGACTGTTGAGCGTCCACCCTAAAGATGACTTTGGCAGGCTAATCACTTTCACCATTTGCTGCGCATTCTTTGGTTTGAGCTTTACGCAACCGCTGAGGAAATTCTACATTTTGAAGTTAAAGCTCGTATTTCCCTCCGGTGTGGCTGCTGCGTACACGATCCAATCTTTGCATGTCGGCAAGAACGCGGAAGTGACGGCTCGGAAGAAGACCAAGGCGCTGATCTACGCCTTCATCTTTGCCATTCTTTTGCGGGTGGTCAGCGAGTATGCTCCGGGAATGCTTTGGGACTGGCACATTTTCTACGCTTTGAATAGAATAGGGTGGAGTTCAGCAATTGCCGTCGAGAGCTGGGTGAGCAAGTCGTTCATCATAGAAATCTTGTCTGATTATGGGTCGTTAGGGCTGGATTTGGGAATGGACCCCCGCATTCATTGGCGTAGGGATGCTTACAGGTATCAATGCTTCGTATAGTTTCCTCAGTGGAGTATGTTTTGTGGCTAGTATGATGGCATCCACCGCTGATATGTAACGCTACCCAGAGTTTTCTCGCTTGGGCTATCTTGGGGCCTATAATTGTGGCAAAAGGACTAGTCCGTGCAGTTCGTATGTGTGACGTACTTAACCTCTGACGAATCACCCATGACAGGCTTTCGGCAGCGTTGCCAACAAATCGATACCTGGATACATGAATTATATGAGCATGTGAGCTATCTGTTGGTCTTACTATAAGACATTCTCAATGTACGTAGGAGTCTTACAGATCCCATCAACCATCCATCTCCTAGATATTGGCTGCTCTGGCCAGGCACTCTAATGCTTCTCTGCGCAAGTTTTGCGGAAGTGGGGTGTAATTGGAAGTCCTTGTATGCTGGAATGCGCTCCGCATGTGGACCGCTCCTGCGGCGATTTTCGAAAGGCGATCTAGAGGACGATTCCGAGTTTGTGGATCCTGTGCCTGAGCACGAACGTGTCCCCTTCTGGGCTTGGGGCTCTTTACTTGTCGTCAGTACCATCATTACGTGTGTCGTCATGAATGTCCAGTTCGGAGAGAACGTTGGTGTCACCCTCCTTGGTGTGTCGGCATTTTGTTATATCGACCCAAAATCGAAGCTGACTCTTGACTTCCATCACGCAGCGATTTTCTTTTCTTTCTTATTCAGCTTTATTGGTTGTGAAAGCGCTGGTCGTACGAATATCAATCCCGTCACATCAATCGGTGACTTCATCGCGCAGTTCATTGTTTGCGGGCGCTGACAGGTTGAACAGGTAATGCTTCACAATTGATCTTTGGAGGTTTAGGAAGGGGTCAGAACTACGCCGTCAAACGAGGCGAACTCCTCAACTTGCTTTCTGGGATGTTGACGCTAGGCAAGTAACATAATCTTTTGGGAATGGCGAGCTGCTAGAATGCGAGAATCAAACAGGTTCTGCGGAACAAGGTACCCTGGCATTCTCTGTTCAGATACGGAATATTTGTTGATACTGAGATTAGCTGGGCATATGATTGGGGACCTGAAGACCACGCACCTTCTCCGAGCGTCTCCAAAGGCTGTATTCGTTGCTCAACTCTTCGGAGCCGTGGTATCAATTTTTGTTTCAGCTGGTCTCTATGTTGTGTTTTCGACGGCTTATCCCTGCATCAACGACCTGAACCACACTACCTGCGCGTTCCCCACGCCTGATGTGCAGTCATGGCGCGCAGTAGCCGTTGCTGTATCTTCGAGCACGTTACCTATTCCACCGACCTCTGGATATACCGCCATCGCACTAGGATTAGCAGCCGTCATCTCCGTCGTGGCCAAGTATACAATCGTGCCTCCGAAATATCATGACTTCATACCGTGAGTGACCCGTGGCTACCAAACTCTGTTTCATCTGACATCGAATGAAGCAACTTCAATGCTATTGGAATTGGGTTCATAATGAGTATGTGAACTATATTCGACAGTGTAATGGTTGCCCTGCTCACTTTTACTAGACATCTGCACATATCCTCTGGCAATGTTTTTCGGCTCGACTCTTGCATTTTTCTGGAGAAGAATGTGCGTCTCATGACAAATCTTCTTCAACGGCTTAATCTGACACCGCGTGCAGGTTCTTTAATAACTACCAGATGTATTGTTTTGCCGTTGCCGCGGGCTTTATTGCAGGAGAAGGTCTCGGTGGTATCGTGAATGCTATTTTCACAATCGCTGGCATCTCTGGTGCAACGCATGGGACATCCGTCGGGTGCCCTGGAGGGGTTTATTGCGGATAAACGTCATTTATGTCCTTAGCAAGCCCAGCACATGCTATTATCTATCGAATTACATGCGATGCCCCTGAGTTCATACAGGCCGTGCCTATATTCTTCCTTGCTCTCTCCTGGCTTTTGCGTTTCTAAGATCTGGAGCATATCGAGTTGCCTTTACATTACTCATCCTCATGTCATGTGACTAGTCAGCGGTGTATGCATGATGTGGCACCGAATAAACGAATTACACCCTAAGTTTCACGCTTCCCACCAACCCATAGTCTTGGTCAAGTAGATGCTTAGTCGTCTCAACCACATCCGCGCCGCCTTGTTTTCTTTCGTGACGCCTGCAATGTCGCATACAGTTGATACGTCTCATTATCGTGCCGCTTTGTCCACAGGCAAGTATTGTTCATTCCAATGTGTGGATCCAACCGCGAATCTTCGTAATACAGGTGCTCATACTAAAAGCGAGATTGCCACATTCGCTGCGGGGTGTTTTTGGGGTGTCGAACACATATTCCTGAAAGAGTATCCGCCTTCGCAGAACAAGGGCATCCTGAAGACGAGCGTCGGATACACCGGCGGGCTGGAGAAGGCTCAGAGCCCGACATACAGAGAAGTGTGCACTGGAACAACCAATCATGCTGAGGCCTTGAAAATCGAATTCGACCCTTCCACAATCCAGTACGAGCAGCTCGTCGGTGAGTTGCATTTGAAGTTCTAGTTTCCTAATACCACTTGATCTGATCTACCGTCAGAGTTTTTCTACCGTACCCACGACCCGACTACGCTGAACAGGCAAGGTGCGGATGCGGGCACTCGTATGTTTATTCCATTGGTGTCATCATTCATGTTGAATATCCTGATTGTCGAGCAGAGTATCGTTCCGCCATTTTCACACATTCACCTGAACAGAGGAAGATAGCAGAGGACGTCACACGGAAGGTGCAAGAGGAACATTTCAAGGGTCAAACGATTGTGACGGAAATTGAAGACGCTGGGCAGTGGTATGACGCCGAAGAATATCATCAACTGTATCTGTTCAAAGAACCGAACGGTTATCAATGCCCAACACACAGGAAGCACTGGTAGATGGATGGAATTATTAACACTGGGTAAATGAGTATTCATATATATTGAAGAATGTACAGTAAATACAAATTGAAGTTGTGAACCATCGACAAGTTCTGATCCACAATCAAATTTAGCCGCCATCAGAGTTGTGAAAGCCCGTCCCTTTACAGATGTAACAAGGAGAGTGGTGCCGAACGGGCGATGTCAATGCGAACCCTGCGTGGGGTCCAACTCAACTCTCTGCACCGTCGTTTCTCGTCATTGGCGTTATTGATTGTGGAAGGATGAAACCAAAAACATTTTCGTCGCGAATGTTATAAGACGGGGGCGTGGGAAATAAAGTGTGAGAATATTTCTTCCATTTTGGACTTAATCTGAAGACTCTACTGAACGACAACTTTCATTTGCACGATGAGATCACATCTCGCAGTCCTGTTTGTGCAATGGACGCGTGAAGCTGCAGCTGAAGCACTGAAGTTAGGCGACGAAACTGTGGGCGTTTGCAGCCCATCTTACTTATCTCAACCAGCGACAGATGCTTACCTAATTCCATTGCTTCCCACTGCAGTATAGCCAAGTACCAGGTGACCATGATGCTCACGCTGGTTGATCACCTACGAGGTAGAGGTTTTCTCAACGATGCCAGCTGCTCATCGAGTCCCCGACAGTAGCCCAGTTGCCATATTTTTATCCAAATATGGTTCTGGCACTGAGATATACGTTAGCCATCTGGATACCACTGACGTGTCAGGCCGAAAGTAAGTTGCATCTTGGGGCTCGGAGACGATCAGGCTCAGCATACTTTTTATTGCAGGAAACATTTCTTCGCCATGCTGGGTTCCAATGTGGCATGGTCTTTTCTGCTTGGCAGACGCCTATATGGCGCTCTGTACCGCTATGGCATCCTGTTTATCCTTGGGAAAATGTTACCAATGCTCAAGGCCCCTACTCCTGCGGTGAACTGGCTGTTAGCAGGTCAACTGTGCCTTGACATATTCTTGTTGTCTGTCTTACTGCCCTTGATCAACAACTTCATCTCGATCATGACGTTGCGATACTATCATGGGTTCCCAAAATCAGAAATCGTCTTCCGAAAACCTACTGCAGCAACAGTTGCAAACATTGTCTCTCAGCCTCAGGACAAAAGGGATTCGTACATGAATGAGATTCTGCGTCATGCTGTCGATCCCGAGGAATTCAATCAGCCGAGTTGGGGTATGCCTTGGGATGAGTGGACCATGGACTTCCGGGTGATGGCGGCTGCGTATGAGGCGGAGAAGAAGGGGATGATATCTAGAGATGCGTGGGAGCTAAGCGTGTGGATGAAGATGAAGGAAGGCTGGACCGTAATTGAGCACGGAAAAGTCAGTGACCCCTTGAGCCAAGCTGGTATGATGGAAAAGCTTCAAGTACGTAAAGTATCATTTCATGTTGCACACACTTATGACGGCCTCAGCGCAAACTCACTGCCATGGGCAAACGACACGTGTTTACTCAGATGATGGAGGTCATTCAGGTCAAGACTGTCGCTAAAGACGGAACTCCGCTGCCTGTCACTGAGGAAGTGGACAAAATAATTGCGGACATCTTTCACCGGAATGACGTGGATTTTGCGCAGTTGACAAGCGAATTGGCCACAGAATCTCCCCGTTTTGCAGCCAACTCGTCAAAGAAATCGAAATAGACATAATGATATTGTATTCTGAGTATTTAGCACGTGAGTCCTTTATGTTGAACGAACTAGATGGATATGTTAAATACCCGTGTAGATCACGGGTACATTGGAATCACTATGGCAGTCGAGTTAATGCGAATCACAGGATATCTCTATCGGCTAAGTGGCGCTCTCATGAGCACGTTGGTATCAGGTCACCTGGTCTAGATCATTTCTCGTCACGAATAATGGCATGATACAATGAGAAGAAACGTCCATTGGCACATTGTATCAACAGAACAGGGACATGTCGAAACTAAAAGTCCTTATCACTTCAACTTGGCAGACGGTAAGTTGCTTCACCTATAACCGCTTATCAGCAACCATCAGAGATAAAGGTTGAATTGTGTGAGAGATATTCCTTCTGACTTTCTCAATTATCATCATGAATCCCCTTCAAGCTCCATCCGGTTGCAGCTCCAATGAAGAAGCAGATAAACATGCTCATGGTATTGCCGTCGCGACAAAGGATGTGGACACCGGTGCAGCACTCGTTGCAGGCATGTCTGGTGAACTCGATCCGGATGATGTAGCACGAGTTCGGTATGTTTGCTCTAGAAGTTTCATCGCTCGGCTTATTATTTGTGAGATACTCAGACGGAAAATTGATCTTGGCATTTTACCGATGATGTGCAGTGAGTGGCCTTTGCGTTCGACACTATACATTTGACTTAGGCTCGGGTATACAGCACTTTACTGGTGAATTCTCTTTGGATCCACTGAGTATTGACCCGTACCCGTATTGATCCTCCTGGTTCACTAGGATTCAGTTCATGGATAAGGCCACCTTGGGCAGTTCTGCAATATTGGGCATACAGTGAGACTCTTGTGATTTTCATCACCCATTAGTGAACGGTCATGTCAGGAAGGACACGCACCTGTCTACCAATCAGTAAGATCATTCCGCGTATTGCACGCGCATCTAATCCTTACATTGCAATCTCACAGGTATAATTGGTTTGTATTCGCCAGACTCTAATGAGTTGTTCATCCTCAACTGAGAAATTATATCAGGCTGGGAACTGTGTTCTACCTTAGCTATCTAATATTCGAGTACCCACAGAATCTTGCGCTCCAGCGTTTCCCTGTGGGTAGATGGATGAGGTCTGTATCCTTCGACGTCCCTTCGAAGTTACCCAACCATCAGTAACTTGTCAACTAGTGTCAATATCTTTGTTTGGGGCATCGCGTTGGCTTGCCACGCAGCCTGCACCAACTTCGCTGGCCTCTTCGTAGCGCGTTTCATCCTGGGGATGTGTGAGGGGTCCATCACAGCTGGCTTCATGATTATCAGCTCGATGTTCTACACTCGTAACGAGCAAACATCGCGGGTTGGGTACTGGTGTAAGTTTATGCATACCAGGCTCAGATTCGTAACTGATCACTCTGGTAGTTCTTATGAATGGGACAGGTAGTTTTATAATATCCTTGCTGTGGATGGATTTGAACCACACGGTTTTCAGCGCAGATTATATCTGGTTTTATCAGTTTTGGTTCTTTGCATATCACAACTCCAGGATTTGCTCCGTGGCAATGGTAAAGCATAGATTGTCAAGGCGATTGATACTAAATATCACGTTTAGGCTCATGATCATCACTGGCATCTTGACCCTAATAACTGCAGTCGTCTACTGGTGAGCTGACCGTGGGCTCTTCTAAAGTTCCAGTCCTCACCCAGTCTTAGGTTCTTTTTCCCTGACTCGCCCACCAATGCGTGGTTTTTGACACCGGCAGAACGAGCAATTGCAGTCCGGCGCTTGAAGGTATGCCATCATAGTCTATGTAGTTTCGCGACAATACAACTTAATTTATGCTGTAGGAAAACCAGACCGGCGTAGAAAACAAACAGTTCAAGAAGGATCAGTGCGTACGCCATTCCTCGGCACTTGTCAACCTCAACACTTTTACAGGATGATGGAGGCTCTGAAGGATCCGAAGACATGGATCTTTGCTCTCTTTTCCGCCCTCGACCAGATACCGAACTCGCTCAGCAATCAACGGCAAATCATTGTGACATCACTTGGCTTCAGCGCTCTGAACACAACCTTATTGAGCTGTGTTGACGGTTTCATGGAAGTTGCAACGATTTGGACTGGTGTTATGATTGTCTCCCGGATACCAAACAGTCGTGCTTACGTCGGCGCGATTTACTTTATCCCGGCTTTGGTTGGGGTACTCATGATTGAGTTCCTGCCATGGAGCAATCAGATCGCCTTGCTTTTTGCCATTTGGCTTGTGGATATCGGGATCACTGGATTCGTCCTATCTCTGGCCTGGTTGACTAGCGTTACTGCTGGGCACACAAAGAGAGTAAGTCGCGGGTAACAGTCAAAAATAAAGCAACGGAAAGCTGAGTAAACCAGGTGACCACAAATGCGATCATGCTGAGCGCCTATTGCGTCGGTAATGGCCTGGGCCCGTTCATGTGGCAGGCGCAATATAAGCCACGGTAAGTGTTGAAGTTATGCAGGTGTCAAAATGTCGGTCGGCATCGTCTAACTTTACTATTTCAGCAACCGCGTACCTTGGATTGTCATCGGGATTTGCTACCTCGTTTGCCCCTTACTTCTACTTACCATCAGGTTCATCTTATCGCGAGAGAACAAGAAGCGGGACGCCGAGCCTGTCAGCAATGACTACGAGGAGGTTTACATCGAACAAGTCACTGCGGATGGAAAACGGATTGAAGTCAAGGTCGAGAAAGTACGTCAGACTTGCCCCGAAAACAATCGATTCTAATATGTTGTTTTGTCCTAAAGGAATTTCTAGACCTGACAGACATACAAAACCGTGATTTCCGATACGTTCTGTAGCAATATTTCGTTTCGTTTGTGTGTTCCCCGAAGCAACATGATTAGCCACGCGTCTCAATATCTTTCTCGGCAGATCACTGCATGTCGAAGCGCCGCTGCACCGACAACCATAATGAGTGAAAACAGTACTTCAATTAACTGAGTGGCTTTTCCGACGTAGTATAATTGCAGAGGTGATACACACGGCTGATTGTACATTCGTTACGCAATATAATACTCTATACTCAGAGGCGATACGAGGAAGCGAAGAAACAAAGAAATAAAAATAAAAAGTCGAAGGAAAGCGCAACAGGAACCACACCGCAAAAAAGCAATAATGATCAGGATCAAGCAGAAAAATATAATCTCACGCAGAGTAATGGCCTATAAAAACAGAGGACGGATAAGGTTCGGTATTCGGTATTCAACAGTCGGTGTTATCGTCCCCAGCCACTGCTACCTGTACGTCCCCGCGGTCGTGGTGCCCATCCACGCTCTCGTTCCCAATCAAGACGATCACGGTCATGACGATCACGATCAGCGGAAGGTCCACGAGGAATGTATTGTGAACCACTGTACACGCGGCTGCTGGAAGAAGAATATGTCGGTGGATGGGATGATTGACTGCTTACTCTCAGTGCCCGTGGCCCACTGGGTAAGGGACGTGAAGGCCCATTCGAGGAGGGAGTGCTGGATAAGGATGGTCTGGTCGGCGGAGGTGGTGGTGGGCCGCGCCAGGAAGCAGATGATGACGGGGTGGATGCGGCATGGGTAAAATTAGGAGATGGGGGATGTGAGGTCTGAAATGAGCGGGGCTGGGTTGGAGGCGTGTAAGAGCGGGGAAAGAAATGCGATGACTTTGGAGGAGAGGCAGTTGTGATTTCTCCATCTTCGTGAGAGGGTCGAAGAGAATAGGAAGCCGGAGCGGAGGGTGGTTGGGGTGACGTGAATGTTTTGGGTGATGGATGTCTTTCTGTGCCCTTAGTCTGCTGGTACAATGGAGGGGGAGGTGGGTCCGGCGCAGATGGCGTTGTCCTGTCGTCGGCACCCACCAGTCCATTGGGTATAGGAGTATCCAGTATTTCGATCTTGGCCTTGAGAGAAGCGCAGTCTGCAAGTTGGCCGTTGAGCTGAGCGTTATCCATGCTCCGCACAGATCTAAGAGATGCTACGGGAGACCTCGGTGGGGATGTAGGAGCGCCTCGTGGCTCGGATTCACATCGCCGCTGACTCTCAGCAGGTGGATCCTCCGGCACGGAGTCTCTCTGCATGGCAGAAGAAGCAATAGGTTCCTCCTTCACCCCATCAACAGCCGGCCGCACATCGTCATCCATCACTACATCCATCGCCTCTCTTACATCCGTCGTGGTCACTTCCACATCACGCTCTTGGTCCGTCCCTTCACAATCCCTCCGCTCCTCTACACCATCCTCATCAACATGCATCCCTTCGTCACCGCTCTCCTCTAGCAACCCCATACCCAGCCCACCAGGTGACTCGCACTCCCGCTCCCGCTCCTTCGCCATTTCCTCCCGCTGCTTCTTCTTGCGCAGGGCAAAGTCCTTTAGGGACATCTTCACTTTTTGAGGTGGCGGCGTGGGTTCACGTGCGGGGGCTGTAGATTCGTGTCCTGCTGGCGTGGGTTCGTGTATAGGTGGCGTAGGTTCGCGCGATGGGGGTGGTGAATCAGAATCACGGAGGGATGGGGTTGACTCGCATATCGAAGAAGCAGGTGGAGTTGGATCGCGCATGACTGATGGCATGGACCCGTGTGCATATTGCGCTTCATCTGGTGGGTCTATTTTGACCTCAAGAGGAGTTCCATCATGTACAAGGCTTAAATCTGACTGTGATACATCATCCATTACCAAGCCAGTTGCCTTGTCATGTTCCGACACAGGTGGAGGGGGATGCGAATGAATAGGAGGCGTCGACTCCCTCCCCGGTTTCAGCGGCGGGGTCATCAAGGACGGATGCACCTGCAAAACCTCCGGGGATGTAAACCGCACGCGATAGGGCGAGGAAGCGCTGGGCGTAAATGGATTCGGGGACGGTTGTGGATGGACTATGACTTGCGCGCTTGATACGTCTGAAGGACTCTTGCTGCTGGATGAATGGTATGGCGGAGGGGATGATATTGGTACATGACGCCTAGACGAGTTTGTCAGAGGCATTCCAAAGAGGGACGGTGACCCCGAGCGCATATCAGGCAGGACGGGTGATAGAAGAGATAGTTTTGAGAATGTCGCTGAGGGCGAAACGGATGCGAATGCGACGGACGAAATGGTAGTGGGGTCGAGAGCTGCCGGCATTGGTGGTGGTGGCATTTGACGGATGTCTAAGGAGGGAGAGAGGGTCAGATGACATGCAGCACAAAGAAAAAGCAAAGCAAACGCAAGAACATTATGGAAAGCAGAAACAAAACTCACCAGAAGACGTATCGTTCACATCGATATCCATTCCATCCACCGTGCTCTCGGGGGATGGCGGCGAAGGGCTGTCTCCAGATGTTGGTGCTGGACTGTCCCCTGATAACGATGCTGGGCTTCTCCAGTCTGTCGTAGACACCGGGGCGGGTGGACTATGTCCACTCGATACTGGTGAACTGTGTCCATGCGCTCCCAATAGGCTTTGTCCATGCTGTCCATGCGAGCCCGATAGGCTCTGACCGTTGAGTGAAACAACGTTTCTCCCATTCCGCGAAGACGCACGCTCATCACGCTCATGCGACACAGACACAGCATGCATCCACCTCTTACGCATCCTCGGCGGAATCTTCTCCTCGTCGACCTCCACCGAGTCGGGATTAGGGCCTGTGCATAGAAATAAAACACTGGACGTGAGTAAGTCTTAAGGGGGGTGAAGCGAACGAAGGCATATGGTGGATGGGCATGCGCTGACAAAAAGAAAACTACGCGCCGCATGGCGAAAACACTAAATGCCAAAGGACAGGAGACATCACTCACCATCGCCTTCCACATCCACATCCACGTCCACATCTATTTCCTCCTTCGCGCGCCCCTTGCCTTTCCTATCACGGGTCTTCGTAGAATGGGAAGTTCGTGACGGTCCCGCACTAGAGGTGGAAATCGTAGGGCGCCAATTCGACAATCCTCCATTGGGTCCTAAGTTCGATGGTCCCGCAGAAGTATTGAAACTTGAGGGCCATACGTCAAGTCCTGCACTTGATAACCTGCCACTCGACCCAGCACCAAATCCCCCACTCAACTCAGCACCAAATCCCCCAGTCGATCCAGCGTCAAAACTCCCACCCGATCCCGACGGAACCATCTCCACACCACCAACGCCCCCACCAAACGGCACCTTCTCCCGCGTCCTGAACCCACGCTTGGCACCGATTAGCGGACCGAGGTCGATTTTCCGGGTGAATGCGGATGACGGTGGTGTGTTCCCGTTCAAACCGTTTGCGTTGGTATTGGCGCCGTTTGCGTTGATATTGGCACCGCTGATCCCGTTGGCACCAGTTGCGTTCGCATTCATCTGGATCCCGAGGCCTACCCCAGTCCGCCCATACTCATGTCCCCAATTCTCCTTATCTGAGCTCGACCCATCGCCTGCGTCTGCCTCTCCTGCCTGTCTCATCCCATTCCCATTCACCATCCCGGTGTTTGTACCATTTGTGGTCCCAGCACCAACACCGTTCATCGCTCCAGCGCCTAAACCATTCAGCCCGGCGCCTGTACCATTCATAGCCTGCCCTGACGCACACGCGACGCTGGCTGCATCGAGCTCCCCGTCAACATACTGCGCCATGACGTTCAGTACGCAGTCCCTTGCGCGGGCACCGCATGCGCATGTCGTGAATGTGGAGCTGAGGGCATGGAGGATGGAGGTCATTTGTGCGCGGAGATGTGTTAGGTGGTACGTCCTGTTCATGCGAGGGAGTCAGTAAAGGATGTGGGACGAGGGAAGATAGTAGGGAGTGAGTGGGTGGGAAGAGGGTGGAAATGGTGAACGCACGGAACGGTAATCGATCCAGGATCAAGTAAAAACGAAACAAAAAATTGGAGGTTAAACAAAGAGAACAGGAGTGAAAAAAGACGCACGAGAATATATGTGGGCTCTCTATGAGCGCAGGGAGACTGTGCACCGCGTTCCCATCATCCCATTCCCAGCCGAGAACAACCTCCTCGTTGGCTTTGAGGTCACGCAGTGCGAATACGCCAAATGTTAGGGTTTCTGGACTTGAGTCTGTCTCGTCCTTCTTCTCCTTCTTCTCACTTTCTCCCCTCTCCTTCTTCCCACTTTCCATTCCCTCTTGCTTGGACTCATCCTTGGCCTTTGGGCACAAAAAGGGCCTCAGCACTGCATTTGGACGACATCCATTCCGGGCAAAGCGCCCCTCGTTGCCGACGACCCTCGCATCGAGGGCAACGTCCAGTGGTGGGCCCATGAGGTGCACGAATGGCTTTGGCATGCCAAGGTGGGCGTACGCATTGAGCGGGTCAGCGAGGTAAGAGGCGCTTGGGGTGATAGCGCAGGTAAACGGGGCGATGTAGCTGGACGAAGGAACAGGCGCAGTTGTGTGGAGGCTGTAGGTGGGCGGGCGAACGAGGGGGTTGGTATGTAGCTGACTTGGAGAGGGTGTAGGCGGGACTGAGTGGATCTGTGTGTGGTTGGGATGTATGGGTGGCGAGAGGGCGGTGACGCCACGCCATGCCTGGGCTTGTCTGCGGAGTCTGGCATGGGCTTCTGCTGTAACGATGTCTTTAGTGATAGGGACGTAGGACAAAGACCACGGTTCGTCGATGTCGACCGGCTCGTCTTCCCCATGCTGTGTTGGCGTCGGCGGCGGGTGCGGCGTCGACGGGGAGATGATAGATGCTCTACGTTTCTTCTTTGCATTTCCAGAGCCCTCAATGGCAGCAGCGCTGGCTCGTCGTCGCTGAACGGGCGAACCTGCTCTGTCTCGTTTTCTGCCCTTGTCTCTATCTTTTTCCTTGTCTCTTTCCCTCTCTCTGGCTTGTGCCTCGGCGACACGTTGTTTCTGGAGGCGGACTGCGCGGTCGCGGTTAACAGGACGGGGATCGCAGTCCCAACAACGCCACTCTTCTGGGACCTCGCCCTCCACAATATCGAAGCATGCTGCATGGCACCAACGAGAGCAGACGTCGCAAGCAATGCTGAAGCCATCGTCGAAGAGAAAACCACATATGCAGCTGATAGCGTCTGCGTCTGGAGGAGGGGGGCTAGCTGATGGCGCAGGTTGTATTGGTGTTGTCGTTGGCGGTGGTCTTGGTGTTGGTATTGGTTTTGGTTTTCTGATTTGAGGGATTGTGTTGTTCAGTGGAGAGAGGCTGAGGAGACCGAGTGCAGCCTCCGTTGCATCGCTGTTCATCGACGCTCCCGATGTTTTTGGTCTCCTGCCAATTTGCCGCCAACCAAGTTCTTGTCCGACTCTTTCTCAATTCTCCCTTTCGATTGCACTCACCAAGACACGGTAAACACAAATCAACATCTGATTCAGCAATTCGGCACTCCCCGCACGGTCCAACGGCCGGGAGATCATGATTTATAGAATACCACTTATCAGAGTTCTCGACAATGGGCATGAGTTGCAATCCTCATGGGCCTCTCTGGCACTATACTGGCAGTGACGTTGTAACATGGTCCTCGTGATTGGTCAACGTTACCACCAACTCATTACATATTAGCCATTCAGGTACCCGGTTAAAGGGTACAGAAGAGATATGAATTACAACTAGTACGCAGCCTAGAATGTAACAAGTGTCTTGTAACAGGCGAAGGTAAAGCACGAGGTTGACACGCCCTAAACCACTACCATGCATAGAGGGCAAAGACGACGGGGAGGAAAAGAGGCGTCGGAACTTCCCGCAACAAAGGACGTTGCGCAGACTGCCTTGATTTATGTTCTGGAAGAAATGTGAAGCGGTTTACAATCTTGTCCTACCAGAAGAACACCATGTCTACAGCCTGCTCTCATAGCACCAAGGATTCAAAAAATTCGCGGCTATCCAGCTACATCTTGGGCGATAGAGCACGGCCCGCACCGGCAAGCATGAAATATGGGAAGGACGGAGGAAAAAACGATGCAAATGACGAAACATGTCCAACACAGGGTCTACGACCCCAAAGGACTCAATCTGATGCAAAAGAAAAAAAGACAGAAAAAAATGGGAAGGTCAGTGACACACCTGAGACCTTGGTGGAAGAATATGGGCAAGATTGATTCGTGTCACAGTAATGTTGGTGAGAACTGTGGGCAACTTGAAAATCTCGTTCCGGTAGGTAGCGTCAATGATATGGGATGACAGCAATTCCCCATCACCGGCTCACCCACGAGCTTGAGTGATTGGGCAAAATCACGCACTGTTCTCGATGAACCAACTCGTGCGTATCGGTCGTCTTTGGTATGGTGTATAACTTGAAGCCGAACGAATGAGGATGCGTTAAGCTGCTGGCACCTAGCGCGGGAATTTTGAGAGGACCTGCAGATTAACCAGGACTGCTACGGTGCCACGTCTCGCCAGCGTAGCAGTCTGGATCCTAGACGAGGTCCTTGAGAAGTAATTGTGTTGCTCCACAACTTGTCCGTGGACCGTGGTATATTAATCGAGCACAAGCCTACCACCAGCAAACAGTTAGTTGTCGCACAAAGGTACATAAGCTCTACCACTCACCGAAATCACCACTCCGCTCGTACATAATCTGTATGCCAGTGCCTATATGTATGAGCCACGGACCTCACAGATATAGAAACGGGTTCGATGTGTATCCCAGAGATCGTGTTATCATCGGTTTGTGCGGTCGATATTCCTTGATGAATTTAGAAGTCAAAGTCTACTGAGACAGAGAAATCCCATGGTGTTATGGAATAGGAGACAGGGTGCACGATTGCCCGAAAGTATTGCTAGAAAATGCATGAATCGGATTGAGGGCATGAACATTGGCTTCCCGACTAGTGAGAAGATAATTTCAAGATATATTCTATTCGTCTCGTTTCTCCTGGGACCTGGGCCAACCAACGCAAATAATTCATCCTCAGGTAGTGCCAGTTGTGGCAATTGACTCTGTGGATGGATTGGTTTGTAGTCAGTACATAGTGTCACTAGTCGTTTGTCTTGAGTCCTTGGCGACTGACCTGGTCGTCGGAGTAAGGTCGCGGCTGGTCGCGGAGACTGACCAGTGGCATACTTATTACTAAATGTAGTAATAGTTGTTCCGCGCCGCCGCCGCCGCATCACTTACTAGCTAGGCCTGCTGCAGGCATGTGCGGGGGTGCTTGGCTATAGGTGAGCCGTCAATAATCTGAATTTTGATCTCTGATGCAGCTCACTTCAGCTGAGGCTCCGCCAGCGGTCAACTGATTCCAACTGGCATATGCCAGATACCGAAGGGAACCCCTCACAGATGCCACCGTTAAATTGGAATTGGAGCAGACCTTAACTTCTCACGATCGTTCTGCTGGAGACATGTTAGTGAATGAATCTCGCGTAACCCCTGTGACCTGACGTGTCCATCCCAATTATATTTTGCTTACCAAAAAAATCTCATCACTGCCCATCCTGCCCTCGTGCCAATCTCCTAGTATGGGTGGAGCGGCCTTTGAAGTTTCGTCAATGGATTATATATCCTGCTTCTATGTGCAATAACATTGCTTCGTGAAATGTTGGAAATCGTCGCTCCTCAGAGCAAGGAGAGTCCCTCAGACACGGAGAAGACTGCCATAACCCTTCGTGACTACGAAGAGAAGTTGGACTCACCTTCAAGTTTCCAATTTATCAACACAGACGATCCATTTCCGGAGTCTCCTGATGATCATATAGAGGACCAGCAACTGACTGTTCGGGCTGTACTAGTTGGCTGCATTTTGGGAGGTGTCATCTCTGCTAGCAACATTTACATCGGTCTTAAAGTCAGTCACTTCGGGTCCATTGTTCACGCATTCACACTTGCACGGTAGACCGGATTAGCGATTAGCTCATCGCTCTTCGGCGCAATCTTGGGCTTCGCAATTTTGAAACCACTCTCAAGAAGTGCACCCACTTTCCTCGGCGGGGGCTATTTTGGGCCGAAAGAAAACAATATCTGTCAATCGGCCGCTACGTCAGCCGGAAGCATTGGATTGATTTTCGTCTCAGGTTTCCCCGCCGCGTACCAGCTTGGACTCTTGAGCGCTCAACCAAAGGACGACATTGGCAGACTATTCACTTTCACCATTTGTTGCGCCTTCTTTGGTTTGAGCTTCACTCAACCGCTGAGGAAATTCTACATCCTGAAGTTGAAGCTCGTATTTCCCCTCGGCGTGGCTGCTGCCCAAACGATCCAATCTTTGCATGTCGGCAAGGGTGCAGAGGCAATCGCGGGGAGGAAAACCAGGGCGCTGATCTATGCCTTCATCGGTGCCACTCTTTTGCGGATAATCAGCGAGTATGCTCCGGGACTACTCTGGGACTGGCACATTTTCTACGCTATGAATAGAATCGGGTTAACTTCAGCGATCGCTGCTGAAAGCTGGGTGAGAACGTCGTCGATTCTATGAACGTTGCCTGATTATCAGTCAACAGGGATGGATTTGGGAGTGGACACCCGCTTTCGTTGGCGTAGGGATGGTCACAGGTGCCAATGCATCGTATAGCATTCTCGGTGGAGTATGTTCTGTGGCTATACCCGCGCGCACCGCTGATGTGTGACGCCATATAGAGTTTTCTTGCTTGGGCCATCATAGGTCCTGTAATTGTCGCACAAGGACTGGTCCGTGCATGAAATTATATGTGACACAGTAGGACATAGTGACCACTAACCACCCATTACAGGCTGTCGGGGTTGTTGCCGACCCAGCGATACCTGGATACATGAGTTATATGAGCATGTGAGTTGTCTTCGTTCTCACTATAAGATAATCTGACTGTACGTAGGAATCTTGCAGATCCCATCCATCATCCCTCTCCTAGATACTGGATGCTCTGGCCAGGCACACTGATACTTGTCTGCGCAAGTTTGGCTGAAGTGGGCTGTAATTGGAAGTCATTTTACCTTGGAATGCGCTCTGCACTTGGACCGCTTTTGCAGTGGTTCTCACAGACTACCGTGGAGGACGATAATGTTGTGGATCCTGTTCCCGAGCACGAACGTGTCCCCCTCTGGGCCTGGAGTTCTCTACTTGTCATCAGTGTGATCGTTACGTGCATCGTCATGAATGTGCAGTTCGGACAGAACGTCGGCGTCACTCTCCTTGGTGCGTCTGCATTGCATTATACGCTGAAGCTGACATTTACTTTGTATCTTGCAGCGATCATCTTCGCTTTCTTATTCAGCCTCATGGGCTGCGAAAGCGAGGGTCGGACGAGCATGAATATTGTCACCTCAGCTGGTGAATTTACCAAGCAGTCCATTGTTTACGGGCGCTGACGGACTGGATGCTGACAGGTAATGCTTCACAACTGATATTTGGAGGTCTGGCGTCGGGTCAGAATTATCCCATCAAACGAGGCCAGCTCCTGAACTTGCTTACTGGAATGTTGACGCTAGGCAAGTACAATGAATCGTTTAAGGCATGACAAGCTGATAAAACACCGTGAATCAAACAGGTGCTTCAGAACAAGGTCTCACAATTTTCTTATTAAGACACAGAATATCTGTTGATACTGCAATTAGCCGGACATATGGTCCAGGACCTGAAGACCACGCACCTTCTCCGATCGTCTCCCAGGGCTGTATTCGTTGCTCAACTCCTCGGATCCGTGGTATCAATTGTTGTATCAGCTAGTCTCTACGTCGTGTTTTCGACCGCTTACCCCTGTATTAATGACTTGACTCACACGACGTGCGCATTCTCCACGCCTGAGGTGCAGTCATGGCGCGCAGTGGCTGTTGCTGTGTCCTCAACTACGTTGCCCATCCCACCGTCTTCAGGGTATACGGCCATTGCACTTGGATTGACGGCCATCATGTCTGTCGTGGCAAAGTATACGGTGGTTCCTCCAAGATATCACGACTTCATACCGTGAGTGGTCGTGGTCGTGTTTTACTGATTGCGTCTGACAAGCACACGAAGCAACTTCAATGCTCTTGCAATCGGGATGATGCTGAGTGAGTGATCTGTGTGTGACAGCAATGATCGTCTTAACTCACTTTTGTCTTCAGATGTGGCCTCGTACCCTCTGGCGATGGTTTTGGGGTCGACTCTGGCGATCTTTTGGAGAAGAAAGTACGTTTTATAAGATATTAACCAAGGTTTTTGTCTGACACTCGTGCAGGTACTTTGACAGCTACCAGATATATTGTTATCCTATTGCGGCGGGTTTTATCGCAGGAGAAGGTGTTGGTGGTATCATAGATGCTGTTTTCACGATTGTAGGAGTTTCTGGTGCAACATACGGGACGTCCGCTGGGTGCCCGGGTGGGATTTATTGTGGATAGGCGATACTTGATAGACACATGCATAGCCACTAGATACCCACATAGGGTCCGTCGTCGTCGCCTGTTGGAGGCATCTGAGTTACCCGGGTGAATATCAAGCTTTTGCAAGCTGGTCCTGATTGCACATTCCAGGTGCCTTCTGCCATTCAGTCGAACCAGTTCTATATAATTGGATCAAAGTCACTGGATTACTCGCTATACTTTGAACAAACATCATGATGCCCTTGGAAGATTTCCTGTAGTTGAACTAGCTCGGCACTGCCGCGCGCACGTTGGAGGTTAGTGTAATTTGGAACGTTGATTGTAGGCGGAGGGTGGGTCAGCGGCGAGGGCTGATATAGATATTATGACTTTATCGCTGTCGTGAGTGCACGTTGGTTCAGATCCAAGAACTTGAAGTTGGTTCGGAACTTGGAGCACGTTTGATTGAAAGTGGATTATCAAATCAACTCAAGTTGAACTCATCTGAACTAAGCCAAGATCGGCGCATCGGCCCGCTCGGAGTGAGTCGACCTATGCGGCTACCGCACGGCCCTGCAGCCCTGCTCACCGAACGTGGGTCCGAATTTGTTATCCGGCGGGACTCGTTCACTCTGTACAATATCAGTCGGTGCTTGATTATCCTCTATTACTATCCACCTTGTACTAATATCTCTTCCCCCACAGCTCTAATTTATTCTTCAATATCTGTAACAGGACCATCATTTAGATATCCGAACAGCCAACCAGTGATCCAGAGTCACCGTCTGTGCCGCCTTATCGGCACCGACAAGCAACACAGACGACACGATCTCGAGGAGGAGACATTTTATCTCCCCCAGCGATCGTTCAGTCTGACACACCCAGCGCATGACCTTGCTCCATGTCTACTTTGCACTACGCAAGCAGCAATCCTTCCACCGCCTGCTCAATGGCGGTCCTGGGCAACCTTCTACCTCCGTCAGCACGAGCAGCGGAAAATCATGGAAGCGTGCGGGGGTACTGAGCTCAGGCATAGCCCTCGAAATAAATGCTCTCGATGCCCTTGGCCGGTCCGTCCTCCATCTGGCATGCGCCTCTACCGAGCCATCAAGCCTGGAGTACATTCGCATGCTCCTCGCCCACCCAGCTATCAACGTGAATGTACTGGACAAGGAGAGCCACTGGACACCGTTACATAGAGCGCTCTATGCGGGAAACGTCTCCGCTGCGTACGTCTCTATTGTCTCATGTGTAACCGGTGCAGTCTTGTCTTACCGAGTTTAAGGATCCTCCTTTTGAAGCGCCCAGATATTGATACGTCCATCAAGGACTTCGAAGGATATACTGCTCACGACCTCTACAACTCAACCGTGAGATCTGCAAAACCTTCCGTGGAAGAAGGGACTCTCGCCGAACTGTTTACCTGGGGCACGAACAGGTAAGTCGACATGCCGCTGGAATTGAGTGATCATGTCTCAAAGGGCCTTCGACATCAGAAACGCAGCATTGGGTCTTGGCGATGGCAATGATAGGGCATATCCGGACCAGGTTGTCATTCCCCGTAAGGACGATGTAGCACGTCAGCACAACAGGACCCTCGATGACCGCTTCGCCCCGATTCATATCCGGCAAGTGTCGATGTCCAAGCTTCATACAGGCGCGTTTTTCATGTCTGCGAGTGTATACGTGCTGAGCTCACTATACTGTAGTCATACTCACATCCGAGCCTCGGGATAACATTCGTGTGTGCGGCTTTGGCGGTGGAGGACGGTAGGCGTTGATATATGCTTGATGGTATGTCGAGTTGCTGATTTACTGCAGTTTGGGTCCAAGTCAACATACACAGTACGGCCTCATGCCCCTTCCTGACATCCAGCACACCATTGAGTCCGTTGCGCTTGGCCAAGACCACACCCTCGCGCTCACTTTGACTGGAGAGGTTCTCACATGGGGACTCAATCGCTTTTATCAGCTCGGATACGCCATTGAGGTCTCATCCACCAAGCAAGACGAGCATATCCAGGCTACGCCACGGAAAGTCGGCTCCTTAAGGAGAGAGTTTGTAAAAGGTGTTGCAGCGTGCAAGACCGCTTCTGGTTGTTGGACGGGTACGGAAGTATGGACGTGGGGCACGAACGGCGGGCAACTTGGTAAGATATTAGTCTCCTGGGCCGTTAATATGCGCTCACGGCGAAATTTATTAGGGTACGACAAGGCATTGGTGCCCGTTCAAGTACTCCCTCGTAAAGTCTCCAGTATAGTAAAGCCTGTTAGTGCAATAGTGATGACGGTTCGTTGGGATTCCTTTCTCATGGTTCTAGAATGAAAGTGACTCGGGATTCAGGAAACCCTCATGGCGTGCCTACTTGTCACGGGCGAGGTCATGTGTGTTTGGTCGGGAGGGGTTTCCAAGATCAGGTTGGACTTTTCCTGAGCTCAATTTTACTTTCTTTTTGACTTTCGATGCCTAGTTTCCCCACCCAGAGATTCCCCTCAGAGATCTCTGTCTACCGACCCCCGCAAGCGATCAAGGGTCAGATCATCACAAAGCTCACGAGCTGTGATGATACCATCGCCGCCCTCTCGTCGAATGGGGAAGTATTCACGTTTACTTCACAACCTATTGGGGAAGGTGATTCCGCGAAAAGTTCCCCTACTTTCAAGCCCCAACGCATATGGGCGCTGAGACGTCAATTCAGTGCTGTGCAGGTGGGTGGGCTCAGACTTAATTATCGTGCTGTCTGACATGTTATAGGATGTCGACATTGGGGCCGATGGAACTATCATAGTTTGTACTCAGTCTGGACATGTTTATGTCCGCTCTCGGAGTGCCAAAGGAGGCCAGGGCTCCAGTGCCAAAGCATTCAAATTCCAGCGCATACCGTACATACAGCGTGCTGTTGCTGTCTGCGCAAATAGCACAGGGGCGTTTGGCGCTCTGCGCGTTGATTTTAAACCACTGCCCATTCACGTCACTGCGCGTTCGTTTTCGTTAGACATTGCTGAGATCCAGCCATATCTAGGTCTTTCATCTTGTGCTGGGACATTGCCTGCTATGCCAAACGCGACAACTCCTCTCTTGGATGCTGATGAAGATGTCGAGGACGCGTCGATCTTGGATGATATCGGAGATCTCTCGAAGTTGCTTCACGTTCTGGACCAACGCAAGAATGAGCCAGATATTGCCTTATCCTATAACGCGGACATGGTCGTTGTCACTCCTGGTCCACTGTACCTTCCGGCTCATCGCCTCATTCTCGCCGTGAGATGTCCAGTCTTGGGCGGCATTTTGCATAGCGGACGTCCGTTGCATGATAAATCTTCAGGGATCAAGGTCAATCTTGTGTCAGAAGACAGGGTCTGCATTCAAATCATTGGATGTCATCCGCTCACGGTCCTACTTCTCCTCCGATACTTGTACTCTGACCAGCTTCTCGCCATCTGGGATTTACGCATCGGAACCCCCTTTGTGACTCAATTTCAAATATATGCTGTGAAGCCTGTAGCAATCAAGGCGGAGCTCCAAGCACTTGCACGTATATTGGATCTTCAACTTCTTTCGAAAGCACTTGAATCGCCAGGAAAGCGCGTGCCCACACCTTCACAAGCAGAAAACTTCCGCCTACTCTACGAAAGTACCCAATTAACTGGGCCTTTACGAAAGAATATAAACGAAGATTCTCTTGCGCCCGACGTCGCGCTTCACCTCGCCGACCAGGTCATCGTTTGGAGTCATTCAGCGGTACTACAAGCCCGCAGTCAATTTTTCGCCAGCTTCTTTGGAGATAGCGCGTGGACATCTAAGCGTCGTGACAAGTCGGGCATTATCGACATTGATCTCGAGCATTTGGAGTGGCAGGTCATACAATATGTCGTTCGATGGATGTGTTATGGAGACGAGAACTTGTTCGAATCTCTCGGTGCGTTCTCGTGTCTTATTTTCTCAGTTTTGGCCTTCTTACTGCATCAAAGACTTTGTGCAAGGGGTAGATGACGTGCTATCCTTCATGTTTTCTGTTCTTTCCGCAGCGGTAAGTTCCCATGCATTATGATTAGGCGCATATTCATCGTGCAATGCCAACTAGAACGAACTTTTACTCGATCGCCTGATGCTTCTCTGTTCACAAGTCATTTTGAAGCACCTCGACGTCTACAATGTGTGCTATCTTCTCACTGATGCAACGCACATCAACGCGACCCATCTCGTTGAGCGCCTGCAGAGTTACATCACGGCAAATTTGGAGATGATGCTAGAAGGTCGCATGCTCGAGGACCTTGAGCTGTCCGTCGTACGACAGCTTTCTGAGTACATCTGCAGTGCGCAGATGACAAAGTCCCCGGTCTCTCGTTCTAACTTACTGGCGAACAAAGCGCTGCGGAAGCACGCTGAATGGCTTGCTCAACAGGATATTCCAGTTGTGTTTGCACCCGTAGAAAGGTCGCAGGTTCACAGGGATTCTTCGAAGTTGTTGCCTTCGAGCCCGATGAGGACTCACCCGATTTCTAGTCCGTCTGTGCGTCCGGCGGCAGATTTGCCCAAGGCTGTTGATACTGGGCCGTTAGGAGACGATCTTTTTACGATGGATGGGGTACCTTATTTGGATATCGCTCCTGATCATCCGGTCCCTACGGTTGCTGAACCGTCTGGGCCAGTACCAGTATGGAAACGACCCATCTCCACGCCTAGGTATGTGAAATTTTTGCTTCCTTTCTCATTATGCATTGTGCTGAGACCTCTATGAAGGACCGATCTCAAGGCCATTATGGCAGAGGCTGAGACCACCAGGATATCTGGTGTTGCAAACAGAGCAACCCACGGTGCTATGGCTAAACCTAGTCAAGAGTCTTTGAAACGGGTGGCTACGCCACCACGCAGGATCGTGAGCTCGTCGCTAAAGCCAGATGCGTCACCGACACCGCGTCGAATGTTGTCTGACCATGACTTGGGGAAGTCTTCGCTGCCCGAATCATCCACTGCCGCAAAGTCGACGCATGCGAGAACACCTCAGCGGCCGGCTCCTCAAACCGTACCTTCATCTTCGAAGCCTCAGCCGAACACACCTTCGCTTGGCCCTGTCTTTTCTCCCGTTCGACAGGTGTCTTCGACCTCCAGTTCACCAGGTCCTCGACGTGTCTCGTACGTACGCATTGTTCTCCATTGGCCAGGTCTTTCTGATTCGTATTTACCAGGAATACTGGTGCTGCGTGGACCCTTCCGCCTGTTCAGCCAGTGGTGCAACCGAGCGTTGCAGAATCATCCTCACTTCCATTCACCGAGATACAGCGATTACAGCTTTTGCAGGGCATACCTGCGTCGAAGGACAAACGATCGCTTGTCGAGATACAAGAAGAGGAGCGAGACATTCAAGTAGAGGCAGACTTTATGAAGTGGTGGGCGGCGGAAGAGGCGCGTACTCAAGCAGAAGCACACAGGGCTTCTGAAACGCAACGTGCTGCTCCTTCTGGGAGTAAGAATCGAGGAGGGAAGAAGAAATCTTACGGTGCTCGTTCGAGGCCCGGTGAAGCGCACCCCGCTCAGGGTTCTAGCCGTTCTAGTAAGGGTAAAGGAAGGGGGAAAACAGCGGTGACACCGGCGGCTGACGGTGCAACGCTGCGGGCTGGAAGATCCAGCCCAGAACAGTCGAAGGATGCTGCAGTATGCTAGATCGGTGGTGGATGATTCCATCCATTTTCAACGGGCCAAGAGGTGATGAACCGTGTAGCAAGCTGCCAGTCTGTCGGGCTACTTATAACAAGAATATGGACTATGACGGTGGTCGAAAGGCATGCATGAGCACCAAAGCGATGCCCAATACCCTGACGACGCGATTGAACTTCACAGGGAAGCACTGGCTGTTATACTCATCCATGATAGCATCTGAAAGGGGCAGAAAAGATGTTCAGAGCGGTACAAGTGTCCTGATGACTTCAGAGACGTACCATGTCGTCCCGCCCTCAAGCTTCTTGGCATCAGCTGTAATTTCAACGTCATCTGCGATGTGTTTTGAGATGTCAAAAACAGCTAAAGACATCGCACAGATGAGCTAGACGGCGGAATCCTAGCTGTGCCAAGAATCTACCTAGGCGGGCATCTGATAATCGGAAGCATATGTCAGTTGTGCGACCATGCAAGCCATTGCCGCCGCTACGCACGGTACCGTCGATCAAATCCAAAACATCTTTAGATCAGACTCGGGCCAAGGTCCAACTTGTGGAACGCTCTGCCGGCGACGTACCAGGAACCAATCATTTGCGCTAGTAACTGTAGGATTTCTGCGTTGACTCGCACCGAAGTTATCACAGATCAACTTGTTGGTGGAGGTTGGGGTGCACACTGAAGTGGTACTAGGCAGGGAAGCCAGTCCGGAGAATCAACGTTTTTGGATAAAAGGGTCCGCAACAGTAATCCACGGAATCTCCTTGTCAATCCAGTCTCTGCCATAATATTATGATCTGTTTCTTCCATTCGCGGTCTGAAGGTTCCTCTTCAAACCTCGATTACTAAGTAGTTCGCAATTGAATGGGGATCATGTCTCCCCTCGCGCAATATAAATCCCCACTCCCGACAGGATAGCCGATGGGTACAGCCCAGACATCCGTGATCCTTCGATTGGTGAACCACCTATTCAGATAACGTCGACTGATTCTTGGGCTTGGTTCAGAGGCCATCTACCTTTGACCTGGTAACCTGCAAACTGTCCCTCAAAAACGAAGCTGTAAATTTTCAAGGTGCGTCTGCTGCTTGAAGTCCATCGAATTCGAAGTCTATATCCCGCTCAGTCAGGTCTCTTCAAAGATCTATTCATCAGCCACCAGCTATAGTCACTGACATGGTCAGGACGTTACATGTGTCTACTACTCTGAGACAATAAACAGCGTTTTTTAATTTACAAAAAATGACGGATGAGAACAGCTGGTACGCAGAACATACCCTACCTTCATGCACTCGCAATCGGACCACGGATACTTGGGGAGGTATAATCAAGCCCCATAGGTCTCGCCACCGTGTCGACTGAGGGAGACCAACATGCTCCAAAGACGTATGCGCCATACCAGAAAAAGCACCAGATTGCATGATCATACAACTATTTCAACCTCCTAAAACTACCTCGACAGACCATTCAATACACTCGCTTTCACCGCCGAATTATTCAGCTCCACCCCAAACATCAGCCACGTAGTGATGCGTTGCCCACTATTAAGGTCTCGCTGAAGACAAACGGATCAGCGGGATTGTTACAATCATCAGAGTTGATACATACGCAGGCGATACTCCAAAGTGATTCCAAGAACTGTTTTCATCAACTCCGCCTTCATCTCAGAAAGTTGCGCCTTCCTCTGAGAGCGTTCAAAAGGGAGCTTTGCCTTCCAGGTAGATGGCTTGTTTTTGACAGCGCTCACAGCCTCTTGATATTTACGAGCGGCAGTGCTCACAGCTTCCCTGACAGCAGCAGCATGTGGAGACGCCATGTACTGCTCGAGAGCGTCAAAACTGTAGGGAACAGACTGCTGCTGGCCCCGAAGATAGCGCCGCTTGTCGAAAATGTAGAAAGAGTGTTCGAAAATGATGACAGCAGCTACATGATCAATGATAAGCAGGTTCATTGCAACATCGCCTGAAAATTCACCAGAGCTAAACTGAACAATAGTCTCCAATGGTGATGAGCCAGAGGTCTGGCAAATTTTCGACATGCGAACTGTGTGTAGTCTGTGACTTATTGGACATACCACAGTGAGTAACCTAGACCCCATCTCCTTACGTTGGGCGGTGGAAAGCTGGTGAAATCACGATGGAGAGTTGAAAATCGTCTCCCTCTGCTGAAGATGAATACACTCACAAGCTGCCAATGAATAAGATCTTCGGTCAGCATGGCCCAAGGTCAAAGGAGGATAAACAAACTCACGTCCTATTGATGGATCGGTGATATCGTTCGTGAGCAAGGTTCGAGGATTAAATACTCACACGCTGTTAAGGGGTGCGCGATGTCAGTGATAAGCGGTGCTCGAGAACGACGGAGGATAGATACTTTGACACCCTGGCAATGGATGAGGAATATCATTGGTGGGCAAGACTCGAGGATAAATCACTCACAGTCTGTGAAGGGATGCGCAATGTCAGTGATAAGCATGGCTAGACCCTGACGGCGAATCACCCACTCACAATCTGTGAACGGATCAGCAATGTTTTCGGTCAGCATGACTCAAGGTCGACAGAGAATGAACTCACACCCTGAAAACACTTGAATGAGCATGGTGGTAGGTTGACAGAGGATGCACACACTCACAAGCTATCAATGGATCAGCACATTTTTGATGAGTATAGCTCAAGGTCTGCGGAGGATGAATATACTGACATTCTGCCAATGGATCAGCAATTTCTTCAGTCAGCAAGGCTCGAACTCGACAAAGCGTCACCCCACTCACTGTCTGTGAACGGATGGACAATATCTCAGTTACAAAGACTCGAACTCGAAAAAAGATCACTGCGCTCACTCTCTGTCAACGAATGGACAATGACGTCAATCAGCATGGCTCGAGCTCGAATGAGGATCAAGACACTCACAGCCTGCGAACGGCGGGCAATGACTTGGATCAGCATGCCTCGAGCTCGAACGAGGATCAAGACACTCACAGCCTGCGAACGATGGGCAATGACTTGGATCAGCATGGCTCGAGCTCGAACGAGGATCAATACACTCACATCCTGCGAACAGTGGCCAATGACTTGGATCAGCATGTCTCAAACTCGAAAAAGGATCACTGAGCTCACTCTCTGTCAACGAATGGACAATGACGTCAATCAACATGGCTCGAGCTCGAACGAGGATCAAGACACTCACAGCCTGCGAACGGCGGGCAATGACGAGGATCAGCATGCCTCGAGCTCGAACGAGGATCAAGACACTCACAATCTGCGAACGGGGGGCAATGACTTGGATCGGCATGCCTCGAGCTCGAACGAGGATCAAGACACTCACATCCTGCGAACGATGGGCAATGACGAGGATCAATCGAATCAGGATCAAGACACTCACAGCCTGCGAACGGCGGGCAATGACGAGGATCAGCATGGCTCGAGCTCGAACGAGGATCAAGGCATTCACATCCTGCGAACGATAGGCAATGACTTGGATCAGGATCGATCGAGCTCGAACGAGGATCAAGACACTCACAACCTGCGAACGATGGGCAATGGCTTGGATTAGCATGGCTCGAGCTCGACCGAGGATCAAGACACTCACAAACTGCGAATGGCGGGCAATGACTTGGATCAGCATGGCTCGAGCACGAACGAGGATCAAGACACTCACCCACTGCGAATGGTGGGCAATGACTTGGATCAGCATGGCTCGAGCTCTAACGAGGATCAAGACACTCACATCCTGCGAACGGGTGGCAATGACTTGAATCAGCATGGATCGGGCTTGAACGAGGATCAAGACACTCACAAGCTGCGAACGGGGGGCAATGACTTGGATCAGCATGCCTCGAGCTCGAACGAGGATCAAGACACTCACAACCTTCGAACGGCGGGCAATGACTTGGATCAGCATGGCTCAAGCTCGAACGAGGATCAAGACACTCACATCCTGCGAACGGTGGGCAATGACGAGGATCAGGATGGATCGAGCTCGAACGAGGACACTCACATCCTGCGAACGATGGGCAATGACGAGGATCAATCGAACGAGGATCAAGACACTCACAACCTGCGAACGATGGGCAATGACTTGGATCAACATGGATCGAGATCGAACGAGGATCAAAACACTCACATCCTGCGAACGGTGGGCAATGACTTGGATCAGCATGGCTCAAGCTCGAACGAGGATCAAGACACTCACCATCTGCGAACGATAGGCAATGGCTTGGATCAGGATGGATCGAGCTCGAACGAGGATCAAGACACTCACATCCTGCGAACGATGGGCAATGACGAGGATCAATCGAACGAGGATCAAAACACTCACATCCTGCGAACGATAGGCAATGGCTTGAATCAGCATGGCTCGAGCTCGAACGAGGATCAACAGACATACTGCCTGCAAACGCCCAACATAAATGAGAGCAACTTTCAAAGATTTTTATAATCTTACAGCAATATGTGGAAACCAGTTACACAATTTCGTTGTCGCCTCCTCAGATGAGATTTGCTCAGAGCCAACAAGTCTTGTGAGGGTACTGGACAATAGTTAATAACATTTTCAGCAGGCAAATGAGATTATGAGCAAATACCGTTCTACTGCATATTCCATGCAGAGCTCCAAGTTCGTTTGTTGAGTTGAGACAAACAATTGCTGAAGGACTTCGCTGTCCAGAGTTCTAGCCGTCTGTTTGATGAGTGGCCCACAGTCTGCGTCGTCCTTGTCCATGTCTAACGGATCAATGGTCATCATGTATTGCAATTCGACTATCCACAGCTTACCGGGGAGGCATACGTGACATTTTGGCGGCCGTCGGATGTCCTTGGAGTGGTATAGGAACTTCAATTGCGTCCCGTTTGCAAACGTCTCCTCGGCGCGCTTCGGGGCCAGTGCATTGGCGTCTGTCCTCGATTTTCCTTCCTCTGTTAGCCGTACGAATTCGTCGTCATAAAGGGCATCAAATTTCGTGAATATCACGATCACTGGGACTGAGGATCAAAGTTGCGAATCAGTCGATCACCAGGCAGATGTGAAAGCTTACTGCTTCCGGTGTCACAGCGGGAGAAAAACCTGAGTTCGGCTTCGGTGAAAGATCTGCTTTCTTCATCCATTGGAATACAGTACCTATGTCAAAGAAGTGAGCTAGTGCATGTCGCCAAGTTGACCAATTACCATATAGCGTGAATTCGATCCTTGATATCTGTCTTCTTCAAGCGGCGCGCGATAAATGTGTTCACCTTGTCATACTCAGATTCGCCGCCTGCTTCGAACCCGCGTGAATCGTGAAAGATGAATCCCGAGTTATTTTGAAACACCATTTCGTTTTCGATATCGTGCTCTCCGCGCTGAGAACACGTCAGTTCATGTTGATAACTGATGATAGTACACGTTACCTCTCTAGATGCGTTCAGAATAGCGGCATCGATCTGATGTCGATAGGACAGTCATCACTATCAGTATTGTATTAGCATCACGATACGCACCTGTTTCCCAGCGCTATTAAATATTTGGGGGTTCTCATTGGTGTTGCAAACCCTCTTTAGGATAGTTGTTTTTCCCGCATTGGCTCTTCCTATGATGAGGATTCGAAAGCGATTTATTTTCTTTTTTATCTCTGAAGGATGCATGGATGGAGGTTTATAACCACTAGTGTGGCGAGCGCCTTGAAATCTCGCAGGTACGGTGGGCATTTCCGAGTCAGATAGGCTTCCATTTGATTACCGTTATCTATATCCTGGGAACACTTCGAGGCGACCATGAAGCCTTTCTGACCAATGCAGAGTTAAATTGTCGAAAGTGAACCACATATATATGTAGATTTGAGATGGCCAATTGTACAACCTTGTATCCTGGGGCCGCCATGGGCGTATACTCGAAATAAGAAGCAGCACAAATGCCACGGTACCGTACGTACACGCACCTCCAAAAGTCCACGTCAACTGTGCCCAAGAACTTCGTCATCATCCAATTGCATGGCCGAATCAGCGGAGCACATTGTTCGAATCACCACACCCAGTCGAACATTTGAAGGTCATGCAAGTTTGGTCTTCACAATCGCAGTGTTCCCTGATAGATGCCGTATGGCCGTGACGGGCTCGGGGGACAAAACACGTTTTGGAATGCCACGACAGAGCTCTGGAACGCAAAAACATGGCAGGTGCAAGGAAATCAAATTAATTGCCGTGCATCATGTATATATTTGGGCATTCCCCGACTGGTGAATATTAATTCGAACATCTTGCCATCGCAACTGGAAAATATACAGATATGGAATCCAGTCAAGAGGGAATGCATCACCGTGACAACTTCGAGGCTCATTCTGTGTTCAATGGAGCATGGAACAGCTCACTCGCGTGGATGCTCAATGACATGGACACACGGCTTCTCTCAGCGAGCACTATGCGAGATCACACCATACGGGAGTGGGATACATTGACCTGGAAGCAGGCCGGTGAGTCCTGGAAGGGCCATGCTGTAACATTGCCATGAGATCGACAGGCACCTTTGTCGCCTCCTCTTCTGATGACAGTCATGATCGCCTATGGTAACTCTCGGATCGACGACCTATTACCATATTCAAACACTTCACTGTCCGGTAGTGTGTTTTGTGTCACCTTCTCCATGGATGGCAATCACATCCTCAGCGGAGGTAAAGATAAGAAAATCTCAAAGTAGGCAGTACCCGATGATGCTTTTCTGGAGGTAAGTTCCTGTTCATTTCCGTCTGTGCGTCATCTCATTTCGTCCCAAGGATGTGTTGCTAGAGGACACCTCGTGAGCACAAGTCACAAAAACTGTGAGTTCCCGTTCATTGCACATCTGCTCGTCTTCTTTCTCAAACGTTAACTCTCAATTTGCATGTTTCCTCCCTTATTTTTATAACACTCTCTCACCATGCACATGTCAGCCCGCAGTGCATGCATGCATGGCTGGGGACTGGCATACCGCTGAGAGGCTGATAACACAAGAGATCAACACTGATGGCAACGACTATACTAACTCTTATGCGAATCGTTAGTTTGTAATGGCGAGAAAATCTGACTGGTATTGCGCACTTCATGATGCACTTAAGGTGACATATACTGTCTCATCGGCCGCATGACCTTTTCTAACTTGCATGGTAATATAGAGCATTACCATTCTGCCGTCCTTGATGAGCTGCTGTATCCCTAAGGGCATCGCCCTCTGTGAAAAACGACAGTTTCAAGACGCCATGAAAGCATTTGACCTGGCGTTCACGTTCGTGGACAGAGATTTGAATAAAACCCGTCTTCTACTCTTGATTAAGGTACATCAATTTTGTCTCACATGCTCCTTACTTCATGACGGCTACCATGCCATCACCTTGTTTAATGCAAATCAACATGTCGAGGCAATTCAGCGTGTCCAAGAGCTAGCTGCCACTTGTCCCAATGCCGATATTCTTGCCTGCGGTATCGTGGAAGTGAGTGTTCTTGCCACAGTCGAGTCCAGATTCATGTGTCGACACTGATTTTTGCGAATTTCGCACATCAGGCTTATCTACATGTCCAAAAGGGAATCAATGCCTTAGGTGTACTTGTATGTTTCCTTCTTCGATCTTTACCATTATCCATGACGTGAAGGCGAACGCTAAGGCGAGAGAAACACAAACCATTGACAGCACACTCTAGCTTGACTGAAATTCATCATGTTGTGTCGTAAGATCATGATATTTCGAAATTCGTACAAAAGATAGACTCGTTGCATGTTAAAGGAAACAAAAACGAAAGTTATCGTCGAATTCCAGTCCTTGGATTACGTCTCGTGCTGATTACTTCGCCGTCTTCCTCGTAATGATCCAGCAACGAGTCCGTGGTTCCGTCGGTTCCGTCTAGTTCAATACTCTTGGTATCTTTGAACCGGGTAGCATACGGCTCATGTGCATCTGCCGATGCTAGGTCAGGGTAATATTGCCTGTACGAGAAATATGCGAGGAGAATGCCAAGCGCAGATCCAGTCATGACGTCCTGCCAGTGGTCTGAATGGCAAAGTGAGCGATCTAATATGATTTGGTAAAACAAGGATCATACGACGGTAATCCATAGTGCGCGTGGTTGCCACATACAATGCACCAGCAAGAGGACTGATAGATATCCACGCTTTACTCTGAACCATGGGTGGTCAGATACACGTTGAGCTGTCTGCAGGGCAAGAGAAACTCACGACATGTCCTCGGGTGTCAAATAGATGTAATTTACCGGCCAAGTAAAAGGCGAGGAATCCAAGACCTGCAAATGACACTATATACAGACACATCAGAAAAATAACAAGGAGAAATAGTGGCCGGCATACTGCTGGAATGACCGCTGGGGAAGCTTTTCCATCCATCTTCGAGTATCACTGATACCGTCTGCGTACATATGTCTACAGTAGAGAGCCCCCAAAGAGGGTCTTCAGAGCCTATCGCAGGCTGACAGCGCGAGATCAAATCTTTAGGCATTGTAAGATACGTCGGGTAGAGCTATGTGCGTGAAATTGCAAGATTACCTGGCCGAGGTCGACCAACCGTGACTTTGACTAAATGTGTGACAGTCCTTGTCATCGACAGAGAGAGGAGCACTGCATCGTCATCAGCAGCCATAATGCAGCAACTAGAATTATGTACATACGTCCCAGGGTGCTGTGATGGAAATCCCACCATGACCGGACTGTTAAAATATTGACGAGGGACTGAATCACAAACGGGATGCCACCAGAGATGAAGCTGAGAGCTGTCGTCTGGCATGTCGTTAATAAAAGGGTTTTGTTCGTGCTCCTATGGCTTACCCCGACACGTTGATTGACAGCATAGCTGGTAGGTATGTAGTGAGCGTTGCAGGTCAATGTGAACCCAGCTGATAAGTAACACCCACGGGTATCGTAACCTAACAAAATTTCTCAACATGAAGATGGGCCCGAATAGAGGCTCCAGTACTTACGAGACATCAGATAGCGAGAAGTGCCTCTTGAACCCAGAGACGTGGTTGTCGATGACCCAGAAGATTGCCCTGTTCGTTAATCCGATCTTTAGTCCTTTCACGTCTGTAACCTCCACGGCTCCAAATCCTCACCAAAGCGCACCAGATATAATCCTTCGGAAAAAGGGACTACATGAGCTCAAGCCCAAAGTTCAGTGATTAAGAAACTCACCAGTCGGGGGCATACGACATCATGAATCGTCGTAGACTTGGGTGTGGTCTGCGCTCTTGGTTCATGGTGTTGGAATACGACAGGGTTGACTGCAAAGTCAGAGAAAGAGCAAAGTTTAAAGGTACCGAGTTGGTCTATTGTTTTATAGTCGTGCCATTGCAAGGGAGGTTATCATTAGCACTAGTACTTGTACATTTCAGGTTGTCTTCCCCACTGCACTGCAGTCCAGACTCCACGAGGACACTAATAATTCAATCTCACACGGACTAGAAGGGTTCGGCCCGCTCAACTGGCAGGATCTATTCTTGACCATGTCGTAAGCCCGTCTGCGAGCACCGACTCCGGAGTACTTGTTCTGCCTTCTCCTCCACGAAGTCGTAAGTCTGCGTCAAAATCGTGCTTACTCCAGACCACCACGTTACTTTTATCACGTCGAACTGTACACCAGTTCAATGGACATGATGCCGTATACCTGATTTCATGTCTCGTCTCTGTTTCCCTGCCCCCACATCATTCTCCCGTCGATGCATGCGGCAACCTCCATCGTGCGTGAAATCTAGTGCTTTCTTGCTATGGCTAGCACTACACACATAGACGCTGAGACGCAAAACAGCAATATATAGGAAATGAGGACATGACTTCGAGGAAGAAAACGTTTCGTGCCCAGTCAATTTGAAACTCCGTCCGTTATTTGAGAAATATCTGCGACTGCACTGACAGTGATTATCAAATACGGCTTTAGCCTTCCAAGGAGTTGTTCCACACAAATCATGTGCCATCCATTATCCAAAAGTGCAGCATCATTGATCCCCTAGCAGGCCTGGAGGAGCGACCTAAAACTTGAAAACAGAGCTCGATGTCAACCTGCATAATCCACAATCCATCATGTCTTTAGTCAAGGCGCTCACTCCCGTACTTTCACGAACAAAGCTTTTCCTGCCTCTTACTGCACCTGGAAGCCTATACCACGAGCACATCGTGGAGGCACATCTACAGCGGCGACATGTGAGGACTAAGCGATGAAGGCACCAGGCCACCGGACTTCATCTTCTTGCGCGATCGAACAACAAATGATGCGGTCTTTTCTCCGCGCGGGCATGGAGGCATTACAACACTGAAGGAAGGGAGTGCCTTGTACCTTCAAATATTTGCAGATGGCGCATCATCTGCACCTTTAATTTCGACGTCCTCGGATAGATCTTGACGGGTGAATTTGCGTGCCGACAGTGTCATAGCAGAATGGCAGCTCCGTTCCTTTTCGGACCTGCCAGTGAGTAAGTTACCCGTGAGTTGGAACAATTCTTACTCAACAAACGACTAATATCTTGATTATGAATTAATTTGAACGTTACTGTCGGGCTAGACCGACGCGCGGAGAAAAGACCGCATCATTTGTTGTTCGATCGCGCAAGAAGATGAAGTCCGGTGGCCTGGTGCCTTCATCGCTTAGTCCTCACATGTCGCCGCTGTAGATGTGCCTCCACGATGTGCTCGTGGTATAAAGTCTGCCCATCATGAACTGTAAACTGCAGTTTTCATTCTCCAACTATCTACCCCGAGTATTCACACACTCACACACCATACAATATGTCGACCTTCTTCCCCTCCTCGCAGATGATTGCCCCCGGCGAGATATCTTTTGCCTCAGACCGTGCAATCAAAGACTTCCAAGGTAAATATCATATTCTCGAGTACCTCAGCTCAACGCTCATTCCGCGGTTTCCTAGCTATTGGTCGTGAGTACGCTGGCCAGCAGACGGACCACCACCCTAATTTTTTGCAGAGCACTTGGATCACTTCAAAGCTCATGTCGAAAGTGTGAAGCTCGACGACGGACAAGTCCTCTACACGCACCAGATGGTGACTAAGGCTGACAAGGGCATCATAAACAAGAAAGTCAGGATCAGCCTTGTTGAGGTCAGTCCATGTTGCTGGTGGTATTCGTTCACCCTTTTGAACGGTGTCCACACCCTCCACCCTAGGCCGACATCACCATCAACACGTCCTCCCGCAGTCTGGCGTTTCATGTTTTTATCGATGCCCCTATCATTGGACACATCCTCCTCGTGTCGTCCATAATTCCTCTCAAGGTCGACGACCAGGTGAAACTTGATTTCGATGGAGCGGCCAAAAACCTTACGTCTGGACACGCGAGCGTCACAATTGATGCAAACAACAACGTTATCCTGACCTGGGACTTCGTGGTTCTCGGAGTGGAGTCAAAGGGTTCCCACATCATCCTCCACTTCTAAACTTCGAGGTATTCCATTTCGCGGCTTCATTCCCGTGTAATTACTTAATTTATTCTGTAGATCTGGCATGTAACCTGTGGAATCTCAAAGAAGGTTCCTTGTTGAAGCCTGATGGGTGTGAAGGATGCAATTTCGCAGTAGCGCTGTTTTGAATTTATGCACGCTGAATTGACTTTATTCGGGACTCTAACGTTTAATTTTGATAATAGTGATCTTAGTTATCTGGTTAATTCTGCTGAAGATTAAACAATGATCAGGTCTACCAGGTAACCAAGAGCTCTCAATCCTTTCGACGTGGCTAAGATTCACTTCTGCGGATGGTGAATAAAGTCTCTTCCTAAGCAGAATACTCAGAGCGGACTTGCTGGGCGACGATGATAGCAGTGAATTTTTATCGCCTACAACAGTAACTGGTTGCTACGAGAAGTCGGTCGCTGTTTAGTTTAATCAATGATCATGTTTCAGGTCACACCATCTGACTACCTTTGACGAGGAATGCCATGATATCCAACTACTGCACACAACCGTGCAACCACCAGTATCCAATCCACGCAAACCCAGAAGTGTGACAGTCAGTCCACGCTCTCAAAACTTGGCCAAGCACAGCTGGCCATCCAATTCGTCTTCCCAATCCATGGATATATTTGTTTTATCTGATTCTGTTGGAGGTCGTCCGTGATTTGTTTTCACTGGTTGTACGAATCCTTGATCGGCAAATGATGCATTTTTTTTTATCTGACAGTTCAGAACAGGAACGTACTACTGCAATTTTTTTCTAGGACATCTGAGGTGGAGCTGTCTACTACTTGCGGATCGTGACAGTACCAGGGGACGGAGTGGTCTCCTTGTTAGTCACTACCCCTTCTCGACTTGTCAGTTGTCGGCAATGTTATTCCGCCAACAAAACAAAGTCCGCGAATCCTAATCCTAAGCAGTATACTTGTGCACGCCACTGCCATGAAGCCTTGATGGTTGCATGACGTAGAAAATTCACAAGATACCGTACAATGGCAAGGTTTTCTACAGGTAAACTCGCTCGGTGAGAAATAAGGACGGTGTATTTTAAGTACCTTCCCTGTAACGTTCCCTTATCATCTCCGTAACAGCGCTCAGTACACACAGTGTATGGTCTCAGAGTTGAATACTGATTTAGACGTTCAATGCTACAAATACAGTGCGTAAAGCTCTTGCCATCGTATACTTAAACATCCGGAAGCACTATGATATATTTCTTGCTAGTACTGAGGGAAAAATAGACTTAGCCAGTCGCTCGGAAAGATGGATCTCTCTTGCTGCCCAGATGAACCAAAAAATAAACATGATAACAACCACGCACCCGCTGGCAACCGACGCCAGCATGGCCACCGTCGTAGACTTGAACACGTTGTACAGAATGGCGACTGCAAAGAATATCATCCTAGTCAAGAATAAGGTAACTATTAGCCCCGTTATGGAGTAGCAGTCCACCTACCCCCACATAAGCATTGCGTAGGGAAGACTGTGAACCGTGGCAAGGGCTCTCACTCCGAAAAACGTCCCCGTCATATTGGACAAGAAAATTGCCTGATGGAATTAGTTAGCATGGAAGTGGTGCACGCTAGGGTAAGAACTTGCTGCTTTGTCCGCTGATTCAAAACCATATCTTTGGTTTTGTCGCACCAGCAGGACTGAGACGATCAAGGAGCCGGTGATGAAGATAATGGAGAGGTAGGTTGCAATGATCCCGATCGACTGTGACTGGCTGATATTCACATTCGGCACTGCAAGGAAACTTACATCTACTGCTAACATGACGGTGGACTGGAAATAATCAAGTTATGAAGGAAGGTGCTGACTTCATGATACATACATAGATTGTGATCCCAGTCCATTCCATCATGAGGTTTTTGTTGAAGTCTTTCCACCTCGGCATGTTAGTGCATTCATCCACCCACACTTTTTGAAGTTCTTCTAAGTGTGCTTGCGGTGCCCAAAAAAGCATGGCGTTAAGAGCAAAAGATATACTACGGGTCAGTGGATGAAAGTCAGTATCCTCCCCGTACACCGATTTGTCGGCTTCAAGGCGAGCGCAAGGTAGACCGCAGAAGTTGAAGAACTTGGCTCTATCTTCATCATGAATGAGCCACATGCTAAGATGTCGAAATGAAGAATATACAGAAGTAATGCATGAACCTCGCTGTTGACGAGACGATAAATCTTTGATTGATCTGTGTGTGTAGTTTGGCTTACCAATAACACAAGTGGAATGTGGGTCATTGTCCAGATCATTCTCTGGAGATATGTAATAACACTTTAGATTATTACTGATGAAAGTGATTCGAAGGGGACCACCACACCTTTCAGATGGTTTATCAGTTCCATAATTCGGGAAAGTTCATCTGCATCAAAGGGTGACAAGGATATGTCCGAAGTGATGACCTCTGAATCGCGTTCAAACACAATCGACGGTGAAATTCGGGCGATCAGTACCTGCACTTGTATGCATGACAAGCTCCCTCAGTTCCTTGATGATCTGCGGTCTATTTATCTGGTGGATCGGGTAGTATTCACAGTGCGTCCTGTTCGGTCCATGTCATGATAGTCATAGAATCTGGAACCACAATAGAATCAAAATAGGTCCGGCAGGAAGTAAGTGAAACTCGTACAATTGAGCATCACAAACCAGTACTCAGACTCCAGAGCATATCCTAGTGGCCCGTCTATATCAGCGGTGTCATCATAAGTTTTACATAACGCACGAATGTGACTCGGATCGGCAACGCCTCGGATCCCACTAAAAATGTCATCTTTCCCTTCAATTTGATGGCGATCGTGCAACCAAAAGACAATTCGAGCTGCGTGGTCGACGAAATAATAATGACAAGCCACTTGTGGGCCGCCTTCGGTTTCAGTCTGCGCTAGTTGCACGACGAGCTCGATGTTGGCATCAGCTTCGAGATTCAATGATTCTCTTCGCGCTAGGTCATACAACTCATCTACGCATTTGTCGATCAACCTGAGCATTTGGCCATCCATCTTTTCGCCATCCATATTTATGCCATCAATCTTTGTTTCCGTGAATGCTCCCTGCAGAATGTGTGAAAATTATGTAAGACCTTCATGATCGAATGCTTACTCGGCGGTGGTTGTACAAATACAGTACGCCTTCCGGGTGTACACATGACTGCCAATCACCGCTCAACCACAGACATGATCTGAATTGTTTGTCATCCACATTCACGCACCAGCTGTACACTCACTCGTTGGGGAACTGCCTCATGAGTGCTGGAATTGAATCGCGCTTGGGATCTTTGTCTCTGGAGGCCAACTGCTCAAGATTGATCCATCGTGAAGGTATAATACTGCATCAACGTACACCGTGACAAGAGGACGATTCTCGTATCGTGAAATCTCATTCGCAACGAATGGTTTAAACTCGGGAATGGTGTCCGGAGCACTGGAAGAGCTTGCGCTGCCAGTTGGTGTAGGCGTAGACGCCTGAGGCGGAGTAGGGTGCATATATGGATGGGGCGAGGGGAATGAAGGCGCTGGCATGCCGCTTGCGGCACTTGCTGAAGTTATTTGCCGGTTGTGAAGTGGCAACGGTAAGCTGGCCCGGGGACATCGTACACTGGAATCATTGGTCAAGACAGTGCAGCTGTCTGGAGGGAAGGACGTTGAGTCAGTATTGTGCCTGGGGAAACTGCGAATCTTGGTCATCAAGTGTCGAAAGCAAGTCACGAGGATGCGCAATCTTTGGGCAGATGAAACTACGAGTGCCGCCAAGATTTGGCACAGACGTTTCAAGAGCCTTCGAATCAGCCTAGTGCTCAACATGTTTGTGTTGTCTGGACTCTGACGTCGACTTGTTCAAGGTAAGTAATCAAATGGCACGTGCCAGGCACCCGCGACTGTTTCGACGCACAGCATCTTGAATACGTAAGTCGCAGACCATCATGCATGCTGTAAGTTAAACATCGAAAGAGCTATGCTACTACAATGCTACTATGTAATAAGTTGACAATGACATCGGTGAAAGAAACGAGCAGTCGTCTATGCCAGCTTGACATTGCAGCGAGTTTTTGATACACGGATTGGACAGCACAGCGCAGACTTTCATCGTCAACCAAACTTGTACGAATCAGTAACTTGGTCCCAAAGCTTCTTGGTGTCTACTACAGCACGCAACCTCGAAGCAAGCAAGAACGCCCCGCTCAGTTTCCTACGGAACAAACAATGAGTAAACAGAGCACGAATAAGTAAAAAAAAGTTGGCGACAAAATCCCCCTCTTATTCAAAGGAAAATGTATCCTATCACTCACCGATTCAGACTATACGTTTCCTTCGGCGGGGGCGTCAACCTGTGCTTGAGCATCACAGGTATAAGTTCACGTATTTGAGCTGTAATATCCGCCCATGGTGTCCCAGGTCCAAATGCGAAAGGCTGTGTGGTCGTGAGTTTGAAGGGGGTAGCCAGGAGGACCATGGAGTCGATGTGCGCATTAAGCATGACCTGCGAACGTGTTCCGTGAATTCATGTGTGGGACGGCGAGGTGATGAACGTACTTCACCCTCCTCTCCAGTGAGATATCCGAGGTTCTGACTCCATTCTGCGCATGCAGTACGGTCTCCAGATGCAGCAGCTTGAAGGAGGCGTAGCCAGCTGTCCATGAATTCTTTTGTGTACTCGCGCGTTGCGCCAAAGTCCACTAGGGATAGCTGCAATGTGACTTAGTAAGATCGCTCGTGGAGTAGGAAACTTGAGTGCGAGGAAGGGCAAACTACAATGCGCCAACCTCAGAGACATACCTGTTGTGTCCTTGAGTCCCACAGGAAATTCGTGAAGTTAGGGTCTGTCTGCATGAACCTGAACTGGAAGAGCTCTCGCAAGCAAAGCTCGATGATTCGCGATGCAATCTACAGCACATGTATGTTCTAAGATCAACAATAGGGAAAGTAAACAACCTGCGCACCTCGTTCCGCTCCTCCTGTGGCAGATCTCCGACTATAGTATCTCCAATGCTCACGCCTTCTACATACTCCATCACAAGAACGCGCTGTGTGCTACCTGGCCAAACCCACGGGACCTTGAACCGTGCGTCTGCACCAAGACAATCTAGTCTCCCGTACCGTTCCAGGAAACTTGCCTCGCGCGAGTAGTCGCATTCGTCAGCAAGCTCGTCTTTCATCACCTTTGATATTGAGATATGACGCAGTGAAGTGTCCGGATAGCAGGAAATGAGGCAAGATCGAGAATCAAAAGTCAGACATTCAAAACGCGGCAGGAGGGCGCGACAGAGGACACACTTGAATCGTACGGTCTAGAAACAGCCCCCGCGGAAGCAAGCTTCCAGCCGTGAGAAGCATCTTGACGTAGCCAAGGTCGCTCGCGATTGAGTTGGCAATGTTCGGGAACTGGATCTTCACAGCGACGCGTCGGCCGTCTTCACCAGACAGACTTCGGCTTGGAGCGAGGACAGCATGGTGTACCTGACCAATACTCGCAGCTGCGAATGGTATACGGTCGAACGATGTAAAATTTTCGGCCCATGATTCGCCTAGAGATGTGCACAATACTTGTTGCATCTGCCAGTCCGGCATGTAGTGTGCGCTATCCTGAACGCGGCGGAATATCTTGTCGACTTCTGGGGGTAGGAGGTGGATGTCTAGCGCCTAGTTCGGCAACGGAAAAATAATAAACATTGATGACGGATGCGCACCTTGGATGCTCATAAACTGGCCGACCTTCAGTGCGGCACCACGCATCTGGGAGAGCTTAGACACCAGGCGGGCTATGTTTGCTTCAGTCATCATGACTGGCTGTGTATTGTCGGCATGGGAGGCGGTAGAGCGACGCAAGAGCTCGGAAGCTGCACCGTACGAAAGTGATGCTGCAAGACCTGTGATTACGAGTTAGCAAACAGTGAGGGAAAGGACAACAAAGATAGACGAGCCGCCATAGTGAAATAGTCGGCCAAGTTTGGACGAAGGGACCTTGGATGATTGGAGGTTGCGTGAAAGTATCGGGGCGGGGTCTATGGGTGCAGTCAGGGCTTGTTCTTGACGCTAAGGGATAACAGCACGATTGAAATGAGCAAGACGCAAACAGAAGCGAGAGGACTAGAGACACACTTCTAAATCGAAGGGAACAGAGCTTGCTACTTCGCATAGTTGACCTTCAATTCCCGTGGGTATAAAAGGAGGGGCAGAGTCAAGCGTGACTTCGGAAGAAGACGCGTTCCTCAAGGAACCCTCCGCTCCAAGTGGGATATGAGAGACCGCAAGACGGGGATCATCGGATAGTTGAGGTTCCAAGGCAGGCTCGGTGGAGAGAGGGGTATAAGCAGCTGTCGGAAACTGCTCAGGCGCGACATTGTCTTCAAATTGAGGCGGCAGTGGTGTCAGCTCCTCTTGCTGTTCCTCGAGATGGGACAGGTAAGTGTTGTGAACTGGAGAGTTGGTAGAAAACGCGTGGTTTATGCGCGGCATCGGATGATCATGATTAGCTTGAGCATTACCTGCAAGCTGTGACATTAAATCATGCTCCTCTGCCTTGCTCTTGCGCAAAGAGAACTCCGGGGATGCCGTGACCACAGGTCTGGCAGGGAGAACCTGGGAGGTTCTGATCTGTGCTGCGCGAACAGCAATGTCCGTAACTGAGTGGAGAACGCAAAGCCATCCAAACGCAGGCCCAGGTGGCATCCAAGACTCGACCTCTCGAAAGTTCAACGTGCAGCCTCAAGACTGGGTCACAACTTGAAGTCACTAAATTTGCACAGCCACATTAGACCGTTTCAGATGCGTCGGGTCTTTTTATCGCTGAACTGAGCGTAGCGCTAGACACCTTTTCGTGTACACAGGCCGGAGCTATGCAGAGCCAAATTCACAATCCAAACCTTGCTCGGTATGTAGTGCAAAGGTAAATGTTGTTCAAATAATTAGCCACGACTACACTTTACCTTGGTTTGTCGCAGCTCCGACGTCATTTCTGACCTGCGAATCAACGTCTTTGAGGAGGGTCGCGACAATGTCATATGGTACAAGGTGCGATTCACAAGCCCTGCAACTCCCTCCCTCACCTGCTCACCTGAATGAAGGAAAGATTTTTAGGGGACGATGAGATTATTGAGCATGTCGTCGTGCGTCTTCAAGTCCTATGCATTCCACTAATTCATATTCTCTGCGAAGCACAATCAAACATCAACAATCTGCTGGACGATCCACAAGCCCAAGCGTGGGTGGTACATTCGCATCCGTGCACCATCATTTCCCCCTGGCGTCTCCATATCCCTCCTTCCTGTTCCCCGCACGTCCCCTAACCATACAGATGCTGCCCTGTCCTTCTCATGTCGTACGAACGTGCCCCCTGCTGCGATATCCTCACCCAGCACCTCTAAGATGTCCATAGACAGCACATCAACAGTGCACTCTTATCCCCCAACACCTCCCCCAGCCTCCATCATGATCACACCGCCCACACCGCAAAGCATTAGGGCACGGTTGGAGGAAATATCCCCGTCGCCCATTGCAGTACAGAAACGTGCCTCTCGTCCTCAGGCAACGCAATTCTTGTTGGCACCGCACTCCACACCGCACATCCCGGGACCTCAGCCAGACGAGCAGACGTCGTTCATAACACGCGCGCTGTCGCTGTTTAAAAACAGTAGGCCTTCGCACGCGGCCTCATTTACGATCACGCAACTCAACCGGCCGAATTCCCAACCGCCTGGTCCAGGTCATCGGTTGTCCCAGATTATTCCGACGACCCCGACGTCCTTTTTGACCTTTCATGATCGCACACCGGTACTCACCGCGGCTTCGGTGACGGGTCTTCTCGAGATTGACAGAGCAGAGGAGCGTGTATTGGGCATTGATACCAGCTTTTGGATCGCTGTTGCGTTGGCGTATTGGGAATTTCTGGAAGATAGAGAGGTGAGTATCTTGTCGACTGGCGCAAGCAACTTGTGACGTTCGCCTGTCACTTTCCACACATTTTCTCTCTTCGGCTGTTCGCTCTTTTCTACTGACGCTCTGAAAATTCTTACTGACACGCTTCTTCTATAGAGCTATCTAGCCGCGGTCAGCGATTAAACTCAATTTCGTATACCCATGCCTGCTGTTCACTTGCTGTCGTCATGCTGTATTGTATAAAGTCGTGCTGATCTATATAGTATATTCCCTGCGCGAGTCCTCAGGGTCATGTGCCATCTACAGAAGGTCTGAATCTTCCTGCTGCTGCATCCTTTCGTTCGCTTCTTATAACTCACCCCCCCAAATCTGTAAGTCAGGTCCTGTCTACAAAGACCAGTGTTTTACCACATGTACAGCGCAGTATTTACATTTCATGGAGAAGACCCAGAATGTGGGTCGGCGAAGAAAATCATTAGCACACTTAACGCGGGACCACGCAAGGAGGGCGGGATCAGTCACTACTACATTTACCTTGGAAACCGCCATATGTGGTTAGTGAAGATTGCGACTGACAGGACAGAAGTCTTTCAAAATAACGAAATAAAGCTTGGGCACTTCGAGATCTACACAGCCTATACTTTTGTCGCCGTGGTGGTAGTGGACGCGAGGCATAATAAGGCGGTTCAAACATAATTGTTGGACAAGTTAACCTTCCAGTTGGCACAACTCTGTATTGAAAAACGCCAATTTTAACACGTCGTTCAATACACGCGCATTCGTGGATTCCTGATACAATATAGACTTTAGCAGACAAAGTTAACATGTTGACTAACTGTAAACCTTAGGTAACAGTAGCCACTGGGAAGAAATAGACAACAACGACGGTGCCTTTGCCTACCGCTGGGAAATCAAAGGTCTCACTCTGATGCAGGACACTCTGACGATAACACCACACCAGAAATTCGAAGGACACGCCGATCGCGTCTAGGGTGTCATACACATACCAGGCGGACAGCGGATTATCATATATTTAATCATTCCTGGTCCATAGCATCTCCATCAGGTTGCGCACTCTTCCACCATGGCACAGGCCCGAGTCCCTGTTCTGCAATGGAGCACTGCAGTAAGAATGATTAGCTAGTGCATAGAACCGTGCCTGCAAGCTCACGATGATGCTATATGGCGCGCGTCGGGCCTCTCGTTTCACCGCAATGCCCTCTGATGCTTTTGGCGGACCAGGTTCGTCGTCATAAAATTCGTCAGCCTCAACACGGACCCGTACTACTTCCCCTTGGTCGATATACATCCGGTCTGCTGTTGCAGACTCCAAAAGCTCGTGTGGGGTTGTTGCTTCTGAGTCTGGTAGCCAGAAATGAGCTCGTTCATTCGGGTCACTGAAGTAACCTGTGAGTAACTTGCGAAGGATGGAGCGCCACGTGACATACAAGGCAGATGGTTGAGGTAGATATGCTAGAGGTACATACATATCATCAAAAAATCCTACGCTCACTGGTAAAATTAGTAATATTCATGAAGAGAGGGAAGAAGCATGCATACATCGAATGCCGTCTTCGTCTGATGACTTTACTTTAGCAAGCACCACCTCTGATGCGAATGGTCGACAAACGACCATTCTGAATCTGACTGTTCATTAAGATAAGTCGCCGCCACAGGACAGACTGAAAATTCGAGAACGCACCTTTATACCATAAACACCCATCTCCGTATCGCACTTTGCCTTCACCCGCTTCCACCAGATCGAACGCGCAAATACACAGCCCTACATCGTGGAGGACTCTATTTGCATACTTTTTGTTTATTTCAGCAATGAGAGCTTGTGCTGGAGGCACACCAAAATTTGCTGGCAGAATTGCAATGGTATCCTAGTAGCGACAAGTCAATGTCAAACAGCAAGACTGTTGGAGAAACGCTAACTTTTATTATAGATAGGACAAACATGTCTTTCAGTCCGAAGGTCCTTTTACAGTGAACGACCTTGCATATCCAAGTCAGTCACGTCGAAGTAATAATGTGATGGAAGAGTCATGTTCGATCGCGTTTCATGAAAACGCGGTTATCTGCATAATCTAATCATTATTTTCACATATCACGTGACTTGTAATGAAAAAAATTACTGTCCTTAAAATTGCCCCTCGCTGCTTTCCTTCTTACTTGTTCATAACTGTCTTTTGGATCTTAGAAACCGGTGGACTTGTTTCGTTGGGAGGATATTTACTAGATCGATACAATGGCCGGTGCACCCCCAACTACGACAAACCCGACTGCATCCAGTAGCCTCCTCCCAGCAAAATCATGGCAGCATTTCGTAGCAGGAGGGTGAGCTCACACTTCGTATTTTTACTATATGACGTGCCTTCATGATGTCTTAGTTTGGGTGGAATGTGTGGTGCAATCGTCACGAGTCCATTTGATGTCGTCAAGACTCGGTTACAGTCCAGTCTTTTCAGGGAAAAACATACTTCAGTTGGGGTTGTAGGAGGTGGTGTCGTGGCGCTCCCGCAGCGCTCGAGTGGTCTTTTGTGGAATTTTGTTGAAACAGGACACATTCTACGGTACGTGTAATCAGCGTTCCTCACCCGCGATCAAATGTTGAGGTCTCGCGATTCAGTGACATATACCGCGATGAATCTCCAAGAGCGTTGTTTAAAGGCCTTGTACCAACTCTAGTCGGCGTCATACCCGCCCGTTCGATTAATTTCTACACGTACGGTAATGGCAAGCAAATCATCGCTAATCACTTCAACCACGGACAAGAAAACTCCTATGTCCACCTTGTCGCAGCTGCAATTGCTGGTGTTGCAACAGGAACAGCAACGAATCCAATCTGGGTTGTCAAGACGCGTCTGCAGCTTACATCATCGGAACGTCGACATCCTTCCTCACTCGCAAGCACAAATGCAGGTGCAACCGCCGGACCTTCACGCGCCTTTGGAGGGAGCTTCAAGATGATTACGAAGATCTTCCGTGAGGAAGGCATGAAAGGCTTTTACAAGGGGCTGAGTGCTAGCTACTTGGGTGTGACAGAGGGAACTATTCAATGGGTGCTGTATGAGCGCCTGAAACGGTTATCCACAGGCACTGAAGGTCGTGGAGGCATGACCGAGTGGTTTGGAATGCTCGGTTCTGCCGGAACCGCCAAGTGCGTCGCCAGTCTGATCACATATCCCCATGAGGTACGTCTTTAGGCCAGCAGGAGTGTCATCGCGCCTCATATGGTACAGGTTTTACGGACGCGACTACGACAACCGTCTGTGAACGGGGTTGTCAAGTATACTGGTCTTTTGCAAACGCTGCGGACCGTTATCGCCGAAGAGGGAGCCCGCTCCCTTTACGGCGGACTGAGTGCCCATTTAATGCGTGTCGTCCCTAACGCAGCGGTGATGTACTCGATATACGAGGGCTTCTTGCAATGGGGCAAGCACTCCAATTGAATCTCAGGCTTTTGAGAGGTTGGGATCCCTATCGGGATCCATCAGTAAGATATGTTTAAATTCATTTTTTTAACCTAGATTTACACCACTTACTATTGCTGATTGGCTCGCCTTACTATCTTTCCTGCACTTTCGTAGTCCCCGCATCGTATCTTACATCCAATCGTACATTGTTTTCGCACACACTTGTATATTACCACATGTTACCCGTCGTAACTCACCACTCTATTGCTCCCCTCGTGCGTTTGAACGTCAGTCATGTGTCCAAGGAGCAGTAGGCGCGTTTGTGCTAATTGAGGGCGGAAATGCGTCTGATTCGACAAGCCAAATCACGATCATCTACGGGATATGGAGCCCACAAAGCATATCAGTCACCGGCCAAAGATGATTATAAGAATCATCATCTTCGTCTCCTGTCTGTTCGATCACCTTCCCAATGCGTAATACTAGTTCGTCAGAACCCCACTGTCCAACGACGCTGACACCAACAGGCCAACCATTGGCGGCTAACCCGGCAGGGACACTCAACGCTGGCAAGCCAGCCAAGGAAGCGGGAACAGTCATAACGTCCTGCAAATATGGACCTAGACCAGAGGCCGCAGCTGAGTCTAGTCGAGGTGCGGTACCAATCGCAGAAGGATGTAAGATAATGTCCACACCATCAGGGTTTGGCGAGGGATTGGATAGTTGTGCATCGGGGACGCGAAAAACAGAATTAAAGTCGGTCTTGATTCGCTGCCGGACGCGTTGGGCTTGAAGAAAGTAATTGTCGAATGCGCTGCAGCCAACAGCTTGAGCTAAGGTTTTACATTCAAGCCAAGGTACACATACTCAGCTGTGAGTGCGTAAGTGCCAAGGAGGATGCGTTTCTGCACCTCCGCTCCAAAATGCGCTGAGCGCGTATGTGCATACACACTGCCGGGTTTGGATTTATCTGCGCCAGGGAGCAGAGGGGAACGAGTACCTGGACAGGATCAGTTGATGAGGAACAAACTTGTGGATGTCATCGCCAACCATATTGAACTCCGTCATAACGCGCTAGATTGCTTGACGCTTCCGCGCTTGCTATGACGTAGTATGCACTCAATGCATACGGCGTCGAAGGAAGGGTGACGGGGATCAATTGAGCACCAAGGTACGATAGTCGCTCTAGAACCTTGCGAACCACGGTCACGATGGTAGTGTTAAGTTCAGAAGGGAAATATTCCTATCTCAAATTCTCAGACTGTGAGCATATTGAATGGACTGAGAGACGAGACGGACTTGTGGTATCCCAATCCGAAGCGCCGAGAGGTCAGGGTCAGACGTGTCCTGATCCAGAGTAGATAACAGTGTTTCTGCTGCAGCTTTTGCCCTCTCTCTTATATGAGGTGTCGCTGCGGTGGGATCCTTTGGATCATATAATGAAATTGAGTCTGCTCGATCTGTCAACTCAGGTGCTCTCGCTAGTGGCTGTCATGTTCACCAAATACGGTCTTCACTGTGTCGACGGACTTTCCAAGCACACCGACGCAGTCAAGGCTATCAGCAAAAGAAACCACACCCCATCTGCCGTCCATGAGTTTCTGAAAATATGAATTGTGAAGGGACAGACCTGCTAACGAGGCCATACGAGGGTTTCAAGCCCGTAATACCACAGTATGATGCGGGAAGACGAACAGAGCCACCTGTATCTGTACCTAGTGCACTGTCTCTAAGTGAGTGCTATGCCACTTCTATTAGTTGGGAACTCACGCGTCACACATACCAGCTGCAACAGCTGCAGCGCTTCCACCTGAGCTTCCGCCCGCCGATTTTCTTTCACGCTCAGCCCAAGGCGTGGATTTCTCACTTGGGGACTGATATGGATTTACCACTGGGCCATGGATGCTGTTCACGTTCAGAGACCTGAGTGGACGAGTGTTAGCGGAAAGCTGCGAACCCCGAGGATAAGGCTTGCCCCATCCCAAATTCATCGCAGTTAGCCTTCCCAATAATATTCGCACCCGCCGCCTTCAGAAGCTTCACCGCCGTCGCGTCAAAAGGTGGAGTGAAGTCTGCAATAAAATTAGAAAGAGAACGCGGCACAATATTCGACATACGGCGAAGCATGCCTGACGAGCATGTTGTTGGTAAGTTTATTGTGCATATATTATCCTTGACAGTGACCGTAAGACTGTTCAAAGGTCCATGAGGATTAGGATTGTGAATTTCTGTTGGGAAGCTGACTAGCGCATTCGTGCTTTCATTTAGCGACCGAACATGATCAGCATGATTGCTAGCAGAACGTTTTGAATGCGAAGTTGTAAATGAACGAGAGCGATAGCCAGCACAAGACCTGGATGGATATACACGTGCGAATCCACCGATGCTCAGGTGCATGACTCTGTTAGAACCACTCTCATTGCAGAAGTTGCCAAAATGACTTATTTGTGTTTGTTGACCTACACCTTCAGAAATAAATGTCGCCAAACAAACTATATATGAATAGCCATAAATTGACAGATGGGAATCAATATGTTCAGGGCGAGGATAACAACAAGGACAGATGGCCGAGCGGTCCAAGGCGCCAGACTAAGGAGTACCAGCTCATCAGATGAGCACGGAATCTGGTCTCTTCGGGGGCGTGAGTTCGAATCTCACTCTGTTCAAATGTTTTTGCTTATCACCCTCTCGCCTCGCTCCTCATGTGGCATGGCTTCAGCATCATATTTTGCCCTGTCCGAGTCACTCCACACGGCGTGATAATTCTACACGACTGCAACACTCAAGGTCGCCTTTCATGTTCTTCTGACATGAGTGCTCTACCTCTGTTGGTACAGGCTGCCTCTCATCCTCCTCCAAGGAGTATATGAGTGGCACTCTAACATCCACCGTAGGTCGCATTCCATCCTCCCTGCTTCGGGGCATGCAATTTGAGGGCAATATTCCACACTGGGCCGCTTCTTCTCCCTCTCCAGCCGATGACAGTCCGTGCATGTAGCCCTACCAGTGGAGGTAAGGTTGTCAAATGCCAATGCATGACAGGTCGTGCCTGTTCATCGTACAGGTGTATCACTTGATTGAGTTCAACGTTGTTATATTGTGATATTGATCGCCGCTGCACTTTCAGAGTAGTCAGAGGAAGGCAGCGCTGCAAGTTGCTCAATGGGTTCAAATTGCGCGGAGCTAACAACTATGCCTAACACATTATGGTTTACTCTCGCAACCTCCTCTACAGAGCTCTGGTTTGATGTGTGTGCACATACACTTTTTAGGTTCGGAGACATCGCAAGTGTGCATTGAGAAAGCAACAAGCTTCAAATCACTTCTCGGACAACACCATTCGTTATCAAGTACCTTGCCAACAAATGTCGTCTTATCTTTTTTATTGCGCTGCTATGTCTACTTTGGTGTCATGATAAGAACCCTGCAGGGCACCTGGGAGGTTGGTAGATGTTTCATGAAGCTCATCGCCCCTGTTAGGTTACTTACTCCCAGCAATTCCGTTATCTTATCATGAATTGCCTCACTTGGCATCAAATGTTTAACTTTTGTGTTACGAAGGGTTTTTACTGACTGTGAATGAAGGATCGATAGTACTGGCAGACTACTAATTATAAAACCTGTCCCGAGGAGCAACTTTAAACAGCGTTTCTCACTGCATATCATAATGTTTCGCCGATAATTCATTGGGAGAATATGTGGTTACAATATCACACGCGCAATGCAAAGGCCCATATGCATGCGCATGCTGCTACGTGGACTTCCATGTTCAGACTCATCAAACGATAATTGAGTGTCTAATGATCATGAGGGGGATGACTTGTTCGCAAAGAGTATCACTGGGCCTGAGGGCCTGAACACATGAAAAAATGTGCGAGGGAATCCAATAACAAAGCACAAGAAGTGTGAGACGGTCTCAAGTGAGAAGGATAAGTCCTCATGGACGCCATGATAATCGAGATCCAAGGTGAGTTCTACGGCATATCACATGCCAATCAAACCAAAATGTTACAGACTCCTGGAAGAGTTTTCTGTCTTTTCTCACTGTCAGCGAACAAACAATCATACTATAAGTGAAGACGGTTCTGAGCGCTGAGTACTACTACCAGCTAGGTTGAAATACCGCAAAACACGGTAAACATCCTATCACATGTCACAGGTTGATTGATACCCCTTTTGTGATGTGATCATCTTTCACGCTCGTAGAAATTTCTCGACAAGCACTGCGCTGCGAGTGGATAATCGTGTGAGAATCGCGACCACGTCGATGATCCATACGTTGAGAATCTTGAGATAAGTTTGACTCAACTTGTCCGCGGTGGGCGGTAGTATATACGCCACTGGCAGGCTGGGTGAATTTTCCACGATCGGCGAGGATTTCGTCGATTTCATTGCCAAGGGCCTGCGCCACGGTTCAGTTCGGAGTTGGGCGCGCCAAACCCTTCGAGTCAAGCTTGAAACGTGATGTAGGCTAGCTATGTAAGGCCTATAGTAACCAATCAGCAATGCGGTGTATATTCGAAATGCGACTGCGTACCTAACATATCAAGGAAAGGCAATTTGGAGGTGCTCAATGCATACTGTAAGTCACGCCTATCTTGCGTCTAGCGGCCCGAAATGTGCTAAATTTCGGGTTTCTCCATGAATAGAATTTTGCGGGAGTAAAGTCAGATTAGACATAAAGTTAGACATTCAGAATCAGTCCGAATGCGGAAGGTTAGATACGAAGCGCTGCAATATTAATGCTGTCAAGTTCAGAACACGGAAATAATAATTGTTGATTCGTCAGTAACGTGGTTGGCAAAGCTTACTGCCGTTTTCCCATCCTCCGTGTCAGAGCCCGGTGGGGCCTGCGGTGGCCGCAGAACTGAGCAAAAGTTCAAAGGCTCGTATTACACGATTCAGTATTTTCTCATACTAGTCCGCGATTGCATGTACTAGTGGAACAAGCTACTCAGGGGCGATGTGGGAGTAACCGATGTAAAACAAGAGAGAAAAGTTCCAATGATCAAAGATCAAAGTCACCATGGTTCCTGGGCGCTTTTTCTGCACATATATGATTTGATATCGTCAAATTATACTTGACAAGTTGATCCACCCACTAGCTTCGACACATCGGGCAGCCCGCGCGCGATTTTTATTCATCGAGTCCCGATAAACATCTTCTCGTGAGTGATGACATGCACTTGAGGGAACAGACGCTGAGACGGTGGTTACCTGCAATCCTCAGGTAATAGCCATGACTGTATCCAACGCTGCAGAAAATCAGATATCAGATATCTCTTCACCTATCGCTGAAAAGCATGACACTTCGGCGCTAACGCCGCGCCAGAAATTTAAAGGACACACCAGTCGCGTCTGGGGCGTCATACACCTGCCAGGCGGGCAACGGATCGTCACTTGTTCAAGCGATGGCTCACTGCGGGTATGGGACCTAAAGAGCGGGGAACAGATTGGCGAACGCTGGCGGGACGGAGTAAGTCCAGTGTACGCCATATCATTGTCCCCAGACGGCAAGAAAGTGGCTAGTGGGAGTGAAGACGGTGCGGTGAGGTTGTGGAACATCGAGACCGGGAAGGTCATCGCTAAATGGACGGGGCATACACAGGGTGTATGCTCTGTCTGCTGGAGTTATGATGGTCGTAGAGTATTAAGCGGGTCTAATGATGGGAGCGCAAGGCAATGGGATGTGGAGAGGGGGGAAATTATCCTCGCACCAATAGAGACAGGGCACACCTATGTGGGCACAGTCATCTATTCGCCGGACGCGGCCAAGATCGCGACTGCTGGATACCACGTCGCCGAGTTCTCAGTAAAAATTTGGGACTCGGAGACAGGCAAGCTGGTGACGACTCTCAAAGGACACTCGCGTTCGGTGAATTGCCTGGCTTGGGCCGCTGACGGAAAGACGCTTATATCTGGATCAGTCGATCGCTCAATTAGGACATGGGACACTGCCACCTGGCAGCAGACCGCAGTTCTGGATGCGCACACCAGCTTTGTCCGCGCCATAGCTATATCTCCAGATGGCCGGATCCTTGCAAGCGCATCATACGACAGGACGGCGCAATTGTGGAACCTCGACAAGGGCCAGCCCATTAGTTCACCCCTCAAACATGCAGATAGAGTGACATGCGTGGCCTTTTCGGCAGATGGAAAGCTACTAGCCACTGGCTGCTATGACCACAACACGTACACATCAGATGTTTCTGCTCTTCTGCAAGGACATGGTGGCAGAGGTGACTAAAGATCTGATTGTGAGTTGAATACTCTTCTCGTTTCATGACTTTCGCGCTCATCCTTACCTCTCGAAGGATAGTGACAAGCCGTTGTAGTACTAGTATCTATTCAACTCCTTTGTATTCTCTGTACACTATAGACGTGCTACCTTAGCGTTGTCTTTTACCTCAGGCAGCCTTCCACCCTCTTCCACATCAACAGTTGCCACTACAATATCCCCACCGGCGTTGGAACAGAAAGCTTTGCATCCTGACATTACTATTAAGTCTGTTTTTTGCGTCGTGTCGGCTGTGTCTGTCGAATATTCTGATAATGTTGGGTGTGCAATCACTGTCCTTCACGCGTTCTCTTGCCGTATTTGCTATTAGAATTGTTGTACGCCGGTACTCCAACGTCAACTGTCCGTGCCACATGCTGTGTTACAACAACATATTGCCGTGTTCTTATGATTGCCAGGATATCTATCGTTGAAATACCATGGAAGTGTTGGAACATAGCCGGGATGTGGCTCTAGACTTGCCTTGCCAGTAGCCAAAAATTCTTGGATGTGCGAAGTGGAAGATCCCGATTACGATCTTTGTTGGTATCTGGCAGGTGTTTTTACCCGATGTATGTCCATGAATCATCTTCCTTCCTCCGTAATCCCCTTTGCCATTTACGCGCTGCGGCTTGAAGCTTGAGGAGTATCACTCACCATGCGACATAGGTTGCACTGGCACGGGAAATGTAATAAACACAATCTGCCAATGCCCTTCTATACGGCATGTGCAGTACCTGGTATACTATATAGCACCACTATTTACACATTGAGCTCGCCACTTGCTGCAGCTGGAAAGTGGAAAGGAATACGCGAAAATAAATTACCCATACGTTTTGAAAAATGATCACGCCATTGTGAGCTTCCCCACCCACCATACAATGCTCTTAGCCTTTGGACATTACTCTTCCAGGGGGAAACTAGTAGCTCGAGCCCACACTTGGTGAAATGATCCAGTGCGTTACTTACTTGCGCACAAATCTTCCTTTTAAAAATTGCCAGCACGCACCAGATTAACCACTTATATACCTCGAGGGTCGGGGGGTGGAGAAGTGCCAAACAACGATGCGTGACGTCGACAAGCCTCCATCCAGTAATGAGTGTCATGTTCAGCCATTTGAATCAGACCCAGAGCTGCTAAGTCCATGGATGAATATATAGGAGGAATCGGGTATCACATAGAACAACCAAAAACACCAAATACAACAAGTGAACATCATACAAAATCCCAAAAATCACGACAAACTACACCTCAGACTCGACGCGAGACCTAGTGGTGACCCACGACAATATAGGATGCGAGTCGATCTGCTTTTTGATCCAGAGACGCAGGTGGGAAATATGAACATCATTGGAAGCCAGTACCGGCCATGTCGCCAGGGCAAAAATAGCGACCCAAATGGGAGATATAATCGAGATGGTGATGACACCAGAAGTGCTGAAAATTATAATGGACAATGCTGCAGCAAAGAATATCATTCTGTCAAATCATGAGCTACTGCCGCCCCATGGTATTTGACCAGAAACGCACCCCCAAATCAGAAGAGCATATGGCAGACTGAGCATGAGGGCAAGGCTTTCGAGGCCGAGAACAGAACCCGACATGCCTTGCATAAACGAGGCCTGGTGAATGTAAAGAATGCAGACCAAATCATCGAGAAGAGAACTTACAACGCTTTTAGCGGAGTCTCGTCGGCTGTCGTTGACTTGTCCGGCCAAGACTAGTGAGACCACTAACGAGCCCATAGCGCAGAGGGCAGACATATATGAAACAAGAATCGCAGCTGTTTGAGTCTGGACGGATGGTACCGCGAGAAAGCTAATATCTACAGCAAGCATCACAGTAGACTGAGGTGGACATCGAATCCGTCGTCAATAGGAAGCAAAAGTACAACTTACGAATATTGTAAATCCATTCCATTCACTATTGAGTCTGTTGATAAAATTCTTCCACCGCGGCTGAACGATGGTAGAATCGACCCATATCTTCTGGAGAGCCTTGTTATGAGCATCAGGGGATCCAAACAGTATGACATTCATGACGCGAAGAAGGATATTATTCGAGGGGGTATTGGAATCTCCATATAGCGACTGGTCTGCGTTAAGTCGGGCGCCCGGTTGTCCACAGAAGTTTACAAATTTGACATTGCCTGGAAAATTAATCAAGAGACGTGAGGCACTCCAAACTACCAAAGCGCACAGAATTCTCCCATAAATCGAGCTGAAGTTCGCGAAAATGTCAGAATCGATTAACCGGACTTTTGTGCTTAGACTTACCGACGATCCACACAGAATGCTCGTGCCCATGCTCATGCTCACTGTCAGCGCTGTCTGAAGAGATAATCAAAAATGGCCACCCAAATCAGGAAACGATTTACTCATGAGGGGATCCATAAGGCCAAGCATACTTGCAACCTCTTCCGAAGAAAAAGGTGCTAGGCACGTGTCAGAAGTGATGTTGTCTGTCACGAGCTACTCCAGTGTGTCGTGAAATACTTATAAGTCTTTACCCACCTGCCTGGATACACATAACAATTTCCCTGAGTCTCACAACATCACCTTTTGGAAGGCAGCGTTTGTTTGGATATAATTCGATGTGCGCCCTGTCAACATCATGATAGGTAACCATACGAGGTCAAGAAGGGCTGCAACAAGTGTCAGCTCGTTGACTTCAATCAAGTGAGGGAGCATGCATACTTCTGAGGCCGGACGAACCAGTACTGTGACTCTAGTGCATACCCTGGGAGTTACGCAATGAAAGAGGCTCGAATGAGAGATATTTCACGGGAAGAACTCACTGATGTGATTCCTGCACTTTACACCTCGGACGTTGCCAATGAGATCGCTAGATCTGTTGGGTTCGAACCAGAAAATGACACGTTCGTTGTGATCGGCAAAGTAATAGCCCCATTCCTCATCCGCACCCCCCTCCGTGAGCTCCAAAACTAATTCTACAGATGGATGCAAGTCGATGCTTGCATTTTCCGCCTCTTTGTACACCTTATCAACAGCCTTACCCATTTTAGCTACCATATCAGGGGCTCGAATATCAGCGTCAGTGAAAACTCTCTTGCAGGATATATGAGTCAAGTCATGCAGGAGCGGGCCATAAACGTACTTTATATGGGTGATAGAAAAACAAAGCGCCTTCTGGGTGCGTGAGCGGTTCCCATCCTGACACCGGAGCAAGTTCCCTACCAGTCCCTTTCAATTTCACTATTCGCTCTCTCACCAAAATGCTTACTCTGAACAGTCCAAAGGACCTTTCGGAACCTCATACACTGCATAATTGCCTTGACTGTAGCTACGGATTAGAACGGAAATGCACTCAACAAATATGATGTACATACACTTCACTCCTCTCGTATCGCTTGATCTGTCCAGGTATAGTAGGAATTAGACTGATACTATCATCAAAGGATTGTCCTGGGGCCACAGGATGCGGTGGTGTGGCGACACTCGTGCTGACGCTGGGCTCGGGCATAGTGTTTGGTATCCATGGCGCATAAGAGTTCTGAAGAGACTCGGTGTTAGAAACTACGCCGTTCGACCCATCGCTTTGTCGAGGTGACAATGGCACTGCGAGCGTCACAGAAGTTGTCTTGTCTTGGCTGACAGGTGCCTGCTGAGAGCTCAGCGCCAAACCCGGTTCGCGAGCAGCTCTCTCTTTTCCACCAATGATAGCTTGGCAATGTCGAAACAGCCGCAGGAGGAGAGAGAGAATGCCCGTATACGACCGAAATGCGGTGGTCCTAAAAATGAGCCTCAACCAGGAGATGAACGACCGAGTGAATCCCCTAGGCATGATCATCAATGTAAATGGAGTTGAGTACAGAGGCTAGAGAGTTGTCTGCCTAGTAGCAGGCGGGCCTACAGCGTACTACAGCATGTCGTGTGCAATTGCAGCACTGGACTCGAGTCACGTGTATTTCATTTAACCATTTTTCGGAAGCGCGGTTTCATGTCACTACTAGCGCTGGACATTTGCTAAGTACTTAGTCACTAGCCACCATCTATCTGCTGTTCTACCTATCAGGTCTTCACAGTGGAGAAGACGGCATTTTGAATGCTGCTATGCATCATCTCCAGGCAGGGGCAGATTTCATCTCTGCCCCCTCCCCCAACTGTTTATTTCATCAAGGTCACGAGCGCGCAGTGGACGAGATGCATGCCTTGCGAGATAATACCTGGCTCCGCTTTGCGTGCCACAGCAAACAAAACTGTGTAGAACCTTTCAAGTCAGCCTTTCTCATGCGCGACAAACCGTTTTCTCTGCCTGATATCACACAGACAGATTTGTCTGGCCATAAATTTGCATATCTGTTCGCCTGTGAAATTGCAGTCGGTGATACGGGGACACCTGACGAGGATCTGTTGGGATTAAGAGTGTAGACCATTCTGGAAAGCGGTCAATGGCATGTTGCGACGCCTTGTCGAGGCATTTTATAAATATTTCTGTGGGGACAGCAAGATGAATACAAAAGGGCTACCCGAGTGCTGCACGGAGTGGGCCAGTCCCTGACTTGTGATAAGGACATGCCAGTGGACCAGCGCTTCGTCTTCATGCACATCGGTTTATGATCCATCATGCATCACGTGCGTCTTTTTCTCCTGTCGATCATCTTAAAACATCTGAAGACTTTGCTTGTATCATCCACCCAAGGCTATCGCGCTGCCTGTGGTCATGTCCCTTGAAATTTGACTTTATACTTCGCCTTATGTCTCGGCAACATGTATACCTGAATCTTGATTTACACCCATTCCTGTATCTCTGTCTTGCCTCAGAGCCCAAGCACGTTGAGCTCACGTATGGTTTGGGTAAGATTAAATTTCAAAGCTGTCTTACCAGTTAAGCCTAAATAGCTAATGCACTGCAAGCAAGAATGTAAAGGCTAACCACAATTTCAGGGTCGCAATTACAAGCCGATGATGGCTATTTTGCAGGCATTGCATTATACACACTGCATTTGGCTCCAATATCATGCATATATCTCACCAACCCCGACCCCCCCGCCCCCTCGTGTCCCTCGAACCACTGAGCTGGCCTTTTACACAACGACTCTCACTTGGTAGGCTCGCAAACTCTCTCCCCCTAGACTAGGGTTAGGGTTTTGAATGTCGGAGTGCGAATTTGTCATCATCTCCTTCTTTTCGAACCACTGAGGTCAGCCACATTTCACCGCAATTCTATTCAACAACACCACCTTTAATCTACCATGGTGCGTTTGTTACACGTCCTGCTGGACGCAGCTATAACTTGTTTGGTTTACAGTCTCTAACTCCTGCAACAATGCGCCGTTTGATGCGCGAGATCACTGAGTTGAAGAACAACCCTCCGGAGGGCATTCGCGTCGTCACGAGCGAGGAGAATATGCTTGACCTCACAGGCATTGTTGAGGGTCCAGGTGAGTCGCTGAAGTTAGAGACACGCGTCCAAAGCTCAAAACTCTCTATGTCGCAGAGCAAACACCATACGCGGGTGGGTACTTCAAGGTACGGTTCCAATTTACACACGAATTCCCCACTGCACCTCCAAAATGTACGCGTCCTTATAAGCTCTCTATTCAATTTTATCAAATACCATCGGTACAGGCTGGTTTGCAACCAAGATTTTCCACCCAAACGTCTCTTCCGCGGGAGAGATCTGCGTGAACACGTTGAAGAAGGACTGGCAATCATCATATGGCATTGGTCACATTCTAGTGACAATCAAGTGCCTCCTTATTTATCCCAATCCCGAAAGTGCGCTCGACGAGGAAGCGGGGAAACTCCTTCTGGAGGACTACGATGCATATTGTTCCCGTGCGAAGCTTATAACAAGCGTGCACGCCGCTCCTCGCATACGACCTCCCGAATTTCAGACACCATCCACTGATAAAGAGGGAGAGTCGTCTACGATTTCGATACCGGCTCCGCTTCCAACACCAGCTGTGGTGCCACCACCGCCACATATTACGCTACCTGTTCCAACATCTGCATCATCGCCTCGCAAATCCATGTCGCCCTCGCCACCGTCCCAACCTCTCCAATCATCACCAGCAAACACCTTGTCCTCGTCACTCTCCACGAGTACTGTGTCCAGCAAAGACGGCAAGGAGCGCTTATCACCGCTGGGGACTGCAAATTCCAATGTTGCGGGCCCAGCTGCCAGCGCCGTTCCTACGACCAAAGCCGTCAAACGATCCGCAGCCTCAGCTGGCTCGGGGATAGAAAAACGTAAGAAAGCGTTGAAGCGTCTATGAGAGTGCGTCATGTACATACACCGTGATCTAGGGCATTGGTGTAATAGGGGGATCGTTTTGTGCACATAATAGTTGTTCTGTTCTTTGTTTCCTGTCGATATGGCTGTCGTACTTGTTTTTCTTAATAACATAATGGCCAATACACAAAATACACAAGACATTAACAAGACATTGCATTATTGTTCAGATGCCCTCGGCTATTGTGACATGTAACGATGCGTGTTGCGTGACAGAGTGACCGAGTTATTTTTCATATTTGAGCCAAATTTGAGCTTCGTACCTCTTAAGTCTTGGTTGTACTTCATTCTCTGCCATGTTCTCCAAAGCCCTTTTAGCTCAGTCAAGGACACTCTCTGTATCTCTCAAGGCCCGTGCGTCACTTTCGCCGCTGGTTCTATTACGCCATGCCAGCCCCGGAAAACTCTCGATGCCATTGCAATGGCAGCGGTCATTGTCGACGTCGTTAGCGCTGCGTGATGACGAGTCGTGGCCTAGCGACCGAAGCTCGAAGCCAAGAGGCTTTCGGAGAAATGTTTCGCCTTCGGGAACACTTTACGTCGGAAACCTTCCATACTCTGTCACTGAAGATGAGCTGCGACAGTCTTTCGCAGAGTTCGGGGAGATCGTGCGCGTATCTTTGGGTGTGTTTTTTGCTGCACTGGAAAATTTGCGAGAGGTACTAACTGGACGTGCGGCACAGGCACCTCGGCAGAGGGAATGAGCCGTGGGTTCGGACACGTCCAATTTGCCAATGTGGATGATGCTAGTAAGGTCATCAAGGCGGATGAGGAGGACCCAATATTCATCATGAACCGCGACATCTTCCTTGACCACGCTGCGGTCCAGGAGCAGCCTGTGCTTGAACCTTACCACACACTCTTCATTCGCCCGTTCGGCGGTGCAGAGGACGACTTGCGCCAGGTATTCACCGACTTTGAACATTCCATCGCGGATGTGAGAATATGTACGTGCGCTTCCACTTGTTGAAGCGTGATGGCTTCTGACTCTGGGCTGGGGTTTGCAGTGAGGGATAAAATGACCGGCGAATCAAGGGGAAGCGCGTTTGTGGAATTTAAGAACGCCGAGACCGCTACAGAGGCGCTTGAGGCCCTGAAAGATTATAAGGACCCTTCAACGGGCAGAAATATGATCCTCAAATATGCAAGACCTAACCGGAACGAATCCGCCTCTGACCTCAAGGGCAGCCCAGACGGTAAAAAGCGGAGATTCAATCAGAGAGAGAAAGCTCCGCGTCGCAAAAACTCATACGGCGGTGACTGGAAAGGTCCCCAGCGCACGGAGGAGTATCGTGATTGATAGTGGAATGGTGATCATCTAGATTTATCATAACTATATCGTGGTACCCATTTTCTGCATGCTTGTTGGACGCGCATATTATTAGCTCATCGTTAATCACATCTCATGGCATTATTCTGATGCCTTCGCTTCTCTCTCAACTTTCTGACCTTGACGCCTTACATCTCGTCCCTTCTAAAACTACACACCCACCCTTGCTCTAGACACCGCCTGTAAGTGGACTCTTGAAGGTATAGTCAATGACCTCTAACTCAAGACTTCTGCACCGCGAAACGCATTCAAGAATCAAATTGAACATCTCATAAGCGACGAACACGTGCCAGGCTGTGAAAATGCGATTTGAAATGTTGATGTATATTTTGCAGATCCTCTTCGGCGTGGGGGTCTTGCTCGTCATGAGTAATTCTGGGTCTAGTGGGCTGACGATCATTATTAGCCTTGGCTCTACTCGCACAGGTCGATTTCGACCATCTTTAAGTTGAATGAGGTTGAATGTCGCCGTCCTTGATGACATTGACACCGCCGCGGCAGATCTAGACAACACGCATCCAAGCTCGTGGCTCCTCGAGCTCGCTCTCGTAGTTCGTGTGCGTACTCATGATGAGCAAGAACCCCACGCCGAGGAGGATCTGCAAGATATGCATCATAACGTCACGCCGTATACGGCAGCCCTGCTACCAGGGGAGAGGACTGCAACTAAGGATAGAGCAGAGCGCTAGCAAAGTTGTATTTTTTATTAGTCCAAAGATCGTGCTGTTTTTTCTTATTGTAACTGACTCGGAGTGCCTTCCACAGGGTTCGTTTCTGTACATCAGTGCCCAGGAAAGCTTCAAGCGTCAACGGAAGTTGGGCTAGAGCGGATGTGTTTCTTGATGACCTCCAACAGTACGACCGGTTCTGCATACTTGCCCTGTCCTATCCAGACGACTGACGTCGCTTAGGTCAGTATTATCAGGCAGCTTTTCCAACTTCTCTCTGAGAAATTGAGATGCTTACCTTTCCTCTGAACCTGCGATACCTTCCTTCAGAACCATGTTTCACTCGTGAGTCGTGACCAGTTTTTGACGCTTCTGCTCACCCTGCTTCGGACATGAATTCATCTATGGAAACAGGACTCTGGGTGCAAGATGTCGTTTTGGTTGCGACCATGTTTGGTTCACCTTACTCTCGCGGCGATCGTTTGCCGTGTGATGAGCATGCTAGGTTGCATATGGTCGAGTTGATGTTGACTCTTTAACCCTTTGTGGTCATCGCGTGTCACCCCTGGGTCGATCTCATCCTATTCGCCCGTTTACTTCTGTCAAGGCACGCATGGCTGACTCCGTGGAAATACATGATTAGGTGTAGAAGGATCATTCAGACGATTCTCATGTGAGAGCTGAAAATTATTGCAGGCACATCGTCGTACCATCGTGGGGACCCCGCGGGGACTCCTCACAATGAAAGTCGGTGCAGATCCACTTTCAAGTTTAGCCTGCTAAATTTAATGTTGTCAAGGCTCTTTGGTGAAATGACTGATGAGATCGTTTCGGTCCCTTTGACGGCTTCTGTCACACAGCGCCAGCGCCAGCGGCGTCATTATGATGGTACCGACCTTTGAATTGTTGCCTCGATGTTGCCAGTGATCTAGCAGGCCCCAGCGTTCGCCACTTCGGGGACCAATCGCAATAATTGAGTCGTCGCGCTTGCTGTATGTAATGTGTTCGTTGTTGTGACTCACCTTTACCGCCCGTGGTCAAGGAACAGACAGATGAAGCTGACGGTGACTTGTTTAAACGCATCACATGGGAACTCATCTATGGGAACAGTTGGAACACAGCTATTACCGGTGCCGGCGTATTGGGACATTCATCCGGTCAACTAGATTTCCCTCTTTTGGCGAGTTATGCACCTTTTGTGTGGCTATTGATCCAGAGCTTTGGCTGTTGGGTTGTCGTTTTGTAATCCGTTTTCGTGAGGTTCGTCTCACTCTTGTTGTGATTTTAAGTTGTGTATTTGATGTCCATCCTAGGTTGTATCGTTGTAATCTAGATATGTGATCCAGCTGATGAGGAGTTCTACTGCCGTTGTTTGTTTTACTTGCTGTTGAGACCCTCGTGATCCATCCCCCCGTGGAATGCCATCATGAGGTCTTACAAATGCCAGAACCGCCTTTCGAATTGATCCTGCGAAAGGTCATCCAGGTCCATTGACTTGTGAGGTGAAATAATTCTATAATGATCGGTGAGATCACTTCCTTGTTGTCTGATCCCTGTAGTGACAGAGGTTACACAAGATTAAGAAGCGGATTACATCGGCAGCGTTATTCTGAGAGCGGAATACATTGGAATGATATGATTAGAAGGAGGCAGTGAAGATTGATATCTTATCATCATCTCGCTGTTCCATCCTATCGGTCAGTGCTCGCCACTCTTGGGGGATAAAACACGGTAGTTGAACTGGCCGTTGCACTTGTCGCATGTTCAGGAACAGCGCGGATGGTCCAATGACGACGTCGCCTAGCTTCCATCACCGAATCAGCGCCTGAGAACTCATCTGCGGGAAAAGCTGGGTCATGAATATTGCGACTCCCGACGCCGACGTCCCAAGTCATCATTCGGTGATTAAAATTTTACCGCTGCCCCCGCTCTTTGCCGGGTTGACATCTCGGGGTATGATCATTGTTTGATTGGTGTCATAGCAGCATTTGCAGAATGTGCCTGTCCATTGGCGCGAATCATTGCCATCGTTAGCCTTACTAATCTCACTGAAGACGATCACGGATTACTGCCTTTACCAACACCGTCACAAGGCCTCTCAGAAAGATCGTGCCACGAATTAAACATGGTGGGCCCACCAATGACCTTTCAGATAGTCCCTCGCAGAACAATGAAGTTGCTCCGATGATGTACTTGTCGGCTTCTTTGAAGAGGTGCTCGGTCGGCCTATTTTGCAGCTCTTGTTGGATGTCATGCCGTCGTGAAGGCAATACATTCGTCACCAGAGAATGTTCCATCAGTGATCCCTTGTGGAATGCACTATTACGCGCATACGGTCGACGAGCGGCCCAGAGCGTGTACTGGCAAACCGATGATAGAACAGTCATGCCCCCATAAATCGTCTCAATCACGGCGATCAATACATGCCCCTGACATGTAGACAGCGTGTGCGTATTTGATCGTTGTGTCCAACCTTAACCGGATGGCAGACTGATATCCCCCCCAATCGGTAGCAACTCCTTGAAATCATCTAAAATGCCAGTGAATTGTTTGGGTACATTTTATACATCCACACACGAGGTACGATCTACCGAAGATACACCAGTTGTCCATGGCCATCTAACATAACTCAGCTTGTTACCATATACACGCTCCAGTCTCCGTAGACAAGCGCGCCACGCGAATCGTGCAAGCAGGACGACGACTTTGAACGTCAACAAACCTGCACGAAAGAGAAGACGCAGCATCAGTCGCACAATCACAATAGAAACAGCGTAGATAAAAGCGATAGATTTTACTGTAGCACCAGGGTTATACATGACGGCGGTCACGAGTGCCAGCATGAGGATTTTGAACAGTGCGGCGAAATATTGGGGTGAGTTGAAGAAAAGCGTCCATTTAAATACTTGGCCAAACTTGCGCAATATGATGTGATTAAGTATGGGTCGGAAGAACATGATGAAACAACATAGTCGAAAGAGGATGAAGATGAGGGGCCTCAACACATGGCTGAGCATCGTGAGTTTGAGTGGTGAGAACAACGATGGCATGAGTTTTGTAATGTTAGAGCAGAGTAAGTTGGGACTGTCACGTAGTGGCAGATTTTGTTTGAGTGGTCTAGAAAGAGTATCCGACTTCATGATGAGCCCGAGCATGATGGTCACGGTAAGGAAGTAAATTTTTGCATAGGGGTCAATTGCGAATTTTGAGATGTGCAAAATCACATGACTTTACTGTCACATTCACATGATTTCATTCTAGTCCAAATGACGCGACGCGATTGAGACTGGTGACCTAGCTGTCCGTGGCAAGCTGCGAGTAGACTCGTAACCAGTCTGGACTACGTCTTTGATCCGTATGTCTAGCGCTAAGATGTAACTGGAAATTATTGGATTCGCTGATTCTGTAATAAAGTAGTGTCATTTTGGATGCGTTTCCCATGTCTCTTCGTACGTACTACGAACTTTCATCCCTGGGTTTCGAGGAGATCTGCGCAGACCGTAGAATGAATACACAGTGTATAGGTGAGTGCTGCTGATGTGTACTGAGCAAGGACGGGCAGTGGGTTCTGCGACATGGCGTGGCGGATGGAATTGCTGTAATGCGTGACCCGGGAGGATCACTGCCGCTGCATCTTAAGTAAACCATGCATGGGACAAGTGTTATATGGCAGAGGTAGCATGAATGGTGTTGCCGTTACTAGCTCAGCTACGCCCATTTCGAACGAACTGTGAAAACAAACGAGGCACCCGATTTAACACCCGATTGTTTTTATTGCTATCAAAATATGACTTATATTGGTTGTACATATAAAACACCAAAGACATTGATTGGGAAAGATAAACTGGGAATCAGGTAGGTTATTAGATCATGAGAGGGATGAATCGGGGTGCTGGATATCAGCTACACATATCAGTCATGCGTTGTCATTATAATTGCAAGATCATGGCCATAATGACAACGCATGACGTAGATGGAGTAATATGGAGAGGGGGACAACGGCCCGGTCAAGCAATCAGTGGCCCGCGCATTCCATCGCCTCGACGTGCTGCGTGAATGCCGCGGATGATCACAAGAATTAATGCGAAAGTTACAAGAGCCCTAGCAAGAATATGAACAAGGAAACAATGTAGATATATCAATGACACCTACTCATTGACCCAAGCAAAGCCTTCTAGCGCGTTAAGTTGAACGGGATACGCGAAAACGCTCTGGGTACTAGGAAGATAGGAGGTGAGCGGTAGGTAAGTAAGAAGATGTCACCAACTTGCGATTCAGCTCTCCGCTGAGAGCTGCAGTTATACTTGTAGCACCCGCCGTCCAGAAGGCCCATGTTAGAAACAGACTATAGCGAGTTCGTCAGCGAGTTCGTCCGTCCGTGTCAAAGGAGGTCTACGTACAAGAAGATATGAGCAGCCATACTACCCAAGACACTACCTGGAAGATACATGAAGATAAACATGTGGAGACTGCACAATACAATCGTCCATGTTGAAGTGAACAATAGAAAACGAGTGCGGTCTCGTTCAGCCAGACTGAAGTAGTTATGTTGGGCAGTAAAACGCGACGTGAGCCAGGCCGAGATTGAGAGCTATCATAGGGGGTCATTATTTTATCATTGAAATGAAATGTGCACCTACCTCGATGATACTGAAGAAAATGACCAACGAGACGACAACTGAAATCCAGAGCGTCAGCTGACTGGATGGGATGTGGCGGTGCAGAGGACAGAGACTCACTAGGGTGTCCAGTTCGCATGTGGGAACCAGCATCCATTGCGCGAGGCAAGACAATAGGTTGAGGTGGGAGAGCATGACTAGTGATCTGGTACCGAGGTTGGGGATTTTCAATGTTTACCACTCGAGAACGCAATTGCGACAGCTATGAGGACGCAAGGTAAGTCCAACATAAATGTCACTGAAAAAAATGATCACCTCTCTGCGGAGAAGTCACTTAGAAAAAAAATTGTTTATTTATATTTATGAGTGGAGACTCACAGGGCATTCTCTATTTCTTCGATCCTAGAAAGCAGACCGTCTTCCATAACGCGAGATGTTCTGGAGCCACGGTCCATGCTTAGTGTACTGTTGCGAAGCTGTTCGCGAAGGCGACGACATTCTGCTTTTTTACGCTCGCTCTCGTGTTGAAGAGCTTTATATCGCTGGAGGGAATCTACCGCAGCTCGAAGTGGTATATGCTAAAAACGGAACATGTGAAGAATTTGAGAATTTGAAAATAATTAGCTCAAGTATTGGCAGCAAGCACCAGTATACGTCGCGTTTGCGATGCCAACCTGCACGATGGAAATGACTCACAGAATTGGGGTCATCTGGTTGAGACTGTAGCCATTCCTCCACTTCGGAGACTACTTCGACGACATCGACTTCGGGTATGTCATCGCCTGACACTAGAGACATGCGGTGAAGAAGGAGACTGGCATGGTCGGAGACAACACCCCGTTCAGCATTGTCTTGTTCAGGTTGACCTCCGAGGTGGAGTTTTTTGACACGATCTGGCTCGAAAGGTTCGCGACAGATGGGGCATACACTTGTGGTTAAGGAGTGAAGGCACCTGTGATTGAAGAAGACAAGGTAAATATAATCACTGGGTGCAAACTGACCAGAGAGAAAAATTTAGACGCACGTGAGACAGAAGATGTGACCACACGGGATTACATGTGGAGAAGTAACAGGTTCTGAGGAGACAGACTCGGAATAGGGTTCGACGCAGATGTCACAAAAACTTGTAGGATGGATAACAAGCATACCTAGTTCGTAAGAAAACTGCACCACCACTAGGCTCCTTAAGCCCACCTCGACTAGGATCATTACTAGTATACTACATGCTATTAGTACATAAAATTCAAACTCAGCACAGCCATGAGTTTCATTACCTGTTATCACCACGCTGGCTGAGATCTGACGAACATGGGTGGACGGTGGCAGCTGGCCTTTCGATGTTATCTGGGTCTTTAAACTCCAGCCCCCCTCTCAATAGTGATATACTTTGGCCGGCAGCCTGGGAGGCTTATTTGAGCAATTTATTGAAACATGATTAATACTCCCGTCATCCGACACATTTTCTCAGTCACATGACAATGTATTTTCGCTGTGCAGTCATCAAGTTATTCTCCTTCGATCGGCGTTTGAAGGCGTGCTTCCTGCTTGCGGATCTTCGGGACTTCATCGATTATGCAAACAAGCATTCACTGCAGAAACGACTTTTTAGCAAGAGGTAAAACTAACCCTGAGTATGGGTATAATCCGAGCTAATACCAACCCAAGCTGTAAAGTAGACTAAAACCAAGCTTGCGCAATATGATGTGATTAAGTATGGGTCGGAATAACATGATGAAACAGCATAGTCGAAAGAGGATGAAGATGAGGGGCCTCAACACATGGCTGAGCATCGTGAGTTTGAGTGGTGAGAGCAACGATGGCATGAGTTTTGTAATGTTAGAGCAACGATGGCATGAGTTTTGTAATGTTAGAGCAGAGTAAGTTGGGACTGTCACGCAGTGGCAGATTTTGTTTTAGAGGTCTAGAAAGAGTATCCGACTTCATTATGAGCCCGAGCATGATGGTTACGGTAAGGAATTATTTTTTTGCATAGGGGTCAATTGCGAGTTTTCAGATACGCGAAATCACATGACTTTAGTGTCACATTCACATGATTTCATTCTAGTCCAATGACGCGACGCGATTGAGACTGGTGACCTAGGTCCGTTGCAAGCTGCGAGCTTATGGAACAGGACTACTTGGTTACATCGATATCACAGAACTTGACCGTTCAGCACACTTCCGTAGGTCCAGCGCTAAGATGCAATTGGATTAGCTGATTCTGTACGTAATAAAGTAGTATGCGTTTCCCATGTCTCTTCGTACGTACTACGAACATTCATCCCTGGATTTCGAGGAGATCTGCGCAGACCGCAGAATTAATACACAGTGTATTGGTGAGTGCTGCTGATATGTGCTGAACATGGACGGGCAGTAGATTCTGCGACATGGCGTGGCAGATGGAATTGCTGTAATGCGTGTCCCAGCTGCTGCATCTTGAGTAAACCATGCATGGGACGGGTGTTATACGACAGAGATGGCGTGAACGGTGTTGCATCGAAAAGGTGACTTTTTCTTTCCATAGCACGAGTGCGCACGCGGACTGTCGCACTCGTTCGCACCGAGACCAAACGTCTTCGAGCACTGTTCAGCACGTTACTAGCTCAGCTACGCCCATTTCGAATGAACAGCGAAAACAAACGAGGCACCCGATTTAACACCAGATCGTTCTGATCGCTATCAAAATATGACTTATATTGCTTGTGCATACATAAATAAACTAGGAGAGATAAACTGGGAATCGGGTGGGGTTTTAGGATAACGAGAGGGAATAATCGGGGTGCTGGATATCAGCTACACATATCAGTCATGCGTTGTCATTATAATTGCAAGATCATGGCCATAATGACAATGCATGACGTAGATGGAGTAATATGGAGAGGGGGACAACAGCCCGCTCAAACAATCAGTGGCCCGCGCAATCCATTGCCTCGACGTACTGCGAGAATGCCGCGGATGATTACAAAAAGTAATGTGAAAGTTACAAGAGCCCTAGCAAGAATATGAACAAGGAAGCAATACACATATATCAATGACACATACTCATTGACCCAAGCAAAGCCTTCTAGCGCATTAAGTTGAACGGGATACGCGAAAACGCTCTGGGTGCTAGGAAGATAGGGGGTGAGCGGTAGGTAATAGGAAGATGTCACCAACTTGCGATTCAGCTCTCCACTGAGAGCTACAGTTATGCTTGTAGCGCCCGCCGTCCAGAAGGCCCATGTTAGAAACAGACTACAGCGAGTTGGTCAGCGAGTTCGACCACCCGTGTCAAAGGAGGTCTACGTACAAGAAGATATGAGCAGCCACACTACCCAAGACATTGTCTGGAAGATAAAAGAAGATGAACATGTAGAGACCGGAGAATACAATCGTCCATGTTGAAGTGAACAATAGAAAACGAGTGCGGTCTCGTTCAGTTAGACTGAAGTAGTTATGGTAGGCAGTAAAACGTGACGTGAGCCAGGCTGAGATTGAAAGCTACCATATGGGGTCATTATTTAACCATTGAGATAAAATGTGCACATACCTCGATGATACTGAAGAAAATGATCAACGAGAGGACAACTGGAATCCAGAGTGTCAGGCAACTGGATAAAGAATGACGGTGCAGAGGACAGAGACTCACTAGGGTGTCCAGTTCGAATGTGGGCATCAAGATCCATTGCGCGAGGCAAGACATTAGATTGAGGGGAGAGAGTATAACTAGTGATGCGGTATTGAGGTTGGGGATTTCCAAGGTTTTCCAGCCGAGAATGCAATTGCGACAGCTATGAGGATGCAAGATAAGTCTAACATAAATGCTACTGAAAAAAAGTATCACCTCTCTGCGGAGAAGTCATTTAGAACAAAAATGTTTACTTATGAGTGGACACTCACAGAGCATGTTCATTCTCTATTTCCTCAATCCTAGAAAGCAGACTGTCTTCTACAGCGCGAGATGTTCTGGAGCCATGGTCTGTGGTTAGTGTACTGTTGCGAAGTTGTTCGCGAAGGCGACGACATTCTGCTTTTTCACGCTCGCTCTCATGTTGAAGAGCTTTGTACCGCTGGAGGGAATCTACCGCAGCTCGAAGAGGTATATGCTAAAAATGGCGCATGTGAGAAATTTGAGAATAATTAGGTCAGGTATTGACAGCAGCAAGTACTAGCATACGTCGCGTTTGCGATGCACCTGCACGATGAAATGGACTCACAGAATTGGGGTCATCCGGTTGAGACTGTAGCCATTCTTGCACTTCGGAGACTACTTCGACGACATCGACTTCGGGTGTGTCTTCACCCGAGACTAGAGACATGCGATGAAGAAGGAGACTGGCATGATCGGAGATAACACTTCGTTCAGCATTGTCTCGTTCAGGTCGACTTTCAAGGTGGAGTTTCCTGACACAATCTGGCTCGAAAGGTTCGCGGCAGAGGGGACATACGCTTGTGGCTAAGGAGTAAAGGCACCTGGAATTGCAGAGGATATGAGATGAGAGATAAACATTATTGCTGAGCACAGGCTGCCCGGGAGTAGAAATTTAGACGCACGTGAGACAAAAGATGTGACCACACGCGATTGCATGTGGAGAAGTAGCAGGATCTGAGGAGACAGAATAGGGATCAAGGCAGATATCACAACAACTTGAAGGATGGATAACAAGCATACCTAGTTCATAAGAAAAGTGCACCAGGGCCACTGGGTTCCTTATGCCTACCTTGAGCGTGGACTTTTATATATCATTACTATTACATGGAACCAGTGCAACATTGAAACCCAGCATCACACATTGTTAGATCACTGCCGTACGTTCCTGACAAAACCTGGCAGTTGGCAGCTGTGTATGTTAGCAGTCGCAGTGGCAGAATTGTGACTTGGCAGAAGTCCAAATGGTAGTGAGAAGTCATACATATCGCTAGTAGATCTTACTCTCACCGACTAATCATAAATTTTGTCAGCCCATCTGTCATCAATCCTCTAAACCAAATTCCAGACCTAGCTTATAGCGCCTTCCTCATCCTTTCATACGCATATTCATGTCTAATCCTTATATTTGATACAGTCATGTCTATAAAATGGGTTTCCGCAACACCTCCAACGATGTTCCGAGCATGACTCGCACTCACTGCGGAAACGAGAAAATGCCTGTATCTAGATAGAGTACAGATAGAAGAACTAATCATACCAAAACTGGATACGAGCAAGTACATCTGCCTAAGTCCAAAAAGCTTATGGATTGACGCGATTTTTGGACCCTAACCATACTCCAGTTAGTTATGATATCTATCGTCTAGATTTAAGCTCGTCAAACAAACCATACTCGAAATTGCGTATGGATAGCAGTCAAGTGTATATGTCCTCAGGTATGGATAGCGTGTGGATATAGTATAAATTGAGTCTAGATAGGATACAGATAGCAACAACGAAATCTATGGCTGATCCTCCTACCCCGCTGCCCCTCGATAAAACTGGTTTGTGGGGTTGTTGGCTGCGTTGGAGAGCTGCGTGATGCGCCCTGGCATGCGGCTGCATCACGGGTAGCTTTGTTAGCGACAAATAGGGCGGGAGAGGCGGAAGAAGGAATAGTAGAAGCGGTAGCGGTAGCATCAGGCATTTCTAGTATCTGAACTGGCCATGAGCGCACAGAAGACAAGAGCGCAAGAGTATGAAAGTACCTTTAGCAGAGACGAGAGGTAGCAAAATAGGATGAGTGTGAGTGGACCTGGATTATGCTTTGCAATGACTCGTCAATGAACGAGGGCAGTTTCCAGCAACAGCTGCTCACCGAAATGCACAAAATGAATGCCTGTCTCGCCGCCATCGAATCTGCTAGCCAAATCATTATCGCAAACCAGCAAACAACTGAGGAACATGCTCACCAACACGAGAATACGCTCAACAAGTTGATGCAAAACATCGACGCGATGATGGTGTCTAGTAACATCATGAGACACCAAATTTTTGACAGTAAGTAGAATAAAAACATACCCAGGGGCCGGGTACGTCTGTAATAAACGTGGCACGTATCGTTTCCGGGTACTTGAGAGGTAATTTGAGGCATATGATGTTATCTTCAAACATGAGCATGATGTGGAGTAAGTAGAAGAAAGGACTTAGCGATTTTTTGGCGTAATTTGACTCTTGGACTGTCCCAACGTCTAGATACACCGTTTGAACATGTCTGTACCCTGGTTGGTGTCTGGTTTAGAATGCTGCTTGGACATGTATGGTTTGGTGGTGGGTGCTCGTATCTAGAGTATGGTTTGGGTATGTTTACATCATATATCTTCTATCTGTTTGTCCGGTTTTCTCCAAAGTCTGACATTTACAACGTCCAAATTCCTCACGTCTGGTTTGCGTGCAGATAGACTACTAGGTACGGATCGTGTCCAGGCAGACGGCCTAACCACGTACAGATAGGGTACAGGCATTTTCTCGTTTCCGCAGTGACTGTTACGGATAGAACCAGTAAAAAATTCAAACTCAGCACAGCCATGATACCTGTTATCACCACGCTGGCTGAGATCTGACGAACATGGGTGGACAGTGGCAGCTGGCCTTTCGATGTTATCTGGGTCTTTAAACTCCAGCCCCCCTCTCAATAGTGATATACTTTGGCCGCCTGGGAGGCTTATTTGAGCAATTCATTGAAACATGATTAACTTAATACTTCCGTCATCCGACACATCTTCTCAGTCACGTGACAAAAGTATTTTCGCTGTGCAGTCTTGTTCGAGAATCCTTCGATCGGCGTTTGAAGGCGTGCTTGTGGATCTTCGGGTCCGGGACTCCATCGATTATGCAAACAAGCATATAATATGATACGCCAATGATACGCAAGGAGAATAAGAAAGCGCCGAGTATCTACTCATGAAATCGCATGGCGTCCACGCCTGGTTTCTTATGATGTAAAATCTTGCGCAAAGCCCTCTTTGCACTGGATTGACCAACGTTATTGCGTTTAGAAGATCCACGACGTACGACCCCTTTGCCCTTCACGCCTGATGGGGACTTCTTGCCGTGGGCGATGGATCGGTACCTGTGCGACGCTTGACTGGTTGGTGCAGAAACCCGATCAGGTTCTGGCAAACATAATCAGTAAATTGTTAGTGGAATCGGGTACTGGCGGGCAACCTTTGACTTCAAAGGTGATCCTGGACTCGGAAGAAACAAGGTGGAAAGGAGAGACAAGACAGGTGAGCTGGTCACAGGATTCTTTGGAGCTGTCTCCGCTTCCCGCATAATCCTCAACAGCTTCATCGGCCGATGGACATAGCAAAGCTTCTTCATCGTCATCTTCCCAGACTACTTCATGATCCCTCCCGTAGATCGAAAGATTAACGAGACTCAACGGGGAGAAGTCAGCCGTAGTCTGGAGAGAGTCCTTGTTTGCACATCCGGGACCATGAACGTCGTATAGCCCGCGAAGGCGAGGTGACGGGTGATAACTACGTGTGGAGGTGGGTGTGTTCTGCATCTGTTGTTGTGTGACGATAGATTCCGACAAAGCATCTCGAAGCTTCCGTTTCGGAGTGATCGCCTCCAGAAAGTGCAGCGTCTGTCTTTTAGATTCCACGCGGTGTTGTGTCTCGTCACGGAGTCGCTCGAGAGTCTGTATATGTTCGAGAAGGATGCATGCAGTCGTGAGTGCATTGAAATGATTCAGAGGGGTTCGTGTGCTCAGGCTTGTCTGCGTGCATGTCTGGACGCTGGCCGGAGATACCATGATTGCGTTACCAGGCGTAACTAAATGATAATTTCCTGCGAATGTTCGTTGGGTATGACAGCGGCGGGAACAGCCATTGTTGACAGCTGAGTCGGTCTCGTACACGGGTGGTCAGTCTGAACTGAAATGAGGCGGGACAGACGACGTAAATAGAAAGGGGAACAAGTACATAGACAAGGGAACCGTTGGGAATGAAATTGATGAAAGACTGACTTGAAATTCGCATGTTAATTTTTCAGAAAGAGAGCATGTATCAACTGACTGTCACCTATCAGATGGTGCCTATCAAGCACGGCATCTTACTAGAATGGCTGAGTCCGTGCTCCGTGATGCATAGCCTTATCGATGCATGTACACTCACACAACTGCTCATATGATCATGATCCTGGAGGAAACTTCCGTAACTGGTCAGCATGGTGTTACGGAACAATGTGGCATTGTGGCAGTGCTGTATGGCGCGCGCTCCTGGTAATAGCTTTGCGGCGTTGGTGAATTGGGATAAAAGTTACCTCAAAGGGTCCACCTCCACTTTCACCTCCACCTCCACAAAAGGGCCACACAATCTTCGTCTCTGACGTCCCTCATCCCTAGCGGTATAAAAGACAACAAAAGTCTAATATCAATCAAACTGGCGAAGATGTCGAGAACATACTGTATTCCAGGCGTTTTCTTCCTCTTTTCTGCCTTCTTCCTCCTCTGCATCGTTTCAATTTCTCTCCCGCGTTTTCAGGCGATGGATATTACTCGCATTGACACTAGTGGGATGGGTGGTGGTAGTGGTGATCAGGTATTCGCATTCACGCAATTCCGAGTGAGTATTAGTTTGGTTGAGCTGAGGTGCTCGGACTCACGTTTCCTCATTGTACCGCCTAGTTCGGCATTTGGTAAGTATGTATTAACATACGAGATAGCACAACTAACCTGTCTCAAGGGGTTACTGTATTGGCTCGCCTTCGGGTTTCGAATGTTTTAACACTGGTGAACAAATTTACTGACATCACTACCATCCTATGCTTATTGAATGACAGGCCATGGATACTCGGTCACCTTCGCGAACCCGCAGGATACCCTGATTACTATAGGTCCTTCGTGGACACGTGGTCTCGCTGTTCTTCCCGTCGGTCAGTCGTACTCTATGCAAAACGGTCGCAATCTGACTTTGCCTTTTCCTAGCTGCCTGTGTAGCCTTTATTGCCCTTCTTCTATCCATTTCCCAGCACATCACAATTACTTTGGTGGCTTCTCTAGTGTCATTCCTCGCCGCCCTGCTTACCCTCATCGGATTTGCCATCAATATCGCTCTCTATGCCTATGTCAAGCATGAACTGGGCACGCTAAACACTGATGAAACGACCCTGACTGGACCTGGTTGGTTTCTCTTTTTCTCAGCTCACCACGGGTCTCAACATTATGGCAGGTTTTTGGCTCACATTTGTAGCCCTACTCCTGCTTATTTTGGCTGGATGCACTGTGTGCTTTGGCCGTCGTCGTGATAGAATGGCAGGTGCTACTGATAACTCATACCAGCTGAACAACTTCAAAGGCGGATTCCTCTCGCGCTTCCGCCGCAACTAGGAGTTGCGACTCTTTCGGATGGCTGAACAGATGCATGATCTTACTATATATACCGACTGGAGTCACAGAACTTTCATTTGTTGCAGAGATTCTCCAAGTAGTGACCATAGACAGTGTGTTCATTTCATCAATTGTCTTGTATACCATGTTGAATTTTTTGTTTATGACATTGACGTCTATATTTGGAGTCCCCTAGTACCCTGGTGGAGGGTATTCTTTAGTGCACGACGCCTGGCTAGTTGATAAACAGTCTTCAATACAACCTTGGAACTCAGTGCGATTGTCACGGACTCGTCTACTTAACCCTGGACAATGCATCGACCCTATCCTATCAGTTGCTGTTGGCTGGTGGCGATGCTTCCGCCTTTGAGGCGATGCTGTGCCATCTAAATAAGATCATGGCCGATAACAGTAACTGTGTTCCCCCCAGCTGGTATCGATAGGCTCCCAGATCGACTTAGTTTGACCTTCCTGTCCCAAAGATATGGCCTTGTCATTGAAGGTGAGACTCCTATCATATCAACGGCAGCCATAATCAAAGCTTTGAAACGAAAGACATCTGCTCACAACAACGTCGACAATGATAAACGCGTGGCGCTGCTGAGTGGGACGATAGCAGTGATCGATACAGCAAAGGCTGCTGTGCCTAGCGTCCTCGTACAAAGCATTCTTTCTACAGTATCGAACATCTTAGCCATCGCAAAAGTAAGTCATTCTTGGACAACTTCGAATGTCGTTCTGACTCGTTCTGATACATTTACATAGAATACCCTGCAGAACGAAGACGATTTCCGTGGATTGATCGAACAGTGCCAAGTGATTTGTGATGTCGTCGCAAAGGCTACCGAAGGCCAGACCGATGGCGATTTGAACAGTGAGCTCAGCGATATCATTATCAGTCTCAAAAGGTAGGGCTTTCTCCAGATAACAAATGGGGATTAACTGACATCGCTGCAGCTTTGTCCAAAGCATTTACGAGACAGTCGTGTCTGCGAATGAGCGCAGCGTTACCAAGAGAGCCCTTTTCGCCCTGTCCGACAAGGACAAAATCGCATCTTGGGTGCGGGAACTGGATAGGCGCGTGTTACTCAATAACGTAAGCCTTACCTTATACCAAGCTACCATTGAACTGACATTACTCAAGATGCACCTGAGCATGATCACCCAGCGCAGGATAGATCAACTGAGCAGACAGATCAATAGACCGAGTGTGCCCACCGCAGATGAAGGCTGGCGCATCGTCCTCCCGAGTATCCCTTCCCCATTCCTTGGTAGAGATCATCTCATTCCCCATATTACGGAATTACTTCTCAACCGACGTCATGTCACGCTTTATGGTCCAGGAGGTATCGGCAAGACCTCCCTCGCAAAAGCTGTCATCCATGACTCAATCATAGCTGAGAGGTTTCAAGGCCGTCGTTACTTTGTATCTTTCGATGAGCTAGGAGGCTCTCAGATATCCACAGGAACAGTCAAGGAGCGGATTTGCAGAGCCGCCGGGTTGGATGGGCGCCTTGGTGAACGGTGGGAAGAAGTTATGGCATTTCTGGCAGGCGCAGACACAGTCCTGGTCATCGACCATGCAGACGCTCTTACTGCAGCTCGCAACGCAGACTCCGTGGCCCGTCTCATTGATGACCTCGCATCATCAGCCTCTGTGGTCCTCTTGCTGACGACCCGAAGCAAACACCCCTTCGCACCTTACCTTATCACTCAAGTTGTGAGCGTTCCCACGCTAGAACGCAAGAACGCGAGGAAGGCCTTCGAGAGCATATGCCCGCAGCACATTCCTACGGAAATAATCGATGAATTACTGGATGGTGTGGATAACCATCCGTTATCGGTCAATATCCTCGCTCGTCGGGCGGCGCAGCATGAATGGTCAGGGGCGGAACTACTTTCGGCATGGAGGACACAACGAGCAGTACTATTGGAGAATGGTGAAGGAAAATCACACAGCCTGCGTGCTACAGTCGAACTCTCTTTGAATGCTCCGCCGGTGATCGGCCTTGGCGATGATGCTCGAAAGCTTCTCGGTATCATCGCCTTTTTCCCGCAGGGCCTTGACGCTATGAGGGTGAAAGCCCTTTGTCCTTCTGCGACTACGATCGTGGACACGCTTTCTATTCATTCAATGATCCACCGCGAGGATAATCGTTTCACCATGTTGGCGCCCATGCGACTGTACTTGGGCCAGAAGACGCCAAACCCTGATTCAAGTTTTCTGAACACGATCAGGAATATGTACTACAAAGAGCTCTCCGGTAATGTCGAACGACATCAAGCTCTTATCGAGGCTGAAGACGTCAACGTTGAACGCCTCATTGCGTTCGACTTCAGCAAGGTCATCAATTTGGACGATAGCTGTCGTGCTTGTGCATCATTCCTAGACAACCTCGCTATCTATAAACCTCGGGCGACCATTCTAACTACAATGTTTCAAGAACTTCCGGTGAAGTCCTCGGGAATCCTTGCCAAAGTCACTAGTCGGCATGCCACGACGAAGGCAATTTCACTTCGCAACAAGACCCTGCTTGTGAAGTCCGCTGGAACTCTCGCGTCATCTTTAAGACGCAGCACATTGACGTCTACCTTTCTCAGAACACTTTTCGTTCGGTAACAATTCATTTCTCCTGATCCTCTCTCTTATTAATATATACCATCAGTATCAATCTTCCGAACGGGACGCCCATCAAGAATCTGCGTACATCAGAGAATCCTAGACGTTTACGCCATTTGAAAACTGTTACACGACCATTCCTGCGCCTTAGTCGTCAATCATCGTCAACCACCACCCCCACCCCCACCATCAAACGCATTCACTCTTGTGCATCCCTTCAATCATTTAATTCTCTTCTGCACGAGCACCGTGGTGTTCTTGCATTCTTCACGACAGAGATGTGTCGCCTGAGTCGCAAGGCAAAACCATTGTTTGAAGAATTTGCGCACGACAAAAACTCGAATGGTAGCCCCGTCGCCTTTGTGCAGGTGGATCTCAATTCCTCGCGTGATACAGCTGCAGTTGGCATCGAGTTTGGTGTCCGCGCCACTCCCACATTTCTGTTCTTTGTAGGAGGAATGAAGGTTTGGCTTTCCGTGAGCTTTGTCTGATCGATGACTTATTTCTGGTCGCAGGTATATGAAATACAAGGATGTGATGCTCAACAACTACGAATGCACCTTGCAATGTTTTTACATCCAGGTTTGCCAAATTCAAGTTAATATATATTGCATTCCAGCTAACAACATCGACCTATAGTTCATCCACACTTAGCGGTATCCTTTTTGGCTATGGAATTGTTGGGCCTCAAACCCATTAGATTCAATCATGTCCCCGATCTCGCCGTTGTATCTGCAAAACTGAGGGGTTACCTTGATTCCGCTACAACCTGGTTTCCGCCTCTCGATACCTCCCTGTCCAAAGTTGATACCATGGAAATCCTATTTGGGGCAATGATTCCGTACATTGAGGCTTCCACCACCTCGCAAAGCTTGCCTTTGCATCCTCTTTTCGATCTTTGGCATGACATCACGAGCTGTATGTCGTGGAATATGCCGGGGGACCAGCTATTTCCACTGGTGGATTTATGGCGGATAGCACTCCTCGATGAAAAGGTCCCCTCCTGGTGCGCCGATCGAAACGGTCTCGACAACCCCCTTGTGCTACTGTTGTCAAAGGCATGCGAATGGTCTTCGAGGAATTATTTGTTGACACTCCTTGGTATGCTCTCCAACGCATTCATCAACAGGGCCTTGGGATGGAAAATTCTCCTGTCGGCGCAGAACAATCTAGCCATTCTGCTGGAACATACTTTGGTTCATAAAGATCTTGATATCCGGAGAAAAGCATCGAGCTTGGCTTTCAACATTTTCGCGCGTCTGCAAGAGCTCAGAGTAGAGAATCTATGCAAGGGCGACAAAGAAGAAGCCGATCATTTGGAGATGGAATTGTCCCTTACCCTCCTGAATGCAGAATGGGAAGCGTCGATCGCATGCGCGCTTCTTGTGGCTATCGAACGCGAGAGCGACGGTGATATAGGTACTCTTCGTTGCCCTTCATTCATGTTTCTGATTTCTGATTTGTCACTTGTTGCTACAGTCCACCGTCAAGTCGCAGCATTGGGACTTATTGTCCGCTTTTCCCCTTTCATCGATCATTTGTTGCGACTTCTCGGAGCCTTACACGCTCAAAGCATCCTAAAGACTAAGCTCAGAGGAAACGGGGGGAATTGGAATATGGAGGAATCTGTCTGCGTGCTATTGCAGGAAGTTGCTGATAAACTGTGCCCTCCGGGTGTTTTCATTTGAAGCGCAGTTGATATCCAAGTCCACAGACACTCTACATAGTACCCACTGCGTTCGACTTATAGCTTACGATTTATTGTCAACGTTTCATTCGATTTTTCCTGGGCTAGCACCCTTCATCTCGACGTACCCACTGCCGTTCCATAATACTAGGTCGCATGAATGTTTATCACATCTGAAGTACATCTGGTACTAATGCAGAGAAAATCCAAATAGGGCGATGGTCATCCAGGTGCGCGGGCTATTGTATAACAGTATTGTGTAAGGCAAGAGCAATTGATGATGCACCAAATGGATGTAAGATGACAGATGGGCGTGAGCAAGAGGAAAGCGAGTAGTAACGTTTGTATAAGGAAGGACGGTGGACTTCTGCACTAATGAAAACCATTAGACGATTCAGTGGACGTGCAGCAGATGCAAGACCAAAAGCGAGTGCAGCATCCAGCCTGTCTTGTAGGAGCATCAGGCTTATCTGTTACGACTGCAGGAGTGGTGGTGACAGGAGGGGGCATCAGTAGCGATGATGTAGTGACAACCGCTGCCTGCGGACGCGATGACGGCAACGGCAGTGCCACACCTTGTATCGGGTCTTGTTTCGGCTGTCCTTGCGAGGCAGCTTGTGTGTTTGGTTGCGGGGCAGCAGTGTATCTAAGCTTTGGAACACATAAGTATAGGAACAAAGAGAGCAAAAGAGTACGAACCTTCTTTTTTTTGGCAGCAGCACGAGGGCTAGGAGCGCGACGAGAGAAAAACCCTAGCCATGGGCGCGGTGAGAGGTGCGGTGCGACATCAGCATTGGGCTGAGAGTGGCCTTGCCACGACGCAGCAGTTGACTGCCATAATTGACCATGTGGCGTCTGCAGCCAGTCTCGTCCACTCTGGGTCTGCAACCAGTCTCTCCCACGTTGGGTCTGCAGCCAGTCTTGTCCGCCTTGGATCTGAAGCCACTCTTGCCCATTCTGGGTACGCAGCCAGTCTCTACCGCTCTGAGACTGCAACCAGTCCCCCCCGCCCTGGGCCTGCAGCCAGTCTCTCCCGCCCTGGGACTGCAGCCAGTCTCGTCCACTCTGGGTCTGCAACCAATCTCTCCCACGTTGGGTCTGCAGCCAGTCTTGTCCGCCTTGGATCTGAAGCCACTCTTGCCCGTTCTGGGTACGCAGCCAATCTCTACCGCCCTGAGACTGCAACCAGTCTCCCCCGCCCTGGGCCTGCAGCCAGTCTCTCCCGCCCTGGGTCTGCAGCCAGTCTTGTCCGCCTTGGATTTGAAGCCACTCTTTTCCGTTCTGGGTACGCAGCCAATCTCTACCGCTCTGAGACTGCAACCACTCCCCCCCGCCCTGGGCCTGCAGCCAGTCTCTCCCGCTCTGGTTCTGCAGCCAGCCTCTTCCGCCATGGGTCCGCAGCCAGTCTCTGCCGCTTGGTATTTGAAGCCAGTCTCGCGCGCTCTGGGTTTGCAGCCAGTCCCGCCCAGCCAGGGTCTGCAACCAGTCTTCTCCGTTCGGGCCATCTAGCCAGCCTCGGCCAGCCTGGGACTGCAGCCAGTCTTGCCCGGCCTGGGTCCCCAGCCACTCTCTGCTGCCCAGCCAGTCTCGCCTGCTCCCACTCTGCTCCCACTCTCGCCTACCCTGATCATGCGGCCACCTTTGTCTGCCTTGGGTCTGCGGCCACACTCGCCCGGTGGGTGGCTGCGGCATAGAGTCCTGCTTGCCCTGGGTATACGGCCACTCTCCGCTCAGTGGGTCCACGATCGTTGGCTTGTCTCCTGCAGATATGAACGGTGGTTCAACATTCTCGCCTAGCCATCCCCTCCCCTCCGAGGTCTGCAACCAGCCGCCTTGGGTCTGCAACTGATCTTGCCCGCCTTGGGTCGGCAACGGACTCCGCCAGCCTCCGGCCTGCAGCCACTCCCTTCCGCTCTGTGTCGGCAGAAAATCTCGACCACTTTGGGTCTGCGACCAGTCTTTCGCGCCTTTAGTCTGCAGCCACTCGGGCGATACTTCGTTGCCATCCTTGATTTGTGGAACTGTATGTTGAGTAGCATCGTCCTAGAACACAACAATGAGACCAAATCAGATAATTATATCCAAATATCACGTACATAGGGTAATAATATGTCATTATCCTGCAGGAGATAACCTTCAGTTCTTTGAAAAGTGATGAAATGAGCCTAAGAAGAGCTTTCGAAACTCACCTCTGAATTTGTCGCAGTGCCTAAGCCGAGGGCAGCATCAAGGGCAGCGTCTCTAACCATTGTAGAAATATCCCATGCGTACGCATTGCCGTCATGGCAGCCAGTGACTAGCTGCTTTCCATCCAGTACGGAAAACGACACGCAGGTCACTCCACTTGCATGCTTAAGTGGCGAACCGATGGGCTGGCCATTGTCGAGATTCCATAATCGCGCTGTATTATCGTATGATGCGTTCGCCAAAACGCGGCCATTCGGAGATATTGCAATGGCACGGACAAAGCTAGCGTGCGCATCCAGAACATTGATCTGCACCCAGATGGAAGTATCCCATGTCCTAATCGAGTCATCGGCTGACCCGGATATAAGCCTTTCTCCATCCGGAGTCCAAGCCAGGCAATTTACAAAACGTGTGTGTCCTATGAGGGTCGCGACCAGCTCGCTTGTCTTAGCATCCCAGATTTCAATGAACTCAACATTTCCAGCAGTAGCAATCAAAGTCGTGTCTGGCGAATAGACGATTGCGTTCATGGTGAGGAGCCCAGTCTTGATTGGCGCGAGGATAGTTTCTCCACTCTTCACATCCCATTGTCTTGCAGTCCCATCGTCGGATCCGCTCGCAACTAGCCGACCATCTCCACTCCAACAGATAGATCGCACTGGCTTTGTGTGCCCCGTCCATTTAGCGATAACCTTGCGTGTGTCAATGTCCCACAACCTCACTCCGCCGTCCCAACTCCCGCCAACCATTTTCTTCCCGTCTGGGGACAATGCTATGGTGAGCACTTCACTTTCTACGTCCTGCCAGTCGTCTCCTATCTGTTCCCCGCTCTCCAAGTTCCACACTCGCAGCAAACCATCCACTGAACGAGTGATAATCCGCTGGCCGTCGGGCAGGTGTATGATAGCGGAGACAGGTTTGATATGTCCTCCAAATTTTTGGCGGGGCGTTGTCACTGATGTCTCCTGCTTGCTGGTGGTTGGTGAAGAGATATTTGAAACCGATTTTATTCTAACGGCTGGCGTAGGGATCTTTGGCATCGGTGTTCTCCCAATAGACATTGGCGCTGCCGCGAGATACGCCAGCGGTGGGTAAGAGGTCGGCAACGACATGGCTATTACTTGATGACTACTGTCTCAAATTTGTCCGTCAAAGTCTAGGTCATCACTCACAAGTATTTCACCGGGGCTCTATAAACGGAACGAACGACGCGAGGAGGTTGAACGATGTCAAAATCGGTGTTTTGGTGGCAATTCGGAGTCAAGTCGTATCAAGTACGTTATTTACTCGCGTTATGATACCTCGTGTCTGCCACTGAATGATTAAATTATAGGGCTCTCATTGGTAAGGTTTATGTATAACTTTTCCGGCTCTTTTCGGTCTCATATGCCGTCACAATCTAACTCACCGCCCATGAGTAGCCCACCACCTCAAGCTCGTCGTTGTTTCTCCATTCAAGACTGAGGTCGTGAATATGGTGGCGAGAGTACGCCCAAAGGTACGACCATCACAATACACTACTAGGGTAACTGTGTGATCCATCGTCGTCGTCCTGCGTCTTCTCGATTATACAACGTGAGCAGTGTGTGTACGTATCTCCAAACACTATCCGCTACATATAATCACCACCTCTCCATTCCCTAGCTTTATCTCCTATTGCACATGCGGTAGTGCAAGATTTGAAGTGGTCTTTTGTAGAGGGCGCTTGTGTTGCGGTGTTTGAGGGTGAATTATGAGAAGCAATTGAAATGATGCAACAACGGGGAGATCCGGGTCATCGATACATGGGACATGAATTCGAAAACTCGTTTTACAGCGCGCGCGATGAACGACGTTCCTAACTGTGGCCCCAAGATGTGCGCTGTAAAGTGTGGTGCCAAGATTTGCTTGCAATGCTTTAAAGCTTTGCTGCCTGAGGCCTGAGGGCCTCAGAGAGGTGGTTGTGCTGAGGGAATATATTATGCAAGATGATCATATACGTCAAGTAGCTGGCTCGATTTCTTGAGGATTTGTGCTACAGAACGAATAATATTTGCTTGAAGCTTGAGTAGTGTTGTTTTCGACAATTGACATGTATAATAAGTCATTCAAGGCTATCCCTTCGAATCGCCCTATCATGATTAGGCTGGCAGGTTCTTGCATATGACCCTATTGATCTCGAACCGTCATGCCTGGAGGATATCACATTCACATATTCATCTCCTGGTTGAGGCTCACTACCAGGACGACCGCATCTAGGTCATATAAAAGTCTTCTCTCTTTCTTTCTGCGACTGATCCGACACTATGAGGCCGTTATTGGTGGAAAAGACAGAGTTTTGCGAGAACCGGGCTCGGCGTTTAGCTCTCAGCCAACTGCCCAAGAGAAGAAGACTTACGAGACTCTCGCAGTGCCGTTGCTTAAAGCACCCCCAGAATCACAAAGCGAAGGGTTGAACGGCATAGCTTCTAACACTCGGTCTCCTCGGACCTCTTCTGCGCCATTGGCGCTGAGCTATATCACCATGCCCGAGCCCAGCATTCATATTGCGGTAGCTGTCACCACGCCGCCCCATCCTACGGCGGTAGGACGGTTCTGTGATATATCTACCCCCATTATACCTGGACAAATAAAGCGATACGAGAGGAATCAATTGTATGTAAACTATATCTGTTAGGTGCTTTTCTAATGCCGTTGTAATCCATATCGACAGTCAAGATCACAACGAAGATTTCGAGGTTGAGAAAGGTCCTTTGGACTGTTCAGAGTAAGCATGATGGTAGCAGAGTGCTCGATGAAATTGAAAAGGACCATCAGGGAGCTTGCTCCGGTGTCAGGATGGGAGCCGCTCACGCACCCAGAGGGCGCTTTATTTTTCTATCACTCGAATCATGTACGTCTACTATGGCTGCTCCTACATAGCTTTACTCAATCTCCTTCCAGAGAGTTTTCACTGATGTCGATGTTCGAGAACCTGGAACTGCAGTCCAATTGAGTAGGGTTGCTGATCAGGCGTACGAAGAAGCGCGCAAGGCAGACACATTTCATACATCCCTCGAACTAACATTGGAGCGCGTGGAGGTGGATGGGAAAGAGAAATGGGGCTACTACTTTGCTGATCACGACAGACATGTCATTTTCTGGCTGGAACCCCACAAATCTAAAGATCTTTTGGATAAAGTTCGAGGAGTAAAACGCAAAAGCCACGTCAGTGAGTTAATTCCGTCGATTATTCATTCGAGCTTCTTTTATTGTGTTACTCCCAGGGTATGCACTAGAGTCACAGTACTGGTCCGTATGGCCTCAGAAGTACGCATGTTCCCTTAACTGACCGAAGTTAATTCGCTGATACTTTGTTGCAGTCCTTTTAACCTCTCATTATCACACGCTTTTATCATCTCGACAGGGGACACATTGAATTGTTTCCAAACAAGCGCTTCCTTCCAGTAGATGTCGTCGTGAGACTCAAGGAAATCATTATCTTTACTCAGGCAGGTAGGTCAAGACTAATAATCGTCTACGACATCGGAATGACTCGTGATAGACAATATCACTTCTGAAAAATGCCTAGCATCTTTTGCTTCGGACGAGGTTTCAAATATGCTCGGCCTTATGGATCCTCTCATGAGTGATTCGTTCCCTGATTTGGGAGGTCATCATGGTCATTGATCGTCTTTTCAGGCAGTGTTGACAAGGAGCATGAGCATTCTGTATGGATCGTTGGTAAGTCTAACAACCAAAGCTTAGTCGATTCGATACATTTGCTAATGACTTCAGCACGATTTATGGGAGATTTCTGTGAGTTCAAGCTAGTTGCGAGTGCGGCCTTTCTGCTAACCACTTTGTTAGGCAGCGACAAGTTTGTAAACTTTTGTGGACAGCCAGGCGCGCGACTTGACGCAGACCAGTCGTTATACGACGATTCCACCCCCCGCCCGAAAACTGTCCTTTTTCGTGTCATGAATATCATTCTGTTTGGATCCCCTGATGCTCACAGCAGGGCCCTTCACAAGATATGGGTCGATTACACCATTGTTCAACGGCGTTGGAAAAACTTTATCAACAGACTAAATGGTGAATGGAATGGATATACGATATTCGTGAGTTGTGCTTTTGCTTTATATTGTCAATGTAATCGACGTCCATCTCAGTCTACTGTGATGCTTGCTGTTGATATAAGTTTTCTAGCGGTCCCATCCGTTCAGACTCAAACACCTGCAATCCTTGTAGCATATATGTCTACCCTCTGTGCCTTGGGCTCGTTAGTGGTCTCACTAGTCCTGGCCGGACAGGTCAATGACAGCCGGCGGGACTCCGCTGAAAGTGTGGTACGTTTTCTTTTCGTCATTTGTTTGGCCTGCAATTCTTTATCTTTACATCCACTAGGCCTCATTCATGATGGAAATGTCGCATTCTATGCTCGGCCTCGAGAGCCTTGCCCTCATGCTCAGTTTGCCGTATGCTCTTTTGATTTGGGGGTGCGTTTGTAGTTCACTATGAGGTGACGAGACTCAGCACTCATTTCTTGAACAGAATGACATTCTTTGCCGCAGCATTATCCATTGTCATTTTCCGCACTTCTGATGTTGTCACCGTCTCGATCGTCTCTCCGATTTGGACTGCCATAGTTATCCTGGCTACGTGGCCGGTACTGGCTACCAATAATATTCATATATCCCACCTGAGTTTATGGATCACAGAACAAGTGTCGCGTTCTAGATCATCGTGGGCTGCCATCAGGTCTCATGTCTAATCTGATGTAATTTGTCATGAGGGACATTCCGTAGCGTGTACAGTTGTATGTGGTGTTTTGGTTATTTTATGTGATTCCCGATCCCTCCTGCACAGGACTTGGCAGCTGGTTTGCTGTTGTCCACGTCACTCACACATCGATCTCAATCCTCCGTAGCCACTGAAATCTACAGGTACAGTAGGGTATTTGACAGTTGACCTGTGCATACTCATCTTGAAGCGCTAGCCTCATTGGGCGAAAAGGCGAACGCATCAAAGGTACGGCATCCCCGGGCCACTGTATGAATTGCTTCGCCTCCCTGAGCTCAGTCTTGCGTCTTCTCGAACTATCATTAAACGACATTGGAATCCATGCGCCCGTCTCCAACCACTGGTAATGCCAGTACTGAGTACTAGTGGTACTGCAAGAGCCGGGGAGCTCTTATTATGGCTATTTAGACAGCTGAATTGGCAGGCAATCAAACCCAGCCAGGCACGACTATGTTGTTTCTTCTAACCGTCCGAGGCTCCTCTCATACAAGGTGGCTAGTTCTACAGTTTTACTTGCAGAGACATGCCAGTCTCACCACAGATATCAGTCCGCCTTGCCATAGTACGGTCAACATCTCGCATAGCATAAAAACCAGTAATCGAGCGGCTCATTTCTTGTTTCCTCCCTAGGCATTCACCGTCTTGAAACACAAGCCGAAGGACCAGTCCATCCCAAGTCGGTCGCTCCATGTTGCCGCCTCAGCTGAAGCTCATTTACAGACTTCTATGACGCTACGCAGGCTATCTACTCGACCTCCAGTCCCATTTTCGACTGTCCGACGATAGCCAGGCAACGTGCGATGACGATGCGTGGAGGAATCATGCGCTCTCGCTTGAAAAAGAACTTGAGTCCTTGAAACAAAAGCGAGAAGGAGATGAAGAAGGTGTGTTTGAGTCTTTGAAAAGTCATTTCCTCCGCAATCCTTACTGACATTTTGCAGAACTCGTTCGTCTGCGGCAAAACGTGTCCAGAGACGTGCCAGGCGAACCGGACGCTGCTCCCCCCAAAAAGAAAACGAAGAAGACTGGTAAAGCTCCAGAGCTTCAACTTCAGGACGATGACTGGGCTGCAAAACGGGAAGGTGCGAATCTCATATATTCGCCTCGTTCTTTTTGTTCACGCTTTGGAAGAACGCCTCAACGCAGTAGGCCAGTCATTACCATCCCTCACCGCAGCATTCACTTCCCTCCGAAGCGTCCTCAGCTCAGTAGGTTCCCAGACAGGTGACGACGCAGCACCCAATTCGCGTCTACTAGTTGCGATCACACGGACAATTGGCACCATCGGCAAATTCCTAGACCTCCAAAATATCTCAACATCTTCTGTTCCATCGGAACTCAACGAGTCGAGAATCGCAATGACCTCCCCACTCATGGTGTACGTCTTACGCGTCGCTTTTCCAGCTCTCTTCCACCAAGGTATCAGCAGTTCCAGCAGCACCGCTGTATCCAGCCTCATCGATACCCTGTTCGTCCCTCTTGTCCGCAGCTTCACTCTCGTTTCCCGGGCATACATCATGCACCATCTAGACGTAAGCTCGGCAAAGAAGAAGTCAAAAAGCCGCAACAAAGGTAACGAGAAGGTGCCAAAAACACCCAGCCAGACACTCGTTTCCGATGCTCGTATGGATATCTTGGCTCTTCTCGGCGAGGCGCTGAACGCGTTGGACTCGATAGTACCCCACTACTCTGGGTATACCGCAGGCATCAGGGAGCGCATAGCATTGGAGTCGATTCGGGCGCTAGAATTGCTGTACCCTACTGTCAGCGCTGACGGGTCCGTGGATAGCAGCGTAACTCAGGATGAAGCATCTCGCGGTCCGGAATCATCGCAGGCGTCTCTTCCCCACAGACGGAGAACTGTGCTCAGTAGACAGGCCAGGCTCGAGGTTCTAGCACGGAAAGATGCGACATGGTATCTGTGCCACATACTCAACTCTTGCGCGAGCAGAGGCGGAGCGAAAGACGGGCTTGATTCTATGCTCAACGGCGCTCTTTTGGATGGCGCTGCAAAAGTCGTAAAGACGTGCATCTCGATGGATTGTGATGGTGTTACACGAGCTGGCAGGAGGTGCGTTATGGACGTGGTATGCCGAAATATGGTCTTGGCTGCCTGTGAAAAGATAGTTGGTGCCCCACCTCAAGAGAACCCTGGGCTGTAATGTAAAAATCGATCGATTCCGCAGGTCATAACCCGTGTTAACCGATCAAGTTTGTACTCGTTTCGTACTTCTCTCGTCGGATGTTTTGTGTAACAGGCTCATTTTCTTGTTACAAATGTAACTGTACAATCACGAAAGATAGCTCACAATTTAGGTATTACTTAGCCTTTGTTGTATCATTTAGGTAAACTGCAAAAGGTGACTTTGAAGTGTCAGGAGAAAATGGTGATGCGGTTGGGTCTGACCTATAGAACAAGTCGTAAGGGAGACTGACAGCCGCCAGTCTCCGCAATCTCACGTGACGCTTCGGCCGAAAATGTGTTATTGGACGTCACGTTTTCAGAGACTTCCTTAAGTTTGGTCCTAAACTTCAAGCTTGCAAGTTCATACTACGTCTAGACTCTAGACTCTACATCATGATAGTGCAGGCTGTTATCTTGCTTCCATATGTTTTTGTCCATATGGCTTGGGGCCTCAGTGGAAACCCACAGGTGGAAAAACGCCCCTTGGACCCACACCAAGTGGCACCCCGGATCAAGACCCCGAAAAATACTCACCCAACAGCGAGTACAACAACGCCCGCCGGCGTCCTATCGCCCTAGGCGTAACCAATCCATACAAGTCCCAATAGCGAAAGAGGTACACACCTCCTCCCAGAACAGAACACACCGACATGCCGGGAACACGGAGGAGTGCCAGTGTCAGTGCAGGCTCAACTCCACTATCACGCACCACGTCCCCAACATACGGCTTGAACACTCGGAGGACCACCAGATCGACGATATCTCAAGAAGCTATCGAAGCTATGTCCAACAAAGTTAAAGATTCTGCAAGCGGAAAAGAATTCCTGGCCTCAAAGCTGCTATGCCACGTCAACGAACCATTCTCGCTGACTCACCTAATTTCGGTTCTTTTTCAGATTACGCAAATGTCGAGCAGTACTCCCATACCAGTAACCTCGGCAATTCGCGCAGTGGCGTTTGTTCTCAAGGAACATGCAGCATGTGAAATAGCAGAAACTGCGGCAAAGATGATCTCGGACACTTTAGCCTCTCGTCTAGTAGAACACGTGGTAGCCGCCATCTCACCTCAAGTTGCCTTAGTCCACTCCGCATCCCTCGCCACCTCAGAATCCTTGAAGCAAGCCGACAAAGTGTTGAGAGTGCGCCTGACCACCAGGGCACACCGGACGTCACGACGTCCTGACATATATGAATGCAAGACAGTAACAGTACCTTACTCATTTTCTCTTCCCGTTTTCAACCGTATTCTAACTTTATTCTAACTCTATATAAGACTACGAACCAGCGCCAACGCACCTCAGTCTCTTTAACCGTGACTGAGGTGTGTATCATATTTTTCCTCATTCTTATTCCATTATACTCACTATATACATTAGCCTCGTACTCTAGGTTCGTAGTACTACGCTGAATGCTAGTCTCTTTAACCGTGACTGAGCCTCGTACTCTAGTTCTCGTCTCTCAACAGGTTATGAGCCCTGGCTGAAAGGACAGTGGCATTACCCCATCTCTCGCATCAGCACTTCTCGAACGTCCGTTCACCCATCACACTTCCTACCGGGTTTCAAACCAATATCGAAGTGTCACCCCTAATTTTCGATCACTATGGCATCATCGGACTCTCTCCCGAAAACCGAGAAGTACCCGCACGAGAAACTCACTCTCGACGGCTCTAATTACTCCCAATGGGCGACAGGTTTCAAGATGTGGGCCGGCGGTATTGGACTATGGTCCTACGTCAGTGGAGACGAAGTAGAACCGTCCCCACCAGCCCAACTCTCAGACTCTGACCAGAATATCCTCCGCAAGGAGAAACACGACGAGCGGGTGAAGCTCTACAGACAACGTCGACTCCTCGCCCTCAGTGCTCTCTCCACCGCTATCGATGCGCAGGACTTCGTCTATCTACGTGATATTGACAATCCACACCTTGCTTGGATCGCCCTGGAGAAGAAATACCTTCCCCAGAAAGCCATTCGATTCAACCAATACCTCGATCGTCTATTCACGGTCCCAAAGGCGCACGACAGCACGTCCATCGCAGAGACGTTACAGACACTCATTGTCTTAAAGTCGGACCTCGCAGCACTCTCAGTCGCACCATCCACATCCTCAGTTTCTCCACCTTCTACTACACCTGGTACGACTACCACTACGTCTGGCGCTACTGCTACGAAGGAGGAATACAAGATTCCAGATGCCATCTTCGTGCACATCCTACTCCGTGCTCTCCCCGACTATTACGACCCTCTTCGCCAAACACTCGTTAACAGCGATGCCTCGTTGGACTTCAACGACATCGTGAATCGATTGAAGACCCAGGAGTTGCATCGTGCAGGGACCAGCAGCACAACAGAGCACGTCGCTATGCTCTCTGGACATCGAGGGAACAGTGCACTTCCCAAGACGAGTGATCGTGTCCCACCCAAGGGTTTTGACGAGTCGAAGGGAGACGGCTGGATTGTGGGATGGAGGCCTAAGTGTGGCCACTGTCAAAAGCCTGGCCACGTCTGGGCACAATGTCGTGCACGTCTCGCTAAAGATGAGAAGAAGTCAGCACCACGTTCGTCCCCTACCGCTGTCGCCACTAACACGGAATCTCCATTGGCAGACCAACCTAACGCGGACGCTACCTCACCCAACGCTAAACCACAATCTCCATTCTTTCTCACCTTAAAAGAGCATACTGTCAATATCTCGTCCTCCCTCACTATGCCTATAGGCTCTATTCATGTAGACTCAGCGTCCACGGCCCATATGGAGCCTGATATTTCACGTTTTGCCCATTACACGAAGCTCGATGTACCCATCCGTGTGAAACTCGCCGACAATCATGAGGTCCTAGCTCCTGGCTGGGGGACTGTACAGCTCGCCTTACAGTATGAGCAATCCTCAACGAGTCGAGATTTTGACTTCCTTCACGTTCCTGACCTGCGGTGTACCCTTGTCTCAGTATCGTGCCTCGCATCTGAGCACATTTCGTTCATCTCCTCCTCCAAAGGAGGAATGCTTCGTGCTGGTGATGGACATGGGCCACCGCTTGCACATGTCCATTCCCGCAATGGGCTGTACTTACTCGCTGCACGATACATTACTGGTGCATCCGCTATGCTCACACAGTCGCCTCCTGCTGCCTTATCCCTGCAGACCTGGCATCGTCGATTGGGTCACGCTGGATTCTCCACAGTCCTCAAAGCGAGCGAACATGTTGACGGACTGTCACTCCCCTCCTCATCACTCCACGGCACCAGTGGCGATGCTGACCTGATCCAGTGCGTCTCTTGCCTCATGGGTAAGCACCGACGATCTCCCTTCCCAAACGCTGCACGACGAGCCTCGGCACCCGCAGAACTTGTGCACTCAGACGTCTGGGGACCCGTCAGTGTCGCATCCTCCACTGGTGACTCGTACTTCGTTGTGTTCACTGACGACTACACATGCTACTCGCTCGTATACCTTATGCGCGCGAAGTCCGAAGTCTTCGAGCTCTTCAAGAAGTTCGTGCCGTGGATGGAGACTCAGTCTGGCGGACGCATCAAACGTCTTCGTAGTGACAATGGTGGGGAGTACGTATCGAAGGATTTCAGTGAGTACCTAGCGGAGCGGGGCATTGAGCATGAAGTCACCATGCCCTACACGCCCCAGCAGAACGGGGTTGCTGAGCGTGGCCACCAGACCGTTGTCACTCGTGCCCTCAGCTGCCACCACCAGAGTGGTTTCCCGCGTTCCTTCTGGGGCTGGGCGATCCTAAACTCTGCTCACATCAAGAACATCCTCCCCTCCTCAGCGCTTGACGGTCGGACTCCGTTTGAGGCTTTCTACGGTCGTAAACCCGACGTGAGCTACCTCCGCCCCTTTGGCTGTCTTGCCTACTCTCACATCCCAGACGACACCCGTCGGAAATACGAGTTCGTTTCCCGCCGGTGCTTCCTCCTGGGACACGTGCGCAACGCTGGCTATATCCTTTGGGACCCATCTGCGAAGCGCGTCATCAGGTCACGCCATGTCCAATTCGACGAAGCCGTCTTCTATGGGGACCCCACCTTATCTCCCCTGGGTCCGCTAATCCCTGACGCAGACTCTGACCAGGGTGTCAGCACTCCGGTGGGAGGTATCAGTCCTTCAGTGGGAGGTTCTCCCTCATCTGGTGAGCCGCCATCTATGACCCCTGCTACACCTACTGTGCCACAGGTGTCAGTGGGAGGTGATGTTGATCCACCAGTCGAGTCCCATACATCCCACATATCCCAGGATGCTCCAGTCGAGTCCCATCATTCCCAAGACGCTCCAGTCGAGTCCCACCATTCCCACAATGCACCAGCTCCTGTTCCAGCCCCACGTCGAAGCACACGTCCACGCCAACCTACTCAGCCTGGCTATATTGCTCCAAGTGGCCCTAGTGACACGGCCATACCCACCAAGCGGGTTCCTGTAGCCGAGCGCTGGACCCATGTCCCAGTCCTACCTGACCCATCACCACCTCATGAATCCGCCATGCACACAACAGACACGCCTTCGCCTTCCTCTTCTACACCACCCGTCATTCCAAAATCGATCAGCGCTGTCATGCATGAAACGAAGATCATGCATTGACATTCAATAGGATAAGGGTATACTAGTCCAAAAGCTTTCGCTTTAGACTAATTACTCTATGTTGAGGCAAGAGAAGTAAAAAGTGGCAGAAAGCTCGCGTTTCGTTTACTTCTGTTTACGTTTATCTTTGTTCACTTTCTTGCTTCTGTTTCTCTTGTTCTTTTTTATTTGTGCATGTTATGTGAGCTTCAGCCACAATCTGAGCTTACATAACATGTAATTAACCCTAGGAGAAGTCATGTGACTCCAGAATTGAGTCATTTGATCTTGGACGATGTCACTCGATGTCATAACTCCACAACGATGTCATTTGATGTCATAGCTCCACAATGATATCATTCAGCTCCACTTTGCTCCACAAATGCTCCACACTGCTCCACAGTGATGTCATTTGCTGTCAAATGAGTCAGAATGAGTCATTTTCCTCCTTTGGTGTTCTTTCCACTTCAATTCTGCATTTTATGCTACAACTACCTTATTTCTTCTGAGATTTGTGTCTCTTTCTATTTTCTTGGTACTATACAGTTCCTGGGAATTTTCCCACACCAAATGTATATAAGGAGGCTCAATTCTCTGAGG